AGCTTTTGCATCACGTGGCTGGCAGCTCCCGCAAAGGTTTTAGTCTCTCCGATCGGGCTTAATCTCTCCTTGAGATTTTATCATGATGTGCCTGATTGTCAACCGCATATAGTAATATTGTCTAAATACGCGAAAGTATCTTCTAAAGCTTCTTCGGATATGAAAGTATCCATTGATCGTTGAAAGGCCGCCGCTCCATTAGTTACACCAAATGGGATTTTACGGAACTGATAAAGTCGATGGTTAGCTTCAAAAGCCGTGTACTTTCTCTCTTTATTTTTGATAGGTACTTGATGGTATGCACTTTTAAGATCTACAGTGCTAAAGACACTATATTGGGCAACTGCGTTTACTGTATCATCTATTCTTGGCATCGGATAAGCGTCCAACTGAGTAAATTTATTAATTGTTTCAGAGTAATCGATTACTAGTCTTTTCTTTTGTCTTTCGTTCTTGGTTACAACGACTTGGGCTCTCCAGGGAGAGTCACTTTCTTCAATAATCCCTTCTTCAAGCAATTTCGACACTTCTGTTGCGATGAACGCTCTGTCTTCGGCACTGTATCTTCGTGATTTTGCAGCTACCGGTCTACAATCTTCAGACAAAAACTGAAACAACGGCGGTGGGCCTATATTTATAGTTGATAAACCACATATCGTTAAAGAGGGCGATTTTCCCCCATACTCAATAATTATGCTTTCATGTTTTTCCTGCCAATTTTGTCCTAATATCACGTTCGTACATAAATTTGTTAAGACAAACAGTTTTACTTTCGCATACTCTCGCTCTTTAAGTATAATATCTGCAAGACAATAGCCTTGAATTTTAGAAGAAAACGAGGATGCAGCCATTGTTACTTTCTCTTGAGTTGTATAAACGTTCAATCCCAGATTACTTGCAACTTTAGGATGTATAAAATTATGTGTACTTCCTGAATCAATTAGAGCTTCGCAAGATTTTCCATTAATCAAGACATCAATACAGGCTTTCTTTAGTGACTTTGCTACTGTATGTTTAGTTGATGCTAATGCTATATACGAAGCCTGAGGAGCGACTGATTTACATACTCTTTGGAAATGTCCTTCTTTTTACATTTATAACAATAGGCGTCTTTAGCCGGGCATGCGGAACGAAGGTGTGGTCGATTACCGCAGAAGAAACATTTCGCTGATCTAGAAGAGGCGGCAACGTACCTTTCTATGCCGTTGTTCTCTTGATGTCCGTCAGATTGATCAGTTTTATCTTGGTTTTCGAATGCCCGTTAATTAATAAACGAATTCTCCCCGTCCTTGTTTGATAGAGCAGCAGCTGTTATTGGAATTCCGTCTGCATAAGTTTCAGAAGTTCTCTGTGCTGTATCTAAGGCTCGGGCTTGATCAAAAGCTGTCTGAAGGTCTAATGTTTTATTCTCAAGAAGACGTTGGCGGATGTTAGTTGAAAGAAGACCTGCTATAAACGCGTCTCGTACAGCTTCGTCTCGATATTGATTTGATGTCACGTTACGAAAATTACAATCTTTGCTTAGCGATTTTAATTCTTGCAAATACTCATCCAGGCTCTCGCCAGATTGTTGTTTACGAGTAGCTAACTTATGTCGCGAAAATATCTCATTAGGAACCTTAACATAGAGATTTTTTAACACTTCTATAGCTTCCTCGTAGCTTGTCGCTTCACAGAAAAGTTGATAAACGTCGGCAGAAACATAATTGACTAGAACCTTTAATTTGTTCACTTCTTCGTTAGGTATAGCAGCTACAAAATTTTGGAAAGTAGCAAACCAGTGCAACCACGATCTAGCAGCGTCTTGAGCGTTAGGATTGGTGTCAAAACGTTGTGGTCTTAAAACTTTCTCCATCACAGCATAAGATGCGGAAGACACTTGATAGGATTGACTAGTGAGAGCACCAAGATTCTGAGTGTTGTGTAAATTGTTGTAAAAGTTTTATTAAATATTTATTATATCTTCTATATACTAACCTAAGGAGGTTTTACACAACACTGCTGGGGTTCAATGCAGAGGCTCCTTAAATAATGAGCATACTTATTTACATTTACGTATATTTAAATTTCGTAATGAATTCTGTTCAGCCGTCCACTGTCGGTACGCCGTGTAGCGTAATGCTCTGAACGATACAAAATTTTGTCTAAGATACTTATCGGCATTATACACTTGTCGACATACACGTAATTACACTTCTAAGGTAATATTTACTCGTTTTCTTCACTCTCAGGCATAGGTCCAATGTCATTGTGTGTACACGACCATAGCTGTTTTTAAGACAGCTTCGTTTGTACATACTGTGGCAAACTCTTCCTCTTGTGTGGTGCAAATATGATCGCCATGTATCAGAGGATCAGTGTTGTTTACCTCTTGGCAACATATACTTTCCCGTCCTGTACTCATGACCACACAAAAGCCACACTCGCACCTAAAAGATAAAAACATTCTTTCTACTTTGGGAAAAACAATGAAGCATCAATAAAATGCAACTAACCATTCAACATTTCCAATTCTGTGAATGTATTCATCTTCGCTTTCCGATGACGAAGAATTGTCATTACTATGACCACCTTCCGCGTTGGCCAAAGGCTCAAACATGTAAGGTTGTACCTCATTGTTATTGACGACAATATCATAATCGGCTTCTTCTTCAGAAGAATCCATTAATTTTTGTTAAATAAAAAACAGTAATAGCAAACTACCGAAAGCCGTGCAAGAATTGCGTGCAAGTCGTAGAACGATATAAGAACGAACTTGTTTATGTCAACTATTACGTCACTCTTTCCCAGTTCCCAGACCAGTGTTGCCACGCCTTGGGATTTCTCCCAAGATCTTGGGATTTTCTGCTCAAGCTTGGGATCTTGGGAGTTTTTTTTGAAATCTTGTAAAATCTTGGGATATTTTGTTTAAATATTTTATAGGTAATATTATCTCGTATTATGAATTTATAAATAAGTGTGACAAGTGTTTATAAATAAGCTTGACAACCTTCACACCCTCCCACTGAAGATGCCGTCTGAATCTGATGTTTATTTGAACATAATATAAGTTCGTTTACCGTGGATATTCTTTAAATTAATGTACGTGTATTCCATAAAACGCTGAAGTATTTCTTTCCATCGAAAATATTATTAATTGGTATTGCATTTCTTGGTTGTCTTTACTATTGAACAGTAGAAATCAGGAGGGAGTGAATATGGCAATAGGGCGTTTCACGAACTCTATTTGATCATTTCAACACTTATATACATAAACTATCGATTTTTATGAAATTAAAATTAAAACAAAAATCAATTCATTCCAGTCCTTACATTATGCGTTCATTAGTGCGGCTAATCGTGTACCCATGACAAAGGGGTCCCCCAGAAACGACTGTGGGGGATCTTGGGATATTTTAAAGGATCTTGGGACTTTTTGCTCAAAATCTTGGGAATTTGTAAAATAGTGAGTGGCAACACTGTCCCAGACTTAAACAATCTCACGGCGTTTTAGCAATGGTCATCGAATATCGTGTTTTTACCGATTATAACCCTAAATATCTTTTGAAATATTTCGCGGACGACTTTGAAACTTGGTACGTCTTATTTTTACGCTATAGGCATTACAATAAAATAAAGTTGTCTTCTAGCTTGCATGTGTCCTTTAAATAGTTGGAATGTTATTAAACAAAAAGAATGATAGCATAATGCTTTAACCAACAACTACAAACAATTCTTTTTGTATATATATATGATAGTTGTTGCTTGTTTTAGTCTTTAAAATTTGTTGAAACTGCAGCATAATATTGCTTACATCTCGTTCGAATTTCAGAATTTAATAAGAATGGAGAATGCTGCCAGTTCGTCGAGATCTTTGAGTCAAATAGAGGGGCAACTGAGTCATGGCCAGCCGCATTGCAATGGTTCATCTATTGATTCATCGCTTAAGCTGTTTAGCAAAGCGAAGAATAAAATCAACAAAATATTTGAAGAAATTGGCGTCTACTTAGGAGAAGCATCTTCGTTTCTTCAGGAAAATTGTCTTGTTTCAGAAGAGTTGGCCAATGTAAAAGACAAATATACTGAGGAGGTAAAAATGGCGTAGTTTCAGTAGAGTTCAGGGGCCGGTTGTATAAAAACGTAGTTAACTTTAACTATAGTTAACGCTAACTACCGTAGTTAACTCCTTAACTGTTGTAACTTAACTGCTCGACTTAACTGCGTTGCACAAAACGTAGTTTGTCGGATAGTTAAGTAACTGCGTAGTTAACTTGCGTGGAAATTGCGTGAGTGTTGTTTACGTTAAATGACATAAAGTTTAATCAATTTATGCTTTGTAATGGCGGGCAAGTGAACTATAAAATGACTTCAAAATCAAGAAAAATCTCTTGGCTTATGTAAAAATCTTAAAATATGGCAAAGTATTGTCGTTTTTACGGATGTTGATGATGCGAAAAGAAAATTTAATAAATAATTCACGGTGACATGGTAACCGAATTAAATTGTAGCATATATTTGGACTTTTCTCAAGAAAATCGACCCTTATCTTCTGTGTAATACAGTACGATGTTGATGAATGATATGAGTCTCGGCAAGGACTGCTTTATTTCAAGTACCTATGGTATATAATGGACTTGGGCAAACGAAACAATGAACTCTTCTCAAATTGATTCATATTGTGTTTTATGTGCAAGGATTTAAATATTTAAATGGCCTTGCTCTTACAGAATTTAAAACTGAGAGATTGAGGGTAACAAAGGAAAAGGTAGTTTCGTTTCTCTTTATAACAGCTGAGTAAAATGCTTGAAAGAAATGTGTCTGTACAGACATAAGTCACACTTATTTGTAAAGATGACAGTGATGGACTTTTTTATTATTAGAAAACATTTCTTTGAGTCATCATAGTTAGTAGCCATGTAATCCAGCAACTGTCTTTTCTCTGCTTGTGACATGTTATATTCACAGCTATACACAAAATACTTATTTGTTCTTACTTCTGCCTTGCAAAAACTGAGTTATAAAAACTCTTGGGTATATTTGTTAATGAGCCTTAGCTATGAAACTTTTATTTATGCCTTTGTTATTTATTAGCCTATTTTTGTCTAAAGCTTGGGAGTTTTAATTTTTTTCATATTTTTTAAATCATCAAACAGCAGCTAGAGCTTTCTGCTTCTTAGAAAAATATTGGCAGCCAAGAATGTATGTACATTAAAAATAAACATTTTTACATAGGAAATATATGATGAAATATCAATGAAACCCACTAATTGACTGTCATGTATATTTTCTGCTTGTGCTATAAACCATGTGCAATGGATAATGTACATATATCAAGCAATATATACCTACACCATGCATGCTAATGAAATGTTTTATGTATTTAAAACACTAACTTCATTGTACCTCATGCAGCTGATACACAACAGAGTAGTCATGAGTTAAAACTGTTGTAAAGCTCATGTATCTATATGTATTATCATTGGTATACTTAGAACAACATTTATACTGTAGTACCTCTGTTTTAACATAATCTAGTTTATTTTCAATGGAGCAATAAGTTTATATGATGCATATGATATTCAATCAAGCAAAATGCATAGGGAAAACCCCGCAATTTGAGCATTTGATACATCCAAGGCAATAGGGTTCAATGCTCGATAAACATTCTTTCTTTTTTTTGTCATTGAACGAATTGTACGTGGTTGTAAGACAATGTCAGCGAGTTATGTGCACTAATCTTAAAGAAGTGGCTCTATCTCAATTGAGAGTCTCGTTTATGAGTTGCAGAGCTACCGGACGCAAGAAAGATAATACAAAATGCAATTTCTCTTGTGTAAAAAAGGATTTGTTACGTGAATAAATAGACCTTTTCAAGGTTATCGTAGCCATATTGCAGGGGGTGCAAAAACATTGGGCCGAGCGCGCGGTCACGCATGGAGTCCATATAAATTACTAATAAATGCACAAAAATTACCCTTTTACATATTAGCCATTTCTTCCAAAAATATTTTTCAAACTCGTCCATTTTAATAGTAGAATTATTATTTGCCATTTTTTGTACATGTGAGTCAAATTTTGTGGTAATCAAAAAGCGGAAAGTTAAAGAAAACATTTGTTTTCTTTGAACAACTTGACCGTCGTTTGAGCGATGTTCTTGAGTTCGCAACACACGCACATGTCTACAGCAAAGTCAGCAAAGTCACCAATCATTTGCAAAGTGACATTGCTATTTTTATTATTATGTATGGCGACTAAACAGCCAGAAGAAGAACTGAAATACGAAGATTTTCTTCACTTGACTGTTTCTTCGCTAAAAGATTTTTTGGCGTTGAGAGGGTTGAAACAAACTGGGAAAAAAGCAGAGTTAATCGCTAGGGCATTTGGTGCTTATGAACTTAAAGTTCCGAAGAAATTTACGCAGGAGCAAATTTATAAAAACATACGTGAGGAGTATTCAAGAAGGCTGAAATTAAACAGCATTAAAACTGATCCCAACTTACTCCCCGAGCAAGCGTGGCTTGATGACGTGAGAAAGTGGCCAGAAATCGATGACGGAAAGTTGTTCAGTTATATATTGAGAATCAAAGCGGTAGATGTTGATTATATTGGAAAATATAAAGACCAAAAGGCTTACTCGTATTGGATGAGTGGATTTGTTGACATCGTTTACGTTGCAAAATGTCCTTCGGATGGCAAATTTACTTTCTTGAAAGGTAACATCTGTCCTTCCCAAAAAACTAAATGATGATCCACACAAAGTTTGGGTTTGCGTCGAGGGAACTGGCAGTGACTGCAGGATTGTAACGTCTTGGTGTTCGTGTACAGCGGGAACAGCAGAGGCATGTAACCATGTAATTGCCCTCCTTTACAAGGTAAATTATGCCTTTAACAAACATTTCATTTCACCTGCCTGCACTAGTGTACCGCAAGGCTGGAATAAAGGAACCAGAAGAGAAGTTGCACCAACCCAACTGCAAAATATGACTTTTTGAAAGGATAGAAAAACTAAAAAAGTAAGTAATCGAGACAGCAACTTGGAACAGAAAATGCAAAAAGAATTTGATCCAAGAAAGCATGAAGACAGACAGTTGACCGATGAAAGAGTTTCTTCCTTACTGAAGAGTGTAAAGGACTTGGTACCATCAGCATGTGTGTTGTTCTCTGTTGAATATGGTATTGATGACAATCTTCCACCTAACATTATTGAAAAGGCTGCTGAGTTTATGTCAAATATTTTAAAGACATACCAGTGGAACAAGCCACTACACATTTCCTTATTGAATCACAAATCACCAAAGATCAAGTGAAAAAATTGAACAGGAAACAAGGCAGCAACATTCCAACCCATTGTGGAGAAAGCAAAGAATTGGAAGAATAACAGCTTCCAATTTTCACATGGTTCACAAAAACAGAGACTATTATGAAAAGCAAAATGCTAGCAAAAGAAGCCTCAATATAGCCCAACTGTATTTAAATTAGTAAATGAGTCTGGAAACATTTCCCATTTACCTCAAATTAAGTGGGAGTGGAACACGAGAAAGATGGCATCAAGTCCTTTTGTCTGATGTGGCTAGTCAGCACGATGGTGGCATTGAAGGGTTTCGTCAGTGTGGACTCTATGTAAAAAGTGACTATCCATATCTTGCTGCTTCTCCGGATGGTTTGTTCTCATGCAAGTGCTGTGCTCCTGCTACTGTTGAAGTGAAATGCCCATATTCAGTTAGATATGGTAATATAATGAAGAAAGAGGTTTTTCAGCATGTGGACTTCCTTGAAGAGTTTAATGGTAATCCTCGTCTGAAACGTTCTCATTGTTATTACACACAAGTACAAGCGCAAATGTGGGTTTGTGGTGTACATCATTCTTTCTTTGTAGTTTGGACACTTGGACATCAACCCCTTTATGAAGAAATTGAGCTGGACATGGCATTTATGACAAATGTGGTAAATAATCTTACTATATTTTATAAGACTTATGTTATGCCTTGTATTTTGGGTTATCGAGATCTTTTGCAATGTTCAAAGTGTGAGAAGGTTATTTTGGATGAAGCAGAAATCAATTGCCCTGCAACTGAAAGGAGTGTAACTTGTGTCACATGCAACACTCAGTGGCATTTGCCATGTGCAGGCCTGACTGAACGATGTCTCAGCTCAATAGACTCATGGCTTTGCCACAGTTGTCTCCTTGACAATGCTGGTTGTTATGATGATAACAGTTTTGAGGAAGAAGAAATTAGCATAAATGACACAGGCCTCATCACATCCCAGGATTGCTCACCTTTAATATCAGATGAAATAAACAATATATGCCCAGTATGCATGTTGAAAGACATTCATGTTGGAGGAGAGCATATTTGTTCTATATGCAAAAATGCTGTACATGCATGGTGCAGCAATCATGAAGAAATTACAAGCTCTGCTAATTTAGTTTGTAATTATTGTAAGTCAGATTAATTTTCACCTTGATCCTCTATGTGAAAGATTTCTCCAGGGTTTAGCTATCGTGAAAGATGCATTTTATTAGAGAACTAAAAAATCAACACAAATGATCAAAAGTTAAAATTGTTTTTCTTTCTAGCTATCACCTTAAAACTTAAAATTTTTTACATTTATGATAATACAAGTATAATTAAGAATACTTGTATTCATGTTTTTTTCCAGCTGACAATTTCAAAATAAAAGATAAAACACACTCTGAAAAACATCATCTTGTAAACTCAATATTTGAGTTATAACAGCAAGAGACAAGATTTAAAGCTATATTTAGACTTTATTTTATTTAGACATTAGTATTTCGAAACTATGACTCTGACATAAATTTGAAATATAGCTTTAAATCTTGTCTCTTGCTGTTATAACTCAAATCTTGAGTTTACAAGATGATGTTTTTTGTAGTGTATTTTCTCATTTATATTCATGTAAACAGTGTATTTCATGCATTTTATTGTAAATAATTATGTACATAAAGGGGGAAGGAAATTGCACAAAGCACAGCACACTTTTACAATATCATCACTTAGGGAAAGTAAATTTATAGGAAGTTCATGTTTCAAAATATTAAAATTTTTCATTCTTCCAATTGCTTGTTCTACATATATAGCACATTAGCTATGCTTGAAGTTTTCTTACATCATCTGGAAGCATCTGCATAGATACAGTTTTGCTAGGTGGTATGCACAGTCTACACATTTTCATCATCAGTTCTTCTCTAATCTTAAACCCTCTGTCAGCCATCACTTCATCAAAAGGTTGTAAAAGTTCCAAAAATCCACTATTCTTAACAATAAAGACATCTGTGGCCCTTCCACCATAAGTAGGTGAAACATACGAAATTGCTCCATTTGGAGTTATAGCTACCAAAGCTTTCAATGTGTAGTGGTGCTTGTATTCACTCCACATTGTAGCTGCTAGGTCTAGACCACTTGGGGTTTCAGTAAAGCACTCAAAACAGTCAATGATGCATCGTACGTTTGGATAGAGCTTTCGGAAACAACTTGGCAGAGTTTTCTTAGTTTGATTTCTACTAGGCCATATAAAGAGAACTGAGAGTTCCTTGGACATCAGTTTAATCCAAGTTATAAACGTGCTACTAACAGTAGCAGATGATATTTGAAACCTGAAAGCCAGATCATCAACAAGTAATGCCAAACGCAACTTCATCAAACACATAAGGAGCTCCTGCTGTGGTGATAGTTTGCGAGCTGGACCAGATCTATAACCTCTACCAGCAAACAGTTGAAATGGTGTTTTTGGAGTCGCGGTTGTTTCATTTTGTGTCTGTGTGGGTCCACGCCAGTATTGCATATTACTAGCTTTTGGCAGCAAGTATTCAAATACACACTTAAAACTGTTAGTCGATGGCAGGCCGGTGTGAAACCTTACATCATACTCTCTCGTCAACTGTTCAAATTGCAAAGGGACAGGGAGTAAAGATGCCTCAGATTTTGCTGGATTTTCATCAAAACTTGAATGAGAATCCTCGGTGTCATAGGCTTGATGAGGACGCTTTGATGTCGTCCATGTTTCTCTTCCTTTACGTTTAAGCGGAGTCCTCGATTGCTCGTACTCTGATAGCGTAATAAAAACCGAAGGATAATCCGTTTCGCGGTTATTTGGGGTTCTTTTTCCCAAGGGAAAATGATTTGAGCAAACGAAAGTACCTTGTGCACCTGGCTTTGGGTTAAAGTCATCGGCTCTGCTGTTTGCAATTTGTTTTCGCCAAATTTCAGCAAGTACTTGATCTTTGGGCCACTTATGAAAAACTAACTTTTCTACGTGAGACCTCTTAACTTGATAATCAGGATAGCGTTTATCATTATCGCAATATCCAACTGCACAACGCGCATTTTTTACCATTTCGGCTATGACTGCTCACGGCTACTCGGCTAGTTAAGGGTTTAGTTCGTTTGACTTGGCTTAAGGCCCATTTCCACTTCATTCGCAATTCGCAAATCGCATGCGATTTGCGAATTGCGACGTGCGTACACATGCGAATTCAATACACACTTATCACGATCATCAACGCTGTTCGCACAATTTTCTATTGTTTAATTGACCAATAAAATGAAATTATTTTGTATGGCAAAATTTTGCGGGTTAAATAAAAAACATGGCAGTTTTTTGCAGAAGAAAACTTTTAATATTATTGTTATTACGAAAAAGGTATCAAAAAAGGAAGGCAAAATACAGAAAACGATTTTGGGTCCGACATATTCTCCAAAAAAGAAAAGAGCAAGGAGAGTATGCCAATCTGGTCAGAGAAATGCAACTAGGAGACCACGAAAGTTTCTTTAAATATTTTCGTATGTCACCGATTGTATTTGAGAAATTGTTGCAGTTAATTGCCCCATTGATTATTAAGTCCAACCAGAAACGGGAAGCCATTTCGCCGGCAGAACGGCTATCAGTAATCCTAAGATATCTTGCAACTGGGGGTTCTCATCAAACCATATCTTTTAGTTATCGGTTGGGGCATTCTACAGTCAACAAGATTGTCCCAGAGACATGTTTAGCAATATGGAAGGCACTATCTCCTATCTATGTCCAATGCCCTTCAACAACAAACGAATGGGAAGATGTGGCGAAAGAATTTTGGGAGAAGTGGAATTTTCCATTGTTTATTGGGGCACTAGATGGCAAACATGTAAGATGCCACTGTCCTGCCAACACTGGTTCATTGTACTTTAATTTTCATGGTTGGTTCAGTGTTGTTTTGATGGCTGTTTGCAGTGCACATTATTCCTATTTGCTAGTGAATATAGGTGCTATTGGTAGTTCAAGCCATGGTGGTATATTTGAACGGTGTGGAATGAAAGATGCCCTCTATAATGGAAGGTTATCTTTACCAGAAGACTGCAATTTGCCCAACACAAACACCACATGTTCTTATGTAATAACTGCAGATGATGCCTTTCCATTAGGACGTCATGTTATGAAGCCATATGGTGGACGGTATTTGGAACATGACAAAAGAATTTTTAATTACAGATTATCGAGGGCAAGACGAGTTAGTGAAAATACATTTGGCATTTCAACTGCAAGATGGCGCATTTTCAAGCGACCAATCGATGCTATACCTGAGCGTTGCATTGGTATCGTCAAAGCTGTGGTAGCCTTACATAATTTCTTAATGTTCCATGAATCAACATTGCCCAGACATGAGCGAAGATATTGCCCACCCGGGATTTGTAGATTCTGAAGACAAAAATGCAGATATTGTGCCAGGAGCTTGGAGAGAAGATGTTAATAAGGATACAGGCTATCAATCCTTAACCCAAACAAAAAATGGTAATGCCTGCAAGAAAAGTGCAAAAGAAATCCGAGACATTTTCAAGAACTTTTTCAATTCACCTGCTGGTGCAGTACCTTGGCAAAATGTGTACATAAATAAATGATGTTTGTTAATGTTGAGTATTAAAAGCTAAAGAGCAGAACCAAAATGTTTCCAATCTTGTAAAAAACACATAACACACAGATACTGTAAATTTGTCAAAACTATAACAGTATGTAAATATAAGGAAAATCAGCTCATTAAATTGGTAAAGGTTTCTAGCTGTTTAATTTGATTGTTTTTTCTTACACAAACAGTCAAAAAGAACTGCCCACTAGTAAAAATAGTTTATCAGGGATATTGTTGTCACAAAATGCCAAAACATTACATGAGATTTCTGAGAAAAAAATAATAGTATATTCAATAACAAGTGGATCCAGCTCTTTGGTAATTGCTATCTATTCAACATTACTAAACAAAACCTGAGCAGTTCTTTTTGACTGTATGTGTATAAGCTGTGAATTTGCCTTTATATGGAGCAGTCAAAACTTTCAAGTACATGTTTTGCACATTTACATGCCAAGACCTAACTAGAATACTCCATCTAGCAGGAGCAATTCAGAAGAAATCATTGATCTTCAAAACTGGACTCAAACTCTGCCTGAAAAAGTAGCTGCTGAATTTGGCATTTTATTAATGCTTTCTTTTTATGCTCCAGTCTTCTTAGTTGCGGAATCAAGCATTTCATGAACAGACTATCCTCATCATCATCCTTATCTTTGTTTAGTTCAGATAAAATCGCCAAATCTACTTGGTTGAGTGATTCATCCCTTTTCCTTCTTTTACCAGAGAAATTTGGTGCTTTAGAGATTTCAGTATTACTAACGGCACTTGCTGATGAAGAGCAAGCTGGGCTGTCTGGCTTTGGATCATCTAAAGTTAGGGACAAGTCAGATATGTCCGCCTCAGTGTCGTTTGACAGCAAGCCCATCCGGCGACTTTCCTCCTCATTTATTGTCAAGAAATTAGAAGATGTTGGCGTCTCAACGATGCTAAATTTTTTCATGAAACTCATTTGACTCATCCATTGCCAAGTAGCTTTCTTTGTACCACCAGAATCACCAGATTTGGGTATCAACAACTTCAACTTTTTCCTATACGTGTCTTTTAGATCGCGCCATTTTGCTTTAATACTCGATGCTTTTCCTTCCAGACCACACTCACTTGCTATTTTTAACCATGCTGACTCCTGCACATTTTTGTTCTTGTAATTTGCGTTGCTAGTATCCCAAACGACTTTGTTTGAACTAACATTTTCAATCAAGGCTTCAACTAATTCTGGCGTCCATTCTATCTTTCCTGTCGCCGCCATTTTGGTTTGTTGTTGTCTTTTTCTGATTGGTTGCCCACGCAGGTTCGCATGCGAACGTTCGCAAAAACTCAAACATTGCGAACTTGTCAAATTCGCAACGCGAATGTTCGCATGCGATTTGCGAATGTTCGCAAGCGAATAGAAAACAAAGGATCGCATGCGATTTGCGAATTGCGAATGAAGTGGAAATGGGCCTTTATGAGTTCCGCACATTTGCGAACTCAAGAACATCGCTCAAACGACGGTCAAGTTGTTCAAAGAAAACAAATGTTTTCTTTAACTTTCCGCTTTTTGATTACCACAAAATTTGACTAACATGTATAAAAAATGGCAAATAATAATTCTACTATTAAAATGGACGAGTTTGAAAAATATTTTTGGAAGAAATGGCCAATATGTAAAAGGTAATTTTTGCGCATTTATTAGTAATTTATATGGACTCCATGCGTGACCGCGCGCTCGGCCCAATGTTTTTGCACCCCCTGCAATATGGCTACGATAACCTTGAAAAGGTCTATTGTTGGCTGTTTTTCGTCAGCAAAACTTGGGGTGTTTACACCACTGACGAATGTAGTAAATTGTGCATAAAGCTCTTATCCTAAAAGCCTTTGCCATAGAAGATACATATGTGATTAAAAACTCAAGGTAAAACTTTGTTGATCAACAACATCTCGCCCATAATTGTCTTTGAGAAACTAAGCCGCCATATTTAACTGTTTTTTGACAAGTTAACTATGCTCCATAGCAGAGTTAACTTTAACTACCTTTTAACTGCAGTTAGCGCTAACTACTTTTTTATACAACCGACTTAACAGCGTGGTTAAATTTAACTACTTTTTAACTGCAAAAAGTGTAGTTAAAAAGTAGTTAAGAGCTTTATACAACCGGCCCCAGTTCATTAATAATTTCCTAAGTAATTCTTCTCTGATTTAGGCCTATTATATAAAGTGCGAATGTTATCTAGCTTGGCGAAGTGATCTCTACTAAATTGTTGGCCTCTCTGCCACTGACAATGGCATTGCTAGTTTTTAGTTACATGTGAATAAAACCAAAGAAAACACCATTTTAAATCAATAAATTGTGTTAAGGTCAAAACTTATCTGGAGCAAGTAGCTGGGATAGCAAAGGTTCTCAGTAGGGACAGTATGAAAGTTGCTTTCTTCGGAAGAACTAGCAATGGCAAGAGCACTGTAATTAATGCCTTGTTGGGAGATCTTATTTTACCATCTGGTATTGGTCATACAACTAGTTGTTTCCTCAGTGTTAATGGAACAGAAGTTGAGACACCTTATGTACTGACTCCTGGCTCTGACGAAAAGAAAAATATTCAAGTATGTTGTATATATAGGCTATCAAACAAGTATTAGCAGAAAATAAATGTTATTGGAAATTACTTGGATTGTTTTATCTATTGAATTTGCCACGACTGCTAAATTCATAGCACAGTTAGCCTAGCACTATTACTTTGGTAAAAATGCTGTAGATTTCTCAGAGTTCTTTCAAAATGCATGTAACACTAAAATTTTTGTATGCTAGAATATATCAGTGAGATTGCTTTGTGAGTGACTTGTCATTCAGAGTGTATGAACTATGAAATTTTATTTTATTTTACTTCCATGTATTTAGTCTTTAAGTCAACTGGCTCATGAACTTTGTCAAGAGAAACTAGATCCAAGTAGCTTGATTCGAGTCAATTGGCCAGTAGCAAAGTATGTATTTTAAAATGGATGAAAGTCAAGCATATTCTTTCATAAAAGAATCACCAACTGTTTTTTCAGATGTGCATTGCTTCGAAATGATATTGTGTTGGTTGACAGGTGAAAATTTAATTAATCTTCATTAAAAATTGTGAATATTTTTGATGAGATGCTTTGATTTGTAGCCCAGGGATTGATGTTAGTCCAGATCTTGACAGTTGGATTGATAATTGCTGCTTGGATGCAGATGTTTTTGTTTTGGTAGCAAATTCAGAGTCAACTTTGACGAATACAGTAAGTTGTGTCTATAAAATTATTTTATCAAAGCTAGTAGTAATGAAGAGGCAGAATCTTTAAAACTTTTATAGGAAAAGAAATTTTTCAATAAAGTCATTCAGAAGCTGTCACGGCCAAATATTTTTATCTTGAATAATCGTTGGGATGCGTCAGCATCTGAGCCGAAGATGATGGCAGTATGTACATTTTCATATCATTGAACATTCAAAAGGAATAAGGACTTTGGAAATGAAAACTTTTCCTTTCTCTTAAACACTTTGTGTGTGATCTCTTTCATTAGGTTAAAAATCAACATATGGAAAGAACAGTTGGTTTTCTTGTCAATGAACTTAAATGCATTGATCAATGTGAAGCAAAGAATCGTGTTTTCTTTGTGTCTGCTAAAGAAGTACGTCATGTAGAGAGTCGTTGAAGTTTTTGCAGTTGAAAACAGAAGTTTTTTTGTTCTTCTTCTATAAATCTTCATTTTTTTATGCTGCAGTAGATCTAGTTTAAATGAAGTAAATTGATGTTCCTAATTAAAGGCAGCCCACAATAAAAATTTACAACACAGCTCGTAAGGTGGAAAGAAAAAACCGAAACTACAGCTCAAATGTTGATTTCTTGTCTATATTTTTAGGTTCTGACAAAGAGAATGCAGGAAAACCAAGGAATGTGTGATACAGGTTTAAGGAAACAAATGTTTTTTTTTATTGATTTGTGTTGAAGTTTGCTGGTTGTTTGACCTTCACTGGTAAACATTGCCATGGTGTTTGTCATGTGTTTATAATTTTTTTTATACAGGGGCTGCTATACATGCAGAAGGCTTTAAAGAAAGACTAATGGAATTTGAGCATTTTGAAAGAAAGTTTGAGGTTAAGCAGACTTTCATTCTTGCGTTGCAGCTATAACATCTAAAGTTTTCTTTATATTGCGGGGCTCAAACTCAACGTTCTGGTTTTTAGGAGTGCATTTCCAAGTCAGCGATTCAAACAAAATTTGAATCTCATGCTGTACAAGGAATGCAAACAACAAAATTTGTTCAAGAAATCATGGAGAAAATTGAAGCCAAGTCAAAGGATGAAAGGTTAGACCATTTTTCTCATTCTCTTAAAGACCTTGTGTGTGTATTTATTTCCTAGAGGAATGTTTCAGTTTTTGCTTTTATTTAATGAATTTTCTTGCATGGATCTGCATATGTTACTGAGTGGCGATAGTAATTCTTAGGCAGAAATGTATTGAAGCAAAATGTAGCTGGGAGGAACGATTGGTAATAATGGACAACATACTGGATCATGAGTTTAAGAATAAAATCAAGAAAATTAAAGAAAAAGTTAAGTCGAAGGTATAAAGTTAATTGCACCAAATTTAAAACATAAAAGTCATTCAAAACAGCAGTTATCAAAGAACTTCATGAGTTTAACGGATTTACATTGTAACCATCCATTGTAGCTATACGTACATTCTTCTGAAAAAATGCTAACACTTTTTTCTTGCTTTTGTTGGCATTTGATGGGAAACTAATTTGGAAAATATAAATCTTTTTCTCATTCAATAAAGATTCTTATTTAAATTGTGTAATTGTACAATCTTTAACATGCTTTTACCTGCTTGTCCGATCAAGATGTCCGGTTGTATATTTAGCTAGTTTAACTAGAAAAACGTGATGACGTATGAGAAATAAAACTGTATTTTTATTTCAAGGTTGCCACAGCAATGAATGATGAAATAAAACGTTTAGGAATACTTGTAAATCAGTTTGATCATCCATTTGAAACGGATCCTACTTCCATTGAAACTTACAAACGAGATCTGCTCACTCATATTGCTGATGACCTGGGAAGGAATCTTACGGAGCGATGTGGATTAGCTCTTTCCCAGTTCATTGATGAAACTAAACAATCAATGACTGGTAAGCAAAAGTTGACCTTAGAATTCGTATTTTACGCCATACTTTATGAAGTTCCATTTTATGTTACAGTTTTAACAATATAAATATCTTTGCAGATCAATTAGCTTCACTTTTACCACCAGAGGATCGTCATGAGGTGAAGACTATTTTGGATTCCAGGTATTTATATGTATACTTGTGGATAACCTGGTATTGTAGAGAGCGTATGACTGCCGTCTAACTTGCTAGTTCCCTTTAGTCATGTGTTCCATAAATACTCCATGTAAATTTTTCCTACATGTAAATCTTTGTTCTTCCTGCGATTGTTGTAGGCATGGATTTAAAGTATCCTATCAACTTGATATTCCCAATATTTGCTCGGATTTCAAAGAGGATTTAGAGTTCCATTCCTCTCTAACATTACCCAGAGCTACTGGTATTATGGCTGTTGCAAGCCTGGTAAGGAGTGACTTCACGTGATTACGTGTAGAAAGAATATGAAAAATGCTTCAAGGAAAACTCTCAACGACAGAAATTTTCCAAGAGAATGTTATCTCATGTTCTCATTAAAAAAACAGTATGACTGTGAGGGTTTTTTGACTGTTTTGTACACCAAATTCTGTTAACGTATAATTTCCAAAACATAGGTCATAGTATTTGAACTGTTATAGCGTAACTTTTTTTCATATTATTTTTTTTGTAATCAGGCTTTTAGAAATGTTGTTGGCAATGTGATTGCTGGTGTTGGTGTTGGTTTTGGTGTTGGTGTTGGTTTTGGTGTTGGTGTTGGTGTTGGTGTTGGTGTTGGATCGTTATACGCTATTGAACGTTTACGATGGACAAATTATGCAAAGGAAAAGGCGTTTAAAAATCAGGTAACTTAGTGTGTAAAACATCAATGAAATGTTCAGATAAACATGTTCAGTAAATATCTTCCAAAGTTGATCTCAAATGCTGGCCTCATATGAAATGACTGTTGGTGTTAATTCAACTTTTAGTTTGTTGAATACATGGAAAATTGTCGTCAGTCGGTTGTCAGTATGACAAGTTCAAATTGTAGTCAACAAGTTAAGAGGTAAACGATTAAAAAGCTAGCAATATTTCTTTTTGAAAAATATGTATGGGAACAAGAAGTTTTCTGTTGTATTCATTTTCTCTTTCTTTTTAAAAGGGAACTTTCCTCCACTTTTGTTCAATTGTGTGACAAAGTTCGTGAAGTGAACAGACGACAAGTGGAAGACAAGATTTCACAACTTAGTGAAGATATTACTGATTTGGAGAAAATTGAAAGTCAAGCGCGTCTATTTGGGTATGTGTTGTTAATACCTGGCAATTTATTTATTCTGCAATTACATAGTAAAGGTGAATTTAATTCTAAAATGAAAGTTTCTTTACCTGAAAAGTTTAGTTACAACATGTAGAACAAATTGACTACATCGACTAACATAGCTTCAGAAAACATGTGTATAACTAGAAAACACAAATGAAGTGTATGAATAGGTTTATAAATCTCAAGAGAAAAATCCCCAGGTAATGGTTCCCTTACGTATAAGCATGCTTGTGATGAGTTGCATATGGCGACATTCCTTATGTTTATAGAAAAAATGCACAATGTCTCGAGGATCAGTTGAGCAGCTTCATTGGAGAATATGGTTTATCGCAAAGTAAAATGTAAAAAACATTGGCACCAGGTACAAAACTCCTTAAGTCTTTCAATTTCTGGGAAGAGAACTGAAATATTATTTCACATAAATTTATCTTAATCACTTGCAATTTCTGAATGTTATTTTTGCGGTCTCAATTCCAACATTTCCTTATAAAGTCATTAATTTAACTTACCTGTACAACAACACAAATCGAAAAACTGTATACCTTTACCAAAAGCCAGGAGCATTGAACTGTAATTGTTACTGGACGGCTGTCTTTAGAAACATTCTAGTACCTATACTTGCGTGGACCCAAATATTATTTCCAGGAAGCTTGTACTGTGTCTGCTGGTGTAAAGTTCTGCATTTTTGCTAGCTGTCATTATACAGTGTTGCCAGATGAATTTTAAACAAGTTCATGTCGGCATGTTTAAAAGTTCACATATTATCCTTCAATGTTCACAAATCAACAAAAATTGCATAATTTGCACCAAATGAATGAAATAAGCTAAATCAAATGCAAATTTATAATGATGCACATTGCACATTTGTACAAAACAACAAAAAAATAACAATGAAAAACAGTTATTTAGTTTGATTCAGATTCGTCGCTTGAGTCAGAGTCTTGAACATAAAAAATGTTGTTGAAGGAGAATATTTGACCCAGCCTCCTGACTTCTTCACTACTTGCTTAACTTTTAGAATACGGTTGACTGACTTTGTGTGCAACCTGTTTCTTCCTTTAGTTTTGATTGCATTCACAGATAAAAAAAATTCCCTACACATCAACATTGAAGAATGAATTATGCTTTGTCTCCAATCTCTAAACCAGTGTATATTCATTGTAAACAACCTTGTCCTTTATAACTGATAAGTTCATAAAAGACAAAAAGTCAAAATAAAAATCAAAATTTCTTAAATTCGTGACCTTTGTTCACAATCTGGCAACACTGTCATTATAAATGTTTATTATGACCGTATGTGGAAAGATTGGGACTGACTAGTTAAATTACCGGAAGGAAGGTATGTATTTTGTTCAAAAGCAATTCGTAAAATGATTATGTTATTGATTTTGGGCATTGAGCGAGTGTATTTCAACAATGATTTTAACAGCAACACGACCATGAATCATGAATTGGTCAGAGTTTCACACAACTGCAGGCTGTAGATGTAGATAAAGCTTTTTTTTTTAAATGACCCAGCGTGGCTTTATTTATGGTTCTTGAAAAGATAAGAATTCATGCAGCTATTCTTCATAGTTTATCTATCTTGTGATGGTTGTATACTTTATGACGATTATATACGTTTTTTAATGTAGATATGATCTTCGCATTTTGTTGGACAATTTAAGCAATTGTTACGGTGGCTCACAAGGGCCACCACACAAAATAAAAATATTAATACACACACAAAATAAAAATACACGCACAAAATACATTATACACATAACAAAATAAAAATACACACAAAATAAAAATACACACACAAAATAAAATACACACACAAAATAAAATACACACAAAATACATACACACACAAAATAAAAATACACACACAAAATAAAAATACACACACAAAATACATTATACACACAAAATAAAAATATGCACAAAATACATTATACACACAAAATAAAATACACACACAAAATACATTATACACACACAAAATAAAAACACACAAAATAAAATACATAAAATACATTAAAATGACACACAAATTAATACATCAAAATAAATACACACACAAAATAAAATACACAAAATAAAAATACACACAAAATATGATTGCGGGCGCTTGCAGTGTCGGATGGTCTGACTATCATATTATCAGTTTGTAATCAGATATGTGTAATTCACTAATTGTGATTTTAACATGTGGTCGACTTGTCGTCGTATTTAACTGTTTCAACTGCGAAACATTTGAAATTACATTTGGAAAGGAATCGAAAGCAAGCTCTTGCATAATCCTGGCATAATTATGTTTTGTGCCAACTGTGGTGCACAATCACTTGACGAAGCTTCTTTTTTGTCACAAATGCGGTGTGCGTTTGGGAAGATTAACTTCTTTGCCAAAATGTTCTGAAGCGTCAATGACGAGTAGCGTCTCTTCAAGCAGTTGCCCTTCGAGCTCTGCTAGTCCGTTAACTTCAACTTCAAGTACCCCAAAGCTGTTTATAACTGGTACAGGACAGGCTAGACCAATAATGTCCTTTCAAAGGACAACACATTAACCTTAATTTTAACCAGAATACGGGGAGCAATAATTGATCACAGTGAAATCAGTGAATTTTGTTATGTACTCTGGGAAGTTGGAACCATTAGAACTTTGAAAACAAAAACAATCAATTACGAGCAATTCCGAGTAAGCCGACACTGCAAGCGCCCGCAATCATATTTTGTGTGTGTATTTTTATTTTGTGTGTGTATAATGTATTTTGCGTGTGTATTTTTATTTTGTGTGTGTATAATGTATTTTGTGTGTGTATTTTTATTTTGTGTGTGTATTAATATTTTTATTTTGTGGGGTGGCCCTTGTGAGCCACCGTAAATTGTCTCATGAACCTGAAAAATTCAGGTGACTCAACGGACTCACCTGAATTTCTCAGGTTCATGAGACAATTGCTTAAATTGTCCAACAAAGTGCGAAGATCATATCTACATTTAATTTCAAACACCGCACTGCATAAAACATTCTTTTATATATGTTTTGTTGGTTAAATACCTTTTAATGGTTATAGACATTGTGATGGTTATAAACTTTATGATGGTTGTATATGTTTTCAAACATCGAGATTCTTAGAGAATACAATACACATACATTTGCTGAATGATGCACGTAATGAACTATTATAAAAATGATTATAAATAAATCAGTCGGGAAATCATCGGAAACAGTTTCCAAACAAATCTCCTTTTGATGCATGTCGGTAAGTGCACACGTGGTCGCCAAACTTGAGTGAACCATTGAGTGAATGACATATCAAAGTGTTGTATTTATATTTTCTTTCAAAGTGATATTTTTTCTATATGAGGCCATTAACAGAAGAAGAAACGAAGCTGGTGTTTGAAAAACTCGCCAAATAGTATGTACATACGTATGCTATTTATGTCGATTGAAACCTCTTATCAAAAGTATTGCAAATCAACAGCCAAACATGATGATAGAAAATAACATCTTACAACTTACCCCAGCCACGAAGATATACATGAAAAAAAGCCTCGCATTTAATGATCCACTAATCTGGAACTCATTACCTCATGAACTCAAAGAGTCCTGCTCTCTGATGTCTTCAAAACAAAATCACTGTTCACTTTCCCAAATAATTTAGTGATAGTTAAATGTAAATACTTAGTTAACTTTGTACTCTAAGTTAATGTTTTACGGACTGTACTTTGTTAATTTAGTATTCTTGTTAAATTTTTTTCTGTAACTTGGTGCATGCCCCATGTGGAAAACAACTCATGTTGACAGTAGTTAGCATAAAGTAAATGGTTTGAACCTTACATGTGGATGATCGTCAGTCCTGAGAAACTGTTGTTGTTGAACGGACAACCTGATAGTCATCTTCAGAGTCAAAAAACTATCAAAGTATGACTACCGCTAAGGTTGTCGAAACGTCAGTCAACAACAACAAAACAGTCCTTCTCAGGACTTTATTAACCTGGACGATCATCATTTACAAACATGTAATAGTTAGCATGTTAAAATCAAATTATTCATTCATGTTGCTGTGAAATTCATGAATTATACCATCCATCTTAGTAATTAGTGTTTTGTCACCATGACTGAAGATGGTTATAGAATACTTTTCTTTGATATATATTTCAAAGTATTGGTGACAATTTGAAACTGCTTATTGATCGACCTGATGGCAACTATTGCTTCAGACTGCAGAAGGATCGGATATATTACGTGAGGTATAAGCATTAATTTGGATGTTGTAGCCATTAGGTGCACTACCAGAATGTGTGAATAAAGATATGTTTGTTTTTATAAATAATTTTTAAGTGAAAACATAATGAGGAAAGCAACTAATGTTGCTAGGGAGAATTTGATCTCGCTTGGTACTTGTTTTGGTAAAATGACAAAATCTGGCAAGTTTCGTCTTCACATTACAGCTTTGGATTTTTTGGCTCCATATGCAAAGGTACTCTACTTCTCCCAGTCAATTCACATCTCCCCATGTAGGTATTTAACTTGACCTTACACTTTTAGTTTAAAATCTGGGTGAAGCCTGGAGCTGAACAATCTTTTCTCTATGGAAACCATGTTGCCAAGTCTGGTCTTGGGCGCATCACTGAAAACACAGAACAGTACCAAGGAGTTGTTGTCTATTCAATGAATGATTTGCCTCTGGTATGCTGTTTTTGTTTTCTGTTTTTGTTTAACTTTCCTATTTACTTAATATTTATTGATATTTCACTTCTCTGTGGGGAACACTGGAACAATATTAAACAGTCAGGCAATATTTGGGCACATATGCTCAAAACTAAGCAAATTATTTACTGTTACATTAATTTCTCCAGGGATTTGGTGTAGCTGCAAGATCAACTCAAGATTGTCGGCATGCCAGTCCAACAGACATTGTTTGTTTCCATCAGGCAGACATTGGAGAGTATATAAGATCTGAGGACACACTTACATAAAATGTCAACTGCAAACACCTTCATCACAATTCACTAAATTATTATTGACTTTAATGTGGTAGAAAATGTGTTGCTTGAATTTATCTCAATATGCATTGGCATACAGGAGGCATCATTTCTCCGGGGCTGTAAATATTTTCCTAACTCACAAAGAAGGTTCCGCCATATTTTCACTTGACTAACGCTAAAAATTTGCCCAACTTTCAAACTCTCATGGGGCTGCCCTAACATTTTTACAGGGCAAATCATGGATAGTAGGAAGAATTTTGTACATAAGAGTAAAAATCAGCTAATATATTACTTTAAAAGTGTGTGCTTCTGTGAACTGTTTTGCACTTTTTGTTGTCTTATTTTGAAGAGGAGAAGCGAAGAATGAATGAAGGGAGTAAACGATTTTTTAGCCAGGGGGTCGGGTAAATAAGTCTCGTAGCTATACTCTACTTACATGAAGTAACAAATTGTAGTATTATGCAACATGTGTAAAATATGTATGATTGTTGTTGCTTGTTTTAGTCTTTAAAATTTGTTGAAACTGCAGCATAATATTGCTTACATCTCGTTGGAGTTTCAGAATTTAATAAGAATGAAGAATGCTGCCAGTTCGCGGAGATCTTTGAGTCAAATAGAGGGGCAACTGAGTCATGGCCAGCCGCACTGCAATGGTTCATCTATTGATTCACCCCTTAAGCTGTTTAGCAAAGCGAAGAATAAAATCAACAAAATATTTCAAGAAATTGGCGTCTACTTAGGAGAGGCATCTTCGTTTCTTCAGGAAAAGTGTTTTGTTTCAGAAGAGTTGGCCAATGAAATAGACAAATATTCTGAGGAGGTAAAATGTCGTAGTTTCAGCAGAGTTCAGAGTTGATTTAATCTACCTAATAAATACACTCTGATATCGAAATCATTATTAATTTCCTTAGTAATTCTCTGATTTTAGCCTATTTTATAAAGTGCAAATATTATCTAGCTTGGCAAAATAATCTCCACTAAATTGTTGGCCTCTCTGTCACTGACAAGGACATTGCTAGTTTTTAGTTACATGTGAATAAAACAAAAAAAACACACACTGTTTTAAACCAATTCATTGTGTTAAGGTTAAAACATATCTGGAGCAAGTAGCTGGGATTGCAGAGGTTCTCAGTAGGGACAGTATGAAAGTTGCTTTCTTCGGAAGAACTAGCAATGGCAAGAGCACTGTAATTAATGCCATGTTGAGAGATCGTATTTTACCATCTGGTATTGGTCATACCACTAGTTGTTTCCTCAGTGTAAATGGAACAGAAGTTGAGACACCTTATGTACTGACTCCTGGCTCTGACGAAAAGAAAAATATTCAAGTATGTTGTATATATAGGCTATCAAACAAGTATTAGCAGAAAATAAATGTTATTGGAAGTTACTTGGATTGTTTTATCTATTGAATTTGCCACGATTGCTAAATTCATAGCACAGTTAGCCTAGCACTTCTACTTTGGTTAAAATACTGTAGATTTTTCAAAGAGTTTTTTCAAAATGCATGTAACACTAAAATTTTTGTATGCTAGAATATATCAGTGAGATTGCTTTTTGAGTGACTTGTCATTTGAGTGTATCGACTATGAAATTTGATTTTATTTTACTTCCATGTGTTTAGTCTTTAAGTCAACTGGCTCATGAACTTTGTCAAGAGAAACTAGATCCAAGTAGCTTGATTCAAGTCAATTGGCCAAGAGCAAAGTATGTATTTTAAAATGGATGAAAGTCAAGCATATTCTTTCATAAAAGAATCACCTACTGTTTTTTTCAGGTGTGCATTGCTTCGAAATGATATTGTGTTGGTTGACAGGTAAAAATTTAATTAATCTTCATTAAATAAATTGTGAATATTTTTGATAAGATGCTTTGATTTGTAGCCCAGGGATTGATGTTAGTCCGGATCTTGACAGTTGGATTGATAATTACTGCTTGGATGCAGATGTTTTTGTTTTGGTAGCAAATTCAGAGTCAACTTTGATGGTTACAGTAAGTTATGTCTATAAAATTATTTTTGCAAAGCCAGTAGTAATGAAGAGCATGAATCTTTAAAACTTTTACAGGAAAAGAAATTTTTCAATAAAGTCAATCAGAAACTGTCACGGCCAAATATTTTTATCTTGAACAATCGATGGGATGCGTCAGCATTTGAGCCAGAATTTATGATGGCAGTATGTACATTTTCATATCATTGAACATTCCAAAGGAATAAGGTCTTTGGAAATAACTTTACCTAGCTCTTTAAGACTTTGTGTTTGATTTCTTTCATTAGGTTAAAAATCAACATATGGAAAGAACAGTTGGTTTTCTTGTCAACGAACTTAAATGCATTGATCAATCTGAAGCAGAAAATCGTGTTTTCTTTGTGTCTGCTAAAGAAGTACGTCATGTAGAGAGTCTATGAGTTTATGCAGTTGAAGACGGAAGTTTTTCTGTTCCTCTTCTATAACTCTCCATTTTCACATGCTGCAGTAGATCTAGTTTAAATAAACTAAATTGATGTTCCTAATTAAAGGCAGCCCACAATAAAATTTACAACACAGCCTGTAAGGTGGAAAGAAGAAACAGAAACTACAGCTGAAATGTTGATTCCCTGTCTATATTTTTAGGTTCTGACAAAGAGAATGCAGGAAAACCAAGGAATGCCCGATGCAGGTTTAAGGAAACAAATGTTTTTTTATTGATTTTTGTTGAAGTTTGCTGGTTTTTGACCTTCACTGGTAAACATTGCCATGGTTTGTCATGTGTTTATAATTTTTTTATATAGGGCTGCTATACATGCAGAAGGTTTTCAAGAAAGACTAATGGAATTTGAGCATTTTGAAAGAAAGTTTGAGGTTAAGCAGACTTTCATTCTTGTGTTGCAGCTATAACATCTAAAGTTTTCCTTAAATTGCGGGGCTCAAACTCAATGTTTTGGTTTTTAGGAGTGCATTTCCAAGTCAGCGATTCAAACAAAATTTGAATCTCATGCAGTACAAGGAATGCAAACAACAAAATTTGTTCGAGAAATCATGGAGAAAATTGAAGCCAAGTCAAAGGTTGAAAGGTTAGACCATTTTTCTCATTCTCTCAAAGACCTTGTGTGTTTGACATTTAATGCCAAGAGGAATGTTTCAGTTTTTGCTTTTATTTAATGAATTTCCTTGCATGGATCTGCATATGTTATTGAGTGGCGATAGTAATTTTAGGCAGAAATGTATTGAAGCAAAATGTAGCTGGGAGGAACGACTGGCTATAATGAAAGACAAACTGGATGTAATCAGTCATGAGTTTAAGAATAAAATCAAGGAAATTAAAGAAGAAGTTGAGTTGCAGGTATAAAGTTAATTGAACCAAATTTAAAACATAAAAGTCATTCAAAACAACAGTTATCAAAGAACTTCATGAGTTTAACAGATTTACATTGTATCCATTCATTGTAGCTATACATACATTCTTCTGAAAAAATGCTAACACTTTTTTCTTGCTCTTGTTGGCATTTGATGGGAAGCTAATTTGGAAAATATAAATCTTTTCCTCATTCAATAAAGATTCTTATCTAAAGCGTGTAATTATACAATCTTTAACATGCTTTTACCTGCTTGTCCGATCAAGATGTCCGGTTGTATATTTAGCTAGTTTAACTAGGAAATCGTGATGACGTTTGAGAAATAAAACTGTATTCTTTATTTCAAGGTTGCCACAGCAATGAATGATGAAATAAAACGTTTAGGAATACTTGTAAATCAGTTTGATCATCCATTTCATACGCATTCTACTTTCATTGAAACTTACAAACGAGATCTGCACACTCATATTGCTAATGGCCTGGGAAGGAATCTTACGGCGCGATGTGGATTAGCTCTTTCCCAGTCCATTGATGAAACTAAACAATCAATGACTGGTAAGCAAAAGTTGACGTTACAATTCGTATTTTACGCCATGCTTTATGAAGTTCCATTTTACGTTACAGTTTTAACAATATAAATATCTTTGCAGATCAATTAGCTTCACTTTTACCACCAGAGCATCCTCATGAGGTGATGACTATGTCGGATTCCAGGTATTTATATGTATACTTGTGGATAACCTGGTATTGTAGAGAGCGCATGACTGCCGTCTAACTTGCAAGTTCCTTTAGTCATGTGTTCCATAAAAACTCCATGTAAATTTTTCCTACATGTAAATCTTTGTTCCTCCTGTGATTGTTGTAGGCATGAATTTGAAGTATCCTATCAACTTGATATTCCCAATATTTGCTCGGATTTCAAAGAGGATTTAGAGTTCCATTTCTCTCTCGGTTGGCGAACAATGTTAAGAAAGTTTTTGGCTCCATATAATAGACGATTGGCCATTCTTCTTGGTGCTGATGTAAGTATTTTACTCCGTTTGGATATTGAAAGTTTTTTACATGATGAATAAATTATTTCATAATTATCATTTACATTCTGTTTTGTAGTTACCAGTCGATAAACCGAGCAGTCCGTTTGCCCGTCAATTTAGAGGACATGAATTTCCTTCCACTTCTCATTCTGTTCAAGGGTATGGTGGTGCAATAAAATTGTTGTTTTGTAAATCTAAAATTGCCTCATAAGTTCACTTCTCTCTTTTAACTTCATTAATTGTTCTGTGAAAAAGTGTTGAAAATGCAACTTGTTGATGAATGTTTTGTTCTAATATCGTTGTATATGCTACTGTTGTCGAATTACTCATGTTAATATGTTTTTGTTATTGTTGTCAAAGTCTGCTTTTCATTCGTTCCCATTTCATATGGTAGATCATCTACGGAACTTGACGAAGGTGAAACGACGGCTTCTCGAAGTGACGAAGTGCTCAAGGACGATGAATTGACGTTGGCGGTTATTCGAAACATTGCTTCTTTAACATCACACAGCGCTACTGGTATTGTGGTTGTTGGAGGCCTGGTAAGGAGTGACTTCACGTGATTACGTGTAGAAAGAATATGAAAAATGCTTCAAGGAAAACTCTCAACGGCAGAAATTTTCCACGAGACTGTAATCTCATTTTCTCATTAAAAAAACAGTATGACTTTGAGGGGGTTTTTTGACTAATTTTTACAATACATTCTGTTAATGTTTGTTTTCTAAAACATAGGCCATAGTATTTAGACTGTTATAGCATAACTTTTTTTCATTCAGGTTTGGAAAGTTGTTGGTTGGAAACTGATTGTTGGGTGTGGTGGTTTGTATGGATCGTTATACGTTATTGAACGTTTACGATGGACAAATTATGCAAAGGAAAAGGCGTTTAAAAATCAGGTAACTTAGTGTGTAAAACCTCAATGAAATGTTCAGATAAACATGTTCAGTAAATATCTTCCAAAGTTGATCTCAAATGCTGGCCTTATATGAAATGACTGTTAGTGTTGATTCAACTTTTAGTTTGTTGAATACACGGCCAATCGTCTTCAGTTGGTTGTCAGTATGACAAGTTCAAATTGTAGTCAACAAGTTATGAGGTAAACGATTAAAAAGCTAGCAATATTTCTTTTTGAAAAATATGTATGGGAACAAGAAGTTTTCTGTTGTATTCATTTTCTCTTTCTTTTTAAAAGGGAACTTTCCTCCGCTTTTGTTCAATTGTGTGACAAAGTTGATGCAGCGAAGAAAAAAGTGGAAGACGAGATTTCAAAACTTAGTGAAGATATTACTGATTTGGAGAAAATTGAAAGTCAAGCGCGTCTATTTGGGTATGTGTTGTTAATACCTGGCAATTTATTTATTCTGCAATTACATCATAAAATTGAATTTAATTCTAAAATGAAAGTTTCTTTACCTGAAAAGTTTAGTTACAACATGTAGAACAAATTGACTACATCGACTAACATAGCTTCAGCAAACATGTGTAGAACTAGAAGACACAAATGAAGTGTATGAATAGGTTTATAAATCTTAGGGATCACGAAATTGAGATGTCAAGATAAAAATCCCTATAAAATTCTCCGGGTAATGATTCCCTTACCTATAAGCGTTCTCGTGATAAGTTGCACATGGCGACATTTCTTATGTTTATAGAAATAAAGCTCGATGGCTCGAGGATCAGTTGAGCAACTTCATTCGAGAGTTTGGTTTATCGCAAAGTAAAATGTGAAAAACATTGGTACCAGGTACAAAACTCGTTAACTCTTTAAATTTCTGGGAAGTGAACTGAAATATTATTTCACATAAATTTATCTTTAAGACTTGCCATTTCTGAATGTTTTTTTGCGGCCTCATCTCCAACATTTCCTTATAAAGTCATCAATTCAATTTACCTGTACAACAACACACATCGAAAAAACTGTATACCTTTACAAAAGCCACCAGCATTGAACTGTATATGTTACTGGAAGGCTGTCTTTAGAAACATTCTAGTACCTATACTTGCATGAACCCAAATATAATTTCCAGAGAAGCTTGTGACGTGTCTGCTGGTGTAAAGTTCTGCATTTTTGCTAGCTGTCATTATAAATGTTTTATTATGACCGTGCGTGGAAAGGTTAGGACTGACTAGTTAAATTGCCGGAAGTGAGGTATGTATTTTCTTCAAAAGCAATTCGTAAAACGATTATGTTATTGATTTTGGGCATTGAGGGAGTGTATTTCAACAATGATTTTAACTGCAACACGACCATGAATCATGAATTGGTCAGAGTTTCACACAACTGCAGGGTGTAGATGTAGAAAGATTGTTTTTTAAATGACCCAGCGTGGCTTTATTTATGATTTTAAAATGATAAGAATTCATGCAGCTATTCTTCATAGTTTATGTATCTTGTGATGATTGTATACTTCATGATGTTTATATACGTTGTTTTGATTAAATACCTTTTGATGGTTATTTACTTTATGATGGTTGTATACTTTTAGATGACTCACCCTTACTTTTAGATGACTCACTCTTACTTTTAAAAGACTCATCCTTACTTTTAGATGACTCACCCTTACTTTTAAAAGAGTCATCCTTACTTTTTGAAGACACACCCTAACTTTTAGATGACTCACCCTTACTTTTAGATGACTCACACTTACTTTTAGATAACTCACACTTACTTTTAGATGACTCACACTTACTTTTAGAAGACTCATCCTTACTTTTATATCACTTACCCTTTTAGATAAATGACCTGCAATTTTTATCAGTCACGCCTATTTTACATCACTCACCCTTACTTTTTGATCAGTCACGCCTATTTTACATCACTCAATTCTACTTTTAGATGATACACCCTTACTTTTACACCACTCACCTCTAATTAGTTATGGATGATTCACCCTTACTTTTAGAAGACTCCCCCTTACTTTTACACCACTCAACCTTACTTTTTGATGAGTCACTATTACTTTACACCACTCACCTTAACTTTTAGAGGACTCACCATTACTTTTAGATGACTCATCCTTAATTTTAGAAGACTCACCCTTACTTTAGAAGACTTACGTTAACTTTTACACTTCTTACTTTTACCTTTAGATTACACACACCACTCAAGCATACTTTTACACAATCCACCTTTACTTCTAGAAGAGTCACCCTTACTTTTAGAAGACTGACCCTTTTAGTGACTCAGAATGAATCACCCTTATTTGATCACTCACCTTTACATATAGAAAAGTGCCCTAACTTTTTGAAACTCACCTTTACTTTTTGATGACTCATGCTTACATGTAATCCTTACTTTTAGGTGACTCACCTTACTTTTAGAATACACATCTTTACTTTTAGAGTATTCACGATTACTTTTACACCACTCACCTTTTCTTTTAGAGGACTCTCCCTTACTTTCGTTAACTTAGAAGACTTACGTTAACTTTTACACTTCTTACCTTTACCTTTAGATTGTACTCACCACTCAACCATACTTTTACACAAATCACCTTTACTGTTAGAAGACTGACCATTACTTTTAGAAGACTGACCCTTTTAGATCACTCAGAATGACTCACCCCTATTTTAGATCACTCGCCTTTACATATAGAAAACTGCCCTTACTTTTATAAGACTTACCCTTACTTTTTGAAGACTCACCCTTATTTTTACACCAGTCACCCTTACTTTTAGAGGACACACCATTACTTTTAGAAGAGAAACCTTTCTTTTACACCACTCACCCCTAATTTTAGAGGACTCAACCTTGCTTTTCGAAGCCACACCATTACTTTTAGATGACTCTCCCTTACTTTTAAAGGAGTCGCCATTACTTTTACACCACTCACCTTTTCTTTTAGAGAACTCTCCCTCCCTTACTTATTTACTTAAACTTATTCACTTATTCACTTAAACTTATACACCTATATTTATTCACCTAAACTTATACACTTATACTTGTACTCTTATACTTGTACTTATACTTTGTATTTATATTCCAAATTTTCTCTAAGTCCAAATGAGAGCAAATTCCGCATATCTTCTTCGTTCGACCTGAACTCCATCTATTGTTTCACCACCAGACATTTCATCATCAGAACCTTCTCTGTCTTTTGTTTTCATGTCTTCATTTGATGCCATTTCTCAATAAAAAAACATGTAACATATTAAAAGTTTAAACATCTTTTCATAAACATTGAATAGTCATTCAACTTACCGGTAAAGAAGAAAATGAAAAAAATTCAACAAAAAAGCGATAAAAGTTCTGCACACAGCATCGAAATATAGCGGCACTAATTTGAATAGTGCCACGTAATAAAATTATTCATTTTTATAAATTTATTATTGTGAAAGGTTTTGTGTCGCAAGCGTACATTGAAAAAAGTTATCAGAAATTGATATAAATTCACAGTAAAGGTAAATATAATTTAATTTAAACAATACTAAGATATTAAAGTCGACGAAATGCATTGATTTTTTGTTTTAGAGGGAAGCGGTTTAATATATTTTCCTGATATTATTGAAATTGTCCACGATCATCATTGTTTTACGCTATATAAGTATTTGTATGTTTAGTTTGAGTAAAAAGTAAACTAAAATTGATATTTTCAACCTTGTTCGATATATTTTGAAAAAATGGCGAAATTTCATTATGGATATAGTATGCAAAAAATTTGCATAATGAAAATATGGCATTATGGATATAGTATGCAAAAAAATTTGCATAATGAAAATATTTATGGATAATCAAAACATAATAAATGAGGTAACCGATGAGGTAGCGTTTTTATTTTTCTTTAACTATAAATTTAGTGATTATTTGTTTATTTTTTAGAATGAGTAGAAGTCTACATATTCGATTTGATAATATCAATGTTGACGGATTTGAGATTATTGACGCTTGTCTACCATTATTTGAATATATAACGCAAGATGTGAAGAAAGTTGACGAAGGAAAGAAAAAGAAAATCAAAGCCTACTACAAACAACTACAAACATCATTCAATAAAGTTTGTAAAGGAAACAACATCATATCGTTGAATAGTGTTTTCGAGTATTTTGAAGGTGAAAACATACCTATAACATTATACGAAAAACATCATTACGCGCAATGTGAGAGATTAGGGGTTGCTAAAGCATATAAAGATTCATTACATCCAACTATACAACTTGTTATGATGCATGATAAGATGATCGATGCGAAGAATCGGAATGCTTCTTTGCTTGATTTCTTTTTAATGACGCACATGTACTTATACAAAATTCGGTGCAAACTTATTCATAATAAGCGGATACGAACACTTGAACGTATATTTTTACGATGTGTGGGTGTTAGGTATTTGCTTCAGCACGATTCAAGGTTCTATCAAGCATTAATATTTTTTCGGGATCAATTATATGAAAATACATTTTTCCAAAATGTATTTGAAGATTTTGGTGACATTCCCAAAGACTTTAATGTACATATGTGGTATATTCGGTAGAAGATGGGGGCTCGTTTTCAATGATTGTCGCTTCGCTATTATTTATCTCTTCGTATGTGTTACTACTTGGTGCTTCTAACCCGGGTGTAGTTATAGACCCGCTTTCAATATTTACCGTTTCAAGCATAGCAGATTGTAATTCTGTTTGGTTTTCGTTATTGAAGACAGATGTAACCTCTCCTTCAGTATTTTCAAGTGAAGGCATACCCATGCTCACTTCTTCAATAGGTTCGAATAAATTTGGGGGTGGGGCTATAGCCATAGGCTCTTCACCTATAGATTCTGTGTTTTGTTCTTCCCGCTCCTTATCCATTGTTTCATCATCTTCGCTACTACTATCAGGAACAACATCTTGTTGTAGTGTTTCGATAGGTGTATTTTGTTTTCTATTTCTACGTCGATACGGTCGTTGTCTTTCTAATGTTTGGGTTGTGTCTGTATGTTGTAACGGCGCCATAACTACGGTTGGAATTGTGTCTGTAAATGTTTCATGTTGTAAAGATATGGAGTCCTCACATGTCACATCTATGGCAGTCATTTCATGTAAATTACTTTTTTGTAATCTAATTTTTAGCCTGTTATTAGTATCGATAACATCCTCAATCCAATTTTTATTAAATTCGTCAAATATATGTACATTAAAGTCTTTGGGAATGTCACCAAAATCTTCAAATACATTTTGGAAAAATGTATTTTCATATAATTGATCCCGAAAAAATATTAATGCTTGATAGAACCTTGAATCGTGCTGAAGCAAATAGCTAACACCCACACATCGTAAAAATATACGTTCAAGTGTTCGTATCCGCTTATTATGAATAAGTTTGCACCGAATTTTGTATAAGTACATGTGCGTCATTAAAAAGAAATCAAGCAAAGAAGCATTCCGATTCTTCGCATCGATCATCTTATCATGCATCAAAACAAGTTGTATAGTTGGATGTAATGAATCTTTATATGCTTTGATTATATTCGCTGTTTTTGTTAAATACCTTTTGATGGTTTTTTACTTCAGGATGGTTGTATACGTTATGATGATTATATACGCTGTTTTTGTTAAAAACCTTTCGATGGTTATTTACTTCATGATGGTTGTATACTTTATGATGTTTATATACGCTGTTTTTGTTAAAAACCTTTCGGTGGTTATTTACTTTATGATGGTAGTATACTTTATGATGATTATATACCTTTTGATGGTTTTATACTTCATGATGGTTGTATACTTTATGATGGTTGTATATTTTATGATAATTATATACCTTTTGATGGTTTTATACTTCATGGTGGTTGTATACTTTATGATGTTTATATACGCTGTTTTGGTTAAATACCTTTCGATGGTTATTTACTTCATGATGGTTGTATACTTTATGATGATTATATACCTTTTGATGGTTTTATACTTCATGATGGTTGTATACTTTATGATGTTTATATACGCTGTTTTTGTTAAAAACCTTTCGATGGTTATTTACTTTATGATGGTTGTATACTTTATGATGATTATATACCTTTCGATGGTTGTATACGTTATAATGATTATATACCTTTTGATTGTTTTATACTTCATGATGGTTGTATACTTTATTATGTTTGTGTACGCTGTTTTGGTTAAATATTTTTCGATGGTTATATACTTTATGATGGTTGTATATTTTATGATAATTATATACCTTTTGATGGTTTTATACTTCATGATGGTTCTATACTTTATGATGTTTATATACGCTGTTTTTGTTAAAAACCTTTCGATGGTTATTTACTTTATGATGGTTGTATACTTAATGATGTTTATATACGCTGTTTTTGTTGAAAACCTTTCGCTGGTTGTATACTTTATGATGAGTGTATACTTTATGATGAGTGTATACTATATGATGGTTATATACTTCATGATGGTTATACACTTTATGATATTTATGTACGCTGTTTTGGTTAAATACCTTTCGATGGTTGTATACGTTATGATGATTATATACTTTATGATGGTTGTATACTTTATGAACTTTATATACGCTGTTTTGTTTAAATACTTTTCGATGGTTTTATACTTCATTATGATTGTCTACTTAATGATGGTTGTATACTTTGTGATAGGATTGATTATAAACTTAATGAAAATAGTATTTATTTCCTTGTGCATTTCATAAAATAACTATGTATTTTTGCTATGTATTTTACAAACGATAAGTAGATTCAATAGGATGTGATATGTTTTTCAATATTCGTCGTCTGTTGTGTCGTGATATTCCCTAGAACTAACTTCTTTCTTTGACAATCCAAAATCGTCTTCGACTTGTTTTAATTTTCCATCATGTACAACATATATGTTCCGAGTGCTCCATCCTTCTCTCGCTTTCAAGGAATTACCTCCCAGATGAAAGGTATCCACTGTACTACCAATTTCTTTCCACTTTTGCGTCGTTTTCTGTACGACGTTTGAGCCTGACGAACTGCCTTCTAAAATAATACATTGTACACAACAGTTTATATTTCAAAGATGACCTTTCCGATGTCGACATTCATTAAATCTGTGTTAGTCATCAACAATTTTTGTAATTGAATTTGAATTTAGTAGAACCTGTAAAACTTTTTGATGGCATAGATTGTAAAAAAGTTTAGTAAATTAGTTAAAAAATGACTTATAAGGATCGTTACACATTCAAACTATATGACTTTGTGACTTGTGTAAACGATTTTGCAGACGATTTTATTTATTCAAACTAGAATGAAAAATAACATCAAAAGATATGTCATACCATCATTTGAACCAAGTTCTTCACCGCTTTCACTCGTTTGACCTGCTTCTAAATGGATTGAATCATCATCAGTCGTAAGAATCTTCGTAAGCTGGTATGGTCTGCTTGGCCTTGAATTTACAATCCTCGAAGACAAAGTTCTTGTTCCTGCTGAAAGGGAACGGTCTGTGACTGACGTTGTTAAATATGTCGTTTTTATTGTCGTTGGTTTCTTTTTTGAAGCCAGAAATGTCGTTAGGTTTGTGTGGGTCGTTGCTCTTGAGGTAGAGTGTTCAGTTGATGAAGGTGAATGCTTTCTCGCCAGTGTTGGATTAATCTTTTCCAAAATCTCGTAATTCGTCTTTAAAGTCAAGTAAACTCTAGAAGTTGGTAATTGTAAAGGAGTAGTTTCTTCGGATTCGCCACTTGATTCCTGATCTGTAAAATGGATTGGTCTCGCAAGGTGAATTGTGTCTTCTACATTTCGTTCTTCATTTTCTTCCGGTGTTGTATTCATATGCTCCCCACTTGATCCCGATGAGTCCTCGTCATCTTGACCTGATCCATTATCATCCATGGTTAACATGACAGACTTGTCGGTATTTATTTTTTCCTTCACATGATTTTTGCTTTCCGTTGATGTTGGTTTTCTCTCAACATCCAGTTCAATAGTTTGACTTTTACCTGAAAATTCATCCTTTAATGATCTCTCTTGTCCCTCTCCGGACCAAGTTGATCCTGCTTCAATGTCAGAGACTTCATCCTTTAATGCTTTCTCTTGTCCCTCTCCGGACCAAGTTGATCCTGCTTCAATGTCAGAGACTTCATCCATTAATGCTCTTTCTTGTCCCTCTCCGGACCTTGTTGATCCTGATCCAATGTCAGAGTCGATGTTAATGAACTGAGAAATTGACATTTTTCTGTTTGTGTCAGCGGTTGCAGGAATGCCAACTTTCACCGGACACGGTTGATCATCGCAAAATACGACTCCATTGTGACATACACTAGTTTGTGAGAGACTACGTTTGAATGTTCGTTTAATGAAGCTGGGATAACTAAAATTATATGTGTCATACCAAGTATTGCAATCGCTTTGGAATTTCTCTTCGTGAACATATAGTTTTCCTTTTCGTGAGCAATCTAAACTTTACAGACATTGCTTGTAACTTCCATCAAACTTAAAAAAATGTTGTACAAATAACGATCACTTACTCGCTTCATTCGACAAAATGTACGTTTTCTTAATTTCTTTCTTTCCTTCAGTTGATGGCTCTGTAAAAAACATAGATTATACAACACCATAAGAAAATAGTCATGGATATCAGTGGTAAAGAAGGACATGTTGCAGTGTCAAGGTATTGATCCTAGGATACTGTAATTATCATAATCATAGTAGTTGTAAAGATAGGGGGGAGTGTTCATCAACCATGAACGGCATCTCACCCAAGTTATTTTCTGTGACACACTCTCCTCTGTTAGGAATATTTGACTGAATGTCACCATGAATTTTAATAATACAGACATAGTTGGTTGGACAACGTAACGGTTGTAGTCCGTCCACAACAGTGGTACTGCATGGCTCTCCTGTAAAAATGACACGACAGTATAATTTCCAGTAAACAACTACATGCTTTTGGTACATGTTGAAAGTGGTTTCTGATTCTTGATTTTAAAAAAATTGATGAAGAGTTTAAACGACATTCCATTAAATTTGGACATTTATTTTTTCAACATTACCAGTTGATTCTCGATTTCTCTCTTTTGACTTGTCCAAACCATCTGTAAATCATAAGTTGTCAACATCCAAGGTTCACACCTCTCATTTAATGAAAGTAAGGAGAATGAAAGACACTTTACCTAAGACCTTATGTAATGAAGGCAAGTTGGTCCAGTCCACTACTGTTTAAGAGAAAAACAACCTTTAATTTTCATTACTCAATCAAAGCTTCAAAATTGTATCAAACCTCTTCTAGGAAACCATGGTTCTTTACACATACGTGAACAACCATTTGTGCAGCATTTGTAGTCGTCATGGCAATCACCATCGTTTTTGCATTCATTTGTACAATTTTGTGTGTTTCTTGTTTGATTCCATTTTGATGGTGGACACTGTCCGTCTAGGAACTTTTCAACTTTTTTCTCTTTTGAAATCTGCATGTAGAAAAATTTGCATGTATTTGAGCAGTTGAAAAACATGACAGGGAATATGTACTTCCTTATCACTTCTTCCATTGTAATTCTCTGCAATCAAAGACAAAATTTCTCACTGTATGTGGAATGAGAATACAATATTACGACTTTTAACCGACTGCAAACATAGATCGCAGGGAAACGGCTTTTAATGATGCATTTTGATTTTCATCAATGATCAATCCATGGTTGTAAACTTTTGAAGAAGCACGTGGTACGATATCGTGCTTTATCAGTAAAAGTTAATGACAAATGACTTACATTTATCAGGAAAAAATTGCATTACAATGTAGATTTCAATTTCCAAAACGTAATGACGTTCAATCACCTGTAAATTTTCATGAAGAAAACGCAATTATTTTTGCAAAAAAAACATTGATCAGATTCACTTTATCGTCCCGTGCTAAACTCCGTAAATTTTTATTTCATATCAAGTCGTATGACGTGCGTAATATACGTTGCTGTGTTATGTTTCTTTAATTGAGATCATTCTTCAATTGCTTTATCAATTCAGGATGGGCAAACTTCCAATGCGGCGACAAATTACCTTATACGTGACGTCACATTTGAATTTGATTTGCTTTTATCATGATGTAGGTTGATGGAAGAGGCGATAATAATGACCTTTTTAAGTTTTATCGTTCCACAACATGACATATATGGCGACAGTAGACAGTTTATCATAGACATATTTGTCAGTACTTTCTCATAGTCTACTTACCTTAAAAACGCACATGCGTACAGTAACAAATATTTGCCTCCTTACACATTTTAGGACGTATTACATGTGTTAAGTTGTTCGTAGATTTTGAAATGGCCGGTATGTTCGTAGTTTATGTATAGAACGTTAACTTTTTTGCTTTTCTGACTAAAAATTATAATCTAAATTTATTCGTCAGTTTCGCACACTAGAGTTAGGCAAGCTGTTACTTCTCAAATGTTTCTTAACTATGTTCAAACATCGACTTATATTTTCACCCATGACACTTAGTGAAAATAGTCGTTTTTCTCTGACGTGCGTTCAATTGATAGTTCGAATTTTTATTTTTGTTTTTCTTACATCACATCATAGATCATGGGTGCTTTCAATGTTTGGCAACGTTGAATTGTTCTCAACAGTATATCCTATGAAGCATTTTGACTGTTTATTATATGCTGACATACGGTCCCTCAGTAAATATAAATCTCTCTTTAAATCTTTGCACATTTACATACCAAAATGTCACCTACCGATCTACTGTCTAAATGATCGTCTGTATTGCTACGTCGTATTTGATCGTCATTTAAGCTTCTTTGCCTGGCGCCAGGCAGTAATACAAACAGTAAAACCATAACAAGACACTGACTAGCGTATAGCAAGCTCATCACCATAACTTGAACAGTGGAATGTGGAAACGCGCAAGTTTAGTCGATGATTATTTTCTTATCGAATGTTATCGGAATTAGATTTTATTAAAAATTTTTAGCTCACGTCTCCTCAGCAGAAAGTACGCATGTTGGATGCCGGACGTTGTTCATTTGCTTATAATGAAACAACATACGCGTCAAATGATATTGTTTTTATCATGTTATTCATCACTTCAATTAATTTGCATTTTGCACGCGAGCACTACACGGCTTTTCTCAGCCAATTGATTTTAGGATAGAAATTCTTTCTTGAAAAATGCCGACAGTTCACTCGGCAGTTCAAGTGTGCGCAATTGAGTTGAGTCATTACTAAAAAATGCCTCGCGTTAGTAAAATATTTTGGAGATCCTTGTCTCTTTCTGAAATAAGTTGATTCGTGAATGATTTGTTGAATGAAAAGCGATGAGATATTTTGAAAACTCTAAGTGAAAGCTAACCAAGCAATTCGTGCAATACACGATGCTATTGCTAAGTATTATTTCAAACTTTATAACCCATGATATGATGACAGACAGTGGACACTGAAGTAAAGTGTGGTGAACATTACTAATGTGTGGTTTAGGACTAGAGACATGAAGTAGGGAAAATAATGTTCTTAAAGTGTAACTGCGGGCTCAATAGCTGCGTGCGCAGCATCTTCGTAAGCATCTCATTTTATCGAAAAAAAATTGTGTAAATGAAAATTATTTTTTTGGCTATGGAAAATGACTTTTCAAGATACGAATAAGCAAAGGGTTCTCCGAGCTGACCAGGTATATCGAAACATAAATTATTGTTAACCATATATTTCATAGCTATTTTTGATTTTCAACAATCTGTTAACGTCTGACTTTTTGATATTTTTTTAGCTTGACGTCATTTCATATGATGAATATATTCTTTCCATATTTAAATCTGATTTAACTAAATGTTTTAAATATTTCCAGGTAAGTCAAAATGTACGACTATTGCTTACAAATTGCCTTCAGTTTTGATAATTCAGGTAATTGCTTTATGTCACCTGCTTGCTTGAGTAAGAATTTCCACAAACATCAAACATGGTTATCCTGGTAAATATACAAGAACTTTAGTGTTGCCCAGTAACACCAGACTCATCAGTCAATTGCTATAGTATGAGCTATTCTATTATCATCTCAAGACTTTATTTATTTATGGCTTGTTTGTGATCTAAGTAACCATTTTAATGAGACCGCAAAGTGAACAGATTGTAAACTTTGCTCCCAAGCATGCATAAAAGCCTAGTTTCTTTAAATTGCCCACCCAAGATCTAAGGTTCACAATACAAACTTTTCAGTCTGGATGAGATGGTACTTTTTCTGTTCCGGTCATTAAACAGTTAAAATGTTCACTTGTTAAGTTTGCAATGATTAAATTAATAATACATGATTATTATTGCAATATACCTTTACTTTAATGCATGAAAGTTTACAAATATGTGAAGTTTAACTTGGGAAGAACTACTTTGTAAATAAATTAATTTGTCCAATGTCAATCTCATCAATAATATTCCTCAGGTTTTAGGGAAGTAATTTTAAATAATTATAAGTTGTTATTCACGATTTAGGCAGGTCTTCTTACAAGGTTTGATCCTGAGCTAAAAGCTATTTTAAGAATCATTATTTGGAAGGTATATAAAATTCGAATGTTTGAAGTCAATCTTTGTATTTTCACTTCAATTATTTATAATTTTCATTTGTTTAGTATTCTGTTTTATTAAGTGATGCAACTCTCTCCCAGAAAATGCTTGATATTTTGTACAAAACATCCAAAAACAATGGTAAGCTCAGCTTGAACATGTAAAAGATATAAGTTTGTTTTTTATTGCTTTGTTTATGTCATATTTTATGCATCTCATGATTTCAGGCATTCTTACCACCAAACGTAAGGCGATTTTTGGACTTGGATTAATTGGAGTTGCTTGGTTATCTGAGAGATCTTATGACCTGAAACACACTTTAATGAACTTTGGATTCAATGTGAACAAGGTTGCTTTTATTAAGCTTTTTTTTCATGGAGAGTTGATTTCCTTCACCGATAGATTGTATATCAAATATGGTGAAATCATTGGTTTTATTAAGAAACTAGTCACACATTTAAGTTGCACCTATATGTTTCCTTGATATTTTAGATTTGGAAAATGATAAACTTTCTCACAATTGTGCATAAAATCTTGGAGCTAGTGAATTTCATTGTGTTTTTACGAGATGCTAGGTTAGCATGTTTTATTCAAGTTTTGTAAAATTTGCTGTCATATCATTGGACAAGGTTTTCATTTGTAGGTATCGTTCTGTTTGGGATCGCATTTTGGGCATTTATTCAGTTTTTTCTCGCAAACAAGCACCAAGAGTGGTATATTGTTATGTTGTATTAAATTTTGTTTATTGAATGTTTAATCTAGTTATGCCCTTTTTAGGTGTATTTTGAGTATATGAACGAAGACATTTTACGGAGTGGACTGGCAGTAAGACTTCATGAAATAAATTTCATAAATAGTTACGATCAAACTCCATTCACCTCAAGCATTTTTATCTTCTTTTACAAAGATCCCAAATTGCAGTTTGGTCATACACAATATCAATCAGATCTCATAATCAATCCAAACTTATTGCTACCTAACCTCATCTTATCCCTACATTTGCAGTTCATAATTTGTAACTCGTTTATCACTGAACATTGTCAAACTATTCTGCAAACCACAGATTACCTAAATCTATTCATTATCTTTGATTTCCCATGTGACTGACAGTCCAACTATTTTAGCTCTTTAATAAAATACACTTCATGTTCTCGTTGGCAATTAAACTTGTTTGATACACAATCATCTGATTGTGTATTTCCAGGAATTGCTGTTCTGTGTCTTGCCAATGGTTAATATTCCTCGATTACGAAATATTCTTTTACGATTGATGTGGAAGAAATCATCTGCAATAAATGATGGAAAAACTGTATCAAATTTTGAGTGTGGAATTTGTGGTGATTTACCGACTAATGTTCACCAGACAGATTGCGGGCACATTTTTTGTTACACGTGTATTAAGGCAAGTAATGATGATGTCGAAGAGATCAATTTTGTTTTCATGATATTGTTCATGTTAAATATGTGTTGTCTTTGAGAGAAACTTTCGCTTTATGATCACATACACACACAACATGTTAACGTTCAATGCTTCAATTAATATACTTTTGGCAAAATAGTTTTTTATACATAGTTACCGCTTTATTAGTTTTCTTCACTAACTTAAAAGAATGCGTGAGATAATCTTCTTAATCTTTCATTAGCAGTCCCAAATATAAAAATTCCTTTAAATTAGATTTTTTAGGAAAAACTCCTGTTGAAAATTAAAAATTTTTAGTTTTTTCTCTGTGTTCTTTTTTCATCAGGCTAATTTGATGGCAGATCCCTCATTTTTTTGTCCACTTTGTGGCGAAGCAATCCACGATGTGGAGCCAGCCTCAGCTTGAGGACAAGGTAAACATGAATGATAAAAAATGTACATTTAAAAAATATTTTTGCATTTTTTTGTGCGTTTTTTTGCGCTCTGCTGTTATGTAAATTTTTATGTGTTCACTGACAGCAAAAACAACAGATTTCTAAAGAAATGAGTAATGGTAATGATGGGAAATTTACACAGCACGACTTAAACTTGCGGACAAACTTCGCTGTCAACTTTCAGTCATGAGCATGCGCAGTCTGCTAGACCAATTGTTTGACAAATTAGTCATGACAATGACCAACTGCATGAATTTGCTCTGGAGAAACTGGCTGACTTCGGTGCGGATTACATGAGCCCGGTAGCCGAGATTCAGCCAAGCGTTAAATGATTTTGGCAAATGGAAATGATTCAATACTTATCATCAGATAAATCTTCTCAAGCAAATTCACAATATTCTGATTAAATAATTTCTCAAACATTTAAAATTGAAACAACCGATTTGCCATAATTTGAGAATTTAAACCGGAGTGACGTGTGGTGCTTCGCAAACAGTTGCAATTTTTAACGTTGAAGTTTTGGCTCCTTTCAATCCCTTCAAATCATCGGGCTAGCTCGCTATCTATAATCAGGCCCTTAGTCACATATTTTAAAGATATCATTTGCGCATGTGTAGTTATCTTGACCAACTGTCCGAGTTCTTGACTTCATGGTCATGTCAACGACCAACTGTATTCATAAGCACCGATATTGGAGTAAATAGCGCGCTCAGTCACAAATTATTACAAGAATATCTGCGCATGTGTGGGTATATTGTTTTTGTACCGTCAAAAATATCCATTATTAAAAAATTCATTATTAAAAAATTCATTATAAAATCCTTATCATCAGTGGAGGATCCCTCTTCTCCCCAACCCTTACTCGGTTAATACCCAATTAAAGACATGAAAGAAGTCACGCTCTATACATCTACCATTTTGATTAAATATTTTCCCCTCGTCATTAAGGGTAAGATGGATTTTCCTTAGTGACAACGGTAAGCTCATTTAGTTGAACTCGACCAGTATTTATTTTTTGTTTTGATATATTTTCGATAATCTGTAATGCGGAGTTGATACACTGGAAAAACTGAGATAAACTAGATGCATAAGCTGAGCTTTCTAATCTGGATTATTGCTGAACTGTTGTTTTCTTCACTTAAAATGATATGAACTGACGTCGAAAAGTCTCGTCTCTTATCGTTTCCATTTTATCTTTATAATTTGTATGATAATATCGTTAAATTTCTTTTTCTATCGGCCTTCATATCATACGCATTATTTAAATTCCTGTAACAATAATGTTTACGCAAACGTTAAATGCATTGCATCCAAATATGACGAAGATGAAAAAGAATCTTTTTATCAATCTTCATGTGTTTTTCAATGTTCAATGATAAAAACATCTGCGTTTGGCTTCCTGTCGCCTAGCGATCGATTAAATGTTATTGATTCACAACTAGATTTTTCAACGTTGATTTTGAAAAAGCGATGAATCAAGATTGTTTGCCAAATGGAGAAAATTTATTTCGTGCGTCTTGGAGTGATTTTATGTTTCTAATGATCTTTGTTTTGCTTGTGAAAAATAAATAATTGTAATTATAGTCAATAAATGTTTTGCGCATTTTAGTTGGGTTTTTTCTAAACATAATGACTATTGCTTCTTCAAGTGGAAGCAGATTGCCACAATAAAACCATTATGTAGTTAAAATTGATAAATAATTAGTGAGTACCTTTCAAAACACTGACATGCAATGATAGTAGCTATGATTGAATTGCCATGGCATTGACAAAAACAGTTATTGAATTTTAAAGCTGATTTTTTAGCAATACATCGCCTTTTGTCGAAATTCTTTTTATTTTTCCCAACATTTGTTATCATCTTAAGTTTGTCAGATTAAATGTAACCGGTTTTGCCTTTGCAACACCCAAGAACGAGATGAGTTACGACTTCTGTATGAAAACCAGTCTTCATACTGTTCCTCATATCAAAAAACAACTAGAAAAAGCACACATAAAATCTTGGCGTCACCGTCACCTGTAGTGTTCTTGTAAAGTAAATTTTACAGGTTTTCCCAAGTGAAATGATTTTATCTTTGTTTTCTTAGTTTAACTTAGCTAATGTAAATTTTAAAATAATTGTTTCAAAGACGGACGTTTTTTATTGTCAGCGAAGTATAATTTTGAATTGCTTCCCAAGATATCTTGGCTTGACCTGTATTTGTGATTATTCCATTTTTAGGTTTGATATTTATTTAGTTTTAATGTAAACATGATTTATGATTTTGTTGCTGAAACTTAATACAGCCACATTGTGCTCTATTACTTAAAGTCGTTGGGTGGTTATGAAAACAAAACCGACTTCTTCGCACTAATGAACTTACCAGATTAGTGGCCCCAAATGAAAAATAACTAATTTGCTGTTTCTAATATGGGTAAAATTCACGAAATATCTCGTGTTTTGCGCAAGCTGATAGATTTGCGTGATTTTTGCGTTTCGTGCGTTAAGATGCGCTATCTCCCGCGTCGGCGTGTTGTGTTTTGACTCCAAACATTCCATGACAGATTATTACGCGCCTTTCGATGCTTCTCAGATCAAAGGCAATCGTCTATGATTAATTGCTTGTCATTAGCATAAATTGCGTTTTCGCGCTTACACATCGATTTCAACGTCGTTGGCGTTTACAGAAGACGCTTGTACGTGGCAAGCGAAAAGGAAATTTAGTTTGTGTCCTCTGGCCTCTCCGTGTAACATAAGAAGTATACATAGTGCGCAAAATATGTAAATATGGTAAGATGTTAATTCCGGCTATTATAGCCGAGAAGTATGAGTCTCAATGCTGAAAATGTTTAGAGGAACTTACAGCAAGCGTTAAAAAAATTATCTCTACCTGTAGGGGCTCTAAAGTGTGATAAATGACATTTTTACAGTTAAATTTTTATTTAGATGCTACGTGTTACAGGCTTAATTTACAAAATGATTTCGATATGATTTGGACCTTTCTTGATCGCTACTCATTTTCGGATAATTCTCGAAAAGTTTGTCGTTTGCCACTATTGTTTCATTGAAAATAATCGACGACTGTCTTTTTTTTGACGTTGAAAACGGTCGAAGCTAAGATTAAGCTACATATTTGCCAGGTTTTTCAACAGAATTTTCCCTATCGTATCTTATATTGATGTTCACATTTACTACCTGTGACGTTTTCTCAGTGATCATAAGTTAATCTCAGTTGCGGGGGTCTTGTATAGTTAATCTCTGGGAACACATTGACTTGTGATGCTCTTCTCTGATTGCTATTTTTATAGGACATTGTTGTTCGTTGGACAGTTGTAGGCCACGGAACTTTATGTCTTAGTTTATTTAATATTGCTATATGAAACGGAAGCACAGAGATATTTTGATAAAATACATAACAGTGGTCACTCCATTGATATAGGTCACGGCTAAATAGCTATGGTAAGCAAATTCAAAAATCAAACAGGGAATCAAAACAGTGTTGACATTCTTCCTAACGGACATAACATTTCACCAATTCTTGGGTTTGAAAATCTGATGTGGTCATTTGTGATGGAAGGATGTTTTCGTTATCTTTTTGAAGGGAACTTTTTGTTCCTATATATAAAGCTTGCTGCCTTGCTGACTGTTTCTATCACAAGAAAAAGTGTCTTTGTCGTTGTCAGCAATTTGCTGTAAGAATTCTATCTCACCCCCTGTCGATCTCGTCACCTAGGTGTTCTTACTTGACTAAACTATAATGTCGCCTTGATTGGCTTCTAATTGTTAGATACATTGCACTCCAAAACCTGACATTAGAAAGAATAAAACAGATTACTGTTACTCTCTATAGGCTGTAATACTTTAGTTACTGAAAAGGCATTGCCTTTTAACCATTTTTATAAAACCTGACGTCCAACATAATACTTTCTTATCTCTGACGACTGTAGGGATCTTTCTAGATAACATGTGGTTTGAGAATAATAAGAAGTATGGCGAAGACTTTCGATGTCAACCAATTTAACGGTGCTGTGATGATAACAGACAGATTTCGTAACTCTTGTTACTATGATTGTGGACAACATGTAGCTGAATGTCTACCAAGACAATCCAATGGAAGAGATTGCATACACTTCAAGTGTACTGAAACTGAACGTCAGAAAAAAGAAGTGCAAAATGCTATTGAAAATATTGAGAACGTTTGTCATAACAGGTCAGACGTTGATAATACGTCCTTGTCCACCGCCAATATAAATATTTTTACTAACCAACTATTCTCAGTGGTCCAACATACCAACGCAAAAATATTGGGAATTGTTTCCTACCGTCAAAATCAATGGGGAATAAAGCATAACCTTATTAGTCGAAGTTTCAACGGAGCAATGGAGAAGTGTGAAAAAATAAATGATAACAATCATGAATGGAAATGTCGTCAAGATGATGCGTTCACAAGAAGTTTTGGGGAAAACTTTGATCGTGTGAGTTCACTCACAAATATGCACCCATCATTATCAAAGGATGGAAGAGACACGTTTCTAACCATTTCCGATCTCAGAAGAGATTGTGTTGGTTATCAGACACAAATTGCTGAATCAACTTCTTGCCAAATGGATTCAGAAACGAGAAAATCAGATTCAAATGCTCATTGTCACATGGCTTTATTAGATTGTCAAGCAAACTTAAAATCTTGTCAAGTAACGTTACAACCTGTTGACGATCGACTTTTAAAAGTTGATAATTTGCCTCTCAAACTTGTTTCCTCTGCTTCACAAGCTCATGAATCAAATTTCAAACGTACCAATTCATGTTCGCAGACAGATATGAACACAATGACTACAGGTGTACCTTGTGAACGCAGTTTATCTAATGCAAAAGATTCAGTCATTGAGGATGGTATCTACTGTCGCATATGCCACAGTAAAACAGATGTTGATGACTTAGTCAGCCCATGTTTATGTACTGGCTCATTGAAGTTCGTTCACGAGACGTGTTTGTTAAACTGGTTTAAAAGCTCCATCAAAACTAAATGCGAGCTGTGTTTACATGAAGTACCAATAAAAAAGATGTTGAAACCATATAGTGAGGTATAAACGGAAAAATGAAACCATTCTTGACAATTAAAGATTCAATTATTTAAACTATCTATATTTTTGTACTTATTGTACATGAATTTTTTTTGCCACTTATCTATTACTCAAAGTGTAATATTTTTAAGTGTATAGCTGATTTTATTGTATTTTGACATCATTGTATGACAATATTTAAGTTGATATTGACTTTGCCATACATCTTATATTGTGTTCTGTCGTTTTAGTGGCGCCTGCTTGAAGAGAAACCTGTTCCATTGATCTGGTTCATGTCGTTTTTCATTCTACTGACTCTAAACATGCTTTCCGTGATAAAAGACGCATCTCGTGGTTGTACTTCTACCGCCTGTACTGTGTTCTACGTCCTTGGCTGCACTGGCTCAATTTTGGGTGTAATTTTCTTATGGTTTTGGGCTAAGAAAAGTGTCTTGTATTTTAAACGGCTACTGACATTGAATCAAGTGTGGAAAATAGACTGTAAAACGAATGATATACCTAAATCTATATCTGTAGACTGTTGTAAAACTTAAGAGTAATAAAACCAGCATTGTCAAAACTTTGGTACCAACTTTGGTACAAACCTTGGGGGATGACGGACTATTGTGCCTCACATAAAGGGTGTGGCTGTAGATTTGCTCGAAAAATTTTGAAAATACTAAAATATACAAGTTGTTAGGAACAAGATAAACAACCAATAATAAACAAACATTGGATGAATTAAGTCAATGTTATCTGCCCAAGCGAAGCTGAAGCAAAGCATTTCGTGACGGATTCCTACGACTTACGACTAATTTCTATAAAACATTTGCATATGAAAATTATACAATTGAGTGAAATAGATGCAGTCTATACTTTCTGAACAGTACCCAACATACTGATGTTTTGTTTACGGTAGCCAAGGGAAACATTGTGTTTTGCGCCCAAGGAAGGCTGTTGTATATTGCCCATGAAAAACAGGCCATGGCTTTGAGGCCGAAAAACACACTGTTTTCTTTGGATCAAATAAATGCTTCATGCTGTAAAAATAGGTAAAGAAAAGGCAAAGAGTTAGTAAAATGAAATTTTGCTTCATTAGCTAGTTGTTTTTTTATTGATAATATAAAATTTTTATCTGCTCCATTAACGCTATATTAACGTTGGTTTTAGCAAACATTTCTACTTTTGTTTCTATAAATAGGATACCAAACATGAAATCCCTAAAAACTCGCTCCCTTTTTAAAAGAAAGCCTTTTCACGTGATGAAGGGCAAGATTTTTGTTTGATTTTTCGAAAAAAATATTTTGGATTTCAAATTTTTATGTTTATGTAACGGTGTTTATCTCGCCTATCGTTTTTATTATATTTCTTAAATTACGTTTATAAACCTTACAGTCCATTTATTCTAATCAGAAATATTGTTCAACAGTCATGACATAAATTCTCATAGATCATTTTAAGTAAATACAAGTAACTATTTCTTCATAATAACTAGGACACAATAAATTTCACACTGAACGAACTAATAATAACGTTTATAATTATACGAGATACAAACATACTGGATAAGTAAGTTTAATGTGGAGAATTTACTATTTTTGTAGAAGTACTGCATCCTACCTGATGTACTTTTGGTAAACTATGAAACAATATAACATTTTGATAGTATTGCCTTGAATATATCGTGCTGTACATCAAATTTTATTTTTGTTTCATCATTAAAAATTCACCCCATAAGTTCCTGTAATTTACCCTACGAGACCATGAAGATTGGGGGTGTATCATCTGCCATACCTCTCCCCAAAACTTTCGGCCACGAAAACCAGTACGCTATCTTTGTAAAACTGTTGTATGACGTAGTTGTAAAAGTTTTCTGCCATCTAAAACTCGCGATTATTTTTTATGTTCTTTGACTATTTAGGTTGTGTTATGTGGGTATTGATTAATCTAACGATACACACTCCACTTTGCCCATCGTCATACCTGTAAATCTATGGTTGTAGTTGTATATGGTCGTCAATGATGCTAATGAAGGTCATGTTCAATGTAAAGGTCATGCTCATACATAAATTCATGACGAACCACGTGGTCGCAGAGATGCAAACCTGCAATCTCGAGATTTTGGTTGCATCATGGCGGACAGAGTGAAGGAGTTTGCTGGCCGCATGGGCAATGCTCCTAAAGGAGTTTCACTAGGATTTAAGCTGTTAGCTGGAGCAGCCGTTTTAGGATATAGTATTAAAGAATCTCTTTACACGGGTAAGCCATATTTAAGTAAAAATTTCTACTCGAATACATCTATATTTCTTTTAGATATTTCAACACATTTTAAACAAGTTTTATATGACAATACAAGCGATAATGTTTTCTGAAATTTTCATGCGAATATATGAAAAGTACTTCAGAGGCGAAGATGCATTTACATTATCCTTCAAAAACGTGGTTTTTTTTCCGAATAAAAGTTATCCTTTCTGATGCAATTAGACAATATGAAACTTTTCTTTCTATTAAAAGTCAATTGATATTTAGAAGATTTATTTCAGTTGAAGGTGGTCAACGAGCTATCATATTTAGTCGAATTGGTGGCATCCAAAGTGAAATATATTCCGAGGGACTCCATTTCAGGTAGCAAAATTTAATTATGAGATCTGTTGGTTTTTTCTTGTTATGTAATCATTATTTCAACATTTTTAGGATACCTTGGTTTCAATATCCAATAATTTATGACATAAGGTCACGACCAAGAAGGATTACATCCCTCACTGGTAGCAAAGGTAGTGAAGATATGCATCTTAGTGGTTAAACTTGTGACTGGAAAAATATTAGATTTTATCACATCTCATAAACCCATTGGATGCTTTGTAGACCTCCAAATGGTTAATATTGGTTTGAGAGTACTGGCAAGGCCTGTTTCAAGTAATTTACCAAAGATGTACCAGAAACTAGGATTGGACTATGATGAGCGAGTTCTCCCTTCCATCATGAACGAAGTAATAGCAATGTCAGTGTCTTTATTATTGCTTAACACATTAAAACATAACTTAAATTATTTCAGGTGTTAAAAAGTGTTGTTGCTCAATTTAATGCGTCACAATTAATTACGATGAGACAAGAGGTATGTCTAATTGTCTAATCTAATATTCGATTTTTGCTGTATTTTGTGATGAAATTTTTTTTCCAAGAAAAGTGATAAATCATTTTAGTCATTTCTTAAATATTTTAAAATTGTGTCAATTGTCACAATTACTTGATGTTTAGATGAAATGATGATGTAATTTGTGCCTGACATGAAAGCTTGATGAACAGTTTGCCTGCTGTTTGTTTTTGCAAGCTTTCATTGGTGGTGACAATGTTTTAACTGATCAACTCACTGAAACCTGCTGTAAAGTAATTCAAAATTGTTCCTAAGTATTTCTTTCATGAGCATTTACTATGTTTAGGTCAGTCTTCTTATTCGACAAGAGTTAACAGAGCGAGCAAAGGACTTCAATATAATTTTGGATGATGTGTCCATTGTATGTTTAACTGTTACAAGCTTTCGTATAGTACTATGAGATAAGTAGATGATTAATTTGGCAAGTGGATGTGATGATGTAATTTGCGCCTGTCAAACCATGGTAGTGAATGGTTTGCCTGCCATTCTTCAAGCTATCTTGTGTTGATGATGACAATTAAACAACTGATCCAGTTTGGCCAAATGATGTGCACATAATTTATTGACTCTTTGGCTTTTATTTACTTTACTATTATTGTGCTGCTATTATTCAAAAATGTGATGTGTTTGTGTTTGTTAAAAGTCATTTGGTTCTTTTATCTAGACTGATTTAAGTTTTGGTAAAGAGTATGCTGCTGCAGTGGAAGCCAAACAAGTTGGTAAGTAAGTTGACAAATATATGACAAAGTTGTGCTGTTGATGTGCAGTTGCAATAACAGCTCTTGCAATAACTTTACAACAGCTCAGCAGGAAGCGCAAAGGGCTGCATTCTTGGTTGAAAGAGCAGCACAAGAAAGACAACAGAAAATTGTTCAAGCTGAAGGAGAAGCCAAAGCTGCCAAACTTGTATTTTTTTCAAACAGAAATTTAAAGTTCTGAGTCTTAGGTTTCATTTTATTTTGAAAAGAAAAATCCTTGACTTAGCTTGCTAACTTAGCTTGGTGATGCCATGCAAGATAATCCTGGTTATTTGAAACTAAGAAAGATTACCGCTGCTAGAAAAATTGCAAACATTGTAAGAAGAAATATTGCACCTATTTTTTTACAGAAACCCATAGTTAATTGATAATTTAATTTTGTTTGATATAGGTTGCTAATTCAAGAAACAAAGTTTATCTTAATGCCAACAATCTTTTGCTGAACCTTCGAGAGACTGAAAATGACGAGTAAGTTTCATACAAATAATATACAACTTGTTTAAATTGTTTAAAATTAGCTATGTTTTTACTCAAGGAATTTGTTCAAGATTCATAGTTTGCTAATGGCCAAGAAATGAGTGAATATAAACAGTTAATTTTATAAAAATATTAAAGATCTAAAAGCGTGTTGGACCAGATGATAAAGCAGACAAAATATAGGCGCACTTATCCAAAATAATCTCTCTTTATTGTATGAATTGCTATGGTAATGTTATGGTACTATTGTTTTCTTATCAATAAATGTCTGAACACATTGACATTATTTGCAGCTTGTGGGGTGTTAGTCAGTCATTCTGTTATTTGTAAGATGGTTGTTTATAGATTTTTAACTACTAGTTACTAACTTAAGAATGTATTTGGTGGTATTGGAGGTGTTACAGGGGGTATTGAATTCTTTACAACTTTACCAATTGTCTCAACTTGAAAGCCAATGTCAACAAGACCATCATGGTCCAATATCATTCTTCCATCAAAAACAAAAGCTGGTTTCAACATATTTGTATAAATGTGCCTGTAGTCCAATGTCTAAAAATGAACAACACCATCACAGCTTTAACACTTAGATACAAATTCATTGTCATATGTTTATAGACAACATTATGTATCCACACATCTCACCTTAAATTCATCCCATTCAGTACAAACAACCAATGCATGTGCATTTTCCAGTGCTCTGTATGCATCCTTTTCTATTTTCACCAATTTTCTCACTTAATATAATGAAGCAATAAGTTGAAACTTAACTTTTCTATTCAATGCTTTATTGTGCAATAATCAACAATTGATTGTAAACAGTTTGGGTGTTTGGTAGTAATATGATACAGGCAAAAAGAAAGAAGAGGGGTAAGTATACTTGTATTGAGTATACTAGCAATAGACAGGTTTAAGTAATGTTTTAACTTACAAATTAGTAGTCAATTGATCAATTACCTTTCTCTGGATCTGATGATATACTTGGATGGCAGAGTTCTCTATAATATTTAACAAAACAATTTTAAACTTTTAGATTGACTTTATAAATAAAAATGAAGTTAAAACATATTATTAGATAAAGTTTGATTGAAGTAAAATATCTTATTGAAAAGGGGGTTTACATGAAGTAGTAAAGAAAAGTAGACACAAATAATCATCTAATGCTTTTAGGAGAATTTGGCAAGTCGGGTTATTTGCTACATGCAATCTGCCAGTACATAACTAATGTGACTAATGTGCTAAATAACTAACGTGAAGACTTGCTCTTCCTCAACTTTTGGGTCATAGATTGTCACTCTTGCTCCTTCTTCCAACAAGTATTTGCAAATGTATATACTTGCTGACTCCCTTAAAAAAAATTGCTATTTAAAGTGTGACAAGGATAACAAAATTTTACCAGATGATATATAATACCTGGTATCACCTGTATTCTTTTTAAATGAGAAACCTAATATTCCAATCTTTTTATCCGTGACCGTATTAAACAATGCATGAATTATTTTATTTGCAAATCGCCGTCTTTGGAACTCGTTCATTGAGACAACCTGATGCCAGTATGCAGCCACCTCGGGGAGATTTAAGGCTTCGCATAGGTACACCAAGTTGAGAACATCCTTTTGAAAACAACTGCCTCCAAAACCTAAATATACAAACATGCTTTCCTGGGAAATGATTCGTTCTTATTTTGGTAAATTTTATCCTTACCCACTGATGCTTGTAAAAATTTGCTTCCAATTCGAGAGTCTTTGCCAATGGCATTTGAAACTTCTGCAACATCAGCACCAGTGGCTTCACATACTGCACTCAATGCATTTATGCTGGAAATTCTTTGAGCAAGAAATGCATTGGCTGCCTAAATTATCATGTGATTATTTGCAAATGAACGGGGACAAATTACATAATCATGATTACCATTACCAATTTTGATAATTCTGAAGACCATGTGTTTGTTTTGATAACTCTATTTTCAGGAATCCAATGCTCATAAATCCATGCCAGTGTATCTATTGCAACTTGTCCTCCTCTTGTTTGCTCACCACCTTAAATGTTGTTTAATAAGCTACCTTAGCACATTAATGCTAATTCACAGTGCTATGTTTGCAAAGTGTACCTATTAAGACTCTGTCAGGATGCAATAAATCATTAATAGCTGTGCCTTCTGCCAAAAATTCTGGGTTTGACAGGACCTTAAAAATGATAAATGTTTGTGATAAAACAGTTTTTGAGTATACATGTAGTATTGGTTTGTAGCATCGTGTGTACCTCATACAATGTACCAGATTGTTTGTTGGCTTTTAAAATGGTTGATATGCTAAAAATGAATTGAGAATTACATCTTTGAACAAGCTTTCAGCGTAAATTAGGGAGGAGAATAAATAATGAAAATTATTTTATTAGTCAGAAGATGAAGTACCTTTCTGCTGCCCTAACTGGAACAGTGCTTTTCTCAACAATGATCTTGTGCGTCGTGGCCACTTTTGAAATATGTCGAGCTGCTGATTCGATATATTTCAAATCTGGAGCTCTTCCCTTAATTTCCAAGAATACAGAATTTAGATTATTAAAAATTTTGCCGCTATACTTTTATATAAAACTAGACTTTTCAAGGGTAGAGATCCTCGAAGAATTTTAGAATAGTTTTCATTCAAAAGGAACATTAAATTATCCATGTAGTTAAAAACTAACCTTGCCCAGACCAAATGTTTTTGTTGGAGTATTCACCTTAAGGTAAACAGACAAGGGTACGTCAAGTAATATAATGTAACAAATAATGCAAAATATGTTGCAACAATTGATTTGGTTAGCTTGATAAAAAATCGTCGAAATTATTCGCAAATTGAACTTACGCATATAAAAATCAAGTCGGCTTCGACAATGCTCTTGTCTATATCTGTAGAATAAAATAAATTCTTCCCACGACATTGTTCAACTATTTCTTGAAGGCCGGGCTGTAAACGACAATTAAGAATATTTTGTTTATAATTTCTAATACAGAAAACAAAAGTTAACAGTTTCAATAAATGTACTGAATGAATGTATATTCACCTCGTATATAGGTAATCTACTGGAATTCCAAGCGTCAATTCTAGATTTGCTGAGATCAACAACAGTCACTGTTATTTCAGGACATTTGTAAGCAATAACAGCACAAGTAGGTCCACCAACATAGCCAGCACCAATACAACATATTTTATTTACTACCTGTCTCGTACCCATGGCTGTGCGTAAATATTGTCACTTAAAAACGATTACAGAATAGACAATAATTCCAACAATGTATTCTTGTTTAGAATCCCGTTGATATAATGATATAATATTAAATGTCCACGTGGCATCTGGCATGGACCCCAGTCAACAAAACATTTGTTATGTTACATGTATGTATGAAATATTTCGTTATTGGGTTCGTTTACGTTTAAACAAATAGTTAATCTTTAGGGCAATAAAAAAGTCTTGGTATTTGAAAAGCAATCAAATTCAGGCAAGATTATAGTGTTTCTTGTAGGAAAATTGTCTTTACGAAAAACATTGGAGCCCATTGTGTAATATTTTTGTTTACGTCTTAAATTTTAGCAATCTTTTTATTCAAATTTCCATTTTTTTTCATTGGAAAAAAAGTATAACCTAGTCTTATTCTATAAAAACACTAGCTTTCATTCAACATTTCAGTTTTCTTAACAAGACTACAAAAAGCAAAGGTTTTTCCCTGCCTTCAAATGATGGGTTTTCCGTAAATTAGGAGCCAGTCGGTGATTAATGTTTCGTTGTCATGGTGATTGCCATTTTGTTTTGATAGCTCAAGTTTGTTTGATGTTGTGGAATTTTCGATGATTATGGGAAATTTTGTGAATTAAAATGGGTAAAAAGAAAGCAAAAGAGCCCGAGCCTCCTGCGAAAGACGAGGTTTGCGTTTTATTACATTTACATTTATAATATTGGTCATAAAACTATCGTAGTTTTACCTTCGATCAAAATGAATGCAAATGTTCGTCAATGCCATTTTAGTTTGATCCTTTGCAAATTGTGAGTAAAAGTCCTGGTACAGTTGTGCTGATGCTTGATTCTCAAGAGGAGACAGTGTTACAGGCTGCTTGTGAAGCTTTGTACAAATTTTCAGAGAAATGTAAGTATTGTAAAGTTAAATTACATATCAAATCAAACTATTGACTTCAATGACCTGTAGTTGTAGGTCTATAATCTTATAACCTATCATCAACAGTCTTCTAGTATCTACTCAACTTTTATAGAGATTAGCTTTGATTTTGAGTCTATTTTTCAGGTGAAGAAAATCGACAAACGCTCTTGAATCTTGGAGTTTTGGAACGGCTACTCAAACATATTTTGTCTGAAGACAAAATCATCAAACGAAATTCGATAATGTGCCTTGGAACTTTGAGTCAAAATGGTTATTGACACATGTTGTTATTTTAGTCTTTATTGATGACTACATTTAACAATATATTTTAATATTATCTAGTAAATGTAAGGAAAATATTGCGAAAACTTAATTGCATTGAATCCCTGATAATCCTTCTTCGACCTGAAGGTACTTATTATCAAAAATAATTTTATATTTTATGGTACTAACAAAGTCACCAATATGTGTTTATTTCTACTTTAGAGGAAGCACTGTGTCACGAGTTTGCAAGCTTAGCGTTAACAATGTTAGCCGGTGTGTTATGAAGTGTATCTGAAAACAATTATTTTGTTTTTTGAATTTTTGATGGGGAATCTTGACTAGCAAACAATTAAGTTATGATTAATTTTTTTGTCCAGGCAAGTTTGGCAACAAAGTTGAAATATTTGAAAAACATGGTCTTGAGTCTTTAATTCGACTACTTACATCGACAGACTGTGACATACAGGTGAACAACTTACAATGAAACTTGCTACATTTTGGACTCTATAAAGTTAATTTTGCATTCATAAACTATTCTTTTTTTCCGTTTGACGATAATATTTTTACAGAAAAATGCCGTGGAGTGTATTTCACTTTTGGTCGAAGATTACCAGAGTCGCATTGCCATTAAAAAACTCAATGGTACGACATCTTGTTTGAGTTATTTTGTCCTTACCATATTGACCTGCAATTGGTCTTTGCTCTAAGATTTTTACCAAATGTGTTACAATTTATTTATATATTGTCTTATAAGGATTTGAACCTCTTCTTGCCCTTCTTGATTCTCAATATGCCATCATTCAAGATTTGGCATTAAGTACACTGTTGAATTGTTCTTATGAAGGTCAGTTTAAGTTTGATTTTTGATATTTTTGCACGTGTCACGCACGCTCGAGATCATTTCCTTTCAAGAAAATATTCTTTCTTTCAAAGATCTTAGATTTTAACAATGTTCGTTGGTATTTTTATTTATTTTATCACAGCTGAAAATCGTGAAGAACTTCGACAGCTAGAAGGTCTTCAAAAAATAATTAATTTTATTGGTATCAAGGTAAATGATAACTAACTATGGTGAATTACTTCCTGATGTTCTCCTGCCTCTCCTCCCCAGTCCCAACTCTGGATATTATGGGTGGTATGATTGAACTAAGTGGTTGCATCAGTTAAACAAACATGATTAACCAACACCTACAAGATCTTATGGCTCAGTACATGAGGCAAAACATCACCTCTATGTCCATCTCATGTTGTTTGGTTTCAAATCATAAATAATTACGAGAAACTTTCTTTATTCACAATAAAATGGAAAACTCTCAAAAGATAACGGAAATGTGTTTGCCAAAACATCAGATGCAATTAAAAAATCAAATTTGAAACGATTTGCATAGGATATTTGTAAATTTTTCATTGTGTTTCTCTCTTCAGGAATACGATGATCTTCATGTGAAAGCTATTCAAGTTTTATCCAATTGTATGCAAGATATTGAAAGCATGAAGGTTTAAAAATACAAAATGTTCCATAACTCGACAATTGAGAAATATTTCTCACATTTTCTGTGTAAATGGTCTTTCATTCAGATAATACAATCATCGGGCAGCTTGCAAAAAATGTTGAAATTTGCTTCAGAGTCCGTTCTTCCAGAGGTGCAACAGCACGCGGTAAACAAAATAATATCTACTTCACAAAGCTTTTCAACAAATTTTGAAAATCCGTACTTTTTTTTAAGGCAAAATCATTGGCAATTGCTGCTCAAAGAGGTACGCTTTTCAATGTTCTGATAATTTCGACTTGAAATGTTACATTCTTTTCACTGTATGTAAATGTTGTACTATACTGATGACATGGTACAGTACAACATGTTATTTGTTGAAAACTCCCCCAAAAGGCTTTTCATATGTGTTTTGATGCAAATTTTCTGCTGGTGTTGTTTAGAGGAAACGCGAAAGATTCTTCATGAGCAAGAATGTGAAAAAACACTCATAAGTCTTCTCGCAAATGAGGTAAAGTTTTTGCTCGATCATATTCTTTTTGTGGTAGGAAATTCACTTTATTTTCATTAGATATCCATTCTTACCTGATGACCAATATACACTTCTTTACAATTCACTTTATCTCTTTTTTTCAGTCATCAATGGTACAGGCTGCCGCCTCCGAAGCTCTTGCCGTCATGTCAGAGAGTTTGATAATTCGTGAAGAAATAGGAAAGCTAGGTTAGTTTTAGAACATCACGTTGTATATGGTGGATTCATATGTTCTATACATACGTCCTAATGTATTCAATTTGTATTCGATCTTAAAACAAATTATTTTCTTAGATGGAATACCTTATTTGGTTAGCTTATTGAAGGCTGAAGATGCCGAAGTTCGCCATTTTTCATCACTGGCTCTCGCTAATCTTTCGTCTTCCACTTCAAATGCAAGGTAGGAGAAGAAAGAAGTGGTTTTTTTTGTGCGTTTGTATGAGTGGGTCAATCATCGGAATAAAAAAATATCATGTCTGTCGTAAATACCTTGCGTGGTTCACCTGTTTTATTTCAGTATTTTGATGGAAAAAGGTGGAGCTGAAGCTTTAGTACGTTTGCTGAATGATTCAAAACCTCGAACTCAAGTTAATGCATCAGTCTGTCTAACAAACCTTGCACGTAATGGTCAGTCCAACTATTAATGAGATATTTTATTTTTTAATAAAAAATTTATTTATGGATCGGATCGCTTTTCTTTTGACCTTTTGGTTAAAATGCTATAAATTTTATAGAATCCTGGAGAATGGAAATACACAACTATGGTATTATACCAAATTTGGTCAATGCCCTCGATTCATCGTAAGTTGTTTTTATGATACTTATCTAAGTAATTTTAATTAATGTTTGGCTATGCTACTTTATGTTTCACTTTGCTCGATTTCAGTAATCCAAGTGTACAGTGTAAAATAGCAATGACAGTTGCCTCGTTTTTGTGTGATGTCAAAGCAAAAACCCAGTTTCGTGAGGAAGGAGGCTTGGTTGCACTTGTTAACTATCTCTCATCAAACGTTAGTGATGTTCGTCGCGCTGCATCATGGGCTATGGTAGTCTGTGGTAGTGATCCGGCCATTGCAACAGAACTCACCACCCTTGGGTAAGTGAGGTCTTATTCTTGTTGTTGAGAGGTGGGGGGAAGCATGCAAAGTCCTTATTTTAACGTAATATTTGTCCTTGTAGAGCCATGGAACAACTTCAAACCATTGCCTTGTCAGGAAGTCGTAAGTCTGGATTCAGCGATGTTGCACTTACGCGTTTACTGGACTGTAATTTGCCCGCCAAATACAGTATGCAGGGCTATTTATCTTCGTCTAATATCACAGGACATGGTTTCTTTGACAGAGGAAAGGTTTGTAACTCATGCAGAGTTGAAATTATATGTATAAAAATATACATATGTAGGCAAGCAACCTTGAGCTGTCCTAGGGGGATCAAGCAACCTTGAGGGATCCTTGGGGGATCAAGCAACCTTGAGGGATCCTTGGGGGATCAAGCAATCTTGAGCTGTCTAGGGGGATCAAGCAACCTTGAGGGATCCTTGGGGGATCAAGCAATCTTGAGATGTCCTAGAGGGGTCAAGCAACCTTAAAGGATTGTTGGGTGCAACTACATCACAATCCTTAAGTACATATGTATTTGAATGGTCAAAATAGATCTCTTTGATGATAGATGATTCTGTGCATAAGAAATAGAATCTTTGCTGTTGTTTGGCTAGATTCCTTCTGAGAACAAAATTCTGTGCTTGAAAAACTTTATCTTTGTTGGTTTTTGTACAGATTCGTCCTGAAGACAAGATCCTCACATTGGAGGAACTTTCTCGTGTACCTCTGAACACATCAAGACCTGTGTTTTATGTTAACTTTACCATAAATGAAAGGTATATTAACTATGTGATGCAACACAAAGTTACTGGGTTTATTATGTGGTTCAAGTTATGTTGTTTATAATTTGGTTTTTTACTCTAACGAACTCAAAGTTTGGGGGGTTTTTCAAAAATGGAAGAGTTTTGGTTCAATTTTGTTTCCAACATGACCTTCATAATTCCTTTTACCAAATGTGTAGTTTTGAGCAAATATTTAGTAAAAAGTACATCAATTTCTGTTTCAAATTGACATTGGAAGTAGCACGTGTATAGTAAATTTCTATCAGACAACTGACACAACACACATTGAAACTGTTTCACCTTTATACTATCTTTTCAAGTACGTCGTCACCAAAAGCAGAGGTTGAAGTGCTAACAGTGAGAAGTTCTGAAAAACTCACAAAAACAAGCAAGCTGACATTAAAGGAAACAAAAAGGTCAGTTAAATTTATTTGCTTTGTATGAAAATAAAAATGATGAAAACAAGTGACGATTTTAAGATAGGTGTATCAAATATAATACAAACAAAATGGAAAATTGGTGAAATTTCATTTGGCAATTCATACTCAGTTGTATTGTTATTAAAGTATTTTGAAGTTACATTGAGCTGATGGAATTAATTTTGACTAAAGGTGGATCCGCCATTGATAGAGGTTAGTCAATATTTTTCCAAACATGAATGTGATATTCTATGTCCAATCTACAGAAGCAAAAGTCAAGCACAGTTTGAAAAAACTGCCGAGTCTTGTGAAGAAGGGTGGAAAACTCCTGATAGCATGCAGAACCCTGAAGAATCGTTACCTTGGCAACCGCCAAGTGATCCTAATCTACCGTATTACATCAGTACAATGAAAGAAAGATTGACATCTCTCTCATCACTTGAAGAACAAATTGCACAACTTGCCAGGTAACGAGAACTAAAGCAATTTTATTTTGTTACATTGTTAAAGACATCATCGCAGCCAACAGATGACACTGTGTACCCATTTGTTTGTGTTGAGGTAAAGAACTTCATGCAGCTTCGGTATAACAGCTTCTGTCAAAAGGGAAAAAGGGATTTCTTTTTACTTGAAATAAATTCCGTCAACTTAATTGCGGATACATTGACCTTTGTACAAAATGATTAGTTCAAAAGAGTTAATGTATTACAATTTTAGATTTGTCAGCGAGACCATGGGCGGGTCTTGTGAAAAAAATTGGCTACAGTCGTTTAATTATGAACTTCATATAAGTAATTTGAAAAAGGAATTTAACTCTAATCTTATACCTATTGGATGTGTTAAGGCTGGGATCTACTACCATAGGGCTCTACTTTTTAAGGTAAGATCTATTCCGAAAAATAGGCTGGTTCAATTGATTTTCTTCGTTAGTGTGATACGTCATGTTGGAAGATTGTTTGTTACTACTATTTCTAGGTGTTAGCAGATTGTTTATGTATACCTTGTTCATTGGTTCGTGGTGAATATAACAGAGCTTGGAATGAAGTTATGATTTGTTTAGAATCTCAGGTATAAAACCCACAATGTTTCTTTTTTTTGTGCAACTTCATATTGACTGGTTTAATGATGAAACAATCCCTTGATATTTGTAGAAAAATGACAAGATAGTTTATCCATCACGTACATACATTGTGGACTTGATGCACGAACCAGGGACATTAATGGCAGCAAATTCTCCTGAAGCTGACGGATACAAAAGGTTATGAAAAGTTATTTTGACGTTTCTCTTCATGAGAAAGTGCATTTTTTCTCTGTATTTTTTTTCCTAGTTCTAATCATATTGATCTGATAAATTCTTTTTTCTATAAAACATTGCTAATGTCATTTGGCTTCAGTAGTTGTTTAACCATGCCTTTGTTAATGGATATAGAAATATCCTTGTGAAATATGGAGTTTAAAGTCACTAACTTAATTAATCAAAGACATCTATAGTTTTTGACGAAATATATTTGACGTAGCCGCTGTACTGAGCAGTTTACTCTTTAAAACTCATTGAGAAATGCAGATTTAAAATGTTTTGTTCCAGTAAACGTTTGTTTTTAGTAAAGATAATTACACGATAAGATCGTCTAAAAATAAGTTATCAATATCTTGGAATAGGAGCTCACCTATAAGCGTCAATATTTATGGCTCTTTATCATAAACCGAAGTCGACAATTCTATTATTAAACTCAAGACGATTTCAAAGACTTGTTAATTTTCTCACGAGCTGATTTTCTGAGTGCTGCTTGTGTCAAATATATCATAATTATGTGATTTATTCGATCCTGTTAACGTTTGTGCAATAATCACAAAGTCTTAAATACGTTACAAAGGTATGATGTTAAAAGTTATTTCATGGCTATGTCAAGATGATTCGATCTCTTTCTAAAGAAATTATAAGGACCAATGATCAAGTAGAATTACCTGGGACTAAAGAGACAATTCGTAAGGATAGAACACTTTTGAAACTCGTTCGTCTTCGCTGGGAAAAGTCTTTGAAGAACGAGTTGGACAGACTCGATACAGAGAAAAGTCTTTTGGAAAAAGAGTACAGTTTTGAGAAACATCTTTATGAGAGAAAGTTTAAAAGTTTAAATGGAAAGAAACGTTTACCAAAAATGAAAAACTTGACAGGGGTAAAACATACGAATACTAAAGAGAATGGGAAGCTAAAAGATGAAAATCAAGATGCTTTACCATTAAAAAAAGTATTTTGTTCAAGGCAATAATGGCGAAATAAGAACCTTCAAGCTGAAACAACAGAAAACAGCATTGGTTGGATTTCTGTATTTTTAAATCATTAATCAATTGCACTGCCCCATCACTGCCCCCACATACAAATGGTTTCTAATTTCAAGATAGCTTCCTGACAATACTCGTCATCACTCCTGTTGTGATGTGCCTATTAATTTGCATATGTATAAATACGCTTCTTGAAATAGATTTTGTTATGGGCAATGTGTTCTTTAACCATGTCAAAGTCTATGTAAATATACGAAAATCAAAGAAATAGCAAAGCAATGAAGGCAAATGTGTATCTTACTTAATTCAAATTCTATAACCCTTGGCCTTCACTTTATTGCCTTTAGTTAGAAATTTCAAATGAAGAATTATGTCACCGTTGCTCTGTAAATCCAAACGAAAGTTAAAGATATTTTGTTTTCTTTGTTTGATGGCTTTCTTGCTCGCGTATTCACAGCGAAAAGATTTTTTAAAATGCGTATACAACAGAGACGGTAAGCATTACAAAATTCTATGATAATATGCTTTAGACAATTAACTGTCGTGACAAATTAACAGCATGTATTCAGTTTATGCAACAAACTAGACCGGGGGTAGTCATGTAAATTATATGGAATTGCAATTCTTATTCAAGCCAAATGAGTGATCCTACTAATATTTATTTCATGACCTGGTTCTATTTGAAGAAAACTTGCTTTTCTGGTGTAATGATGAGAAACGTTCTAACATAGAGGAAGGAGATGCCATCACAAGCGTCTCAACAGCTCATGTTATGATTTCATTGGTCAACCTTGACCAACATGAAAACGTTCTTGATGATATGAGGGTTTGTATGCCTTCACTTTGTAACTATAGCAGCATACAAATAACACTCCATATAGTCACTGATATGAAAAGTAAAGCAAAAGTGAGTGATGTTGTTAGAGGTCTGGGAAGGAATTTTTGCAAAGGTATACTGAACGTGAAATATCACGACATCGAAGTACTCGCTGAGCAGATTCAACCGTCTCTCATGAAAGTGTTTGAGGTAGAACTCTTATTTAATCAAATTATTAATTTTCTCGTAAATCTAGAAAACATGTTTGTCATCTTGACAAAACAATGAATAAATACGAAGATAAGAATTTCCGTGTATCTGTGGTACTGATCAACATATTTTTTGTAGACCTTTTTCACAGCTGGATCACGATCATATTATTCCGGAGCATTGTTCTTCTTATCTATCGTAAGTCATCAGTTATTTCCAAGACTCTCAAAGCTGATTTTTATCGATGCTGATGTAAAATTCCGAGCAGACGTTCGGAAACTTTGGAGTCAATTTGAAAAATTTTCTGCAATCAATATGATTGGCATAAGTTATGAACATCAACCGGTATATCGTCACGTGTTAAACACATATCGACAACAATATCCTAAGACAAATATTGGCTCACCACCCCCTGAAGGAAATCCTGGATTCAACAGTGGTGTTATTCTTCTAGATCTGACTAGAATGAGAAATTCTGCGATGTACAGAGAATATCTTTCTCAATCATCTCGGATACGATCTCTTTGTGAGAAATATTACTTCAAAGGACATCTTGGTGACCAGGATTTCTATACTCTTCTTGGTTTTGAGCAACCAGATATTTTTTATGTCTTACCGTGTACTTGGAACAGACAGTTATGTACATGGTGGAAAGATAATGGATATCGAGAGGTATTTCATATGTACCACAAGTGTGATGGATATGTTAATTTGTATCATGGAAACTGCGGAACTGCCATACCTTATGACTAATGCAAGCTTCTCGTTCCATTTGACAGCGAAAAAACTAGTGCTGGTTTTTGCAATCTCGAAAACATGCAAAATTAGACAGAATTATGGAATTGTTTCTCTAATTGCGTTACTTTGCCTAGGAGTCTTTATGCGAGGTTTTTATCAAGGGTCTTTACCCCTAAGTAAGTATTCTTTCCCCAGGGTATTTTTGTGGAAAATCTTTGAGTGATCTATGCCCATTTCTCTTTTCTTTATGGCCTTTACTAAGAGACGCTGTTTCTCTGGAATGAAGAGCCATTTGCAGTTGGAATATCATGAAGTTATTAGAGCGACATTTGTTGCAAGCTTGGAATGTTCTTTTAAGGAGTTACATTATTCACGTTGTTATATGTCGTATTTTATATGATATTTCTATTTTCACACTGCATTTTCCTAATACATTGCCCATATGTTCTCATTGCTCCATTAAAGGATAATTTTTAGTGATTCAGTCTACATTTCGAAAGCATGTTGGTTAGCACTATTTTCCACCCAGCAAACCGCCCTTTACTTTACACAATCGGAAATAAATTAAAGATGGCGGCTAATGGGAAAGAACCAAAAGCTAAAAGGAAACCATGCATGCACTGGTGCTAGGTCGTTTTGAGATGGCGAGTAATTTTATATTTTTATAATACAGTTTTTAATATCAATATATGAAAATATTTACAGATAAATGTTGCAGTATAAATTTTCATGCAACCACCTTAAGTTATAAACTTATAATCCAGGCTGGAAAATATGTCGTTTTTCGACGATTGTGTAAAATATTATATAAAATATTATATTGTGTAAAATATTAGATTGTGTAAAACATTATATTGTGTAAAATATTATATTTCAAAGTAAAGGGCGGTTTGCTGGGTGGAAAATAGTGCTAACCAAGCATGTTAGGCAAACGTCATGTAAGCAAAATATATCACGAGGTTCCCAGAAGTAGCAAGCCTAAAACCACTGTTATTTCTCTATGTTTTAAATAATCAGCATCGTTCTTGAGAAAGAAATAATTTGTGTACACTGCAGATTGCAATAAACATTTGTTTGTAATGAATCTTTTAGTGAATTAATCTTTCGCTGTGCAAATCAATCTTCTTGTTTATTTTGACGCTTTGTGGCATTGTTTTCGTTGCCGAAGCACTTCAGTTGCATAAGCCTTACATAATCTGATAATGGATGAAAAAGGAAAGCTTTTAAGAAAGTGTGGACTCTGTAAATCTAACAATAACATCTTTGATTTCAATAGTGTTTGCATATTTGTCATTGAAGCTTAGTTTCCGTGTCTTCATCAACATTTCATCTTTTCAGTTGGGCTTAACTTTAACACAGTTACGAAATTTATTTCCTAAAACACGTTAAGCGACCATTTAAGGAGCAAGATAATTTGTCTACGTGATAACATAAATGAAATCTCCTTTTCTTGATAAGAATTTGATAGCAGACGAGCTTCTCTGCAACTTGTCTACATTTTTTTATCCGATGCTGTAAATTGATGAAAAACTGCGATAATGTCTGTTGGTTTGATTCGTGCAGATATTGAAGGCGAGCTTTATGTTGAAGCAATATAACTCAGATCAGGTTTTGATGCTTTTTACACATTCTGCATTCTGATAAAATACGCGATTTGACCTCTGATTTATAAGAAAGATCTTGGAACGCTTGGAATGGCAATAATGCAAAATAAGTGCTAGGATTTCTGACGTGGCTATGCTTGTTTTGGCTTTGCTTAATTTGATAAGATAAAAAATCATTGCTTTAGGCAAAACCATAATGTATTGGTGTATAGATGAAATGTGTGAATAATATTTAAAACTAAAGCATTTGTTAGTCAATGATTTCATTTATAACACAACTTTATTTTTTTTATTTCATATTTCATCTCAATATAAGAACCGAGAGGAGACGATTGGCGACATCAATAATTTACAATAATTGTCCACTAATTTATGAGAAAGTTTACATGATCTGAGTTATTATAACTTATATCAATTTTTCATCGCATTCTTGGACAGCCCTTCACAATCACAACTTATCATCTTTTAAAAGAAAGCTCTTTCGATACTGCTCAAATCAATCAACACAATAAATAAGAACTAAGAAGACACATAAACACTGACATTATAATCATACACTTTTAATGATTTTAATTTTTATCATCATTCGTTCATGTTTCATGTAATTCATCTTCTTGAAAGTGAGAAGATAGAAATGACTTGTACATATTTAGTTTCAGAGCTTACACAGCCATACTTGCAACTTTTTGCTATTTTTTACAGACACACGAATATTTCAGTGTTGCAGAAATAAAACATCAATTATTAATATTTCAAGCTTTGTCATTGAACATACACCTGTTCCCATAACACCCACTCATTCACATTTTATAACCTCATTTCCGCTCTTGCTTCAAATCAATCAACTATGCTTTTTTTTAACACAGCGATAAAATACTTGAAATATCTACTTATTTTGCACATGTGCTTTTGTTGCCAACAGTCGGCTTGGTTAACTTCATATGGCACGCCCGCCTTCCCACGTAGTGTGTGAAATTTTATAAAAATCAATTCCTTTTTTCGTTAAAATTCTCTGTTTATGACTATTTTTGGTGAGACTCTATATGGCAAAATTCGCTCCGTTTTTCTTCGAATTTGAATAAATGAGCGATGTATAATTGATCCAAAATTGACATAACATCATTTCAGAGTCGATTTCTAATATTATAGAATATAGTACAATTCATAATTTAGATTTCTGTCGCAATTAAGATCTTGCTGAACATTCTGTTTGCAATAATTTTAATTAATGTTTGTTTTTGTGACTCGTAAAATTTTAGAAAGTGAATGAAAATTTGTTGTCCATTTCAGATAAAGGAATTCATGATCTCAATAACATCGTCTTAAAAACAGAACAAAGTGCTTTGATATTTATTTATTTTCATGATTACAATGTTGGCCTAATGAGTCCATTTGTCTATAAACTGTCTGCCAGTTTATAGCTATTACTGCCCACACTAAAACGCCTTTAACCTGAGAAAACAAATCGTCAAAAAAGGACTGATAAGCGATCAGTGTTGTCGTCTCCAATGAACAAAAGATTTGCTAGAAAAACACCACCAACAGAAACACTATCATTTAAGGTGTCAATGTAGTGTATAACATTCTGATCAAGGCGTGCTTGTCCATTCTCACAGTTTTAAGTGAACTTCTAACCATCAATCAGCCGTCGGTCATTCTATAGAAAACTTGCGCTTTTTATTGCAAAGCATTGCAAATGAAATATATTACAATGTTGTTTAGTCTATTTACTTGTAACTGCTGAGAAATATATAATTATTTATTTCACAGTTCAGTTTTATTTACGCACTTTTGGCGAATGGCACTATAATAATTTACAGAACGCGTCTGCCTGTGAAAGTAACCAAAATAATTCACCAGGAGGTAATGAAATGGACTAATGGTTCGTATTTTGTTACAAATTTCTGAACTATATATAGTTGTACAGACATTTACAAAAATTAGGGTGTCTAAATCAACATCATAAATGTTACCATAAAAAAAGGCCGTGGCCTAAAATTCTTAATTAAAGCTTTTAGTTGAAGAATGTGAACTTTTCAAGCTTTATACCCATTCCAACTTCTATTTTCATTTCTTTCAACATTATCATGAAATACATTTTGAAATAATTAAATTAGAAACATAAACATATACTTCTCTACTCTCGAACTTTTACGACTTTAATAGAAAACGTAGCATTTGGGTTTGGAATTCTTGGTATGATAAACGTTTTTCCTTAGTTGTTTATTTGGGTTTCTATAAAACATTAACTTTTTACAAAATCAGTCTACTTGTAAGCTCGACAACTATTTATAATTGACCTGTGTGTGGTATAATTATCGATGGATTTTTTATTTTTTCTCAAACGATAATCTAGAGGATTAAGAGAATATACAAGTCAAGTAAATATAGCCTTTGACATGCAGGTTTTTACACGACTGTGAAACTGTTTTACCGAGATTCGACTATGATAAATTATTTGTTTGTTATATACTGCTGAATATATTGTTTCGTGTCTATGAAAAATTGACTAAAGACTAGTAGTAGTTACTTTTTTAGAAAGTCATTAGCGTCTTGTTGATTTTCCGTTCAATTTTGTTATGGATTTCAATCTCACGACAATTTTCAATGAACTTCAATCGATGCAGCAGCAGATAATTGTACTGATGAACAGATCCTTTTCATGTATGATATTGAAGTGATAATAGAAGGAAAACCGGATTAATAATAATTCTAAATGGATGGACTTAGTCACGTTCAAACTTCCCGTGTATCAAGAACTAATATCACCCAAGGTGAAAGCCCAAAGTCTTTTGTCTAATTTTTTTCAGTCAAATCAAACCATTAGCTAGTTCGCTAGCGTGCACCTCACAGTCGCTGGTTATACACATAACATAATGAAAAGGGACGTTTAATTTAAATGTTGCTTTTTTATGCCCTTTTATTGCACAAAATGAACTTGATGCGAGATGTTTTGAGGTACTTTGCTCTGTCTCAGTGACCACGCCAGGTAGTGAGTTATAGCTCAACTCTGCAAATTTTAATACTAAAATGATAAGTACCTAGGTATTCATATAAGTGGTACTTTATCGACAAACCAATTAGCTACCAACTATCCCCACATTTGCTTTACTTCTGTCCATAATAAACATGTGAACCATATAACGTGATAAAACTTAGTAGCAAAAAGTGCTTAAGTCTGTCGCTGTTAGTTTCCGGAGATTTTTATCACAAAGTGAGGCGTGAAAAGAGCCTTTGCACTCAACTTACAGTATGTACAAAAACAATTTTATATTTAATCGTGCATTTCACAAAATTGAAAATGGACAGTCGTTTTTCTTAATCATGGTTCATGATTTTTTTAAGTAGTTAGGTTTTCACTAAATTTTTAATTGTGGTAAATCATTAAAGTCTTGGCGGTTTTTTAAACAGTTTGACTAAGTTGACCGATGAAATATACGTTTCTTGTTGTGCTTGCTTATCTTTTTAATTTCACATGGAAATTTTGCCACTAGCCTTCTTTTCACACTATCTGAAAAGAAGACTTTAAACATGGGCGGAGTACTGATTTTTTCATACTGGAGTCTGTTGGAACAAAATTATGAAACCACCGACCAATTTTTAATAGCCCAGCGGCACTCAATCTTGACAAGAAATCTATTTGCAAAGAAGAATTTGCCTTTCCAATTTCCGTTCAATAAAAACAGGAGGAAAAAGACAGGTTTATCAAACAAATAGGCGGATGTAAATTTAATCCTTTTAATCGTCAACTTCTTTGTTAGGTAGATCTTATGTGCTCTGTCGAGGATATTAAGATAGCACTCAGCGGCATAACTAAAGCTTCATTTGTTTGCCTAGGCCTAAATTTTTAAGAGCTCTTTCTGGCGTTCTGTGCTATTTGCCAGTCATTTGTTGTCGCGTGTATTGTACAGCACACTTGTTCATTCGCACTTGATGTGTTGTATTGCTTTGTAGTCGATTTTGTTGCTAGGGCCATATTGCGTTGATTCGGTAAGGAAACACTTTAATGAAAAAATTTTAAAAATTTCAGTACTTTTGATTACGTGGCGTTGTCCTCTGTCAATTTCATTCACGCATCTCGCGAGGAGCGCTTGCGTCAGCAACTTTTGAGAATTGTTGGAATGTGCGTGGCTCTCTCTGGGATGCATGAGAATCAAGTCAATCAACCAAGTAGACTGAACATGGGATGTCCATTTGCTGGTAGTTTTTTCGGCAGTATTATGGCTGTATTGTTTCTTCTTTCCACGTTTCTGTGTGTTTCCTTCGCCGACAAAGGTAACTTTGAATTATTCTTGCTCTCATATATTGACGTTTAACGATATATTTCATTTCAAAAAATACCGTCGACGTAATATAACTATTATATATTTGTAATTGTAACACATTGAAATCGAACGCATTCGTCATGTTATTCATGTATGTTAACTTCGTCGTATTTTCTTTCTATTTAACTATTTTCTTGACGATTTTAAGCTATATATATGATTAGTATGTGTATTCGTTCGGTTAAATGAAAAATATGTTCAACAGAGTAAACAGAGTCGGGCTGAAGTCATTGATAGACAATGCACGTGTTTAGATCGAATATTTTTGACTGATATTTGTTACATTTTAAACCGAATATGGCGTTTATTGTTAGTGAAAGGTAACAATTCTACTGTGCCAATATGATTTATGTTTTTTAATTGCTTCTACTATGAAGCACTCAATACCACCAAAGCCAATATCAAGCAAGATACCCTCGCAAACGGAAATCATGAATATAATACTGTATATTTTTAAACGTACGCGAGATCTATGTCAACAAATAACACAGCTAAAATGCTTTACATTCAAACTTATTGCGATGTAGACTTTCAATTTTATCGAAGTAGCTTCTATGTAGGATAATTTTAAAACCATCTTTGACAAGCATGTTGTTTGTTTAGTGTGTGAAGTATGTCGTGAATTGAATTACAAGTTATAAGTATATTTGCAGCTCTTGGTCAAATCACATTTACGCGTTCTTAAACAGCTATCTGTTTCTGTTGATACTGTTCTTATTTGATATTTTTGTTTATACTGTATATAGTCCATATAGTTATCTTCATTTGTTGTTATCGATGACGTGAATGACATTAATACATTTTTTTATGAACTGACTGCAACGTACCAATGATTTTTTAAGTGTCCATTCCATTTTACATATATAATTGCTCTTGTCAATTGTATTTAGAAAGCTGGGGCATTAGAGGCATTTGAATTTTACTCTACAGTTTTAAGAATACTTAGACTTCGACACGCACAGTCCTACTTTACGTGGAATTTGCTGACTGTTAAAAATTGTACATATATGGCAAAACATTGAACAGGGTTAATAATGGTGACTGAATTTTGATGTGTGCACGAGGGTTTGCTACTCTTAGTGTGTTGTAAACTTTTTTTGATAAAATGATTAACGATAAAACGTTGTTTGAAATTCCCGTTTTGTTAGCTTTATGTGTTTGGTCATGTTGACTCAGCTGGTGCCCAGAAAAAATTATCTTTCATCAGACTAGTTTAAATGGTTGGCCACGGAGATTTTTGAACTCAGTTGAATGAATTGAATTGAACATTTTCAAATGAAGTGTTTGAAGTCAAATGTAGACTACGTTTTTTATAAGACGTTTGTAGCGACTAAAGTTCATGTTTTTGTGCTACAATTGAATGCCTGACCTTGCCTTGTAACAAAGGAGTATATTATTTGGCAATTGTTTGGCGTTTCTTCCTTACTAACGAGACAAATTGCTTCGAATGTCATCCGAATAGATTGGAGAAGATATAGTAATGTGAATATTTCATTTAGTCCTCTTAAATGGCATTTATGCCCAATTAGTTTTGATTGAGTGGCGGTTTTATAAATGCTAAACGACGTCAACCAATACTGCTCCATAAAAACTGTTCTTTAATGTTTCTATTGATAAGCAACGATGTCGTTCGATAGTATTTCGTTGATAAATGTTAGGTTATAATCAAAGTTCTAATTAACGGTCGTCTCGATGGTGTTTAGAGAAAGATTTCAGCCATATTAATATAAGTACACGTTTAAAAGAATTATTTTTAAGTTGACACCACCAACAGCGATGCAAATAAAACACCACTTGTGAAATATTCATAAATTTTTAATAAGCATCCTGACCATCCTGACCTTCCTTTTGAAAATCAATTCGGTCAAAGCGGTTTCGCGTGGTCTTACAATTGCTTTCTTCAATAGTAATTGTTATTTTTATCGTGAATAGTTCCGGCGTTCCGTCTGAGGAATTTGCGAGAAACTGTGACTTCTGCTTTTTATTCTCAAATTAAGTATTTTGTAAAACTGTATGATCTAATTGGAAACGATAATCTTCTCTACGATAAGATATTTGACACTTCATCAATTTCACATATTTGTTACTATTTCTGAAAATAGCAACTCGTAATGATCTCTTATTATCTACATCTGCATCTGTTTAAAAATTTCTGTTATTAATTTCTTCATAGTCTTTAAAGTGTTAAAAGAACTGGGCGTTCAAAATATTTTTTATAACATCCTATTTCCGAATCATTCTTTCACGAGATTGTATCAAATTATCATAAAATTGCTGCTTCGTTTGAAATTTTCCAAACTCTTAATTATAAATTCATAGAAGTTTGCAACATTTAGCGGCATATGAACGCAAAGAGAGTAAATCATTTATACAACTTAGTTTTGTATTACCAATGCTCATTTTAAATATATTTTCCGACTTCTGTTATCCATGATAAAGTTATTGATCATCCATCCATTAATCCTTTGTAATTCATCAACGAAAACTGAAAAACAGCAAAAAATCTTGTTGATAAACTCATTGCCACGTCGGCATTTGTTGTATTGTTGGCAAATTAGTTTGTTGAGTTTATTCATCTAAACTCTTAAGTAATGTTGATGATGCTTATACAAAGTCTTATTTCTTTTATTCTTTTGAATGTGGTATCTATAGGGGTCTTCGTTGTCAAAAGGTTCATATTCCAATATTATGCCATCTGAGTCAATATTTTGACAATATTTTTTGTCCCTTTCGTTTCTGTAACTTCTCTTCCTTAGAAGTGAAAGTAAAAACTACATGGCTGGATTATTGTTATGAAATATTCGCTTGTTTACTTTGAATATTATTCCCAAAAATTCTATTCAAAGAAGCTTTAAAGTACTTTAACGGTACTTGCATAAAAAGCAATGTGTTGGAACTGCTGGTGGCTGGGAGGAGAGTCGACGCTGAATTGCAAATATTCAACACTTTGTATGTTGTTAAAATGTTATAATTAAGAAAAATTCTGCTTGTATTTGTAAAACTTCTTTCATTTTGTTTTTCAATTTATAATTGGGTTTTAATTGCGGTATGCAGTAATTATTTATAAAAAAATAAAAGTATTAAAGTTTTCTCAATGAGATGCATGTGTCTCTGATTGGCAGCTGCTTGGCTGTCGACTTGTATTTCAAACAGTTTTCTTACGTATATTGTGACGGTTAGCCTTTTTTCTTCTCTTGAAATACGTTTGGCTAAACTGTTGAATTTTTTTCTCAGTAAAGGCAATAGAGAAATATTTGTAGTGACAAATTAATTTTTTCATTGAAATCAATATGGGCCTATGATTGTGTATAATTTTTGTAATAGAAAGAACTGTCGCTCTTTGTTCCCACTTTACACATGATACTCCATAAGTAGTTCTTGTTTTTTATCCTTAATGTATAGTAGGTGTTATTTTGTATTGTAATTGTGCTGATGATAAACATATCAGTTTGAATTATTGCAAATAAGTGATTCTGTGTTAATGAAAGAAAGCTACTTTTTTATGTAAAGGAATATATTAATTCAAAATAGAGTAAAGTAAATTTTCCATGACACAAACAATCAGTATATGCATTCGTTTAAATTCAACTTTTTTAATTTAGAACCATTGTTAAAGAGCGACGAATTTTGGGACAGTGAAAGTATTACAAGTGACTCAGGGGTATTTATGTGGATATATGTTAAAGACTTACTTGTGTTAACTGTCATAACTGTGTTAACTATAGATTTTTTTCATAATCTTCCAGAAGTATGTACATGTCATTTTTTTCTAAACCAATCAGACAGCCATTAGCTCGCCTCGCAGATATTCTGTGACTTGTTCTTGTACATGAACAAAGTCCAAAAGAACAGCTATAGGTGGCGACCAAAGAGTTTCATAGCTTTCATTGTATTTCATAACCAGACGTGTGTGGAAAGACCCAGTCAATTGAACTAAAACACTTTTTTGTGATTCATTTTATTGTGAGAGAGGCTCAAACAACCACTTTCGTCTTTTATTAGTGGATTATCCAAGAGAAGACAGCCTTGTCCTGCTCTCGTTCAAAAGTCTCGACAAGTCTTTATCTTAAACGATTAAAGACACAAGATGCCAATAGGGTGTTTGTCGAGATCAAGTATGAAATAGATAAAACACTTTCATCCAACAGTAACTTCCGGATATCTTCAAATTTCATTCGTAATGGGAAGGCTTTGAAAATGAAGGGTGAGTTGGGATTTGAGAGAACAGATGTACTTGGAACCACTGCCACTAATGGAAGTACAAAGAAAACCCTTCACTACGATGTTGATAAAAAGGAAGTTTTATTGAATTTAACTCTTCGTGCTCGAAAAGTTTGTGTCACAGTGTTATCTATTCGAGTTTATTATTATGTCTGTCCGAAAAATAAAACTTTGATGGTTAATCGAACTGTGGCGCCATCAACAGGTGTCGTTAATGCAACAGTAAATTGTGACTTTAATGTTGATGGAAATGATGGATCAGTGGTTGTTGCTCAATGTGAAAATGATGGAAAATGGACGAAAATATCAAATAAAGATGGCTGTAAAAGGAATTGTGAACCTGGAACTGAACCTCTTAATTCTGCTTGTATGGGTAAGTGAAACATGATTTATTTTTAGACAAATTATCATTTCTTACTTCCAAACAGATTTTTAAACCATTTCATTTTATCAATTTTTCTCATGCTATTTGCCAGTTTAGTGTTAAAGTTGTCATCTACGTTATTGTGTGCAAGTACAAAATGTACTTTTTGAGATAAGTTTATATTTTTTTCTACACTAATCTTACTTTTATGTTTTGTAGCGTGCAAAAACGGTTATTATAAAGAGAAAAGTGGGATCCATGGTTGTTCGAAATGTCCTGAGAACACTTTAAGTAATACGAACAAAACAGTTTGTGTTTGTAAGGAAAATCATTATCGTAAGGGAGATATTGGTCCTTGTCTGGGTAAGATTGCAAGGAATTGTATAATATGAATATTACAACTGACAAATGAAGTGTTTATGTGATTTTTGTCGTTATCCCTAGTTATTCCAAAGAAACCTCAGCATCTCAAATATGATAAACTTTCGCACAACGTAATCTTGCTTCGCTGGAATGTAACAGATGGCATAAAACATTTTCATGTAAAATGTTCTGAACGACTGACCGAAACTCTTTCGATTCCTTGTCATAATTCGTCTATCGATGTCAGAGGCAAAAATGTCAGCGAAACGTTTCTTAAAATAGATTATCTGAAAGAAAATGTTAATTACACATTCACAGTTGCTTCTGTCAATGACATCAGTGGCGAACATGCAAGTTTGAACGTGTTTTTATCAAGTAAAGCTATAACAACACAGACGACACGCTGTAATTTCTTCTTTCACATTTTTCCATGTAGTTTTTATATTTGTGCAATTAGCCGTTCTGTTCTGAATCTGTTCTGTGTAATAATCATATACTCTCTTTTAATTTTGAAGTTCCCAGTATAACTGCTGGCGTTGTCACATCTTCAACATTTAAAAGAAAAACATCGAAAACCACAGTTGTTGCTGACAATGACAGTCGATCATCTACTGATAAGCCAACAATCAAAGAACTTGTCTCTACTGCAGTCATCAATAAAATGACATCACCTACCGTTGGCCCTCATGAAAATGAAAATAACAAAATTGTTGATCCAGAAGATAAAAATACAGAACTAGCTCCTTATATAGGGATCGCCATAATTCCAGTCATTTTGATAATCATTGTTGTGATTGTCTTTATAAGAAGGTGTGTTTTCTTCTTAATAATTTCTTAAAATTCCTCGATGAGATGCGTTTAACTGGACATATGTTACTGCTGATTTATAATTGGAAATAGGTTAGGATATTAAAAATATGCCTATTACATTTTTCTTCATATATCTTATGTTCAGATTTAAGATTTACTACATGCCTTGTTTTTTGATGAAAATTTACAAAGACACTTCAACATTCTTTTTAGAAGACGTGCCAAAAAGGACATTGATATTGAAGGTAATATAAATTAGCTACTAATAATCTCTATTTTTTTCAAACTCTGACGGTGAGGTCACCGAATTTTTTCAACATCATTGCTGGCATGACAGGATTTCTTTCAGCTATCTCTCTCAACTCTTGTCCCAAGACTTATATTGATTCTAACACGACAGGTTTCTTTTCAGCTATCCCTCTCAATTCATGTCCGGAGACTTATATTGATCCCTCAAGATACGGCAATCCTGAGAAAGCTGTAAGAAAATTTGCGAAGGAAATTGATCGCCGTGAGATAAAATTATCTGAACTCATCGGTGAAGGTTAGTGAAATAATGAATCATTTTTACTTCTGTGGGTAGCCAGTCTTATTCAATTTTTTTGTGTCATGATCAAAATGTCTGTGCTTATCATTAAATGCAAGCTTGTGTTTTGAAAGTAATTCTAAATTTTTCCAGGTGAATTTGCCAAAGTGCACAAGGGAACATTGACACGTATGAACGAACCCTCTGTCTCGGTGGCTGTAAAAATACTCAAGGTGAATAAAGCGATTATTTATGAAAGCTTTCGAGAGTTACATATTTACGATGAATTTTTTAATCTCTAATATTTATACTGAAGAGTAGTTCTTTATTTTTTTTATTCATATGTTTTAGCCGGGCTCCACTCCAAAAAATCGTGAAGATTTTTTAACTGAGGCTGCAGTTATGGGCCAGTTTAAGGATTTGAACATCGTAGCTTTGGAAGGCGTAGTGACTCTAAGTATGTTTACAATTAGCAATGATTTTTTTTTGCCAATGCATTTACACGTCAACTCAATGACTAGTTATCTGTCTGACCTTGCCATACCATGCCTGGAACCAAAGTGGGCAATACACAAAATAACATACTTGTAAACTATGGAAAACAGAGACAATAAGTAGTTGTTTATCCTACAGCTTGTGACATGTTTCATTAAAACTCTTTTTATCTGTAATGTTTACTTCTTGATACACAAAACAAAATTAAACGGGAGTTAATGAAAAAATGAAATATATACATGAAGCATTTTATGGTTCATTCAAATTACGAGTCAAAATGCTGTGCTCTTTTGAAAGTTTCGCGCTGTTCTTTGGTCATTAATTTTTGGATTAATGGTTTGGTTAGGATAAGTTGATGATGACCGTTATGGAACGTGAAATTTGTTTGTTTTCAGGTCACCCAGTGATGATTATAACAGAGTTTATGCACAATGGAGCTCTCAGTGACTTTCTTGTTGTATGTATTCATATGTTATTTGATTATTTGTTTTTTGATAATAATTTTGTCCTTATGGTACCACGATTGTACATTTATTCAAAACTCTATGGTCTATTCTTAGGGGCGACGATTGAACCGTTTTTCAGACGTAGAGTTACTTGGAATGGCAAAAGGAGTCGCCTCAGGGATGAAATATTTAGCGAGGATGCGTTTTGTGCATCGAGTAAGAACTAATAATTACATTCTAGACAATAGAAATTTTCTTGCGAAAGTATCAAAAAATATTTTGTCTACTACGTAGCTAGAACAAACTGGGCTGTCTGAGTAAAATGTACTTTTGCATAAGGCTACTTTTTCTGTGGTGCATGTACTTTTTATGTGATATGTGAGTGTATCACTTGCTGATATTCTGCCAAAAAATCTTTGTGAAGAAAAAACGTATTTTATACTCACGTTAACAAGTTATAAACATATTTTTAGGATCTTGCTGCGAGAAATGTGTTGGTTAACGAAAATATGGTTTGCAAAGTTGCTGATTTTGGTTTAACTCGTGAACTGGAAGACTCTGAACAAGGAGAGTATGTGACACAGGTATTTGATTTGTGAAAATCAAACATTCCTATCAAGCTATTGTTACGATTAAACTCTTTCTTGTTTCAGGGGGGAAAAATTCCTATTCGTTGGACGGCGCCCGAGGCCTACAAACATCGACGATTTACGACTGCAAGCGATGTTTGGAGTTATGGTATCGTGTTGTGGGAGATCATGTCCTACGCTGAGAGGCCTTACGGAGACTGGGACAATTACATGGTAAGCTTTAATAATATTTCATAATGTATTTTCTGATTCATCGCCATTATGTATTTTCCGCCGACCGAGGAACGAAAAAAGCGGAAAATGTTTTCTTACACACCCTTGGGAGCAGCCCGATTGTGACTCGGTGTGGCGGGTGGTGTAGGTTAAATTAAGCACATTTTGTTTTTGCATCCGCACAGCTTGACTAGAGTCACCCCACCTGGATGAAACACTAAAGACATATGTATATTGGTAACTAAGACTGTTGAGTTTGGGGTGCGACTCCTATGAGCATGATCGCTTAGCCGATGTAATGGTAGCTGTATTAACTATTTTTATGAATGAAATAAATGTCAAGCTTACGGCGGATTTGCTGCAGCAGCTTCCAGTTGTGTGTGAGAAGACATGTTTATATTAAATCTTACGTATAAAAAATTTTTTTCACAGGTTATGGAGAAAGTTACTGCAAGCTACAGGCTTTTTGCTCCAACTGTAAGTCGTCAAATGTTTTTGATATTGGATTAATTGGACTTATAATAAGTTTCTTACTTTTTATGTTTTCATTTGATGTTCAGAATTGTCCAAAAATTGTTCATCAATTGATGATGGAATGTTGGAAAGAAGAGAGAAATCAACGTCCTTCTTTCTCCGATATTGTTCAAATGCTTGAAAGATGGATTCGCAATCCTTACCTGCTCAAAGATTATCTTTATGTCACAGAGAAGTATGTTTGAGTGAAATTATTTCAATTGTCTTGTATAAGTAAATGAAGATTTCAAAGCATTTATACATAATGCTTTGTTCTTAAGAGATCATATGGCTGACAGAAAGTCTTGTGTGGCGAAATCCATTCGGGAACATCTTGAGGCCATCAAAATGGAACGATACATTGATAATTTTATCGATTTCGGCTACACAGAGATACATCAGCTATATAACATTACGGACGATGATTTGGTGAACATTGGTGTGCCGCTTGTAGGGCATAGAAATAAAATTATAAAAAGCATACGTGGTGATAAAGAATTGGTGTTACCATTACCTGTTGATGTTTGAAACTTACCCTACGAATCACATTGTACATAATAAGCGCAGTGTTTTACATTCTATCGAACCCAAAATGGCTTCTAGCTTCCCTAAACTGTCTCGACCGATTTCAGTGGACTTGGTTGAATGTGATGGTATCACAGGAGTATTTTGAAAGTCATCATTATCTGATGTTTGTCAGTACTAAAAAATATGTGAAAAGAAGAATGATGAAACCGACGAAAGACTCCTTTCATGGATGATCTCAGCTCTTGACGGTACAGCTTAAAAGAATGACAATTTTTAGTTTTGTATTGGTGTTATTCTACTTTTAGAAAAGTTTACACTTTACATTTTTGTAATGAACTTGTACAGATTGCTATTTATATTTTTCAAACGAACGATAAACTTGATTAGGGCCTGACCTGATTGTGTTAAGCTCCCGATATTTTCTAGTTTAAAATTATTTTTTTACCTTTTTTAAGTTGAAAGATAGGATGGCTTAAATGAGGATCTGATTAGTGATTGACTTATAGCTTAATGTTAGGTTAAAGAATGTCAACGGTTTTCATCACCATACCTATCATGTTTTGTTATTTAAATAGTTGGAGCAGGCCTCTTTTAGTCAAGATTAGACTTATTTGAGAACAGTTTTAAACTGAAGAAGGTCATTTTTTGCCTTAAATTGTACATATTTCGGAGAAAAAAATTTTATTTTAAACATTTGGCTTTTAAAAACTAAAAGAAATTATGTTAACGTGCTAAATAACATAAATTATTGTCTAAAAAATATCAGCTCCTATTTTTCTTTGAATGTTGTATTTATCGATATTTATTGAAAGAATATTTCATACATAATAAATATCTGTTTATCGTACCTTAATTCAATTCATATACGTATTGTTTATATCAGGGTCGGGCCCCTAATTTCTTTAAAGGCAGGTGACGACATTTAAGGAAACCGTAATGTCGTAGGATAAGAAAACAACATTTAAAAAAGTCGTTTCTTTAGAGTTGTCTTTTCAACCTTCTTTCTCGACCCTATATTTTTACTTTCGAGTTTACCTTTTAAATAAGTAAGTGTCCACGTTTATGTCCATCTTTGTGTTCACCTTTATGTCTATCATTGTGTCTGTCTTTATGTCAATTTTTATGCGAACCGTTGTGTCTATCTTTGTCTCTACTAATGTATCTACCTTTATATGTACATTTTTGTTTACTTTTATGTCTACCTTTATGTCTACCTTTATGTCTATCTTTATGTCTACCTTTATGTCTACTTTTATGTCTACTTTTATGTCTATTTTTGTGTCTACCTTTGTGTCTACCTTTATTTTTACCTTTGAATATATGTTTTTCATCACATTGACGTTGGATGACGACAGTTTGTGGCACAGCACACTTTAAGAGCCAATAGCCATTTTTGTGTTAAAAACACGACATGTTTTACTGCCTAGGTATATACGTCATTGTAGAAACGTCCTACTTGGTGAAATACTGAATCGCAGCAGGAAGAATGAGTTTGCAATGAGATTCAAATTTCAAATGAATTACTCCGATTTTGACGGCATGTGTGTTAAATTTATTATTTGTTTCACGGTGCACGACAAAACATGTTTTCATTCGCCGAACTTTGTTTCACGTTGTTTAACGTTTAATGAACAGAGTGCGCTTATGGTATTGATTTCTTATTTTAACAGATATGTATTTGCTTGTTGCATGTTTTTTAATAGGAAACGTTTTGAATGCAAGGCCCAGTGGCTGGGCATGGCTATACTGATAAGAAAATAGAAACCATAATCCTTATGACGTTTGGTTTGATATTTGACGTCATAGCCATAGTTTTGCGGTCTGGTCACGATTATCTGAGGCGCGTTTCAATATTGAGATGAGGGAGTATTTGGTCTTTTGTGATCGCTTTTCAATACATCTTAATGACACAAAGAATAGTTTATCTCTTAATTAACGACAAACTTTGATAATCCTCTAAGGACGTTAGCAATTTCACGCAATTTTTAGAAAAGAAAATTTTTTTGACAAATCAATACCAGGCGGAAACTTACAGCTCAAATTACACTTCCCCATAGGCTAATATTTTGATTAACATTGTCGTGTAAAGAGCTAAGTACTTGTAAGGAATATGTTGTTAGTTATCATTTAGGCTCGTTCGTTGATCAAAAACTGTTCGTTGTCATTACCATACGGCATGAAATGTATTATATGTAATAATAATTAGGCATCGCAAAACTCCGGCAGTCATTCGGTAATAAGGCTCATTGTCTGCGTTTAGTCAGCACTTTGTCGTGATAACAGCGAAAGATGGCACATGGCGCTTGGATATTTACAACAATAAAGATCATTCTAATAACCTGCCATCGTTCATCAGCCGAAATAGGTAAGAATAGTAATTTTTATCTTTGTGATTGAACGTATGGAATGCGCAAGAGGGAAATAACGTACAATCTTTTCGATAGATCGAACAAGGCGAATATTCGTTGTATTATAATGCATTATAAAGAATTATTTATAGGCTTTTTATACGACTTATTGATGAAAATTAACTCGACGCTAATACTTAAATGTTTGATTTGTTAACGAATTTAATGCAACTTTGATGAGAAGTACTTAAATGCTCCAAGCTCCGTGACCCACAAATTTCATCGTTAGCCCAACAAAGGTCTTTATCGTACATTTTCAAGTTGAAATAGACAAAAAGTAAGACTTGAGTTTTAAGTTGTTGATGATATTAAAGATATAATGACCTCGACAATGTCTATGTCGTTTGGATTCAGATTCAACGAATCAATACGTTACTACGTTTTAAACATGGGATTTATCAAAAAGTGCACAAAATTGCTTTGTGACAGCTCGAAAGATAAATAGGTTGCTTTAAGACGGAAAGTCATTGGTCAAACAAGTTGTGTTTAAGAAGTAATAATGGTTTTATTCAAATTGCTGCTTGCTTTCGACGTGATAGCATTTCTGTTCATATCTATGTCACAAGTTCTTTCCTGCACCACTTGCATGTTTTATTATTTGACAGTCTATGCTATCTTTGAAAATTATTTTTCACTGCCTTTATTTTCAATGCTATTGTGTGGTTTATGGGCTTTGGATTTGAACGATGAGTCATAAACATGCTGTCGACTTTTATTGAAATTCATTTTATCATTATTCTGCAATCGCTCCCAGTAGAGTATGAAATTATATTCTTTACATGCTACGAAGGAAACAAAGCAGTTGACAAAATAAATCGAACACAATAATTGCATTCTATTAAGGAAAAGCGGACCTACAAGTCCACCTGTCATGTTTAAAGCTTCGGGGGGTTTGAAAAGCCATTAGGAGTTTTTTAAAGCTTGTCTGCTTCGTTGTGTAAAAATATATTTTCATATGACTTAGCTAGTTTTCCACATGAATGTGCGGAAACAGAACATGAAAACAGGATAGAAAAATTTAGCAAAGCATATGCGCAGAAGTTGATGAAGGTGTTAGTTAAAGGCAGAAGGTTATTTCCAAAAGTTATAAAGCAAATTTCCAAAGATTTTGACTCTATGAAAAATTTTAAATTAAACTGTAAGATCTTAATAGCGTAGGAAAGATAAACTGTTTTTATGAGCTTGTATTCTATCTGTATTCTAAACATATTGTTTGTTTAAAGACACATTTCTCAGTTCAACAGGTACCACCTGACGTAATTTGCTAATTGCAATCGTTCTTTTATATTTTCACTGAGTTTGATTATCGTTTGCCGGCAATGTTTTAACGCCATTTCGTTTCAAGCAGCTGATCATTTCTATTTTTAAGTATACCTATTGTTGCCTAAGGAATTGCCTCATTAATGAAATTTACATAGCTTTTTAATTAATTGTAATTAATATTGGTGTAATTTTCTCTTGACTGAGAATCATAATCTTCCAAGTGGTATTCGTGTATGACTGTGAGGACGCGTATTAAGGAATAATGAAAAGATTATTTGCCTATTACCACTTTTTTTTTCTATGTTGTGTTAGCTCTGAGGATCCACATTGCTATATTTAATTATAAAAATAGTTTCAATGTTCCATGATTCAACTAAACATTTTCTGATCTCCCAAATCTTTTATGTCTTTAAGGAAATTTATTGGACAAAGACGTAAAGACCTCGTTCAAACCACATAACGAAAGGTAGGCACAGTTTTATGGTTTTCATACAGTTCATTAACTTCATTTCAAAACACTTTCACAGCGCGTCCGAAGATTGTTTGATTGGCAAAAAATTACGAATGTTCAAAAAAGATATTTGTCTTGTACACCAATGCGACGGCAGACATGCTTTTATTTTGTTTGAATTAAAATGGTAAAATCAATCCTAGTTTTAGCTATTTTTTTCAATCACGTTTGGTTGACTGCAACGTTTGAAGCTTTAATTCATTTAATAATTTTGTTACAAACTAGTATTTGTCGCTAACAAAGTTTGGAAAGCTGTCATGAAAAATAACCTGAAATAAAAAATGTTATTTATTTCTTCGCATCAAAGTTATTTTGCTTCATTTAGTGGAGCTTGTTGGATTCAAGGTATTATGTTTGCAATTCTGAAGATTGGTTGAAAAGTAAAAAAGTGCTCAATACAACTGGCATAAAGGAGCTTTACATTAAAGTAGTTTATGTTTATCGAAACAATACTTCAAAAAGCCTATTGAACAATAGTGCTTTTCACCTTGGCGCTCTGGACGCTTCCATAAAAACACCTGTCAATTTTTCTATGGTTAATGGAAAATGGATTAATGAAAGCTACATATCTACTACACCTTTGCTAATAAATTCAAAAGCACTTCGTATTTGGATTGCACCAGAAAAAAACTTTGGCGGCAGTTGTATGTTTGTTTCCAGCGTCGAAATCACATATAAATACTGTAAACAAAAAGAGCGTCTATCATTTGCAAAACTTCCACAAACATTTGCTCCCCCACACGGAGCTGCAGCCATTCGAGTGCAGGGACATTGTATTTATAGTTCACATAAGGCTGTGGCGTTTTGTAGTAGTGCAGGTTATTGGCTCAATGCAACGTTTCCATGTGACTGTGCTCCGGGAAAAGTGATGATTTCAGACCGATGCACAGGTAAGCATATTTCTCTTCATTTACCTGGTTACCTTGCTCAATATCAAAGTTTTGTTTCCAAGATGCATGTGTGGGAGTATTTAGTCTTTATTTCTATTTACAAAATGTTGCCATTATATATGAATCAACTCAAGTCTGCTTTGTTTCATTTTATAAAGTAAATATTGCATGGAGCATAGTGTAGCATAAAGTTTATTCGTCTTAGCTAAATTAACCTAAAGATTGAATTTGATCGTTTTACTTCTAACGCATACGTGGAGTCTACTTTTTCAACACACCACGTGATATTTATCTATTCATGTAGCAGTTCCTTCGTTTGTCAGCGAGCTGCAAGTTGTTCGATTGTCAAACACGGAGGCACGACTATCATGGAAAAAAAGGTTTCCGAGAAACATTATTTACAATATAGTTTGCTATCAATGCTTTGGGAAATATTGCAATAAAAATTGTCCGCCAGGGGTTAATGTGATCGACAATACAATGGACAAGTCTAGTAAAATTGCAACGTTATTAAAGGCTTGAAAGCTGGTGTTGAATACAAGTTCACCATCCTTGCAAAATTAAAGGATGTCAAACGAGTAGATTGGAATGAAACACCTACGTCGGTTATTTTGCGAGGTATGTAGAAAGAAGTTGAAATTTTCTATATATTCTGGTTTACGTCAATTTTTGTTCATATTTGTTTTATGGTTTGCTCTCATTCATCTCATTTCTTTTTCACAGCTTTACCACAAAAAGTAAAAAATCTTAGACTTACATTGCTAAAGGAGAGAAGCATTAAATTAACATGGATTCCTGGTGGAAAAGCACACGACCAAACCGTTGTGTATGATATTGCTTGCAAAATTCTGTGTGAAACGGAGTTTTGTGCACCAGACCAATGCAAACATCTAAAATTTGCACCAGCATCGAAAAATGTTCGCCAAACCAACGTTATCATTTCTGGATTCAACGAACATGACTTGCAATATATTTTTGAAGTTCGTACAAAGAATAACTCACTCAAATATTCAGAATGGTATGAAGACATTATTTGGAATTACGTGGCAATCAATTATACTGGTAAATACGGCCTACATTAACTTTATTACATTTAATTAACATTATTTGTAACTTTAATAACCTTAAATAATGATAATAAAATAAAGTATAACGTTGCAATTTGTTTTTGTAGCAGATTTTAAGGAGCCCATTTTGCTTGATTCAAAATCTGTGAGCATTGTCGATATCATCATTGGTGTATCAGTTTTCCTCCTCACTTTAGTTGTGGCGATTTTTGTTGCCCGCTTTTACAACAGGTTCGTTCAAAATATCATCCAGAAAGTAGGATTCATACATAAATTGCTTGTTACATAAGAATACCCCATATTCCAACCATTAATGATGGAACCTAAACCTGGTTGATAACAAACGACTGTAAAAGTGCATGTGAATAATTGAAGTTAGTTTGTAAATGGGAGGTTTTACTTGATTACTTTTAGATGGAGACGAAGAAAAGAAGCTCCTGGTTTTGATGATGAAAATGATGAATATTTGACAGCAACTGAAAGTGATTATTTTATTTTCTTCTTACCGTCTTTACACGATTTTTCTGTGACAACATATTTACACAGGGTATTATTTTTAAAGTTGATGCACACTTCAAGATTCTTGCTAAAGTATTTTTTTAGTTTCATTGACAGACATAACAGCGCACTATGTGAATCCAACTGACTATGATCGTGTTGAAAACGTCTTGCAAAAATTTACCATCCAATTGAATGAAAAAGATCTTAAAACGGAAGTCATTATTGGCGAAGGTAATGTGCACAAATGATCGTCTTTATCTAATGATCGTCTAAGGAATACCTAAAGTGTTAGTATTTTTTTCTTTTATACATAGGTGAGTTTGGTGTTGTTTGGAAAGGATTTCTGAAAAAGAATAGAAATGAAACAACTGTTGCTGTGAAATGCCTTCGAGTAAGTCATGTTGACAGTTAAGACCATCAAAACTTGTGACTCAGATAAATTTCTGTTAATTTTGCAGAGCGGCTTGTCACCGAAACATCGTCATGATTTTCTTGCTGAGGCATCAGTAATGGGACAATTTAAACATCCTAACATCATTTCATTGTATGGTGTTATTGTCAAAAGTAAGCCTTCGATTTTTGACTGTTTTGTTGTGACTCGTCAATTGTACTTCATGTAAAGCAAAGCTACGTATTTTAGAGCTAATCATCAGTTCATTTACTCTAGAGCAAACTGTGAAAATTGTCATGGAATATATGACAAATGGTTCATTGAATCACTACTTAATGGTAACACAAAAGTTTTTACTTCAGTGTTGAAATTTACTTTGGTCATTTTTTGTGAATCATCACATTTGTAACATTTAGAAAAATAATGGAAAACTAATTCTTTTGCAATTGCTTGGCATGGCTCGTGGAATTGCATCCGGAATGAATTATCTTTCTGGACGAAATTTCATACACAGAGTAAGCAATTATACAGACTGTAGGGGAACTTGCAGCCAGAGTAAAGATTTCTGTTTTTTCATTCAAACTCAACTATGTAAAATTTTTAGGATCTTGCTGCAAGAAACATACTTGTTGACGAACAAATGATTTGTAAAGTGTCTGATTTTGGGCTTACTCGTGAGATTTGCCAAACATCGAACTACGAAACTAGGGTAAGCAGCTTATTTTTGTCTTGGTTAACAAAAAAAATTATGAAGTCGTGACTGCTAAGATTCGTAATTAATCAAATATTCGATTCCTTTATAGGGAGGAAAAATTCCCATTCGCTGGACAGCACCTGAAGTGATAAAACATCGAAAGTCTTTCAAAGCGAGTGATGTTTGGAGTTACGGTGTTGTTTTATGGGAGATTATGGCATATGGTCAGCGGCCGTATTGGGAATGGGATAATTTTCGTGTAAGCGATAGTGTGATTAGTACTTCAGTGACGTAATGTGATACCTAACACAAAAATATTTTTTGAAATGAAAAAATGAAAACAACATTTAAAATAACTGTCTTGTTCAGGTTTTACAAGAACTAGAAAATGGTTACAGACTTCCTGCTCCATTGGTAAGTACCTGAATTCTTATAAGTTAAACTAAATGTTTTAAAATGTATTACTATAAGGTGTTTTTTTAATAGAAATGTCCAAAGTCAGTTCATACACTGATGCTTGATTGCTGGGAAAAAGAGCGAACAAGTCGACCAACATTTTTACAAATTATTGAGAGGCTTGATGATTGGATACGTTCACCAGAAACAGTACATTATTCACCAGAGATAAAATTAAGAAAGTACGTAGGTGATGACGTTATTGTTATTAAGTATTAGGGAGATATCAACAGACGAGAAAGGAGATTTTTACATTTTCATTTCTCAAAACGAGCCAAAACAATGTTATACTAGCATTATTCTAGTTCTCATTTAAAGAGCTACGTCATCAATATTTTTGTTTCTGTCTTTGTTTTGTTTTGGCTCTACTTAACTTTGAATCTGTCATTTTGTAGAAACATCAAAGAAATTCAGTCGCCAATTAGTGATTGGCTCGACTCTATTAAAATGGGGAAGTATGCAGTTAACTTTCACGACGCTGGATATGATCGATTAAGTCAGATAATGAACTTAACTGAGCAGGATTTAACTGAGATGGGAATCACTCTGATTGGTCATAGACATAAGATACATCAGAGTATACCATTGATCACGTGATAATTAGCTCTGAAAATTTTAAGTCAAGTTTTTCTCGCCACGAAAAATAAGAGGATTTACTTATCATTTTTTTGTTATTCGAGATTTGCTGTATCATAGTTTGTGGGATAAAAGACTTATGCAAGAAACAAATTTGACGTGGACAAATTTATAGCTTTTGCTATATTTCTTGTGTTTAACACAACAGTTGTTTTGTTCTATTGTTTGGTTCAAGAAGAATTACTTAAGAAAAGTGCTATTTTAATGGCAAAGACAAGATTTATTTAGTTCAAATTTTTGGTTTGTATAATAATTGATCAATGATGTTAATATTTGTAATTAGTTTATAACATTTGGTTAATATATCAGTAGTTCTATAGTTTGTTTGGATTGTCCTGCCATTCATTGGCAAAATTATGCGAGAACATGACCGTTTGGGGGGGGGGGAGAGGGAATTGTTCCTGAGCCCTAGTCTAAGTCAATGGAAGCCAAGAAAGCAGTTGTGGAGTGTCCATGGGCTGCGTCCAGTTGTATCATTTCAGAAAGTGGGTTTTTTCCAATAAGTTGTCATTTCATATAAGTCGGAGAAAAGCTCCCAAAATTTTGATTGCGTCCCGGTGCCTAATTTCTCAGCACAGCATGAGAAATTTCTATCATGAATTATCATTTGATGTATGACAGTTTGCAATTACGTTGTGTCAACCTGGTGGATGTTAAAGAGTGATGTAAACATTAGCAAAAAGTAAACAGAGACGCAAGGAATATGGAGACGAAATGGATAGTTGACAAATTGCTTGATTGAAACTTCGGATTTTTTCGGATGGGCCAGAAGCATACACTTTTCTTTGCCGCAGGAGAGGGCCGAATAGATGATTTGAAATGGGTTTTGTTCGAGAAGAGGGTTTCACCAAACTTACGAGATCATTCCACGCAAGAAGTAGCTCTACATCTTGCGGCGTCGAAAGGTCATTTAGAATGTGTTAAGCTGTTGTTGAATGCAGGTATTCTTCATAATTTGTCCACAGTTCAAGTGCTCAACACTTGTCTGTCAACTTTCATTGAAAGAAGTTACTCTTAACTGAAGTCATTTCTTTTTGCTGTCTTACAGGAGCAAATGTCGATGCTCGTAACAGTTATGGCTTGACATCTTTACATCTTTCTGTTTGCAATGGAAGATATGGATGTGTTCTTGCTTTGATTAAAGGCGGAGCTGATATTAACGCTACGTCCAGGTATTACTACTTTTGTATTAGTAAAAGTTTCAATAAATTGACGTTAATAATTGTTAAAAATTATTTTAAACCTTGTACATATTTATTATTTCTTAGGTTTGGTTGTACACCTTTACATCAAGCTGCATATTTTAATCGTACAAAATGTTGTCAATGCTTGCTCAATGCTGGAGCTTTAGTTAATGTTCAAGAGTCTTGGGGAAGAACACCTTTATTTCTTGCTATTGAAAAAAGAAACATGTAAGAAGACAGTGATTGTATTTAACATCTTATGAAGAAAAAAACTAGTTTATCACCTTTCTCTGACTATTGATTATTCTTTTGATAGAAGTATGGTAAGATTACTACTGAAAAGTCACAGCAGTGTTGATATTGCTGATAGCACCAAGGGACAAACTTGTTTGATGCTAGCAGCATCACTTGGTGATATTGAATCGATGAGACTTCTCCTTGATTATGAAGCAGACCCTAATATTCAAGACAATTGTGGTCAAACTGCCCTTCATCATGGTATTTATTTTTGCATTTCTTGGATTCTGTTTACATAATGTTTTCATGAAGAAATCCTCAGTTTATAAGCATGTTTCACAAGCAAAACAATAATTTGGTATGATTTATCAACCTCATGTTTCTAACAAACTTTGAAAATCTTATAGTTGCAAATGACACTAAAGGCGAAGTTGTTTCAAGATGTATAAGGCAGTTGGCTGCTTATGGAGCTATGTGCCTTGAAGACAACAAATGCAAAACTCCAACAGATATACTTATAGTTAAAAACAACACTTCTGACGCTGACCTCCTGATGCAATTGACAAGTAAGCATAAAGTAATTTATATCTTTGCATTTTATATTTTTCTTGCTCATTCACTGACAAATCTTCGTGTTTTTCGTTGCTTTGACGTAAAAATTAGGTACACCAAGAACGCTACGAAATATGTGTTGGGTGAATGTGCGACAAAATTTACTAGGAAAAAAAACAATGGATTTGCGAAAGTTGAAGCTACCTGAATGTCTGGTCAAATATATAGAAGATGATTCGGCATTTTTGTAAATCTGAATATATTTTAAAGTAATTTTTTATATGTTATTAAAAAGAATAGGCCTTGAATGAAATTGGGAATTTCTTTTGTACAAAATGAATGGAAGAATGCATGATTCAGATATGGAAAAATTGGCGGTTGACTAAATGAATACAAAATACAATAAAAATAAAATGCGACGAAAGATTTTTGCAATAATTTGATTAAGTTCTCTAAATAAAACAAGTTTTTAAAGAGATAGCACAACTGCGCAAGCGTATTGGCAACAATTAGCCAATCATAATTCCAGGACCCTCTGATGTTGAGCAAATCAAAATGGCGGAAGACGACGAGAAAGAAACTAAAGAAAGTCAATCGCAGAGAAAAATGAAAGGTGAAATACCTAAATGGAGCGAAACTTGCATTGGATTTTGGAGTAAAGATTATAAAGAAATACCTGGGAAAGATCCTGAAGAAAAAAGAAGATGTAGGGGAATAAGTATTCTGCGTTTGAACAAGGTAAACCGTAAACATTTTTACATTGGTGAATGAGTGAACTGTGAATCATTGTAGCACGAACTGAAACCCATTCCTTCTTGTAGTTTACTTCGTCAAAAAAAGTGAAAAACATTCCTACAACTGGAATCGAGATTGTCATAAAGGAGGGAGGTAGTATGTTTCTATATTCTGTGGCTTATTGCCCAATTGTTTATTTCTCGAGAAGATATCAGAAAGTAAGCAAATTTTGTTTTTAGATGAAGAGAATATTGACAAAAAGTCAAATGAGTTCGAAAGGTGAGCTCATGATTTTTTTCAATCCCAACATTTTGCACAACATTCTTCAATATTGGCATTTGTGTCTTGAAAATATTTTTAGTTCATCAACAGTAAAAGGTAGAAATGTATCAAGAGATAATTCAGAAGCGGCCTCACCAAGACTTTTAAATAAAATTACTGAAAACTGGAGTAAAAGATACCATGATATGGAAGGAAGAATAGTTCGATATTACCATAATCCTTATGCTAGCATGGGTAAGTATGACTATTTACTTCCAATTGTTTTATTGAAACTATTGCAATTGATTGGCATTATTTTTAATACAATATAATTACAATTCTAGAAATCCTAGCTGATATTAAAAAAAGTATGTCAAGTGGGTATGGAATGATTGAAAGAATTTTATCTTATTGTCATCCTCAAGAGAAGGCTGTGCAGGTATGATGATCAAATCAATAATTTTTGGCAACTTAGAGGATTCACAAATTATATCACAAACCTATTGCAAAAATTAGTTTTAGGTAATAAAAAATCAATTCTTTTGTGTTGTTTTCACAGATTTCCAATTTTATAAGTGACCATTTCAAAAACATTTCAAAATGGTGGAAGGAGCAATAACAATATTGTTGAGATAAACTTACTGCTAAAATACTGCTGTATATAACTACTGCTTGCACTGCTAAAATATTTTGTCTAGCCAAAAAGACATCCTTAATCAAAGAAGACCATGTCAATTAAATGGCAAAAAAATATTGACAAACTGTTTCAAGAATTTGCCTTGAAAAGTTTGGAAAGAAATTAGGATATTCTTGTCATAAAATTTTGAGACTTTATTCATAGATTTGACAATCCATTGTCAATGAAATGTTCGGATTGATCAATCCACAACATAGACTGCCAATGAACATTTGGCAAAAAGGCTTATTAGATGTAAAAGTGTATGATGATATTTGTCTACTTGTTTTTCTATATTGCCTGACAGTTCATAAATAAATGTTCATTGTAGACTACTTAGTTTGTGAAATCTACTTAAGCACTTAAACTTCTGTAGATCTCTGAAAAGATTACATGCCTTTATGAATTTCAATCAATTGCAAACCTATACAAATGTTGAAAACACGTTATTATCAACGACACAATATTCTTATCACAGCTTTGTAATCTTCATATATATTTTGTATACATTCATATGTAGTGTTGCAGGTGTTAAGTGCATTCATTGATTCTTCTTTGACTATCTTTCATATAATTGTATTTTAAGGTTTTTTTTGAGCTAAAAAGAATGATCCTTTATACTTAAGTTATTGTCTTTCAATTAATAAATTCGCATTCATGTTGTCCTCTGATTGGTACGAATCTTTGTGACTGTTTTCTTTGGTCAGACGCCAATTTGGATAATTATCTTCATAGATTCTTTTCCCGTGTTTTTGTAATGTTCTCTGAAGAAAAACATTGATACAACTTTAAGATGAAGCGAGAGAAGTGTTTATTGTTAAACACATAAATTTGAGTTTTAGAAATGCGTTTATATTTAAAAAGAGAACATGCGAAAGGTAAATGAATTATTACACTTGTGTAAAGAACTCAAAAACTGTTATTCATTTTACAATAATACCACAACTCATGAATTTTCCATTTTACAATTACATAAAAATCTCATGCATTCATCTATGAATCAGACTCTATCTTTTCTCAATTTTCATTGGCACAAAACTATAGTACCGCACATTTTAGCAGAATAAATTCAATTAGCTACCTTTCCACACCATGACCCAATGCAGCTTCTTCTTTTGCTATTCCCTTCAGCAATACAGATGAGGCAACAAACAATCATTAAAATGGAGAAGAATTTAGCACGCATTTTCGAAATAGTAAGAGCTTCTTGGCCACTATTGTCTTCTGTCGTCAATACACGGATAGAAGTTTACAATTACTTGCTGTTTTCTTTGTTGGCCAATATATAAGCTTTCCATCTTGCATTATTCATTTCAAATTACCATTATGGCAATTTGTTATCAAATTCACATCCTCATCATCCTTTTTAACTGATACACGTTTGTGTTTCCAATATGTGTTGAGCTGTGCAAATATCGGAAGAAAATATCGCTATTAGGATCTCTTAAAGTGCTTTTTGTTTATCTTCCTGCTTTTGTGTCGCGCGCTTTTGATTTTTTGTAATCTTTAACAAAACTAAGGTAATGCAATTTCATGTTACTAATGAATTTTTTTTAAATTTTCAAGATAACCTGTTCTTAGAATGAACAACTCTCAGAGTTTTCATCTTGTAACATGTGCAAATGATATTCGCTAAAATTAAATTTTCCATTAAAGAAATGGACCAGTATCTCCGTTTTACAAATAGCAAGTAACAATTATCCCCACGCAAGCTTTGCAAAGATTCGGCCAGCTGTTTGCAAGTTGCCATTATTGGCTTTTTAAATCGTCACAGCAGATCATCAACTAAGTGTAACGGATCAAACTACATTTGTGGGCGAGCATCTATCAACCATGAAGAATATTGGTATTGCGTTGACTTTTTGTTTGTCTCATTGTCTTTCCGTTGATGCTGTCCGGTCACTCCTTGCCTTTACATGTCCAAGGGACTTAAGGCTATTTTCATCATACTTGAATAGGTAAAAAAATAGCATAACATATGAATTGTATATTATAGCATAATAGATATTTATGCAACACAAAGTATAGCACAGCAAAATATACAAATCCTGTTGGAAACACTTATCTCACTATTTGATTAACATTTTTTAATATTGCGGATAAGGTCCGGCAGTTACGCAATAGTCGACCACCTTTGAGGTGAGTAGTTTACAGTGATTTTCATAACAGTTGCTTGTTGTTGGCACATGAACTATTCTTTAGCTTTCAATTAATGTGCATGGCCTCCGTCCGTAGAGTTAGAAAGGAGGATGGAAAGGTGGATAGTTTCAGATGTTAGTGTGACAAAATAGTATCAGCCAGAATGAAAGGAAAAGATTGCCAGACGGTAGTTAAACAAACGATTATTTATAGAATAGAGAGGGTGGCACTGACGAAAAGACAGAGAATGTATGAGTGGAGGTCCTGTGATGAAGATATTGAGGTTTTCTTTAGGCACACCACATGTCAGATGTTTTCGATACAAACTGAGAGACAGCTGGCTAAAATGGTTTGGACACGTTCAACGACAGTAATTATATCAGTAAAGAGATTAGTTAACAGCTTCCGTACTAGAACAACTGCAATGTGCGTTGGAGCAGACGTCCAGACTATCACCCTCCTTGATGCTTTGTCCTTTAGGTGACAATAAATGGTGCTTAATGCAAACGTTAGTCTCCCTGTTCATTTCAGTTATGACAGGTAAATGACACTAGCCTAGATAGATCACAACACTATCTCCCATCTCTTACATTTTGTTGCATTCACTTCCTTTCACTTCACACGATTTTCCCTGCGGATATGAGAAGTGCACTTGCTCCCATAAGTAACCTTTGACCTGCGCCAAATATTCTGTCTGTTTGATAAGTAAACATAAAATACTTTAATTTTTTCAATTTTCGGCGTTTTTGTCGATTTTCGTGGAAAAAATTCAACTGTATGTAAAAAGCTATTGTGATAATGCCCAGGTTTGATGTAAAATTTGCAGGTTCAAAGAAATTCTTCTACCCGGGAGAAACCATTGTTGGTAACATAATCGTGAAAGTTGACTCTTTGACCATGACTTGTAAGAAAATTACGCTGAAATTTAAAGGGAAATGTGACATTTCGTGGACGACTGGAACTAAACGTGGCCATGACTTGAAAACACATACAAACAACGAAGAATATTTCAAAAAAACGTCAACACTTGCAGAACCAACTCATGAAAACTCTGATATAATTCTTGATCACGGGGAATTTTTCTATCCATTTCAATTTATACTGCCAGATAATTTACCTCCCACTATAGATGCGCCGTATGTGACTGGTGGTATAAAATACTACGTTAAGGTGAAACTGCATGTTGATTCCTACCGTCTGAAGTCAGACGTTGAAGAAAAGATGCCATTTAAGGTTGGTAGGAATCTGTGGTAAGGACATTGTTTGTCTATGTTACATGTTTTAATGTAAATCTTTGTCATAATATTCTATATCATCTTTGCTTTTTGACAATTTGAAGGTTGCTGCAACTCCAGTAAATTTGGATCAAATGAGATACCTACTTGAGCCTGTTACTATTACAGAAGAGAAGTTTCTTTGCTGCCTGTGCTGTCAATCTGGACCTATAAAGCTTATTGGTAGCATTCCAAAGCAAGCTTTTACTCCTGGGGAACAGATTCAGCTTTCCTTTGAACTTGACAACAAGGAGACAGACCAACCTCTGAGAGCAATTGAGGCAAAACTGATGGCAAAGTTTAAAGCAACAAGTAACATTAGAGTCAAATATGAAAATGAATGGGCTGAATCCTCTGTTGAACTGTGTAATGGAATGACGCCAAGGAATAAAAATACTTGGAATGTCACTCTGAACATCCCGAAAGATACAACTCCAAATTTTCAAAATTGCAAGTGCTTACAGTTAGATTATTATTTTATTGTGAATGTAGACATAGAAGCACACTTTGATGCAAATGTCTCATTTCCAATAACAATTTCAAGTGGCCCATTTTCTGTTCAACCTTCACCTATGTCAATAGATGTATCAAGTACAGCATATGCTCCTCATTCAATACTTCCATCTGCAAAGGGATATCCCCCTCCATCTCTTTCAGCTGTAATCCAACAACCAGCATCATTGACCTTGGATGTACCTCTTTCATACCAAACTGAAGAAAAGTAAAGTACTTAAAGTGTTCTTTTTCAAAGTTTTTATTTCAGTCTATCCTAATAGCACAACTTTCTTTACATTAATAATTTGTATTTCATTGAAAAATATCATTCTCTCATCATGTTGGCATTATCCATGTGAAAATTAATGATCTGTCCTGGTGATATTTAATACTTCGCTACGGTTGCTATGTTATTGTTTTACGGAAACATTGAACGCCACTTGCAGCGACCACAACAATGTGGTTTTATTTTATGTCGCACGTTGCTTACCATCTAACCAGATGGTTTCCAAAAGATGATCGACAAAGAATGTGAGTAATAAAGTATATTATCTAAGCTTTATGTAGAGGGAAGATCTACATCCTTATTAAAACACATCGTCAAATTCCTCAGTTGTTCACTCCAGTAATAAATGCAACAAACATGTCGCCTTTACATTTAGTGGATATAACCATTATTACCCCTGCTTTTGCTGACAGCCTCGTTCATTTTGAATTCGTAAGATTTAAACTACGAAGATGAACTTTCGTCGAAATTTAATAAAGTTTATCTTTTTCATTTATTTGCTTTACTAGACGAATTACTTTGGTTCTGCTTTCGCTGATATTTATTGTACCACAGGTGTATGTCCTGATGTTGTAAGTAAAATCGTGTCTTTATTCTGCTTAAAAATAGGACTTTGTTCTTGTCAAAAAACTTATTAATAATATATCATTGGAGATGGTTGTATGTAATTTTAGGGACAAAACAACACGGTATTGTGATCAACCCCTCTTGGAGATAGCTGTCGCCTCTCTAATTTTTACGTTTGGCATGATAGGTAGTCGAAAATATCATGTGAATTTTTTTTCCTGGCATAAAAAGAAACAAATCATAATTCATTGCTATAGCATTTACAATTCTCTTCACAATGATGGAACCTGTTCCTTGGCAACTAAAGATTGCATTCCATTTTTTTGGTTTTGCTTCTTTCCTCATGGGTCTTGTGCAGTTTGGTTCAACAATGTCCTCTAATGATTGTGTATGTGATTGATCATGAGTCTGTTTGCTTTTCTATTTATTGAAGTATTTTTCATCTTTAAACATCTTTTCATTTGTAGTGGTTCAACACTCCAGAGTTGTATTCCTTATCATTGTCATTTAGTATTATTGCCATATTGACCACAGGTATTTCTCAACTTAAAAGCCATATACATTTTGTTCAATCAATGGTACAATGTCCAAATTTATCCTTTCTATTTTTTTAAAGTGTTTTTATTGATGATGTTGCCTTTTTGGTTGATCAATTATTTCTTTCCTCATTCGGTATTGAGTCGAAAAGAAAGAAGAGGAATGTGCTATGAACCAGTTAAGTGCTGCACATGCCTCTGGCATATATAGTAATACAAACCAAATTCTTCACGTGATCAATTGTTTTATAAAAAATCCATCTCATCACATGTAAATATTGTATATTGAGTTGTTCATAATGAATGACAAATTATGATTCCTAAAGTTTGGGTTCTGGTACTTCTGTGAGCCAGTTTTCAGAGCAGTAATTGTCAAGCGGATCGTAATCTATTTTTTTCAGTTGGATGTATTGCGAGCTAGTTTAGCTCGAGCTTCACGTATTTTTGTAACTTCGTAATTTTGTTGAATCTTATGCTGCGATAGGAAGTATACAGTGTTTCTCAATTGTGTTTGAGCTGATCTGGGTAAATTTCTTATTTGTTTGCCTGCAGAAATTAGTCTTGTATGTCCATTAGTGTTCAAAGAAAGTTTACCAAACGCTTCCATGATTGGTGTAAGTGTCATTGGACGACCATCACGACCACTAAATGTTACACGTACACGCGATGATGATTTAGCTCGTTCTTTTCTTCTGTTTGTAACATTTACATTTTGGCTCTCTTTGCTCCTGTTAACTTTGTCTTGAATACAACTTGACGTTGGTCTTGGAGATAACGTTTGAAGAACTGTATCCGATGTGGATCTCTTTAGTTTCTTTTTAACTTCAGGATTCCCAATTATGTTTGTGCTTTCTTCTGTTCTACATAATGTCGATTCAGCTCTCATAGAAAGGCAACTGAACATAGCATACTCTTCCTGTTCTCTTGCTAATCGATCAATTATCTTCTTCTGTACAATTTCCAAAGACTTTTTCCTTTTTTGCAACAATCTTTCTTCAAATTTGTTTTTTCTTAAATACACATCTGGTAACGCGCTTCTTAATGGAAAAGTTGAAATCAATCTTTTGTTAAATGACATCTTAACGCTAACTCAGTTTATTTCTTTACGAATTTGTTGAACTTAACTTTTCCTTCTTTTCGATTGATAGGAATTTAAATCCTTAATCTCGTCATATTACAAAGATTACCATTGTCAAATAAAACAGCGCCTACTTATTAACAATACTCAAGTATGACAACAAATGTATTGACGATTCGGATAGACCACATTTCTTGTAATGTCGATGCAGATTTATTATGGTACTTTATAGTCTTTAACAGAATGAGCATTTCAAAAGTGGAATAATACATTTTCAGACCCTCTGATCTTCACATAACATGTTTGTTCTTCAGTTATATTCATTGCATCTTGTATCACTAAATTTGTAGTCTTCACTTGGTTATTTCTTCCATCTCCCATAAACGCTCCATAAAATGAATTTCTTTCACCATGCATCACAATTCAACTATGGTAACATAAATCATAATCTTGTTCTTTTGTAAACAAAACTTTGACAAAAGTTCTCAAATGTTGTTGCTCGACTAATTTATGTATTAACTTGTCATGCAATAGTAATGCCTTTGAAATATGTTAGGAACAAGAAATAGGTACACAGTCATTTGTAATTTCACAGTCAATTGTGTCATTAAATGGCAGAACTATAGCAAATGCTGAAAAATGCAAGCAGGTTTTTTGCCTCTAATGCAAGATGCAAAACATAAAGTTCATTATCTTCCAATTGACAGTGCCTTAAATGATAAAGTGCAGAGAAAAAACGCTTATGAAGAGCGTCTTCTTGTCAAGCGAACTGAGCATATTGAAAAGCAAAGACATCAAACATTAGATGAGTACAACTTTCGCAAGAGCCAATTTCTCTCGTTTTTACCCACTGTCGAACGACTGGCGGTTCTAAGAAAAGACTGGCTTACTGCAACATTTGATATTGAAAAGAATAAAACAAGCAGTCGTGTACACGATCAGCATCAAACAGCCCGATTGCTTCTTGTGGTAGAGATACAAAACTCAGTTGAGAACCAATCACAACCTGAGAAGAACTCTTAGCTGTGAAGAACTTAAATTACCTGATCTAGAATGCATTGAGGACATTTTGAACGGATATAGAAGCCGAGAGCAACAAACTAAGTCTGTCTCACCAATGAAACGTCGATTCGCATTCTATTGGAATATGGAAGATAATGAAAACATGTGTAAGCAAGATATGAAAACAACACTTACAGCAAATGATTCATTACAAGAAAAATATAGCACTAATAAAATAGAACAAATGAGTAGATATAATTCTAGCCCTTTTTCATCGACTTCTAAAAATGAAGATAAATTTCCCAACAATATCATTCATTTAAAAAATGATAAAACGACTCAAAACCTGTTGACATCAAGAACTGTGGACAGGAATACAGTATCATGTAATGTGGATGATAATGAATTCACTGCAATGTCCAACACCTATGAGGTCAGAAAGAAAGACGTGGGAAGAAAACAAGTTGCTTTACCCGAGAACTTTATCAACAATTTTCTTTCTAGTTTGAAGAATGATGCAACGCCGTCGAATGCAAGTCGATTTCTTGTAAAAATGCTAAAGAAGACTGAGGAATGCACCACCACAGGAGTAATTAATTCAGATAATTACCTTACAATTCAATCGCATAATTCACCCGAAACTCGGCTTATGAGCAATGTGAAAAAAAGGCAATTGCTCGAAACTCAGCGAGTCCGGATCCTACGTTCTATAATTCTTGTTTATGATACAATATGCAAGGAAAGAAAAGGGTTATAAAATTACATGGCAATAGCTAACTCAAATCGATGACGAAACTAACTGACAGAAGAAATGAATTACTGAATTAATTAGAGCATGTTAATTGAAATTGGGATTTTAATCCCATTTTGATGAAAAAACCTTCAAAAAATAGCATCTGACATTTACAAATTGCATATGATTCTAGCTTATTATTTTTAGCGGAATGTTTTTTCCGCTAATGTTAGTATGGTGAGTTAACATCTTTGTCAATTTTTACCTGGTGCACCATTATTTGTATTTCGTACCCAGTGCTTCGAAGTCCAAATTGCTCGGATACAATATGGCGGATTAAAACATCTTCAACTGTCTTCAACATTTGCGATGCAATTTTGGAAACAAGGTTACTCTGTTGCTAGTATAGATTCTTTTAGTGAGTTAGCTAGCTGCAAACAATGGTGAGTATCGTCTTGTTTGTAAGAATTTTATGGGATTGTACATTTTTCTACTCATCTTGTAATTTCTATTGTTTGGTTCTGCGAGTTTGGTTCCAATGGCAGGCTTATTTAACTTACTAGTTTTGCCGATGATAAAGTTTGTGTTGTTGGTTTATTTGGAAATGGTCGATCAGGAGTGCAAGGCAAAGCATTTTATGCTAATTCAGCAGTTGAACGAAATGTCTTTCAGGTCAGTTTTTTCTTAACTTATTTGATTACATGACCAAAGCCATCTATGTAATTAGGATATCCCTGGCCATTCATATATTCAGGAGATACCTGACCATAAATATAGTTAGGAGATCCCTGAAGATCCGTGCAATTAAGATATTCCTGACCATCCACTTAATTACGTGATCCCTGACCATCCATGCAGTTAGAAGATCCCTAAATTCCACTTAGTTTTAGAGATCTCTGACTTTCATGATAATAATGAGATCTCTGACCATCCATGTAATTTGAAGATATCTGACCATACATGCAATCTTGATGTCAATGACTATCGATGCAAATGGAGATCTCTGGCCATTTATGTAATTAGGAGATCCCAGACTATTCATGTAATTTGTCTCTGACCATCCATGCAACTTGGAGATTCCTGGCAATCCATGTATCTGTTTACAATGTTTCTTAGGTCTCCAAATTATCGAGTTTAATGAAAAATTTACATATATTACTAGCTTTTCTTTTATGTTCATTTTGAAGGGAGAAAATTTTTTCAAGATGACAAACTTACAGTCGGTAAGCACCAAAGGCTTGCAATAGTGCATACATGCTCTTTGTGGGATGGAAAGTTACAATCATATTCAGATGAAGTAGTCAAATTCTCTTTTAATATAGTGTGAAATTGAAATTTTTCATGATGTGGAACAAAGGACATTGTATTTACATCTTGTAACAATACATGATGGGGCAATGTTGAATAAACTATGCAATATACTGCATCAAAATATACCATTTAGTGTGAGTGCCTTAAAGTAACATGTGAAACATTCTTGACTTAGTGATGTTTAGCTAGCGAACATTGGCATTACTGTATTTGTTTTATTCATAGGAAACACACAAAGTTTGGCAACATCATGAATATCAATATGCTAAAGCATTGTTGTTCATGTTTTCTGTTTGCCACATCATGGTGGTAAGGATTTTAATTTTTGTTGAGTTTCAAACCATGAGTACATCATAACTCTATTGTTTGCTCTTCCAGTTGATGCATCCAACTCAGACATTTGACGTTACCTACATCAGATTGTTTAAACTAATTGCTAATACAAGGTATTAACAACTTAGTTTGAAAAAATGAGAACCAGTAGATTTTGTTCAAGGTTTTCAACTTTCTTTCAACATTTTAGGCAATTGTTGATAACAATACTAAGCCAAGAGCTGAGCTGTGTTGAAGAAATTCATGATATATGGAAACAAACAGGACGACCATGCATACCTAGACTCTTACTGTCCTTTCAACAGGTAAAATTTATTTTTTGTCTTTACCACCTGCTTCTCTAGTCATGTACAACTGTATCATACATGCCTTGGTTGTAACTTAATGATATTCACCTCTTTAAACATTTGCCACTTGTTGCTTAATGCACAAAGGATATTTACATGTAACTCATGTTTCAGAACACAAACTCGAAGCTGTCATGCAGAAATCTTGAAGAGGTATCAGGTTTTATCGCATTGCCTCCCTCAAACTCATTTGACTTAAAATGCATTGAGCATAAATTTTCTTGCAGATGGGGTCAAATCCAGATTCTTATGCTAGCCGTACAAAGATTAAGTCTCAGGTGATGAGAAGTTTCAACACATAGTTTGCAGTTATCTACTTTTTGTTGAAATTTATGACTTTGAGATTAATATTTATCTTTAAAGGCTTCGACTAAAAGCCCTCTGATCAATCTTCAACATGCTTTGGAAGACCAAGTGTACAGTATCATGAGAAAAAGTCGGTTGCTGGGAAGCCTAAGGTAGTTTGAATATTTTGAGCCAATTTTTTACTGCGTCATGAGAAAATAGCATTATTATCCACTTTGTTGTTGTATTAAATAAAACGTTTTAAGGTTTTATTTTGGAACGACGTCGTTTTTGAAAAATATTATAGTTTTCAAGAATCATGTTTGAAACTAAATTTAATTAGATTTTGAACGATGAATAAAGGAATCACCAGCAACATGGCAGGTTTATCGTATTGTTATATGTTTATATCTATGGACTGGTGAAAACGCACTAAATTATTCATTGATACATTTCATGGTTAATAAATATATTTTCATGGTACATATCAAAGGCAGCTAAAAATTCTTCTTTAATTTATAGCTCAAGTTCTTTATTTACTGTCACCTCAAGTCATAATTTCGTGCACGTCCAAGCAACAGAAATCTCTCGCTCCGCAGACACCTTGAATATTTTGCTTAAAAAGTTGCCGTTTCCAGATTTGCCAGGTATGTCTTCATTCCTCAATTGCAAATGTCTGTTATACCTTTAATTTTAAAAAGCTTGCGCAGATTTCACGGAGTAACCTTGATTTGACGGAGTTACATATTCCAACTCTTAAGATTGGCTTGATAAGCTCGTTTGCTACATTTTTGTGTAACTTCTGGATATCGAGTAGCATGCATTGGCACAAACTCCAAAGCGATCGTACAATATCCATTGTTATTCCAGAGAATGGCTCTTCTCCCATTAGTAAAGTCTGAATTGGAGCTCTAGTTATTGTTGCATGCTTTGATATCTTTTAACAGATTTTATAGGTTTCTCACTATTGGAAGACGTCCGTTAGTCGATGTCGGCCTATAGAATTGTTGCTTTATTACGGTCGTTTTCTTGCCAAAGTGTCAAAATTGAAAAATTTTACGTGAGACTTTTACAACTCTTTAGGTTATCTTTAGGAACTTGTACCTCGGTATTTTTACTTGAGATACTTGCTGTCTCAGAACATCAAAATGCTTCTCCTGGATCCTGTGGATTTATTTCTCGCCTTTCACGTATTCTGTGTTCTGATACACAGTTTTATCTTCCTACTCTTGACTTCCATGCAACTACATCCACTGCTTCCATGCAACTACATCTTAGGCGTGGTTGCTTGGAAAAACTGTTTTCAGGAGGAAGAAGGACTCTACTATAAATTCTTCAGTAATGTCCTTTATCTTTTTCTCTTGTATGTTTAAATGCCTTCAATCCACAGTTTCTTTTTTCCATCTCTCTTCTTTTTTGTGTTCTGGTCGCTGTGAAAGCATTTTTCGCTTGAGTTGCAAAGTTTAGCAATATAAATCTTGCACATATTTCTTGCTTGTTGCAAATTGTGGAGACATGGAGATGAACAGTTTAACGGATTTTGAAGTGTGAGCAAGCTTGAAAAACATTTAATTAAAAATGCCATACTCTCTGTGGCCATTCGTTCAGCATTTTTCTATTAAGGAATGCAAAGATATTTTATTATGATGAATTAACTATATGCTTATTTTAGAAAGTCTAAGTTCTGGCCATTTTTGCAAACGCAATTCCGACTTAACAGAAACGAACGCCGACTCCGGTCACGTGATCTTCCGAGATTTCTTGAGGGAACAAATTGATAACCTTATGACCGGTGATGGCCGTGATGGTTTGGCGGAAGGACGTCGAGGCACTCACGTTGAGGTAAACTTCGGGCTTGATTGCATTTTAAAAATAATTTATTTCTTGGACTTCGTTGTGCGCTTATAATTTATATTTCCCAGGTTCCTACGATCAGGCAGTGGGCAAAGGTGTGTGTAGCCGTGTTTGGATATCTTATGAGCGAACGTAGTGACGAGAACAGCCATCTTATGTCTCTAGCCGCCAACTTGGATCTTGAGATGAAATTTTCGGAAGCGTAAGTTGAAATTTACTTCAAAATATCATGAAATATTTCGATGTTGTTCATTAGTTCAATTGAACTCTTTTAGCCTAGAATTTCATTCATCTTAAAGACTTGACTTTTGTCAACTTTTTTCAGGCGTTGTCGTAAAGTTTTGCCACTAGCCACAAGTGCGTACCATGATAAACTACCCTCTCACTATACAGAAAGTGTTCATATCAGTCAGGTAATGACTACAAAAACCTTTAACTGACAACTGTTGAGCTATTTATTCTTTGAACCAGTTTACATAAATAGAAGCATAAATCAATTTTGTCGCTTTCTTGTTTTAGCTAAACCAAGCACTTCACGTGTTTGCATTGAACGCCCGAGGTCCTGCGTATGAAAAATATGTGCTCCAGCTACAAGATGATTGCAACAAGGTCAGCGGCTTTTTTCTTGAATTGATATAGTTTTTGTTGAGTAAAGTGTTTTCATATCTTTCTGGTAATTTCCATCTTAGATGTGGTTGAATGGAAGGCAGCTGTGTGAAGTTCGCAGTCTCAAAGGTCGACATTGCATTTATCCGGTAAGATTTTCAAATAGGTACTATGTAGCTTTTTATCTTGTTTTCACTTTCTAACCTTCTCTATATTTTTGATAACTTTATCCATTATAGTTCCACATCGTCCCTGGACAACAGATTGTCGACAGTCCTTTCATTGATAAGAGTAATATATCTTGTAAGCCACACTCCAGTCGTATCACAAGTGTCTGTGCTTGTAATTGTGGAAAAATGCAGGCTCAGCGGGAGGACCCCTTTGATTTGAAGGTAATGTGCCGTAGCAAGTTATGTTTCTTTTCATGTAATCCACCTTCGTGTATTATATTAATATTTTGAATTTATTTCTTTTGCCTTTTGTAGGCAGCTAACTACGATTTCTTTCAAGCAATGGAGGAGAAATGCTGCTCTACATTACCTCATTTCTCTTTCCCCTGTCATCCACCAAAACCAGTAGAATCCCAAGGTGTTCCTCAAACGCCTTCATCATCGAAGTTAACGTCCTTGTCATCTCAAAAAACAACACATGCAACGAGCACAGTACGGTTGAATAAAGACGCTAAAGAGTTTGTATCCAATCTTGCAAAGATAAAGGATATAGGTAGCCTTACACCTGGATTCTTAAATAATGGAGCTGCCACGGCTGCTTCTGATGCCACACATGCAACGGTTATTTCAAATCTTACGGATGTGCCAGGTCCTGTTGCTGAATTTCATCCTCCTAACTCCACGAGTACCCAAAATACATTAACTTCGAATGCCGAAACTGTGTCGAATTCGTCAGGCATCACGAGTCCACCAATCAATATTAATTTGTCTAGCAATCCAAATTTTCCATCCGGCTCATTGTTGAGTGAAAGTTTCCCGTCATTGTCTGGACTTGAGTCAAACTATCATAAAAGCACCACGTCTTCGGGATATCATGGCAACAGCTCTCCTGCGGCCATTGATCGGATGAGCAGTGACACGAATGAACCTGAAGAGAACAGGTTAACTAGACAAAATTCTTTAATTGAATCTACTGATCATTTGGAATGTATGCTCAGCAACGAGCTCACTGGCACTAGATTGCCATTATATAGTAGCTGGTCTCTTTGTCGTCTTGGAAACGCCAGTAGCTATCAAGTGTCGAAAGGTCTTGAGCAGCCGGGATTTTTTCCTGGTAGTAATTTTCTCTTGCCATGGGACATTCCGCTGTTAAACGAGAACCAAACGGGACTTAGTAGCTTTATTGATGGAAATGTTAAACACCCGGGAGTAAAGACTGCCGGTGTTGATGCGTGGCCTGCACCCAATGAATTGCTAAATGCAAACAGCAGTACTGGCCTGCCTCTTTACCAGACCCTCGCTTATGCATCTCGGCAGTGTACAGACTATAAAGTCAATCCGTTGCCCATATGCCTTCCTTCACAAATCACCACGAAGAGCAATGTTGCTAAAGCGCAGCGACGTCAATTTCCCACCGTGAGAGCATACATTGGAAATGAATACGAGTGTGCTCGTGGCCATAGGTATGTGTAGATGTAATTGTACCATACATTGCCATTGTTATAATGAAGTTTTTAATGTACTATCGTACTTCATCTGTCAACACTTCTTTTCCCATCAACGAAACATGTTTTCTATCTCTTATTCCAGATTCATTTGCTCTGCTGAAGATAAAATGGTAAAGGCCAACAGTTCTGGTGTCGTAAAGGAAAGTGGAATACGGTTAGTCGATTCAGACATGCCATTATATTTTCCGTGCCCATGTCGTACAACGAAACCGTTCCTTGCTCAATTGACAAGACTTTTCATCGTGACGCCTGAGTCACCCATACTAGTCACTCTCAATCCACGCGTACAACCTGCTCCTTCACCGTGTCCAATCTTTTATACGGGTGTAAATTCAGTTATTACCCTACCGCCTGCTAGTTTGTGCGTTCTTCGTTTACCTTTCGTGTATGTCGGGTTACAAGGACCCATCTCGCATCCTGCTGATAATCAACCTCTGATGAATTCGCGTCTACTCCGAGGGACGTATGGTGTTATGGCCACAGAGCGAATATTGGAAAAAAGGACACCTGGGGATAGTTGAGTTTTTGGATGCTTAATCCGGGTTACCTATGGTGTTATCGCCAGCTGAGATATGCTGGTAGAAAAAGGACATGGGGTTGAGTTCTTAACTCAGAATTTTTTAGATGGCACTTGTTGGATGACTTCCTTTGGTGGACCAGATGTAACACTTGGATTGAAAGCTTTAGTGACCTTCGTTCGTGTAGATAAAATACACCACACATGCAATGAGCAAGCATATTCGATCTCTATTATTTTGCTTACCATGAATTCCAACATACATAATGTGCATTAGGAAATCCATGGTTAGATATGTCATAATCGACCTTTGTATCTGATCGTCTGCTTACACATCACAAACATGATGCATAAATAACGATGAACTTATGTCACTCATTGTTAACCGAACGTACTACGAAGGCGTAAATGTTCGGATTATTTCAACATTATCAACTTTGAATAGTCATCTTTAAGTTTATAGTGATATACATCCGTTTCCATAACGCCTCAACGTTATTTATTAAGTGCCAAAATTTGAAGTCAACAACATCTCAACACTTCTATGGCTAAGCGAACAACTTAAGGCTTCCTTTATTTGATAAGCAATGTAAATTTTGATGTTTATTATTTGCGTAATAACATAAAACAATGGTCAATTGTTTGCATTTTACGTATATTTAATGATGGGATAACATAGCTCTTTTGTTTTGTAACACCACCTATTGTTTTTAGGATTAGATTTGTTAGACGTCTGGTAATTTGTTCATGTACGAACAATGAAATGACGTGACACATACATAATGATATGCATTACAGCATGCAAAAAGTATTATTCACTTCAAGCTTTTGGCACTTATGAATTTGGAGGCGTCATGGTAAAAACTTGTCGCTCGTACGAAACAGGTATAACGTATTCAAAACACTTGTGGATGTTGAAAGCAAAGTTGATGACTTGGTGCCTTAATTGGAGTAGACAACAAGTATCGTTATTTTTCATCTTACTACCGAAAGACGCATCATTTTACTGCCAACGTATATTAATTGATGTGCTAATAAACAATCAAGATCTTCAACATCTTTGAATACACTGAAAAATAAGTGGAGGCTATGTCTTCAAGAAACTTATTGAAAACATAGAAAAGTACTGCAAAAACAGTGATCAAATGTTAGCATGTATACCTTATATATTTGCATATATACAAATATTTGTCACCGTATAAGGACTCAAGTGAATTTATTCCACTGGAGAGTCTTCCGGCAGTTTCGGCCTTGAAAGGGTTAAACACCCGGTCGTTCGTGAAAATATGTTGAACCAGACACTTCCTGGAGAAGTCATTCGCTGTAATATTTTTACTGTTGATGGTTCCAGAATTCTTCAAAACTCGTCGAATGAGAAATTTGAAATAATTGTTTAGTATAAAGAATTTGGAATCAAAATGAAAAATAGACGATAAATTTTGAAGCTAAATTTCGTACGTGATCACAACAAAGAATGTGCAGCAAGACACAGCGATCGAAAGCAATTTTAAAGGTATAATTAATACTGTGTATTTAAATGTACCATAAAGTTGCTATATTAACAGGATTTCTTCTTTTTTTTGACGTATAATTGATGGCAAAGATTCGCATTGCACCAAACGGCGTCATTTTAATCACAGAATCGCATTATTGTTTACACAAATGTCGTTCAAAGGCATTCGATTGTGTTATCATATTTTAACATCATTTTCTATTTCTATGATCAAAATATAGGTAAAATAGCAATTACTTCTCGTGTATTTCACGTATAAAAAACAAAAATGTTTCCCATTTCTGAGACTCGATATTAGATCGTGTTTATAAAACCGTTGGGCATGTAATGGCATAACCTCTATGTTTGTAACAACTTTTTCCGGTCTGTCTGTTCAAACGCAGTCGTGGTTTATGTAGTCTTTTCTCTTATACGATGTGTTTATTGTTCAACTATTAATATTTTACTATTGAAAAAGTTTCTTTTGGGGAGAATTATGTGACTATATTCAACAGAAACTCGTTTTAATCAACGACAAAGTGTCATGGAAGTCAGTCGTCCGCTTTTAAATCATTATTTATTTGACCCTAGTACACAAGCGACAGTTACAGTGACTGAACAAAACAATCTTTGGTTCTTTAACTTTGGTTCTCCAAAGACTCTTTGGTTCTTTAATTATTAAAATGCCTTACAGAAAATGCATATATATACAATTGCCAATGCCAAACATAAAACTTTGAAAAAATTATTGAAAGTTCTGAGAAGTTTTGTTAAAAGTTTTTGAAAGTTTTATTAAAAGTTTTATGTTTAATGTTTTATATTTAAAAACAATTTTTATAGAGGTCGTTCATATACTACATACTCAAAGTTTTCCAAATTCTCTTCTTTTGTGCACAATTATTTGGTAGCCCCCTACCGCCTACCCATCAAACATAAATGTGCTTTGCTACTTTATATTAGCATAACTTTGAAAGTGGCAAAAGTCAGCTTTTATGTTTGAAACCAAGCTATGCTTATTGATTTCTGTTATCTTTGAATACCTGCGTGCTCTGACTAATCAAGCAAGTGATATGAATCTTTGAAAATCTACAAATAGCATACTTAGTCGGCAACCAAAATTTGATTTCAAAATGTCATTTGTACAAAACAACATTTTAGTAGCCTCACTTTTCTTTATACACATATGTTTGCATTGATCACAAACCTCCCCCCCTCCCTTCATTGAATACATACTAAATGAACGAACCCTGGTTCAAGTAGTTCAATGAAATTCTACTAAATAATAGATCAGGTTGTATTTTGATTAATTTATCATGAAGACAAAAACCCAACTATACGTATCTTTTTTATCTACCTTGTCTAACCCAAATGGTCAATATTTTTGATAACACCAGATTCAGGCAGCATTGTTTTGAAAACATTGTAATCATGTGCGCTTTTTAAGTTATGTTATTGATTATTTTATAAATTTCATGTTTTCATGCTCTCTAGAAATTTCAAAGCAAAATGCAAGAGCCATAAAACCGAAAGTTGCTACCATGAATATGACAGAAACTAAAACCAAACCATTACCTAAACCTCGATATCGTAACAAATCTTCACCATCAAGTCTGCCTCATTCAACCAACCAACCACCCATTTCCTCATCTGCCCATGTTCAAAAACCACCCTTAAAACCAAAACCTGCGAAATATAAACAACTCAAATTTAACAACAAAGGTTTGGTTAGTATCACTGCTGATATACATATAGACGTTGAGTCTCCCTCAAATTCTGAGAAAAGCAAGAATACTGGTGCTGCTGAAATCAATTGCCCTTCGGTCAACGCACAGAGTATGCGCACGTCATCTCAAAATGGGTCAAAAAATAGCGAAAATAAAGTAAGATATAGTTGTACTTTCTAAAAACTGTACTAACTAAACTAACAGTACAAACCTGTATTTTCTCTGACTCTTCATCTCTACTTTGTATCTTGTATCTTTGTTCTTTGTATTGTAAGGTTATTTCATCGCTCGGTGGAAAAAACAACGTATCTCAGCCGCAAACACATACGGAAGCAATTAATAAACTGCCACCAAAGCCTCCAAGACTTCCTCCAAACGACTCGCGACTGGATGTTAATGACAATGAAGAAAAAAAGAGCCGAGATGGAGATATTTTGTCTTTTAAAACAAACATAGTCCAGAAAAACATACCGGCCTTACCTCGTAAACCAAATTTCCTACGAAAGTCCATCGACAATTCAAAAATCACCAGCCAGTTTTACGTGGAGTCTGCCCAAAACGAAAGCTTCAATACAGAAAGCGAATTAACTATCGACGAACAGAAAAAACCAGACATTCCTGCTTCGTTGACCACATGGAAATCCAAAGATAAAGATGACTATGACGTGACACGTGACATCGAGTCAGAGAAGTCACCTGACCAGGTGACATCATCAACAAATATGACGTCGAGTAAGCATGTAAAACTTGTAAAAAGAACTAACAGCAGTGCCGGAGAAACTCCACCATTGCCACGTAAACCTGTTTCTAGGCCACCATTACCAAATTCCAACAAACATTCACAGAACAATGTAAAAATAGATACAAAAAATGGAAATGGCCACAGTGTTGGGTGTCATGAGGCATTACCGTACAGCTCATCAAAAATATCCTCCCTGTCACCTAATAAAGATACAAATGACAATTCATTAATTACAAAGGTAGATGCACAACATAATCAAGCAGTACTCAACTCTTCGCTAGAAGGGAATGAGGTGAGCAAATGGAATCAAGGCGAAAAATCTTCTGTCGATGAAATGGAGAAAAGTATGGTTATAAAAAACAACAAACCTAGAAGACCTCCTCCTGGTCCACCTCCTCGACCTTTAATAGATAGGTCTCCACCGTCAAGGCCGCTACCAAGTCTTCCAAAACAACCATCATTAGGAAGTAAACGGTCAAGTGCCCCCCCACCTTTACCAAATAGTCATCGTCCGGTTTCCGTTTTCAATGTCAGTGCCGATGTGATGGTATCTATTCGACGAACAGTTTCCTCACAAGATATTGCTGGTGATGACAGCGATGACGGTTGTACATGCATCTTTACCATCATCTCTTGTCGATAAAGATTTACTATTTTTCTTATGCCATGTTTGATTTCACTTTTTAGATACAGTGTACTGCGAAACTGACGATTTTATAACAACTCCGAAACCTGCCGTTTCAGCTAACGTAACGGGCGAAGTTGACCAGAGTGACTACGAACAAGTGGATTATAAATTTGAGGAAGAATTAATGGATAGTGGCAGCCAAATTGCTCAGTGAGTATTGAAAGGTTTGCTTGAAAAATGTTTACAACTTTATTCTTTGACATGCAAATTCAAAGCTCAATTTTCACGCAATTGAAGTTTTTATAAATTTTCATAACTTTCTCAACCATAGTGTTAATTGTAATTAATCATACATCCAGAATGAAGTCAAATCAGAAAAACAAGACTGATCTTGAACAAGTTGAAAAAACAAAGAAATCAGAAAGTAGGAAACCGTTTTCTTTTATTTCACTTTTACTGGTTGTCAGAATTATTAACGTAGGAAACATTGGGATTTTTCACTGTTGGAAATTTTTTTCATGATTATCTTGCAGGAGTCGCGTCTACTACGTATTCTTCTAGCTCAGATGATTCCGAGCATGAATATGTTGAGCCAATCTTTCAACGGTCAGCGGCACATTTGAGTACAGGTATATAGCTGTATATTATTAGCTTAACAGTCAATAATTCATCCCGTCTCCTTGGGTTATGTTATATGTATCGTAGCAGTCAGCAGATAGTGGTGTTTTCAATCATTTAAAAGACAAGGACCGGTTGCATGAAGTCTGGATAGCTTTATCCATTTGATGGGCAATTTTTTTGAAACTTTTATAAAACCTTAAAAAGTAAAAAATATAAGATTCGAAAGGAGCAATCACTGAAGCAAAATATTGTTTCGGAGATTACGAAATTTCTTTTGTCGTAGGATAAATACAAACACCTTTTTTACAAATTTAAAAAATTTGTGCTATCCAATGGATAACGCTATCTAGGCTTACTGCAACCGGCCCGAGATGTGTAAATCATACGGCTGATAACCATTAATTAGCAAATGAGAACAAATGCAAGTCTTTCATGCAATGTCTACATTAATGGATGGCAATTTTACATAACTTCCTCTCCTTTTCTTTATGCGATTGACACTAAAGTCATGAATATAAATAGCATAACTGGTAGGCGTAAAGGAGTGAATCATAGACTTGTTTTATGATTCTCTGTTAAAGTGACCCCTTCGCCGACGAGTACTTCAAGTTCACAAGGCTCGAATATTTACGTTGAAGCAGTTCCTGTGTCTGAGGAGGTGATGAAAAACGATTCGAGTAGCACAAACACAAAAGAAGATCAATTCAAGGTTTGAGTATATGGCTTTTAGTTTTTTACTCAAATATTTGCTCAAAGACACCTCTTTATGAGTATGAGTATGACTTTGTGAATTTCTACTTTCATATCTTTAGCCCTGGTCAGAGGAAAAGGTGATTGAATGGGACTATGAGGGTGAAAGTGACGACTCAGGTTTAAAATTTGTGTTTTAATTGTGTTATTTTTCAAACATTGCATTAATTTTCATATAATTTATTCAGTGGCAAGTTATGACGAACCTGACGATGATTTTGACGACGACGATTTTGAAGGTTGGTGGAAAAAAAGTGTATTGATAATTGTGTAACAGAACATAACAAAGCCTGTAGGTGTTATATTGTACTTTCGCAGTCAGTGGCGGACCAGTGTACCTCAAAATAAATTATAGCTTCTCAATTTTAAATTCAAATTATAATAAAGAAAAACTATTGGTTTTTAATTTCTAAAGAGTATAATTTTGCCAATGAATTTGCCTCTAAGGTGTTTAGAAATTTAAATATACGCCAAAATGTGCTGCAGTAATTTATTTTGAGGTACTCTAAGTCTGCCACTGACTGCAGTATTCTCTGGAGAGAAAGAATCAACCAACGACATTTTTATAGATTAGCAGCTATTTTAATCTGCTAAATTCTTCAATAGATTTTGAAGGGGAGCCTTTGTATCAAGTTTATCAAGCAGTAGCGCTGAAGAAAGAACGAACATTGAGCTTGAAACGCCCAAAAAGAAAATCAAGTGAGCAGACGTACACATTAGGTCATGGAACACTGCGAGGTGGTAAAATGCTGTGGTCACAATTACCAGATGTATGTCAAAACATTTGTTTCTTATTTTTACTTTTACATAGTAATATGTACGAGTGTTTATCATGGATGTCTCAAACATGTCCACCATGACTTTTATTAAGGTACGAAACAGTGGCTTGTTGGAGAACATGACAATTGAACAACGAAAATACCAAGAGGTGGGCAGATGCAACTATTTGAATAGATTTGGATCAAAAGTCACAAGGATTATGTTTTTTATCGTTTGCAGGCCGTATTTGAAGTGTTGTCATCTGAGGTTTCTTACTTGAAAAGTTTGAAACTCCTCGTTGAACATTTTCTTCAATCACCACTATTTTCAATCGATTCTGATGATTCCATCATGAACGAGTTTCAAGTTTCGGAACTCATCTCCAATATCTATGAAATTGTTAAAGTCAGCGAAAGGTAGGATCGTATAAGGCTCTACATAAAACTAGGATTGTATAATTCTGCATCAAAGGTATAGAATTGAAAGACTTTGCAGAAATGCAGGATTATAAGGCCTTGTGTTTGTAGATTTTCTTGTATGCAAAAGCAATCATTAGTATTATTTACAACGATATGGAGCGTGGAAAATTTTCGACAACCGCATCATTTATGTTTTTTACCGTATTATTTATATTGTTTTTTCAAGGATTGTACACGTATAACTTTCTATGACTTTAAAGCTAAAATCCCACATTCGTTTCACCATCTCATATGCCGGTCACTTTCTTGTATTTTAGATTTCTTGGCGAGTTACGTTCACGTCAGAGAGAGTCCGTTGTTATTGACAGCATTAGCGATATTGTAACAGATCATGTTAGTTCAATGATAAACAGTTCTCCATCATGCTTATTTATGCTATAAATAATTTTCTTTACTTTTACCAGGCAAATAATCATTTCGATGCCTATGTAACATACTGCTCCAAGCAGTATAAACAAGACAGAGCATTGACTGATTTAAAGTAAGTATATGTCATGCATACAGTGCCTCTACGGAGTGAAAACATCTCTCAATTTTTGAACTGTAGAATTTGGGCAGGTATTTTGAACAACATTTTTTTAGAAGAAAAGAATGAATTAAATTATTATAATATTTAGCTATAAGAGTTGCAAAAAGGTATAGCCCTCGTAAGAACTGACATTTGTGCAATGAAAATTCTCAATATTCATTGTACACGAAAGATTTCTCTTGAAGGGCGATTTTTAAAGATCATTTGAAAGTTGTAACAAAGAAATTTTCTATTCTCTCTTTAGGCAAACAAACTGGAGATTTGCAGAAGCTTTGTCAAAGTTAGAAAGAGATCCATGTGTTTTGGGTCTAACTCTACAATCATTTCTTGTGCTTCCAATGCAGAGGGTGACGCGCTATCCTTTGTTAGTAGATGTATGTAAACTGCAAAGATAGATGACTTTCAGAAGTTGAGGCTGTTAGCATTTCAAGACTATCATCGCTCAATGTTCATGAATTTTTTTTCGAAATATGCCCATAGTTATCTTCTTTTTTTCTCTTTTATAGGCCATTGTACGTCGCTGTGAACCTGGTCACAAGGAGTATTACAAAACGGATACTGCTTTAAAAGCTGTGAATCAGGTTCTTATAAGCTCGACATTGACCGACTGTCACAGAAAATGAATTATTCTTTATTATATGTGTGTCTGTGTTTCGGCCAGGTTGTGCACAAGTGTAATGAAGGTGCCAGAAAGGAAGAAAGAAAGGACGAGATGATAGAAATTAGCAAAATTATTGCGTTTATAAGAATTAGTGTATGTTTTTTGCTTTTCACTGTTCGTGGCATCTATCTTGATTTCGTCACATTCTCGCAAACTCATGCAATTTGTGTTATAGCCAATACGAGTAATTGTTGATGATCGCTGGCTATTACGTCGTGGTCCCTTACAGCTTTTGGAGGATGAAAAGAAATCAACTTTTTCCAATACCTTGCGTGGAAGATTTAAGAAATACCGTGTCAAACCAATCTATCTTTTCCTGTTCAATGATCTCCTTATAGTAACGAAGAAGAAGACGTAAGAACCATGTGATTGTAAAAAGCTGGAGATGTAGCTCCTCGTCATCCGCCATTATATTTTGTTAGGCATTAACATCTGTTATATTTTTTGTCGTTGACGATAGCTCTTTTATATGTCTGGTTGTATATTTGGAGACTTGCTAACACCTGTGTGATTGTTTATCATTGAAAATATCTCTTAATCATCCTTGGCTTTATATTTAGAGACGAACTATACAGCGTCATCGATTATGCCAAAAGAAGCATGATTCGTGTACAAGAAAGCACCTCGAAAGCAACTAATGCATTTTTGCTGGTACTCCTGGAGAATTTAGAAAGGAAAACGAAGGAACTGAGTGTACGAGCGGACAACGAGTGAGTGTTTATTCATTGGAAGCTTTAATCCAGAATCCTTTTTATAATACAAAGTCGTTTATAGTCCGGAGTCGTTTCGAAAAATTTAGATTTGAATGATTATCGCACAAAATCATCGTCCAGTGGGACGATAATGACTAAAAAAAAACCCCATTTCACTGCTCTGGTAATATTGACAAAAAAGCATTTATATTTGATTGTATTTTATATTTTACTCATAAAATGAGGGAGGTTTAATGGTACATTGATGATTCTCACATGACATTAAATCTCCGTTTAGTACGTTTTTAAATCACAAAACATCAAAAAGTTCATATAGCGACATGCAGAATAAAAAACTTTTTTGATGGAGTTTGTTCTTATATGAAAATAGACTTATTGCCTTGAAACAATTAGAATTCAAAAAATTATCCATGATTTATTTATTTGTATTATAAGGACAGATTTGACACGTTGGAAAGAAGCGTTTAATCCCCCATCAACATCAAATGATGACGAGACGATATACGGATCATGGGGTAAGATTAGTGGTCAGTGGTCAAGATGAAATAAATTAGTGTTCAGCTGGCAAAACATAATAAATCAGTGGTCTGATTAACAATTATATTCTTAGCTTATCACATTTGCAACAATTTTTTCTTCACTTCAATTTATAACGAAGAAATTGATGCGTAGTCGTTGTTTTCTGATTTTTTACATTATCGTCCTCACAAACAGCATTTTGTGTACACATTCTACTCTGGAGAGATACTTTGTGTAATATAATTTTATTAGAAATTTCCTTCCATATGTTGCAAGTAAAACATGAGTCATCCCCTTAGTATATCGTACAAAACGCTTTGTTAAATTATCTACGATTTAAAACTTTCAATGTATTTTTCAGATTGCCCTCAGGTGAATGTCATTCATAATTATCAAGCCCAGCAATCAGATGAACTTAGTCTTGTCCCTGGTGATGTTGTGAACGTTCTAAGAAAGTTAACTGATGGTAAAATTTTTAATATTTATCTTCTCCAGTATATTCATGTCATTAATCACGTTAGTCTGTCACGAAGAACTTTAATCTTAGATTTACAGTTTGACTGAGTGATATAGAAACATTGGGGAGTCTCCAACAGACTGACTTTGCCACATTCTGTAGAAGTGATAGCTAAAATTGACTTTAAGGCTCCATGAATTTTCATGCATTCCGTAGATGGATTTTAATAAGAGTAACAGCATCAACATTCATTCACTAAAACTAGAAAAAAGACTCCATGAAAATGTTAGCTATCATTGCTGAGGTGGTTTATTTCTACGTAAATTATAAAATGTGGTCAATTGTCAATGTGACTGATTAAACCATTTTGTTGACGACTGTTTCTAAAATCCATTATGAGCTGTCGACAAATTATCAAAGTATTGAAATTAATTGTTAACTTTGATACTATACCAATGTCAGTGTTAGCATTCTTTCTAAGACTAATTCCTTTAAGGAAAGTAATTTGTACCAGTTAACTATAGTAAGATTTGTACTCAGTTCTTTTTACATTCTCATCATGGTAACGTCACTTTACTAATGATGTCATTTATAATATCTCAGGTTGGTATGAAGGTGAGCGCATTCGTGATGGCGTGTGTGGCTGGTTTCCCGCCAATCATACAGAGGAAATACGTAACGAACACGTGCGTGCTAGAAATCTCCATCAAAGATATCGATTATTGGCTGCCTCTACAGCGTTTCTCGACACCAAGAAGAGGTGACAACAGTACAGATACCATACTGAGGTCAGTGTGTCACCTCACTGCAATTTTCACTTTTATTTTTTCTTTCTTTTACTTTTATCAATAACAAATTCGGAAATTCCTATGACACTAAATCATTTTAAGAATTACTTTTTAATATATTTGTATATATGATTATGACATACTTTAGTAATTTTTTATGATTTGCGCAGTAAATTTTCCATTATTAATTTAAAACGCTTTTGTTTACTTTAATATAGCTACATATGTATTTTTTTAATGCCAAAATTTTTACCACGTATAATGTATTATTTCTTAATTTAAACAATAAAATCAAAATGGTAACTTGTAATGATCGAACTATAGTAATGTCTTTTAGTTCGTTGAACAATATTTTGGCATACCTTCATTAAACCGTCACTTTCGGTCACTTAAACCTCACCAAAATAGTCTAACCCATCGCTTCCAGAAACATTATTTGCTGGTTGGCTAAACTGCTAAGCTGCTGATCAATTTTAATAACGTATAACTACAACTTACATAAGCTTTTAAAAGACTATAGCCATAATTTTGATCTATTTCGAGAGTTGTTTTTGCTTTCCAAGCAATTCAATTAAAGATCATTCACTTTTTGGCTGGTATTTTATTTCGATTATCCCAGAAAATTAGCATTTATATTAATATAATCTGTGCTAATTATTGAAGCACTTGTTTAGAAAGCGGCGATTATTTCGTGTTGATGTCGAATGCGCCCTAGGCATCTACTAAAATGGCAAAAATTAGATGATAAATTGCCCCGTTTTTACTTTATCTTCAATTGTGACGACAGCATTCTTGCTGTGGCTATTTTAATATGGCGGGATGTTGCTGTGATTACTTTATGTAACTACAAACAAAATTTCTTCATTTCACTCATTCACACTGTCTTGCTGCAGTTGCTTTATAGGTAGACATAAGCAACAAGGTCCAAACAGACCATTAGTTTTACATGTTGTAAACATTTACATTAAGTTCTCTACATATATCATTTTTGTTGGAGCATATATTTTTATTTATATAAACTCTGGCAACAAAAGTCTAAAGAAACGTTACTTCACAGCGATCATAGGTGCAGCCTCTTAACTTTCTGCATGGAAAAGTCATGTATGGCAAAAAAAAACAAGTGCTAGGCAAATGTAAATTGAAGGGTACGTTAGTAATTTTAACTCACTAATGAGAATGTTGCACAAATGTTTCTGGTTTTAGAACAACTTAATGCACATTTGTGAGGGCCTTCACTCAGTTTTTTATGGAAGAGTATTGCTTCTTTCTTCTTTGCGTTACAAATACTTGGCAGATGTTCACACATGATAACATTCAATTTATGGTCTAAATTTACACAAGATAAAATCTCAAAATAGATTGCAAAAAAGAAGATTACACTGTAAACAACCCCCTGCTATTATTCACACGTGCCGTATCTGAAAAGAGAAAATTTATGCATGGAAGGTGTGGCGAGGGCTGGTGTGTGGCATGACGAGTGAAGAAGAGCAATTTACACATCGCAATTTTCGATATGTTTTTTCTAATTGCCTGCTCTGCAACCTGCTGTTTTGAGTTGGAATAGTTGCTATTTTGAAAATTAAACAACGCAGATTAGTCATGCTCTGTTGATGAAAGAAAGGATTCTTTAGGCGAAATTCCGAATTGGAACAACTTCGATCAGTCATGACAACATCAATTTCTAAATCCTCATGCAAATTACTTGTTGATGGACAAGTTTTTTTAGTTGTTTTAGATACACTGTGAAGATGAAATCGTTCATTTTCACGACGTTGTTGACAAAATTACCCTCGCATCATTTCAACTAAAAGAAGCTGCATTTGCATTACACTTTGTTAACCGCGCTGTAATAATTGATCCCGTATGTGTTATCCATTGAATAAATAGTGTCTTTTACCTGGAATAGAAATGCGGAAAAAGGAAATTTTTCATTGCTTTGATACACAAAGTAGATCTTCCTTGATAAAAAAGTTTCTTTTGCTTCAAATATATTTTCGACTCAAGAAAATGAAATTTCTTGTATTCTGGGCAGATGTTTAAATATTATCTTCATTGAATAGATATTTTGCAACGATAAAATCTTGTCTTTCATCGTGTTTTTTGCTTTGCTAATGGAACGAAGAATGTCTAATGATTATCATAGCTACCGTTAATCCACACTGTCTCTCTATATCTTTGCTTTCTGACAACGATTCTATGCAGTTGAGCATGAATTTGTTGACACAACATAAAGTAGGTCATTATAGACCACAATATTACAAGGAATGAAAATTATGATAACCACGAAAAGAGCCCGTGTAATCAGAGACGCACACGTTTGGTTGATGCACGTGCCACGCTGCTGTAAACTCGTAACCGTTGCATGACTGTAAAGCATGCCGACCATCTGGCAAGGTGTTATTCATTAAGTAGGCGGTGTACAGAAGAGGCGTGAGGAGGGATAGTATATTTGTTGAATTCCTTTCCCGCTTTGAATTTAGAGTTAAATTATGTTTTTTTTGAAAATTCTAAAAGGTGTTGAAAGATTTTGCTGTTCGACTAACACTTATCAATTCCTTTTGGAGAAAAATTTCCCAAATATGTTTCCAGTTTCTGGTGGGACCACCACACTGAAGTATCACCTTTAAAAGATCTTATATCTTTAAAATGTTCTCCTAAAAGCAAATTGAAACACGTAAAATTCAACAACGCAATTTGTAATAAAACATCTGCAGTCTTGTCTTGTCTCTTGTCTCAAATAGTTAATGCAGGTCACGCATATCACCAACGTTGTATAGCTCTAGTAAAATGTGGTTTAATAAAGTCATATCATTTTGAAAGTATTTTGAGATTACAATGAAATGCCCTGAATCATTCAGTATGTTCTTTTCAGACTGGGTACGCAAAGCGAAATGAGATTAATAACGAGGTTTTTTTCATTTTTAGTTAACAACAAGAACGATAAATGCTAATATATGCATGTTTCTAAAATTACTATTTTTCAACTAAGACTTTTCAGCTGTTAGGTGTTCTTTGTGCAAATGATGGATCTTATGTGGCGAAGAAAGGTTTTCAATATGACAGTACACATATCAGCTGTATGACTTCCTGTCGTTGTTAGCGTTCTACAAAATTCGATAGCAGCAAATAAGAATTAAAATGTAAATATCACAACATGATGTTCATAAAAACGGATTTACTTTGCATAAAGAACGTCTGTCAATGGTGACCTTCAATGTACTACCTACGTCATGTGAAAGGATGTTTACACTTTTTCTTGGTCTACTCTCAGACTATTCTTGTATGAGGTTTACGCTCCAGTATTTGATGACAATCTATGCGACAATCATCTAAGGAAGTTTTGTGATCACTAATATGAGTATATTACAAAATTCTATTTGAATTCGCAATCCATTTAAGATTGTTCCTTCAAAAACACGTGCAATATTTGAGTACAGAGTGGCAAAACATGAAATCAGCAGTTGATGTATGATAAGATTATATGAAAATGGTCCTTGTTCTATGATTTACTTGAACATTTTCTTGAAAGCTCAATCACATTTAAAAATTAATAATATATATTGCAATAAATTGTTTAGTGCTGTGTTTCTGTGTATTACTTTTGCATCTTTTCATCTATAATTAATAGTCCGTTTTTCAATACGAGTAACGTTTTATGCCTATTGTTGCTTGCGATTCATAAATCCGCTCGCCAATCATCGCTGAAATTCTGTCTAGTCCAACCAGATCGTTGTGAGTCAAAAAAGGGTAAGTTACAGTGTATAGCTATGCATTTTTTGGATGTTATGACTGTTTCGAACACAGTGTCCAGTGAGTTGTCCGTGAATCATAGCTGTGTGGTCGACAAAGAGAATATTTTTGGCGAGTGGACACAAGAACAGCCGGCCTGATTTGAATTCCTTGAAGATTATAATCAATAGGAAAGCACGTTTACTGAGATAGAAAAGTTGCCAATTTTATGACTCGACTTCACTTCTGGATAGACAGCAATCAACCTTTTGAATATGCACTAAATCTATTTCATTCCGCTTGAATTAAAAAAATCCCGATGACGTTTTTATTAGAGATGGGGAAAAATCTCCAGCTGTGATAGTATTTGACAAACGAAAGGTTTTACCGAGTGATAAAATTTGCGTAGACGTAGAATTGCTGTAAACAACTGGCCATTTTTATCTTGTTTACTCATGTCAAGGGTAGTATAATCTCTCACCATCATACTTTCAAACTAAGTTGAAAAACGAATATTAATAAATATTTATTTTGTTCCTCGCTATTATACACTTTTAGAAAGGCTGGTCTTTAATAGTATATTTATTGAAAGGTAGGAAGTACAAGAAAATAGAATGAAAAAGGTAGTTTTTGAATGCAAACAAGTACTTTTTCACACGTTTCCATGAACTGTGTCTTCTGTCAAAATCCGATCTCAACTATAGTTCTTCGACTGCACACAACAGCATATGATGAGCACAAAATAGAATTTCAGTTAGGAGCTCTGTGTTTATGATAAAAGCTCGTTTAACGAGCTGTGATTCTGATTATGATGGCGAAACGATTGCCACAAGTATCCGGAACTTGGTGGACAACGCACTTAAGAAGTCATTTGAGCTACTATCTTGATCAATGCATTTAACTGAAGATATCGGCTCACATGATCACAACGCTTCTAAATATACGTATCGCGGACTGATTCTTACGTCTCATTTCTCTAGAGTAGTGGCCTTATCAGTATTTGTCTCGAGTATGTGATGTCTTACATTTCACAGTTTCATCTGGGAATAGCTCATTAAATTACACGAATCGTGATTAATATTTCATGAAGTACCCACCCACGGCAAGTGTTCTCACTTGGACATATATAACTTGTTTACAACGATTTAGTTTTACGATCCTCGGCACATCGTACGGTCCATTTCAAGTGTTTCCGTCTTTATTTCACGTGCAGTTCTAACAACGCGTGTATTCATGGAACATGGCTGCAAATTGCTCCACATATTCAGAAATTTCTATTTGTAAGACCTATGCAGCTATACAAGCATCAGCAAACATATTCGCTGCATTATTTGGCACCTTGGGAAATGCTATTGTTATGCTTACTTATCTAAAATGGCGTCGTAAAATGTTCGAAACGCCTCGGGATTTTTTAACTTTCTCTTTGGCTCTTGCAGATTTCCTTACAGCAGCTCTAGTAACACCTTTTGGTATAGCTGCGTCTATAAACGGATCTTGGTCAACGGGTAGAGCAGGCTGTGTTTGGTATGGATTTATTACTTGTTGGATGGGTTTGACCTCGATTCTCCAATTGACAGGTATTGCAGCGGAACGTTATTTCACGTTGGCACACGCAGATTTACGATGGGCTTATACATGTAAAAGATACACTCGCTCATATATTGCGTTTGCTTGGCTGGCATCTGGTTTAGCAAGCTTTTTTCCACTTTTGGGGTGGTCCAGATACGACGTTGAAGGAATAGGCTTACACTGCTCCATAATGTGGAGTGAAACGTCACTGAATTACGCTTCTTACAGTTCATTTTTACTTGTTGTATTTTTCACGGTTCCTTTAAGTATGATCATTTACTTTTATGCCAAAGTATACTTGGTTGTACGACGATTATCGTGTGAAGCTAAAGCGTTATGGGGTAACGAGGATATGGCTACAAGACAAAGTTACATTGCTCAAGTTAAAGTCGCACGACAAGTCTTTATTCTCACAGGAATGTTTTTATTTGCGTGGACACCATATGCTTTGATGTCTTTTCTCAGTGTAACCCACGTCATTGAACCTAACGACAAGGATAGCGTATTGCCCGCAACATTTGCCAAAATGTCTATTGTTTATAATCCTCTTATATACTTTTTTACCTTCAAACGATTTCGAAAAAAATCCATACAGTTGCTTAAACTCCAATTTGGCTCATCGTCATGAAAGCAATCTGGAATATTTTTGGACGACCTGTTTATCAAGGTAAAATGAGAAATTATGCGCACTTGTTTCATTTTCCAAAAGAACGAAGCAAATCGAATATTCTTCATGTTTTAAACATAATGCTGAAAAGAATTCTGAATCTAGTTACAATAAGTATCGTTAATTGAGAATGGAGACAATTTGTAGTCTAGCAAGACTATATGAACAAGTCCATGAGTTTAAATAATAAAGCCTGCACATCTTTCTTGATTTTTTGAAAGAAATGTGTAAAAAAAAGCCAAATGCTGCAGAATAAGTAATTTTTTGAACTGTAGATTATATCATTTTTGCTAACTTCGAATTCTCATGCGAACTTCGAATTCCATGGAATATTTATTGTACGACACACATAAAACACGTTTTCTTATTTCAACCATTACCTTACGTTTAATTAATTTCTCAACACTTGCAAATCTAAAATGTTTATGGGAAATTTTAGTTGAGTCGAAATTTTTCAAAAAGCTAATATCTTTTTAAATTTATTTTGTAGATAAAATAAATAAATAAAATAAAAGATAGGAGCAGCTATTTCAAGAACTCTACGCCATCAGGGAAAACTTGTCAACAAAATGTGTATACAGAAATAGAGAGTCATTAAATGCTTGTAGTTATTTTAATGTCTTCACTATCGCACATAAATCTCTACAATGCCATTAAAGTGATAGGTCCGCCGCTATTTTTCAAGTTGTTTGTTTGGACATCTGTTTGTATTCAGAAAAAACAACTTGGTACGTCTCACTAACATTCAATAATCAGTTACCATGGGACTACTAAATTGATGCTCTATAGTCGCAATTACTGCATAATTGGTAAAATACGGGCGTTTGTTTTTCATTAGTTACATAAAAAACATCACACGTTGACTCACGTGTATCAACATTTAATTATAATTTTAAATTTTTAAATTTTTTTACTGATCTCGATGTTTGTGTTGGAAAATATTTCACAAAGTCAAAAAACTGGCTAACATAGCTATAGCTATGTTTCACAAATTAAGCCTAAGATTTTTTAATGAGTAGCTTTTTATTTACTGACTGCTTGAGTAGCCAATCAGTATTTACTAAATTCAGTAACAACTAAATACAGTATTTTCGAAAACGTCAAGACGAGCAGTATATAGACAATGAAATAACATAAAAAACTGACGTTTACTCCTCATTTGACTCTAAAGATGACTACCGCTAAGGTTGTCGAAACGTCAGTCAACAACAACAAAAACAGTCCTTCTCAGGACTATACCAACCTGGATGATCTACATTTACAAACATATAAAAAACTGCATCAATCAAAGAGTACCTATGTGAATAAATAGTTCTACATCGATGGGAATAGATTGTAAAACATAGAAAGGAGCTTATTATCGTATTGAAGCCATGAACTTCTTTCGAAGCAGCTAGTTTATTGTGTTAGGGAAAAATATTTAGAAAATTTTTACCTTAGAAAATTTAGAAAAATATTTAGATGGGTGGTGGTTTAGACATTTTTAGCGAACGTTTCTTTGTAGGGAGTTAGCTTTCATTATACGGGTTGTTTTTGCATTACTCTAGGGACAGGTTTAATTTTTTCAGAGTACATTGTGTCACGAATTCGAATAAAAATGGCTTCTGAGGCAAATTTTGGGTCGTTTATTCTTTACTCCAGATCTTTTTTGCGAAAATCATGTTATGTCTAATCAATCATGCTTAAACGCTCTTATAACGAGGCAAGTATGCGCATGTGTGAACTTGCTAGCAGTGTTCAGTTGATGCTGGATCAATATTTTTCAGCCTTGAATACCGTATTTTTTACCTGGATATCAATGGTAGAAATGCTGGAACCGTGTCTTTAATCAATGAGTATTTAATCTCTTGCTGAATGAAATAGAAATGTTAATCTTATTTGGTGTTATAAACACAAGCTATAAATACTAATAATATAATAATAGTATAATAATAATTCATTAAAATACAATCAGATATAAAATACTATATATGTATATTACGTCATTGCCATTTGTTATTGTGCATGTGAATTGTGGTTTTAACTTCCAACATGGCGACGATTAGTCACGAAGTAACGCCAGATGCCTTACCTTACTACGATCAAGGTTATGAAAGACCCGAAGTGAGAGAGATGGTATGAGTCAAATACGAAATTTATGTTTTATTGTATAGCTGTTTTAGTTTGGAAACAGCTTGTTAGCGGAGAAGTTTTCAACGACAAATACATGGTTAAATTTGGTTTATTATTATGTATGGTTTATGAAATTCAGAAATTGAAATGGTTGTATTACTTATTTATGTATCTCTCATGTGCTTTATATTGTTTGAATCTCCCTCTATGACTCACGAAACTGCTAAAATCATTTAATTGGCATCAAAGCAGTTGTTCACTCCGCACTTGTAAGATTTTCTTTGTCATGTGACACATTCACACAGCAGACAGCATGCTGTTGATGTACTTACTTGGAGTATGATCTAATTTATGTCATTTAGCCCATTAAAATGGTTGAGCTAACTTTTACAATGAATTCTACATACGTAGGTGAATCAATTGATTGATGAAGAAACAAAGAGATACAGGGGATCAAAGAAGTATCTTGAACATCTACCCCCTGTTGTACTTGACAAGTTTTTGGTAAGAAAACTTAAAATCATTGTTAACAAAATGCTTTTGCTTGCAAAGTAATATTGTATGTTTTCATGTTGTATTTCTTTGAAACAGACTCCTATCCTAAAAAATGAGTTTGATCGAATAAATAAGAGGCAACCAATGGATTTACTCAGCATGAAAAGGTATAAAAATGTAGTTATTTAATAGTGTAGAGAAGATGGAGTTTAATGTTTACACTTGTCACTTGAACAATGTAGATATGAGCTTCCACTTCCATCTACTGTTCAAAAAAATGATCTAACTGCTTGGCAAGAAGCTGTCAACAATTCATTTTCTCAATTAGAGCATCAAGCTACCAGGTAATTGTGACTTGTTTGTAAACTAAGATATGGTGTTTTGGAATGATGAATAATGTGTAAGCATGCAAACTTATAAGTGTAGCTTTGATTTTTTAAACAAGCATGATTTTTGTGCAAAGTTTGCTGTACTGGTATTGATATGTGTATAATAAACAAATTAATATGAGAAGGATACATGACTACATATGAGAAGGATACATGACTACATATGAGAAGGATACATGACTACATATGAGAAGGATACATGACTACATATGAGAAGGATACATGACTACATATGAGAAGGATACATGACTACATATGAGAAGGATACATGACTACATATGAGGATACATGACTACATTAATCTTGGATCCCTAGTTGTATGTTCTATAAAGAAATAATTTTTAACCATAGGTCTTTTCCGTGAAATTTTGGAGTGTGTTTTTGCCTTTTCATTACTTATCTAAAATTACAGAATTTGTAATTTGGAGCTTTTATCAACATACGGGAGTCAGTCTTGGAGATTACATAATGACACAATTGCTGAAATGGTGCAGGAACAACAAAAGAAGTTACTGGAAATAAGGTAAATCATTGAAATTGACAGATTTATATAGTTTACATTGGTGGTTCCTTCAGGAATGTAATGAGAAATTCTGATCAGAAATGAACCAATTTTAATTTATTTATAGTAAAGAAATAACCAGTATCATGTGATGGTTTCTTTAATTTTTAGAAAAGAAATTCAACAAATCAACTGGCAAAGAAAAAGTGATCAAGTGAGGAAAACTAGATAATTTTTGTTGTTGCTTGTATCACACAGGTTTTGAACAATGTTCAGAAACTACATTATACATAAGATATTAATATTTAATCATGTTCAAGAATTCATCAATAAATGGACATTCATTTTCAATTATTTGATTAAAGATATCTGCTGGCAGGGATTTACGAAGCTTAGAGGAGAGGTAAAGTGGAAAAAGCAGACATTTGTATACATTTATTCATCTTAATGAAAATAATATATGTTTATTCTTGTCACTAGCTGGAATGGACTTGTCAGCAAGAATTATGAAATTGAGAGAGCTTGTGCAGATCTTGAAGCAGAGATAGAAAACATAAAGATGGCAGCATCCTAAATGTTTTTGAACAATTCGTTGGCTTGAGCCATTTCCTAAGAAACACTGTACAACTCCATGAGTAACAGTCTTTGGACGGACATGTAAGCACCTTAATGCATGATGTGTGAAAGTGATGCAGTTATGGTGCGTAAAGGTCTTTGTGTTTTGCGGATGGTGAGAAATTAAACTCGTTATTTTTTTGTTTAAAATTTAGAAGATTTTATTCAAAGTATTTGTTCTCTATATTAACTCCTTCGATTTGCTTTTTATTTCCACCAACATAACAGTGACGTTGTCTGAACTTCCTTTCCTTATGGCATCACCAGCAATACGACTGCACGCAATTTCAAAAACATTTGTTTCTTCTTCCTCTTCAGATGTTGCTAAAACACGATTTAGAAGTGTTTGTTTTTCGTGAATTCAAACTGCTCTCAAAATCAGAACAGCATCAAATAAGATGAAAAAAATGTATATTTAAAGAGACTTCTTACCGTTTGGAACTTTTGGCATTTCTTTCTACTCGGTGTAAGAACAAATTCGATGATAACTTGTGAGAAATTTTAATAACTTTATAACAAGCTCAAATTCACAATTTGTACCAAACCTCTAAAATATTATTGATGTACTTCAAAGCTTCGTCCACTTCAAAACCTTTCCACAATCCATCACATGCCAATAACAAAAACCTTTAAGATTATAGGAAAACCATCAAAAGAATATGATTTTGTCAAAGAGAAATCAAACTTTATGAATTTAGTTGTAAAATAACGACATTAATATGAGCGAAGATAGAGTGAACGCATCGACAAATGAAATTCGCTGTAAACCTCTAGATGCCTTGATTTTATCACCCTCCCTTTCCCCACACTCCCGATGAAATACGTTTACGTTCATAGGAAATCACATTTTATTTTATATGTCTTGTTATACTTGTCTTTTTCTGTGAGAGAACATCTCAAAACATCAGGCGTGGCTATAACACCACATCCCTTAAAACGACCATCGCCAAAAGAACGCGAGACCTCAAGAATACCAAGCACTCGTCCATCTCTAAAGTACAAACGATGTTTTGCTCTTTGTCATTAGGATTGTCTCATAAGGTACGTGCAAATGCTAAACTTTGTTTTAACCTGATTGATAGACCTTGACGAAGTTACTTTTTTGTTTCAGACCATGTATGGCGAGAATAACTAAAAACAACAACTCAATATTTACCGCACATTTCCACCAGCCTTTTGGATGCGAAGTCGTTCTTCATACTATTAAATTGAAGATATCATCGCCCTATATTTTCTGAAAAGTTGTTTATGGGAAAGTTTCAGTAGGTTACTAACCTGTGTTGGGGAGTGATCTTTTGTCAGAGAAAGAACGCTGTGTTTTCCTTCTTCTGAACTTCGACAAAGCAATGCCTAGTTTGTGTTTATGAAATATTTGATAAGGTCTTTTGTCGTAAAACTAGTGCTCGGCTTCCCATTGTCCCATCAAGGTTATCAATAGAACTTTACCTTACTATCTCCCAGGTTTCCCACCAGTCTTTTCAATAGAACTTTACCTTACTATCTCCCAGGTTTGCCACGTAAAGAATATCATTGATCACCAATATTGAAACAGCTGTGGAACCATCTTTTAATACTGGGTTCCTGGAATAATCGTTTCATTATAGAAATTGACATAATCTCAAACATTGAGCCCATAAGAACAATACAGGATACACATTCACTTGATTTGACGATTTCATGGTAAGTTGAAAGTATTGTTTTAGACTATTTCTAATTCATGTGACGTCATGACGGCTACGTTGCTAGGTAAAGTTGTGACGTTGCATGAAGCAATGAAACTCAAACCAGTAAATGGTCATGTTTTTAACCAATATAATGGGTAAACCCTTTATTAGCCAAACGTACTGTTTGCTTGCTTCCTGCAAAAATTCTTCGTCCGTTTTACGATACGCGTCTATCAAACACCGCTTAATTTCTTTATCTTTATTCACAACGTCTCCTAAAAACATACAACAATGTAACAGTTTTGTCGCGAAACCTAATGTTAATACATTCATATCAATACAGGTAGAATTAACGCTCAGAAATATTGAACAAATGAACAGTGTCAAATTGAAGAATGAAGGTCTCGCTGGACCTTCTTTATAAGGACAGTGAAAAATTTCTTTTCGTTTTCCACTTTCAGGAGCTCAACCTTTTGGAAATTTTTGAACAATATTCTTGTGTAAATTATTTGCTGCAAATTTGGCTGCTTCTGCACCAGCATGTCCATCAAATATTGCGTAGTAAGCAAGTCTGGAACTAAAATGACAAAAGATTAATCATCATGAATATGTAGAGTCTTGTACAAGCAATAAGCATTGTGAAGGTAGTAAATATTTATGTCTAGATAATGCTAACTTCATATATGACATTATTAGTCATAGTTTATAACATACAACATTGTATTTAACTGAGATTTTTTTTTCATACATGTCCTATAAAGTCAGAATTCTTACATATCAGATGGTATATCAAGATCTTTAAATTCTGTTGTGAAATCATCTAAGACAACATGAGCATCTTGCATGTCCTCTCTTTCACCCATTCTTTCTGTTACAAAACCTTTTAGCTGAAATTTCACTACATAAAATACTAAAACTTAGAAAGCATACAAGACTGGAAAGTTTGTAGTGTGCACTTGAGAAAATTTGAGAAAACTAGGCTTTTATGAATAGATATATCAAATCTTGGTTGTACAGTTTACAAAACTTTCCTGTTTGGCTAACACGGACAGTGGATCTTAGATACTAACAATATCACACATTTATTTTATATATTTTATTGTGTAAAGTCAAATGCATGATCATGTTCATTTGAAAGTAAGAACCATCACTGTTGAATATGGAATTAAATAATTTATGTTATAAAATATCAACACTTCACCAGTTAAAGTAAAAATTTACCATTGCCATGTAATTTACGCTTTTGACTAGGTTGGTTTTCATCTTCACTTTCTGATTTTCGCTTTACCGCTTTGAGCTCTGGAAGATTACCAAAAAGGCTGCTATCTTCATTTGCGATTTTTGAGTCTAGTAACAACAAATCGAGAATATATATGAAGAATCCTAGCAGTAGGAATTGTTGCCTGCACTATTTGGCCGGCAGCCGGTCAGTATTGCAAATGTACTAAATGACTGGCAGTTTCTTTTGTTCGCTATTTATGTTTCAAAACTAAAATAAAGCCTGACCCTGACCCTACACCTAACCACATTCTATTAAAAAAATAAATTGATTTCGAGAGAGAAAACATGATCACAAAATAAACGAGGCCCAAGCGGGAATCAAGCGAGGAAGCACGACGTATGTTCATCACACACTATCCATTAGGCCAAACGAGCCACCACCGAAAAAATGTAAAATCGCATGGTTTTGTACTACCAACATGCCGGCCATTTGGTACATTTGCATTACTGACAGGCTGCCGGCTAAATAGGCACAGTGTATTTATTTTTATTTATGTTACCTGGGGGAGGTAAATCTTCAAACAAGTCCATATTTGAATTTAAAACAAGAAATGTTTACTACACCACCGTTGAATTATTTCTTCGATTCACAACAGTCCATAATTTATACAAAAACAAATAACCTTTTTCTTATTTTTCAGCAAATGATATTTATAGTCATTATCATTGACGGTCGAACTCATGTCGTTTTGAAAGGGACCGCTGTACAATGGCTACAGTCGTCTCAGGGAACTCATGCTCATGTTGGGAATGAAAACGAAGGTTTCTGTTTACTTATAAAAAATTTATAAGTGTTGGAAAGAAAATGTGGGTTTTTACTATTGAACGGCTAAGATGATGAATGAAGCAAGAAGTCAAAACCATCAAACGACGTGGGAAGCGAATGCCACGTAAAGTTAAGCTTGTTAACTTGCATCTATTTTTTTGGAATGCTGCAAACATCGACTACTCATGGAAAAAGTCCATCAGAGTACGAACGAAAATCGACGACGTTTAGCTTCTCTGGAGTTTTGAATTCGCTTGGGACGGTTGATAAACTTCCAGAATATCAATTTCGATGGAATTCTAACGAAGTAAGTGTAGAATATGGGCGACGGTTTTGATATATGTGATTGCCTTCAGTAGTATTGCATTGTGCTTAGTTTCAATTAGTGTTTTATTTTTGTTTCATGGCGAAGAAAGGAACTGTTCATTCTACACATCTTAATACATACTACATAGAAGCATAGTAATTTTAATTGTCGTTCTGTTCTGTTCATAGCCCTCTTTACAAGAGCTGTTTCATAGTTGCTTATTTCGATGCGATTCTTAGAAGTAAATGACTATAAACAAAGTTGAATATTTTACTTATGGTTATGGATTTTTGTAACGCTGTTTTATCCTCGAATTTGTAGAACATTTAAATCTAAATTGCTCGTAATGACGAATAGGCGGACACGAGTCTTAATGTAGAATTAATTTCTATCTAATTTCTTTCTATTTTCATTATAAATAGATTACCTGCAAAACAACTACAAAAATAATGGTCTTTTACGATATCTCTAACATTATTTTTATGAAAACACGTATTTACGTTCAAAACAAATTGACCGTTTCGCATTTAGTTTAAAGTTTCAAATGACTTGAGTAGCTAGCGTTTTTTTTTTAGCCAAGCGTTCTATGTTTTTGTTTTTAATTATCGTTGCCAAAGCTTTTAGAACAGGTGTATTTTTTTGTATTTCATACCAATTATAACTAACTGCGTTTTCCTGTCTGTGATGCAAATGCACTTCACTATCTATAGTAGATAAGATGTTTGTGTTATGTCAACTTGAACGTTTATCTGTTAATACAACAAGGCAAACCAAACAATTTTACTAAGATTGTTAACTGCTTTTGTCCAATAGGCAAAAGGACCTTTTATTAGATGGTAGTGTGAAAACACTGCTATAAAACTTCACAGCTTGTGAAAGCATTATGATATAAGTACTCATAGATAAAGCGTTTTTTATTCTAGTATAATTGACATACTATAAAAAACAATTATGATAATATGCCTGTTGAAGAACTAGATATAAATAGTAGCACAAACTTAACATTCAATAATATTTAAGAAATAAAAGATGTTTATTGTGTTTGCATAGGCTTATGCAAACTGAGGAGACTTGAGATAATTTTTAAGCTGATGAGTGCAAGCCCTAGACGAAAGGTCAAGGGTTGCACCTGCTGGAGAGTTCTTACAAACATCTCCAAGGTAAGAATAGCACACAAAAAACATCTTTTATTTCTTTTATAAAATTAAAATATCGCAAAACAGATAAACTTCAAACAAACATTTTAACTTTTCTTCTAAAAAGGAATTCATAATTGATTTTTAAATTCTCTTTGATTGATTCATTGATTTGATTCGTTGAGTTCAGATTGATTTGCACCAGCAAAGGCAAGCACTGCTATTGACCAGTCACCGCACACGTTTTGTGTTTATTTTATAATTATTGTACAGTTTTGTTGTATGTTGTTTGTTTTTTTTTTGTTCATGGAGTGGAAAAATTTTTATGAAAATTTCATTTAATGTGAAATGTACCCCACCAAAAATCTTAGACTTTATTTTGCACATTTTATGAAAAAAATGCATTTTATCAAATGTAGTAAATCAGCTATCAGAAAATGAAAATAATATTCATATTTTAGGAAGTATTTGTTATTCTTACAAGCTTGGAACATCACAATAACTGGCTTCAAAATGAGGTTAAAATAAGGTAACCACAAATACTTTTATGATCAATTTTTAAATTTATAAGTAACTTTCTTATCAACTCTCAACTTTTTTGATTGTTGTATTGTCACACATTGCTTAAATGGTTGAGTCTATAGACTCATGAGTGCATTTTGCTTCAATGTTACTGTGAGCATGAGTACTTTAGGAAAATTTGTGAATTAAAATTAATATTTCAGTCCTTTCCCTCAACTGATTGAATAAAATCATTAGTGATATGAGTGAAATTCTTGATCTTGGTTTTTTAATATTGAATTGATGGCAAATACTTATGTTCAACATTCTACAAGTTAACATTTTATCCTTGGTGTGATAAACATTCATGGTTACCAGTGGTTGTTTTTCTATCTTTGGTGTGATAAACATTCATGGTTACCAGTGGTTGTTTTTCTATCTTTGGTGTGATAAACATTCATGGTTACCAGTGGTTGTTTTTCTATCTTTGGTGTGATAAACATTCATGGTTGCCAGTGGTTGTTTTTCTATCTTTGGTGTGATAAACATTCATGGTTACCAGTGGTTGTTTTTCTCATTTTCTCCCTAGGCCTCCAAATGGCTCAATTTTATTATACAACAGAAGTAACTTAAAGGTTTAACAATCAATTATTGACTAATATTTTCAATCTCCTTGAAAACATGTCACATTTTTTATTGTTTATCTACACAGACGAAATCCTATCAAAATGACAAATACTTTTGGAAAACTAGAAAAAATAGCAAGTCTTCAGCTAGAGTTGATCATTCAAGTCTTCGTATTCGAGGCATTGAGGTCAGTTTTTTATAGACATGAAGTGGGTAGAGAGAGTTTTACATACATACTTGATGAGCATTATTTCTTTTGTCTGAAAAGTTTAAATTATCTTTTGCTAGTGTATTTATTGTTCATATGTGCATTCAGCACTGGTTCCCACCTTTCATCGACGGTGCTATTGGTTATTAGAGGTAACTTAAGAAATAGTATTCTTGCAAAATTTATATTAGTCTGCCTGTCTACGTGAATGTTATTATTTACATGGCTTATAGGTCAGGTGGAGATAAGGTGGGGGGGAAGAGTTAATACTGTAAAAATTAAAGGTGAATATAAGGCCATGCGGAGATAAGGTGGGGAAGAGGTAATACTGTAAAAATTAAAGGTGAATATAAGGCCATGGAGATAAGGTGGGGAAGCGTTAATACTGTAAAATTTAAGGTCAATTTAAGGCCATGCGGAGATAAGGTGGGGGAAGAGTTAATACTGTAAAAATTAAAGGTGAATATAAGGCCATGCGGAGATAAGGTGGGGAGAGGTAATACTGTAAAAATTAAAGGTGAATATAAGGCCATGCGGAGATAAGGTGGGGGGAAGCGTTAATACTGTAAAATTTAAGGTCAATTTAAGGCCATGCGGAGATAAGGTGGGGGAAGAGTTAATACTGTAAAAATTAAAGGTGAATATAAGGCCATGCAGAGATAAGGTGGGGGGAAGAGTTAATACTGTAAAAATTAAAGGTGAATATAAGGCCATGCAGAGATAAGGTGGGGGGAAGAGTTAATACTGTAAAAATTAAAGGTGAATATAAGGCCATGCGGAGATAAGGTGGGGGGAAGAGTTAATACTGTAAAAATTAAAGGTGAATATAAGGCCATGCGGAGATAAGGTGGGGTGAAGAGTTAATACTGTAAAAATTAAAGGTGAATATAAGGCCATGCGGAGATAAGGTGGGGGGAAGGGTTGATAATTTAATAACTAAAAGTGAACATAAAGGCAAAGGTCATGTGGAGATAAAGGAGTAGTGAGGGGTTAATACAGTAAATGATTATCTCCCAAGGCTCCCACGTAGGAACAAGGAGCAACGAGGGACTTAAATTATCCAATAACAATTATTAAGGAGTACTTGCTTATTGTTGGATTGTTTCTTTCCTAGAATCCTGACATTGTTCTTGTTCATTATCTCAATATACCTGATAAAAATATAACTTTTGACAATCTTGTTGTGTCTTTGCTACCTTACAAAGCATTGAGTGATCAAGAATTGAAGAGTCAATTGCAACCAATTAGTAAGTAAATGCAATACTTAAATAAATGCAATCGCACAAATTCAATTTGGTTTGGTACGGTTTGATTTTCGCTCTTTACGAGTTACCTTGTAAAAAGTAACAAGTAAAAAACGTATAAACATGAACATGCTTAAAGTTGGTTTAGATTATAAGTCAAAAAGGCAGAAATTGTTTGAACATTTGCAGTATCTTTGGATGTTGTAGTTTTTATGGGAAGAATTCTTGTAAAGAAAAAAGACAAATTTTGAAAACAAAAAATCCCTTTTTCGGTCCATGCCTCCATATACCCCGAGATAGTTGAGCATTTAATTGAGGGAACCAGATAATCCTTTTTATACATGAAGCCCATGGATGGTTTGCTCGTGAGAAACAGTAAACGAGAGAGTTAATCAGAAAGATATGAACCAATAAAAATTGTATTAATCATGTTTGAGGTTGTCTTTAATTATAAGTGTCAGAAAAAGGCACAGTGTCAGAAGAAGTTAATTGAAACATTGCTTGGTTTATTTTATTGGAAGAACTCTTGTATTTATTAGAAGAACAAAAAGATAAAATTCGAAAGCAAAAAACCCCGTTTTCGGGCCATGCTTCCCGATACCTTGTTAAGCGTAAGGCACTAGAACGCCGCATGTTAACGTTTCGGTAGGAGATTTCGGCCCCTCCACGCTATCCTACTTGGGAGATGCAATAGCAAGCTTCCGCCCATCAGACCCTGAGATCACCTGCGATAGGCTTTGCTCAGGGTACGCAGGGAGAATGCGGTCGCGACCCGAAACGTCTGGACCCCTAAGCCACTGCATACATATCGCACCCAGCTTCCACTGCTAGTTGACATCTACTATATGAAGTTTTAGCTTTATATATATATATACCAAAATTTAAAGGCTTACGAAAGTTGTGGTATTATTAATGTCACTAGTGCGCATGCCCAGATGATTTCTTTGATAATTTGCTTCTAAGTGAGCTAATTGCCACAAATGTAGTGCAAGTACATATAGTTAGTCGTTGCCATGACTATGAACAATTAGTCGAGTGGACTGCGCATGCTCGAGCGCATGCGCAGATGATTTCTCTATTAAATTGCAACTAAGCGAGCTATTTACTCCAAAATTGGTGCTAGTAGATCCAGTTGGTCGTTATCTTGACTATGAACTCGAACAATTGGTCAAGCGGAACGTGCATGCTCGAGCAGACTGCGCATGCGCAGATGATTTCTCTATTAAATTGCTACTAAGCAGGCTATTTACTTCAAAATTGGTGCTAGTAGATCCAGTTGGTCGTTTCTTGACTATGAACTCGAACAATTGGTCAAGCAGACTGCGCATGCGCAGATGATTTCTCTTTTAAATTGTTACTAAGCATGCTATTTACTTCAAAATTGGTGCTAGTAGATGCAGTTAGTCGTTACCATGACCACGAACTTGGGCAGCTGGTGAAGTCGACTGTGCATACTCAAGCAGACTGCGCATGCGCAGTTAATTTATCTGAAAATTTTTTTGACTGAGCGAGCTAATTACTCCATAATCGATACTAGTACATACAGTTGGTCTTTGCCATGACCATGAATTTGGAGAGTTGGTGCAGTTGGCTACGTTTTCTATGATTAATTTTCAATTAATTTGTGACTGAGCGAGCAAGCTATCGTTTCTTTGGACTGTAAACTTTTCAGTGAATAAAAAATGAACAAAGAACCTTTTTTCTGGTCAACTGCTCAGCTCTAAAGTTCAGCGAGTCTATTTTTATTGATCGAGTTATTGATTCTCTGTGTTCATTAAGTCTACGTTCACTCAATATTATATGTTAAAATTGTACTTGTATCGTTTCTGTGATTTTCAGTGGCTGTCAGAGGAGATGTGGAAACTAATCCTGTGAGTTTTTTATTGCTTACATACATTGTAAAATTGTCAAAACTAAGATTTGGTTACCTCTAAAACAATTTTTGTATCAGTGTAGAAAAATTATTCGTTACCATTTTCTTTGTACCCCTGACTTAAGTCAATGTTTTATAACCTATGTTGCGTCTTTCAGATTACTGTTTTGTTTGATGTGAATAAGCTTGTAGCATCGGTGAAAAACTATAAAGAGCGAAAAACGAAAACAAGACGGACACATAAAAAGGTGTCGGGAAACACTACGAAGAAAGAGTCGGCGTCTTTGACAGCAACTCGTTCATTCCATGATTCTCCTCAATTAAACAAATGTGCTAAATGTGACAGCTGCTACGCAGAGACTAATTCCGTGTATACGACGACTAATTATCCGCGAACCAATGTAGCAGTTACTATAAACAAACAGACTTCACGTGTAAAATCACGTGAAGCAAATCGTTCAATTGACACATTTTTGGAGCCAACATCACGTATTTCCGGCCAAGAAAAATCATTTTCTGAAAGACAGACTTTTCATCAACAAAATTCTTCATTTGTTGACGATAGTGCTGTGATCGTAGATCAAAGAGACTGCTTGCCTAACTCTGAAACTGAGTCACATTCCATGCATAAGTATCAAGAGGTTCTTGCTCTGCAGTCGTCTGGAAACATATGTACAGAAGATCGCTTTCCTCGTTCTGACTACAACCTACCCCGAAAGCAAATAATAAGCACGTCCAGTAACATACATTGCCATGAGATTGGCCAAAATCTCTTGATAAATTACCCTGTGACACGCGATCAAAGCTTATTGACGAACAATAACGAAAATTGTTCTTTACAATTCGATCATGGCCCGTGCTGTTTTTATTCCAGTAGTGATCAAGCATCTTCGGAAGCAAACACCGTTATGTTGAATGATGATTCAATTGTATTCGATTACGATGGAATGAATTTGATTCAAAGCAACGAAGGTCGTAGCGAATTTGATGATAAATTATTGATAAGCGCTAACGATGCTAATATATTTGAAAATGAATTTCTGAACTTCGCACCTGCTAATCTTCCAGAGCTTGAAGCTCACTTAAAAAATAACCTTACCGTGATCTCATGTTCTTCGTCATCAAATACGTTTTCTTCGCCTGTCATATCACGTGACCTTATCACCGCCTGCAACACTCCTCAATTCCCAGCTCGAAATAATACAATATCACAAGGTTCTGCAAAAAATTCAACTCTCTGCAGCAGTGATGTTGTGGGCAGAACTGTTTGTAGTCCCACTGAAGTTATATCAACTGACTGTCAGGCATTCGGCAATTTTATGAGTCCCAGTCCCCCTTCGCTATTAAATTTCACGGAAGTAGAGGATAGTTTTGCTACTGATGTTCATCAATGTACCTCTACAGCTCTTGGCAATGATCGTGGAAGAAAGGAAGAATGTGTTTCAAAAGTTAATTCTTGTGTTGACGGAACAAATGAAGTCCCATGCTCGTCTCACAATGATCTCATTCACACCTCTCTTGATACTGTCACATTGAACTTGGACGATTCACTGATAAAAAACGATGCGTCTTTGCCAAGCCCTGGTGAGTTTTCAAATGCAAATAACGTAAATTCATCCCAACTTGGTGAAGACCTTGCAAAATCTTCTGTTCCAAATTTTTCACAAAATCTAATTGCTGACTATTCTCCGGATTGGTCGTATTGCGAAGGCGAAAGTAAAGTTTTAATTTTGGGTGATTGGTCTCATGAAAATGGCACATATTCCTGTCTATTTGACGGTTGTTTTGTAGCAGCAACTAAAATCCAGTCTGGTGTCTTGCGTTGCTTCTGTCCACCGCATGAACCTGGACTTGTGTCTCTTCAAGTCGCGTGGAATGGCATCATCATCAGTAACACTTGTGTATTTGAATATAGGCTGCGCGAAAGTGCCTCAACATCCGCCTCTGATTGGTTGACTTTAGGTGAAGAAAATTTAACAAAGACGATACTCAAGCAGATTGAGAGACTTGAAAAGATGTTGGGGATAGTTGGTGATGTTGATGGAGAAGTGGTGATGAAAAAAGATGTAACGTATGAAGATAGGTTGTTTGAAATATGTCGTGCGCTTCTTGGAAAACCAGAGGCTAGGAAGCTTTCTGATTTACCTAACGATGGAATAACATTATTACATCTTGCTGCTGGTCTTGGATATACAAAACTTATACACTTCCTCCGAACTTATTCATCGTCCCAGCTGGCGGTAAATGCAGGAACCACTCACAAGTCTACAATGTTTAATAGAAATATTACCGAGTGGTCACCCACCACTACAGATTCTTTTGGCCGAATACCGTTGATGTGGGCTTGCGCTCGTGGTCATGAAGATGCAGCTTTGGTGCTGCTAGAATGGGAACCGTCTTCTTATGCTATATGTGATCAGTTTGGCTGGTCTGCTAAAACGATCACAGAGAAACTGGGCAACATTGCTTTGGTGGAGAAAATGAATACATTTATGTGTAAAAAAGACATGAAGTGAGTCATTAAATTTGACATGTAATGTATTACAGTTCATTCCGTTGGTGTTATGTATTTTAAGACAAATGTATGTTTTGTAAAACATGTCGTTAAGAATTCAGTTTTTTCAATTTGCTATTTTTTCAGTTCACTAATTACGGAGAACTCGCCCCAGTCCCCCTGGAGCTCCTACGTCAATCGCTCGGTCTCACCAAACGAGCAAACGCCTCTGTCGCCAATGTCCACTGATTCATTGACATGTGAACGTGTTGATGGAGTATCTGAGAATACAGAGGGATTTGAAGCAGCCAATGTGACATCAGACGGTATGTTGCCAAAATGATATTTAAAAACATAAAATTACTTACAAACAATATTTTCACAACAGCCAAAAGTATTTTAACTAATTGCTAACATTGTTAAAGTGTTAAGGAATTTCAACGCACGTTTTTTTTTCAGATCGACCTAATACCCTCGGCAAAGTTCTAGTTGAAATTCGCACCCTTATTGAACAGGCTGAAGAAAGGTCAAGATCTCCTCCCCAGACCTCTACCAAATCTGCACCTTATTCACTTACCTTTTCCCACTTCCCCGATGTACAACAAGATGAGCACAATCAAGACAAATGTATTGCTTCAGATGCAGAATTTAGGCACCATGTGCAACATCTCGATACTCTTTCAATAGACTCATCCCCAGTACTTACGCCGTCTTGTCATTCACCTGTTTCTCCAGTTATGAAGAGCTCATCTTCATCAACTGGGACAGATACCTCTGAATTCGAAGAGTTCTTAAGTAAACCCCGACATTTCCTTGAAAGAGATTTCTCCGAGTTAACTCTAACTGGTATGTATGTGGCTCGTCTTTTTTTGTTTGTTGCTTTGTGTTTAAAATCATTATATGAATGAAAATTACAGATGTCGAACAAAAAGAACTTTTGCAAGCAGCCAAAGTTATTCAAAATGCTTATAGACAGTTCAAGGTACTGTGATGATTTTGAAAAACACGATCACCGTAGTTATTTAAGCAATCGCCTCTCTCAAATAGATGCCTGTAATGAATAAACCCCTATATCAAATAAACGCGTATAACAGATTAACTTCTAAAAATTTAAAAATTGTTTCAAAAAGAGCAAATACCATAGTGAATGATAAAAATAATAACGTAATAGCACTTTTGTCATTTATTAGGAAAATTGGGAATTAAGAACTATTCCGTTATTATTTTGACCATTCTCAATGGTATTTGCTCCTTTTAAAATAATTTTAAATTTGTCGCCGCGATGAAGTCTCTATTTTATTATCTAAAAATTTAATTAACGCCATGTGTTTTAATGGCATGTGTACAGTCATCTGTTGCATTGTAATATTTGTGTCATTTCTTATACGTTCATTTGAAATTTTCAATCCAGATTGGACTTTCTTGTGTTAAAGTGCGTTTGTTTTATTTTCAGATTCGTAAGAAACAACACATTGACGAGTTAGAAGCGGCTGTTCTCATTCAAAGTTATTATCGTCGTTATAAACAGGTGAACTCTCGTAAAGTCTACCTCAAGAAAGCTCGACATGCTTTGTATTGCGGTGAAATTGTATGAAATCAAGTGGTCAAATTTTTTAATGCGTTTCTAGTGCAAAGTTTCAAAATTAAATTGGAGTTAATGGAGTAATGAAATAAATGTATGAAACATTTTATTATTCATTCAAGTTACGTGCCAAAACGCCTTGTTTTTTGAAACTTTGGACTATCGTTGGACCCTGGTTATTTGTTAGTTTTACCATGATGCAATGTCCACGTCTTTTCCACAATGATGATTGCTAATATAGAGTGTGAAGAAGTAATTCATGTTGTTAATTTTTTTGCAGTTTGCCTTGTATAAAAAAATGACGAAAGCGGCAGTTTTCATTCAGAACAGTTATCGCGCCCGCAAAGAACACGAGCAATTTAAACGTAGTCGACATGCAGCATCCGTCATACAAACGTATTTTAGAGATTATCGTAAGAGAAAGCAGAGACATGCAGAAGAAGATTCGCCTTTCAAGAGACTGGAAACTAAATATAGAAAATCATCCTCCAATAGTTAGGTACGTATACAAAAACGACGACTTGACGTGATGCTCAACAAATAAATGCGTTTAAACGCTGTTACAGCTGTTATAATCATACATGTATGCATGTCCTTTCTGTACATTATGACAATGAATGCCATGACAAATGCAAAGTTCTTCTTAACTTTTGTGATCGTATTATCAAGGTTATTGAATGATTTAACGAAAAACCTTAAAACTATGTAACCACAACAAATGATGTTAGCTAAAAATTAACCGTTTGTTGTGTTCTTGTTGATTTTGTAGATTTTAAAGTATTCATATTAATTAATCATAATCCTTGATATTTGATAAAAAGATTCCTTTTACAGTAATTTCACTTTATTTTCCGTGTTTTTAGGCGTCATTTGTGAAATATTTCAATCATGAAAAAGATGTGTTGCTTACAATGTTTCAGACCTGTGTGTACAAAAATTAAGTATGTTAAATATTTCTTTGAAATGTAGGTATTTCTATGCTTATCTATTTATATATTTATCAAATAATTTAATGTACATATCGACTTTATTGGTATTGTATATGGTACAGATATTTGTGTTGACATAAATTTATTTATTGTGTGAATAGTAATTATTCTAAAATAATTATTGAGGTATATTACTTCATTAAACATTTAACTTGTGTGTTGCTAAGTGTGTTTTAAATGGCATTAGTAACTAACAATTATTTATAGGTGGCAAAATATTGTATCAACTTTAGAGCTTACTGGTACAAAAGTTGGCTATATCGCCATAAAAAGATAAACGTTTGTAATAAAACCAAACTTTTCATATCACAAACATTGTGATAATTAAAATTTTCCATGAATGTACCATCTGAATTAACTAAAATTACATATTGAGCAGATAAAATCTAATTAAATCTACGCGCTAATCGATAATCAAATACGATTATTTTCTTTCCAATATATTCGATGATAAAATTATTGCTCTGATTTCCTTTTATGATCTCTGTGGAGCATTTGTTCAAAGATTTTTTTGGTATTTTCTGTGAATCTCGAAAATACACACTAATCGTGACACTATAGTAGTAATAGTACGGCTTTAAGTAAACCTTCATGGTGGTTGTTTGGAAAAGAAATTATAGTTTCTAAATTTTAAATCAAAAATTTCTTCTTAACAATACCATTGATCACGAATTCACAAAAATTAAATTTGACCAATCGAATTGCTTTTAAGGTCTTAAGATGTAAATATATCCGAGAATATGCTTTTCCACTACCAGCAAAGCTAAAAGATTAAAACAGATGTGTGGGGGTGTGGCACCATAGATCTCTTCAACTAAATGTGTATTTTTCATATGTAGTGTTTTCGTGTTCATATTTTGATAAATTTACCGTAAGAATCTTTTACACTTTTTCTCGTTTATTGTTCGCCTAAAGTATTTTGCTATGTCGTTGTTGATTTTTTAGACTATTGTTAATATTAAGTTCCAACAGGTAAGTGTTGCTTTTTTCTTTGTCTTTTACACGTGTTACCCGTTCAATAAAGCTTGTCAGTCTCTCTTTAATTTGTTTCAGATGTTTTTAATCCAGTGATTACATCTCCCTGGAAAAATCAAAAGAAATATTTTCAAGGTATCCCAGCTACATGATATTTACTTTGCTGTTGTCTACAGTTAATTATTGTATGGAATTTTAGATGTATAATCATGTATAGATTCGTGATTAATAAACTTGTTTTGTAAACACCATTGATAAAATCAAATTTGTTTTGCAAGTGTTCTGTTATATTTTGTCAATTGAACAAAATCGCCCGTTGAAAGTTATCAAACGTTGTTCACTAAGTACAAAAATGAAGAGAGAACAGCTTTGTGAATCATTTTCGTGGTACCACACTCCTAACTTACTCACTTACATAACATTTTAGGTTGTACATATATTGTTAGTTACAAAGAAATGAAAATTTTCATAATCTGGAGAGTTTTTGCAGTTTTTCTCGTCGTAGAAGGTTTGTTCATCCATTGCTACAATTGCATTTTTCTACATGTTGTGTTTCTGACTGACAACATATGTTTACTTTACCGAAATTTATTTCTAAACGCAAGAAAACTGCTTGCACTCTCACCAATTATGGTAATTTTTGCATCAGTGAAGTACATCCATTTATTCGTTAGGACTTCCTCGACCAACTCCTGATAAAAACAACAAACCAAGGAAACGAGAAAGCGTACCATATGGCTACCCAGAAGCAACATCCGAACCTAACTATTCAACTGATCAGACAGAAGCATTCACCGACACTCCTGGCTTCTCTGGATCCAATACGTACGATCTGAAATCAGCGAGCGATGAAAATTATGCTGCCGACCAAAACCCCTTAACTGATCAAGGCTATTCATCTAATGCTCAAAGTGAAAATAGTCAACATACTGACTCTGGAACTACACAACTACCAACTGAAAATACTCAGATACAGAGTGACGTAAGCTCTCTACCTCAAGAAACAACATTATCTCCGTCTTATGAATATGCGAGTGAAACCACTGAAACAACTACCGACTCGTCACAGGCACTCAGCCAATCACCTTCTGTGACTTCTTACGAAACTAGCTCCACTGAACAAACCAACTCCGATGCTTCTAGTGAACAGACAAGTTCATATGATGAAAGTGCATCAACTGAAGATCAGACAACTGCTCAAGACTCATCCACTTCCAATGTGTATGATGACTACTATAAAAACGAAAATTTTAACCAAGACATCGAAAATTCTCAACAATACAACTTGGACCAGGACAATCCTCAAGGTACAACTACGTCAAACATTCCCAACCCATATACAACCGAAAATAATGATTCGGCATCAGTCTACCTATCGTCATCAGCAACAGCGAACATTCTAGACACCAATCGTGTGGACGATAATAGGAAGTTAACTGAGACGAATAAGGAAGCGACACTCGATGGAAATTATACGACAACGTACCTCGAGCTACCGAAGATTCTTCATAAACCGGCTGTGGTTAAATATCTTGTCCAAATTGCTCCAAAGAAGAAGGATGTACCCATTGAACAGAAAATAGCAATTGTGCCTCCTGACGTCAATGGAGTCAAACGTGAACCGTTAATCTTGTTGAAGCAGGTTATTTCTCATCCAACGGAGGAGCATATTAATGTAATTGTACCTAAGAGTAATTCTGACGCTCCAATGAAACCGAAGATTGAAGTGAAAGGAGGCCACATTGATCAAGAAGTGTTAAACGTCGAGGATACACGTGATCCAGACCAAGATCAGGGTGAAGTAGATGTTCAGACTGCTGTTGAAACTGACTACGATAAGGATCAACATCAAGGTCAAAACCAAGGTCAGTACCAAATTCATTACCAAGGTCAATCCACGGGGTAAGAGGAAAGTACCAATACATCAAGTTCTTGCACTGTAAGCCTGGGAACGAGCAATGGAACAATTATGAATGATATCATCTTTTTGAAAAGTTTCTTATTCATTATATAAGTGATATTTATAAGACCTTTCTTAGATTTTAATGAATTCTGTAGTTAGTTTATATCTAATGGTACGCTGTACTTTGGTTGCACTGAATTGTCATTGCTATAGTCTGTAAATTTATTTTGCGAGAATGAAAAATAAAAGAAAGTGAAACTTATTTTAAGATTTATATATCATTTTTATACTTATGGTGGTGGGGTTTTTTTTGGAGAAAAGAACAGTGCATCGTTTTCTTTTGTACAGATAAATTGTGTCATGATGAGGATGCATGCAGATACTATAATCCAAATTTGTGTAACAAGATCTGGATGAAAGATAATTGTAAGAAAATGTGTGGATTGTGTATTGCACCGGATAATCTCGATAAAGAAATGTCATTGTCGTCATATTTGTCAGACAGTACCTCTCGTCAAAAATGTAAGGATTATTAAATAAAAAATCGTTTTCACTCGTCTTACTATAGAAACTACCGCCTTACTTGCATTACGCAAGATTTACTGCTTGTACTAAGCTTGAGAATGCATCGTTTTGTCCATTTTAATCACATATATACTTTCATTTGGGGAGATATAAATTATTGTTTTCTATTCAGATTGCAAGTACAGCGGTATAGTTCATCAACACGGTGAGACATGGTCACCTGGTCCCTGCGTGCCAAAATGTCTTTGCAATAATGGCGATATAAAGTGCTCTAAACTCGAATGTCCTGATTTAAATTGCGGTAGACCAATAAAAAGACGCTGGAAATGCTGTCCCGAGTGTTTACCCAGTTCAGGCAACGGTATGCATTGTTCACATTTCTTGTAATGAAGAACGTCGGTGTTGAATAAGAAAATGAAATTGACAATATTGTATTTCAACAGTGATGTTTTATACGGCAGCGTAAACATTTTTACCCATTTCCCCCTATTTTCAGAGACCTCTTCTGTTAGATGTGGCGTGGAAACGAACGGTGGCAATGGAGAAAACTTTTGTTGTGTCTTTCCCTTCAACTATCGTGGTGTCGATTATTTTAGATGCACAACCACTGACGCAGAAAAACCGTGGTGCTCGGTTACGCGTAACTACGACCGTGATGGCTTGTGGGGAAATTGTGTTGGTATGTAATATATGTTCGTTTTGTTTTTACGTAATTGACGTCAACTGACCTACGGATGTGTTGTTCGCAAAATAAACTTCATTATAACAGTGAGAGACCAGACTGCCGTTAATCGAAATACGACGTAAATATTTAAAGCACATGTTTGCAAAGCACTAATAACAATATGGCAAGACGTTAAGATTCATAAAAAGTTGTTAACTTTTTGAACAGTTAAATTATCAGCCACTAGCCAGAATCAAGATGAGACAAATGAGAAAGCTGCATCTAACTTAGCACCACAGCTGTCAAGAGCAGAAAATGGCGAGACTCAACAAACAATCAAGTGACCAATGCGCTAAAGAACCTAACAAATTCTTTAAACAAAGATCAGAATGGTAAATCGTTGACTTCCAAATCTTTCAATGAAGATCAGAATGGTCAATCGTTGACTTCAAATCTTTCAATGAAGATCAGAATGGTCAATCGGCGACGAATGATGAACTAGATTATTTTGGTGTTGATGGAACAAACCAGGAACATGAAAATGCAGTTTGGAAGAATGATTCTCGAGATGATTATTATAAAAACTTTGAAAATGATTTTTCTCTGGTAAATGACGTGGTGGATGCAAAGAAACCGTTAAATTACGTCGACAGCAACGCCAGAAATTCTTCCTCCACAATAACTTTATCGAATACAGCATTGAACTCGTCGTACGCTTTAAAAACTGAACAATATTTCCAAACAAACAGTACTTTTCTGAAGATTTGTCACGTTCTACTTCTCAATGGAATAATATCCCGTATCCTAGTCTTACCTCAAACCAAACTACTCCGCCATATGGAAATGAATCTTTACAAAGTGTTCAATCGTTCTTTAGCAGCTCTAACCCTGATGTTTCTACAAAACCAGATTCGTATCTTGTTCAGCTGAACTCAACTCAACCAACAACAACAACCAGTCATGATTTAAATGAATCTACTGATTTTCAGTCGAGTTTACGTTATAACCAGCCAATAGATGGTAATTATGGACAGGAGAGTATTTCAAGGGACACGACAGATAGTACGGTACCGCTGAACTATACACAACCAAGAACAACAACCAGTCATGATTTAAATGAATCTTCTGATTATCAATCAAGTTTATATCATAACCAGTCAATTGATGGTAATTATGAACAGGGTATAGCAAGAGACACGACAGACAACACGGTTCCCAATGGGATAGAGAAGCAGACATCATATGAGATGAACCCGAATGCAAGTACGGCTCAATATGATAATGATAAATCTTCAAATACGTGATGTGAAATGAGACATAAATGATTCTGCTATCCCCCAGGAATGGTTTGTGATTTCATTGAATCAATATGGATATACGAGTATGATTTGTTATTTTTATTTGAGTTCTTTACTTGTAAAACTCCAAACTTGCTGCTTTGAATAGTACGTTATCAACTGTCCTGAAACTTTCACTCTAGATAATTAGTTAAATTACTGTTGCAAATCTATAGTTATATTTATCATAAATTATGGTCAGAAATTTGCCAGGAAAAATTTTGATAGAAATATGTATACGCAATCTTGTTATTTATAATAAAGTTTTACGAAATTAGCCGTATGAAAGTAATAGTAATGGCTGTACGGAAAATTATACTCTGGACTATCATATTTATATATTAAAACTCAAATCAACACTCAGACAATCCTAAATTTTTATTCACACTTTTTGATTAGTGTGTACCGGATACTTTTTCAAATATTTGTACAATAATTTAGGGTCGTGCGCGAAATTATCTCAATAAAATTTCAAAGATGTCAATTTTGATTCTTATTTATTATGCTCTCATTCATCGACATAACTATGTATATGCAAAAACTTATGTTCACTCATTAATTTTTCGTCTGAAAATGTTTTATTTGTCTCTGAGCTTTTATTGTCCCTTGCCATCTTTAAATTTAATTTTTTTTTCGTGACTCTGATAAACTCATTCGCGGAAATAAATTGCATTGTTATTGCATGTTGATGGATTTTTATTAACATAGGTTAGTGACTTCATGTTATCCTGTAGTTTAAATCAAATTCAATGTTATGGTAGAATACCAAGTTAATATCAAAATCTTATTAACTCCACCGAAAACGAATTTCTATTTGAAAGTATATCATAAGCAATAAAAATTTTTGCAGCCAAGAAAATACTAATATTCTTTTCATTTTTGTCTAGCGTTTCTACCAGGTTGTCCATTGTGTTTATATGTAGCATTGATTTTTCATCTTTTGTTAAATGTTTGCCACCATGCTACGCATGCGCACTTGTATGGAAGGACCCGCTCTTTAGACAATGATCTTCATGAATACATTAAGAAGAAACTGTCATTTTGATATATTGGAGTGGAAGCTTATGTATTTGTTCTAAAAATTTTGAAATTTTCCTTCAGGTTCTGATATGATCGGAAACAGAAAAAGAAGGTAGTTTAACCAAGTTTTTCTTTTGTGTTGTGGCGTTGTTGTGGCGTTGTTTGAACGTTTGTGACATTTTTGCAAAATATTCAACACTCTTTTTCTTTATGTGTTTGCATATTCATTGTATGTAAATTTGAAATATGCTTGAAGTTCTTTTGAAAATATTTTACCACCAGAGCAGATAACTTTGTTCAACAATTCTGATAACTTGATAATATTTTGTCGTCCCTATAGAAAGTCGAATGTCGTGTAGAATAGGAATTTGAAGTTAAATTACTTAATATGCTTTTTTCGTCTGCTTTTATCTTTACTTTTTGCGAGTTATCCTGAAAATTATACAATTATTCCTCCTATAAAGATCGAAGGGTCATTTGATCGCTCACATGATTTGTAAATTTTTCTTATGATGTCAAAATTTTTCATAGGATGTTGGAAATTCTCTTCGTTTCCTCCACTCCAAAAAGTTTGTTTTAATTGCTTCAGCTTTTTCCTCTGTCAATTGAAACATTCTCTCCAACATAAAATTTATACGAGAACCCTAAACCATCCAAGTTTATCTTTACAACTGTTGAACATGTGTAAGAGAACTATCTATTATCTGCACCCAGCAGATATTTTGTTTTTCGTAATGATAACCATTATAGTTCGAGAATTGCCAATGTAATACATGGATATCTGATCCTTTCTTTCTTCAAGATCTTAGAAGGAGGTAGAGAGATCTGAAGGAGGCAAAGAGCGGGACAATAGCAACCAGCAAAGATGATTACAAAACACAGCTATCTTTTAATTGTCTTATATTTGTTGCCGCTAATTTTGGCCAAACATCATCTACAGAGTAAAAACAGAGGTAAATTTTAATAAGATTTTATTCAACAAAATCTTCAACTGTTTAATAAACTCAGTTACGTATATTGCTGTCATTTTTTCATGACGATTGTCATTAAAAGAAATACATCAAATAAGTTGGAAAAAGGCTGAAAAGGGTCTCTTGTTGTTGACTAACGTATGTCAGTTAAATGGCAATTGTAGAGTATTGTTAGTGTTGTTATTTTTGCTGCAAAGAGTTGTCACCCTGCGTGCATCTTTTACACACCTTAATGTTACAAAATGACATGATATATTGATTTGATTTGTTGTTCATTCAGGATGTAAACATCGACACAAATTCAAACGACAGACAAACTCGTATGAAAACAATGTATCTTCATTGGAAAATTCACAATCGACGGTTACGGCAGTTCATTGTGGGTTGAAGAAAACGACATTCAACCAGGTAAAAATAAGTTAGTCACTGCAACTTTCCTGGTGGTTCATATTAAATACAATTGATAGCATTGTCGCTTAAATTGGCTTCTTTTGACCTCTTTTTTCTGCTCCAAACTCTGATTTGAAGCAATTTGTCTCGCAATGTGTGAAACTGAATCATGCACAATTGGACTTTACTTGATTTCTCTTGTTTGTGAAAATTCAGAAACCGCTGACAGCTCACCCAGCAGTACGTCAACTGGCTCATACAACCAGCCTTATTTAAACAAGGAAAGTAATTCCAAAAAAAACTTGGCGAATGTAAAAAGTGTAAAAGGTACGACCATTGAAGAGCCATTTTCTGAAAGTCAGCGAAATTCTACTGGCGGCATTTTGGATACCTTAAACAAAGAAACTTTATCGTCAAATAGCCAACAAAACTCGAGATCTGACCAGGAAATTGGCAGAGTTTCTCAAATTGATCCATCAGCTACATTGAGCTCTAGCCAAGTGCCTCTAGGCAACTCAAATTCAACTGTTTCTGCTTTGAATAGTCAGGAAAAAGTTACCGAAGAATCAACAACAGCTTCTTTGCCATTGGGCACCACAGCCACATTAAACCCAGATGAAAATTCTGGATTCTCAGCTTATACTTCTGCTAACTTTGATAGTATAAGCTCGGATGTATCTGAAACCACTGCGTATCAGAAGTCTTCTAACCAATCCAGGGATGTCATTTATTCCAAAAACCCAAACCCCGGAGGAACTAGCTATGTTGAATCTGCATTTAAATACAGGACTCGTCCAACTCTAGAAGAAAGCTCTAACATAACGACTTCCTCTACGAATGAAACTCCATCTGAAAGACAAATTTGGGCAACTCCAGCAGACAGCTTCTGGGACACATCCTCTAAAACAACTGTCACTGCTCCTGAAAGACAAACTGCAACTGCAGCAGACACCTTCTGGGACACATCCTCTAATACAACTGTTACTGCTCCTGAAAGACAAACTGTAATTCCAGCAGACACCTTCTGGGACACATCCTCTAAAACAACTGTCACTGCTCCTGAAAGACAAACTGCAACTCCAGTAGACACCTTCTGGGACACATCCTCTAAAACAACTGTCACTGCTCCTGAAAGACAAACTGCAACTCCAGCAGACAGCTTCTGGGACACATCCTCTAATACAACTGTTACTGCTCCTGAAAGACAAACTGCAACTCCAGCAGACACCTTCTGGGACACATCCTCTAAAACAACTGTCACTGCTCCTGAAAGACAAACTGCAACTCCAGCAGACAGCTTTTGGGACACATCCTCTAACACAACTGTTACTGCTCCTGAAAGACAAACTGCAACTCCAGCAGACACCTTCTGGGACACATCCTCTAAAACAACTGTCACTGCTCCTGAAAGACAAACTGCAACTCCAGCAGACACCTTCTGGGACACATCCTCTAACACAACTGTCACTGCTCCTGAAAGACAAACTGCAACTCCAGCAGAGAGCTTCTGGGACACAGCCTCTAACACAACTGTCACTGATCCTGAAAGACAAACTGCAACTCCAGCAGACAGCTTCTGGGACACAGCCTCTAACACAACTGTCACTGCTCCTGAAAGACAAACTGCAACTCCAGCAGACAGATTCTGGGACACATCCTCTAACACAACTGTCACTGCTCCTGAAAGACAAACTGCAACTCCAGCAGACAGCTTCTGGGACACTTTCTCTTCTTCCACCACTCCTGAAAACTTAAAGAAAGAAACAACAGGCAACGATACACAAATAAAGCAAGCAAATATAATAACCGATAATAAACTGGCTTTTTTACACTCTAACGATATCTTATCAACTAGCAATAACGCTGTAGAGTCATTTAAATCTTCATCTACCAAGTTTGATGATGAAACATCAACTCCACTGAATTTAACCACTCCTGCATCCCAGGCAACAAACGATAGCGATGACAATAAATTACACTACAGTTATACAATGCAAATTGAGGATTTGCCACAGATAAATTTGTTGAATGGAGACAGTGATGAATCTAAAGTTCGCAGAAGACCTCCACTTGACGAAGAAGATATTAATATTACTTTATCCAATGTCGATACAAACGAGAAGAAGGGCTTATTCCAACAAGAAGGTAAGCGTTATTCCTTCAATCATTGGTGTATAAGTGTTGATAACGTAGGTCTCACGTCCTAAAATTTCTTTTTTAATGCTTTTGCATTTTGCTTTTGTTCTGCTGGTTTGTTCTTAACTTTTTAAAGACTATTTATTCTCTTTTGTTTGTGTTCGAATAGATGATTGGTGTAAAGACAACGAGGAATGCCTAACAATTAATAAAATTGATTGCCGTAAAGATTGGATGCAGCTAAATTGCCCGAAGAGATGCGGTATTTGTGGAGGTAAAATTGTAAAGTTTTATGCATGTAGTCTTGATTTCTTTGAATGGTGAAGGAGGTATGAATAGAAAATAAACAGTTTGAATGTTGAAAAATAATCAAAGAAAACTTAAGATGTCATAGTTTGCTGTTTGAACTTGATTGAAGATTTCATACGTAGTAATTAGTCGATTAAAAGCTCAAAGGAAAAGTGATAGCTAGCATTATTAAATATGGGGAAAATATTTTGAGACATATTATAGAGAAAGACCGCTAACGTATTTAATAGTAACAATGTCAAATTGTTCAGGAACTACAGTAGTTAGCAGTGCAAATGAAGAGATCAGCGTTGTTCTGCCTGAAGAAGTGAACAACAAGGAATATATGGAAGATATTCGCATTACTTTACCGTCAAAACTGGTCACTTCTGAAGGTATGTTAGTATGTTCTAAACCCATGTCAAGTGTTCTACAGTATAACGTTTGACTTCTTCCACCTTCATATCTCTGTTCTTATCACAATGTTATTTTTCTTTGTATTGGGTACAATGCAGTACAACAAAAAGTTCGAATGGAGAATTCTGTCTGTGTTGAATAACTTGTATTTATTTTCATTTAGATTGCAAAGATCACGTTGAATGCATCGAGTATGACGTTTCGTCGTGTAATAATCACTGGATGAGGAAAAATTGTCGTACAAAATGTGGCTTGTGTAAAGGTATTATGCTCTGCACGTTGGAAATTTATAAAAAATATTATCATGTTGATTTCTCGTTGCAGAGAGCATTCTACCACAATCTGAAATATCGAATTCCACGCTTGGACAAAAAGACTTCAATAAAGGTATATGGTGTAATCGTAAATTAGCGTTTTTATAGGTCAACACAAAGAAGAAGTCAATATAGTTCTAACATATATATTTCTTTCTCCATTATAAAAATAATCATTTAGTATGTTATTACGACGGAATCCCACATGACCACGGTAGCAAATGGTCACCAGGTCCTTGCTCACCTCAATGCACTTGTGTTAATGGTAATGTTCATTGTTCTGTTATTCAATGCCCAAAGCTTACCTGTGATAAAAAGGTGAAAAAAAGGTGGAGCTGTTGTCCTGAATGTGAATACGGAGGTAAGAATAATCTATTATGATAGTTTCTTTATAATTTGATATGCTTTAGTTTGTTAAGTACAAAGTGACCTTTTGGTCGTTATTAGTTGTCGTAATCCTTGCGTCTTTTCTGCTTGATTTGTTTGAGTTAAGGACTAAGAAGATCAATCATACGTCTTTGTACTATTTCAGAACGAATGATTCAATAAAAATAATTTTTGCTTGTCTGTATTTTATTGCCGATTACACTTCAGCAGGAATTCAAATAAAAATGAAAAATGGATACTAGATACAAGTTGTTATACTACCTGAATCATACTGTTGCATAAGAGTTATCTAAGCATAATCAAGTTGAATTTTTCTAAGATAGTGGAAGCTGCGTGAAAGCGTTTGCATATGGAACGTCAAAATTGTCGTGCTGTGTATTGCCATTCATCTACAAAGGTGTGCAGTACGAATCTTGTACCCCGGAAGATCATGATCAACCGTGGTGTTCTCTGACCGAGAACTTTGACCTGGATGGAGAATGGGGTCGTTGTGTTGGTATGTTTGACTTCTAGAGCATTTTTTTAATTTAATGAACTACAAAAATAATGATACACGCTGACTGAATGAAGAAATAATCACCGATTATTTGTAAAGAATGAAGATATCGTTAGAAACGAGGCGACCGAATAATAGAACTAGAACATGTTTACCCCAGCTGTGACACTGATTATAATACAAAAAATTATGCCTGTAAACAATGTTTTGATCTTAATGTTTTGATGTAGCAACAGGATAACGTTCTGTTGAAAAGTTTGTCTACTTTAATAACCTTTCATCTTTTAATTAGAACCACAAAAGGTTACAAGAAAAATCGTACATTACAAAACAAAGAAACCTCGGAACAAGAAATACCTTAAAAAATATGAAAAGAAAACACATCATACAAAACTGCACAAAAAACCAAGCGAAGAATCAAAGCCCTTTTTTAACAAGACAAAAACTGACACCAGTCAGAGTGTTTCTAGAGTTGAATCTGTGCCCTTGGCGAACCTGAGCTATTCGCCTAAAGAAATAGAGGCAGAGGAAGAAGAAATTTTAAGGATATTTGGAAACGAAGAAAGTGAAAACAAAATTAAAGTTGAACCAGGTATCTTTTGCTATTGAGTTTGATCACGGAACATGATTAATATCCACCTACAACTCAATCTTTTTTCATTGACTATTTTCAAAACATGGTAGATCCGTTGGATGGTGGCTATTCGGAATGGTCTTTGTGGAGCAAGTGTCTTGCAACATGTGGAGGTGGTGTACAAGAGAGATTTAGAAAATGCTCTCATCCAACTCCTGCCTTTGGTGGACTTGACTGTCGACATATTGGTCCTGCTCTAGAATCACGTGAATGTAACAATTTTCCATGTCCTAGTAAGTTTTCATTGATATTAAATCTTATGTTGATTAAATTAAATTCAGAAAATAACAAAAGCACTGAACGTGCGATGTATCTTTTTCAGTCCATGGTGGTTTTAGCAGTTGGAGTCCTTGGCTTGAATGCAGTTCTAGTTGTGGTGGTGGAGTTACCACCCGATCACGCATGTGCGATAATCCTGCACCCAGTTATGGCGGCAAAGATTGCAGTGACGGAGGCCTGGGACCTACTATTGAGTCAAAGACTTGTAATGATTTTGCTTGTGGAGGTATTGTTTGAGCTTGTCTTGTCAATCACTGAATTCTTTTTGGCTCGTTGCCTTGGTTTATTTAATTTTATTTTGTGAGAAGATCACAACATGGTCACATTTCCCATTAAAACGTAAAATGGCCAGCTGAAAAACTACGTTGGTCTAAAGCAGCTCATTCATTTAGTTCTAGGTACAGACCTCTTTACGCCATGGTCTGAGTGGACTGATTGTGACAAGAAATGTGGTGGTGGGGTGAGCTTTAGAAGACGAGCATGCGCAAATCTTCTACCAAGTGTCAATGATGAAGATTGTAGTCTTAGTGGTGATATCATGCAAACTAAGGAATGTAATATCGATCCTTGCCCAAGTATGTAGTTTATACATTAGAGAACGTTTTTTTATAATACAAACATGGTAATATATGATAATATTATAGCTGATTGGACGAAAACCATAGATATGATTGAAAATCGATGTGACTTGAATTTCACAGAGGAGTGAAACGTTTTGAAAGATATTAAAGATTTGAAAGATATTTATTTTTCTACTCATTCATTGGTAAAGCAATTCCGCACTTTTACTCCTGCAATGCAAAATTTTTCAATAAAATTATTTCTTCAGAAAATTGATTCCATTTATTGATTTTTCTATGATTGAACACGAAAATATTTGCATTAGGAGTGTAAAAAAGGGCTGTCTTTGCTAATCCAAATATTCACGAGTATATTTTGATTTTATCGTGGTGCTTTGTTTTAGTCAATGGTGGTTATACTTCATGGACAGATTGGTCGATTTGTTCTCGGAGTTGTGGACCTGGTATCACATCCCGGCATCGGACATGTTCTCAACCCTTTCCCTCACTCAATGGTAAAGATTGTTCAGACATTGGAGAAGCTTTTGAACAGAAGTCTTGTTTTCTTAAGGATTGTAAAGGTATTGCTTACTGCTTCTTTCAACAATCGTAAAAAAATAATTAGAAATCAATTTTTGCATATATCACTTCTCCCTAGAAACGCTCTCCTCTAATGGGGTAATATTTACTGATTATACCATTATTTAATTTTTCGTTAAAATCGTCTCGAATTTTCAAGATCCTTCTTTGCATCTACTCCCCAAACATCCTTGACAGACAGCTTTTTTGATGTAATTTTGAGCCCGCAATATTTCAATCATGTCCTTTGTTCCAACATGTTGAAATATTTTTACTCCATTAGCATCAGGAAGATGGACTTTATGGAGTAACTGGGGCAAATGTTCTGTTACTTGTGGTAGTGGTTTTCAGTCCCGTTCGAGAAAATGCAAGGACATAGCAAAATGCCATGGGGATAGCAAACAGATTCAACTATGTAATGCTTATCATTGTCCAGGTATTTATACAAAGTATACTTTGATTACTATGCTTACATCATTGTAAAGTTTTTGAACTCTATCTGTGCTTTTAACTTTTCACGATGAACATGTTGAGGTAAATATATTTTCATGATTTTTTAGTTCATGGCAGTTTTAGTGAGTGGTCTGCGTGGTCTTTATGTTCAAAAACTTGTGGAGAAGGAATCTCGTCTAGAAAAAGATTATGTGAAAATCCTAAACCAAAGTTTGGAGGAAAAAGTTGTGCACAGCTTGGACTGGGCCCAAGTGAAGAGCAACAAAAGTGTAGTGTCTATAATTGTGAATGTTAGTGTTTCTGTAGATACGTTTTGTTTGTCATCGTTCATTGTTTTATTCACGTGATCGTTCATTGTTTTATTCACGTGATCGTTCATTGTTTTATTCACGTGATCGTTCATTGTTTTATTCACGTGATCGTTCATTGTTTTATTCACATGATCGTTCATTGTTTTATTCACGTGATCGTTCATTTGCTTTATTCACGTGAGGAATATATTAACATTTAGTGTCACATGATGGCGGTTACGGCCATTGGACTCCTTGGACCAAGTGTTCGACATCCTGTGGAATTGGAATGATGTCTCGTTACCGAGCCTGCGATAGTCCACGTCAGCAGGGAAGTGGAAAAGATTGCACAAACCTTGGTGTTGGTGTACAGACTATTCCTTGTTTTAATATGGCGTGTCCCGGTAAATTTAACTCATAGATAATCTGACTGCCATTTCTTGCACTTTTTGAACATTGCATTTAGTTATGTTTGAACATAGGAAAGTTTACTGTTATGTCAGGAAAGACGTGATCACATTTGTTCAGCGGTTACTAATGAGTGATGGGTTAAAGATACACATGGACATTAAAGTCGTACATCTGTGTGTCGACATGGATATTGATGTAACTTTGGTTTTGTTTTATTTAGTTGATGGAAACTATAATGAATGGTCGTTCTGGTCTGCATGCTCGGCGACTTGTGGTGATGGTTCTCGAATCCGAAGGCGAGCATGTGATAACCCCGAACCTTCAACTGGTGGGAAAAATTGTGAGGCACTTGGAAATGACGTAGAAAGTGAATCGTGCAATGAAGGACCTTGTCCAGGTAAGAAAGATTTACTTGGCTTAATTTGAGAATTTGTATTGTAGAGAGTGCATTTAGCTTTAATAAGCTTGTCAAATGTTTTTAATGATGATGCATTTTATTACACTCTTGCTCTTTCACTTTTGATGATGCATTTTTTTATACTATATCTCTTTGACCATTATGTGCTTATAGTGACAGCAAAACTTGGAGAATGGTCTTCTTGGCTTAGTTGTTCTAAGACATGTGGTTATGGTATTAGGCAACGCATGCGTAGATGTATTGGTTCATATCAATTTGGTGCCAACTATTGCAATAATGAGGAATTGGGTCTTTCTCAGCAAGCAGAACGGTGTTTTGAACGATCTTGTCCAGGTTGTTAACTATTTGTAGTATTATAAATCCACATATTGACTGGAGGTCACTAATTATTCCTGTGAGCTTAATGCAGTTTAATAAGTCAAATTTTTCTATGTGATAACTTTATTTTGACGATAGGTTGCGCTGTTTTTAAAAACTAATAATTTTGTTGTTTATATTTATCGTAGGACATAAATGACTTGTTACTGTTCTTTAAAAGAAATGATCTTTTTCATTTATATAGTTGATGGCAGTTTTGGTCCGTGGTCTGCTTGGTCAGCGTGCACTGCCACGTGTGGTGGAGGTGCCATGAGTCGTTTTAGAAATTGCTCCAATCCAACACCGATGCATGGAGGGAAAGGATGCGAGAGGATTGGGGCCGCCTTTGAAATCAAGTCGTGCGCTGAAAACGTTTGTCCTGGTATGACGAAGCCAGTTGCTTCTTTTAGTAGTAATTTTCATAATTTAAAAGGTTTCTATGTTGCCATCGGGAATCACGTTTTATGAAATAATATCTACTAAATAATTTCTGTTCTGTATAGTTGATGGAGGCTATTCAATGTGGTCAGAATTTGGACCATGTTCTAAAACCTGTAATACTGGATACATGAAACGAACACGAACCTGCACGCGACCTTCACCTGAACATGGTGGAAAGGATTGCTCACTACTTGGAGTGGCTGAGGACATTCAACAATGTTCTACACAATCTTGCCCCAGTAAGTGGTAAAGCTATCTAAAAATCGAACGGTATATTGTTATCCTAAAATTACAATTTCTTGTTTGTTGAATTCAAGTTTGTGCTCATAACATATTTGTCTTATTGCTTACATAGTAAATGGTAACTTCAGTGAATGGAGTGATTGGTCAAATTGTTCAGCTTCTTGTGGTAATGGTGTTATGCTAAGATCAAGAGCATGTAACAATCCAACACCAAGTTATGGTGGAGAGGACTGTACGTCGTTGGGATCTTTAACTGAGCAAATAAATTGTTTGATATTAGCCTGTCCTCGTAAGTGTTTTAATTTGATTTAGTTGGCTTCATCCATTTTATTTGCTCATGGAGTGTTTCCTCAATCATGTTTGTCAAGTATATACACGAGATTTACAAAAAGGCAGACTCTATCGCTCTTCTATACAATGGATCTGCCTCTAAAACTAAAATCTTTCAAGATTATTGGATTACTTTGCTCTTTTTATCATAGAACTTTGTTCATGTGGTGGTTGGACGACATGGTCCGACTGTACACGTTCGTGTGGCGGTGGTATTCAGACAAGGAAGAGGCAGTGTACGACTCCTAAGTTAGGAGTCGAGTCTTGCGAAAAAGAAGAGCTAGAAAGTCAACTCTGCAATTTGAATATTTGTCCTGGTAAGTTTCTGACATTGTTTATGAAAAAATGTCTTTACATTCGTAAAATTAGTAAGTCTTGTGATGTCTTGTGTGTGTTTGATTGTTATTTTTTTTTCAGACATTCAATTTTATATAAAATAATAATTGGACAAAGAACGGGATAGTGAATTTAATAAAATACGAAAGTTGAAAAATTTACATTTATTGGTTGAAGTTATTTTAAAACAGTAAATTTTCTAGTGAAGCAATGTACAATCTATTTCATTAAAAAATCGATGTTTTTTCAGTTAATTACCTTTCAATATTCTTTCGCAGTCGATGGTGGTTATAGCAAATGGTCGGAATGGACAAATTGCCTTGGCACTTGTGATCACGGGTACAAAACTCGAAGACGACTTTGCAATAGTCCCACTCCTGCTTTTGGTGGCCGGTCTTGCGAGGAAGCAGGTCTTGGGAAGTATTTTGAAACCGTGGGTTGTCTTATGAAGCCTTGTCCTGGTAAATTAGATTGTTTCCTATGAAAAGCATGCTAAGAAAGGGAAAATGGCTCGAAAGATTACTTTATGAGTGAGGCTGAAGGGAAAGAACATTGTAGATTTTTACACGGATTTCAAAGATCTGAAAAAGGCAGTGTTACTTAAGATCTATCAGAGGATTGGTTGATCACTTTATAAGTTTATCACCTCCCTCTGTTTTTCATAAAATTTACAAATGTTCCTCATATTTTTTTAGTAAATGGACATTACGGGTCTTGGTCTCCATGGAGTGCATGCTCATCGACATGTGGAATAGGACTGAAAACAAGATATCGTGAATGCGATAATCCACGTCCCGTTAGTGGTGGTGCGGACTGTTATCACTATGGACCCAATGAACAAACAATTGAATGTTTTATTGCTGATTGCCCAGGTTAGTATGGATGTGAAAGAAATGTCTGTAATGATGTGGAAATAATCCATGTTTACATAACTAAATGGTCTCTAAAACCATTCATAAAGAACCTTTTCGTTTTAACAAGTTCTTTTTGTACGCTTACATCAAATATTGATGAGAGCATTCAATGAATCACCAATTCATGACGTTCGTGGGTAGTAAGCTGGTTAACTGCTGGTTTTTTGTTCCTCTGTTATGACCTGCTTACATTTGTTTAGCAATGTTTTGACCGTTGTATTAAACGGATTTTTTGGGTGTTGGATAGTTTACTGATGCCATTACTTTATGTTGTCAGTTGACGGTGGTTACTCTCGGTGGACTGAATGGAGCGAATGTTCCAAATCGTGTGGTTGGGGCTATCAATCACGTGACAGGGAATGTAATTCTCCTGAACCATCACGTGGTGGTAAGGATTGTACAGACTTAGGCGAATCAAGTGAGGTACAAGATTGTATGATAATTGAATGTCCAGGTAAAGAGAAGTTTTAATGTGTGTTAATCATAGATTCCATTCCTGGAATGCATCAAAAACCTTTCGTGATTATATAACTCATCGTATAAACTGTCTCGCTTTTTTCTCAGTTGATGGCAAATTCACGGAATGGGCCGCATGGGGTGAATGTTCAAAGACATGTGGCAAGGGAAAGAAGCAACGAAAACGATACTGTACTGCTCCAAAACCTGCTTTTGGTGGGAAGGCATGTGCTGTACATAAACTTAGTGATACAGTTGAAAGCACAAGCTGTAATCTTGGATCGTGTCCCAGTATGTTTATTGTTTTGTAAATCTAAGTAGGAATCTAAGATTTATATTTTTTCCCTATAAACAACTTTTGCAAAACATTACCATCATCATTTACGTGGCTGTTTTAGAAAGTGGAGGTTGGGGAGCGTGGTCTGTTTGGTCTTATTGTTCAACCACATGTGGTCCTGGTATGATGGAACGCTCGCGTCAATGTGATTCACCAAAACCTGTTGGTGGTGGAAAACCATGTGTTGGTCAGCTGACGCAACAGAAACACTGTAGCCTACAAGACTGTCCAGGTGTGGAGCATTATATTTTCAGTTTAAAAAGTATCAAACGGTACAATGAATTTTGCATGTGAGTTGTACTCATGGCCTACCTAGCTTTATGTTTGTGATACGATGTTTTGCTTATATGCTGTAAAATATTCATTTTCAAAAATTTTTCTTATGCCAGCGGACTTAGAAATTGTGAGCATAAATGAAGATCACATTTGCAATTTTTTTTTACTTTTATTTCATAAAGTAAATGCTAACTACACAAATTGGGGCAAGTGGACTAAGTGCGATGCGAAATGTGGCAGAGGATTTCAGCAACGTTGGAGATCGTGCTCAAACCCGATGGCTTTTGCTGGCGGTCGAGAATGTCCAGCTTATGAGCCTGACTCGGAGTCAAGGCCATGTTTTCTGAAAGCATGCAAAGGTCTGCTGCTTTTCTGATTATTTGCAAAATTGACAAGTTAAATTATGCTGATGATTTTCTTAGTTGATGGATCTTGGGGTCAATGGTCTCTGTGGTCCACATGCAGTAAAACGTGTGATGAGGGAAAACAGGTTAGAAGCCGGTTATGTGACGATCCAAAACCTGCCTATGGTGGTGCAAATTGCTCTGGAATTTCTAGTCAGCATAAATTATGCAAAGTTCGAGATTGCTGTGAGTGAATTTTTACCCTGTTTTTTGAAGCAATTTTATTGTATAATATGAACTGGAAAACTGATCAAAATATCAATAATTTTTTTCATGTTACTTCCTCAAGGTGACATTTCCTACGCAGATCTTGGTTGCTTTGTCAATGCAGGCAGTCAATCGACAATGCCCGAGTTACTTGAAACGGATGTAGATCCTGACAGTCCATTTTACAGCGGTATTAGCGTAAAAAGTGGAGTGAAAGACTGGAACAACTACGTTTCAAACCTGATTTGCCGGTAGTTTTGTTATAAACAAAAGTGATACTACTAGTTGGTGCTGTGCATTTGTAAACTTTTATACATATTTATTTTATTCTTCAGTTGTGCTCAAATTACCAATGAAAAAGGTTACAGTCATTTTGGCATCCAGAACATTGGTGATTGTATGTCTGGTTTCAATGTTTCGGATACATTTGCCAGTCAAGGTGCACGTCTTACATTTACTAACCAAGGTCCAAGACCATGGGTTGGTTGTTTGGGTAAAGATAGAAAACGATGTAAAAGACCATCATTAAATTGTGTTGGTCAAGATGAAACAAACTTTGTTTATGGATTGAAAAATAGTAAGTGCGATTCTTGTATTTATCTGTTTGATCATGTAAATATTTTTGACAATTTTCATTAAATGATCAATTGTGTACCTAACTTAAATTTTCACTCTCGTTTTATAAATATTAAACCAATACTATTATTCATTAATAAAAAATATATTTGCATTTTGAGAGTAAAATCATGATCTGACTACGCTTCTGTGAATCACCTCATTTATATGAGCAAAAATTTCTACTCTTTAATTTCATTTTTATTTTTTTTTCAAGTTGCTCCACTGGATGGTAACTACAGTTCATGGGGAGCATGGTCACCTTGCTCAAAGACTTGCAGTCGTGGAATAACCTCACGTAGACGCAGTTGTACCAACCCACGACCTCTCTATGATGGCAAAAATTGCGAGGAGATTGGACCTGAGGAAGAAACACAAGAATGTTTTATTAAAGCATGTCCAGGTATTTTTTAGCTATTCTAACTGGCGGATGGCTTCATTCATAGTTCATGGTATAAATGTTTCGATGAAATATCGAAACAATAACCTTTTTGTAGGTATTGTTTTCAACCATTCATCACTTGATTTGGGCTTCAGATTGTTACAGATTGATAACTCTTTGAACTCAATGATATCCATAAAAACTTCTTGATATATGTGGGAACCGTTTGTATCGATAATCGTTCTTTAGAACTAAGTGAACTAAGTGCTTATGTCTGCTGTGATATTGCTAAAGGAATTAAAGGCACTTTTTTGATTTAATAACTTCTTATACAGTGTTATTTTGCCATGTTCTGTTTGTATTCTTTCATAGTCAACGGTGCTTGGAGTGGTTGGGCTATTTGGAGTGACTGCTCGGCCTCTTGTGGTACTGGAAAAAGGACACGAATCAGACGATGTAAGATTCCACCCCCTTCAAATGACGGAGATTTTTGCAACGGACCAGATACAGAGATAGCTGAATGCATCAAGCAAGATTGTCCGAGTATGTTGAAATGTGTTACAAGAAGATGCTGAACTAACCTGATCAACTAAAGAAACATTATCCAAACATCTTTTATTTATTTGCAGTCAAGGGTGGATGGTCAGACTGGTTAAGTTGGGAGCCGTGCTCAGTAAGCTGTGGTTTTGGCGTGCAATTGAGAACTCGATATTGTGATAGTCCTGCTCCATCGGAGAACGGGAAAATGTGCACAGGTCCCTTGGTGGAGGCCTCACCTTGTGTAGCCAAACCTTGTCGTGAGTCCTTCATATCATATCTTGTTTAAACATTTTTGCCTCGTTCAGAACCAGTTTAATTTGAAATATATTCTTCAGCTGTAAATGGTGGATACGATAGTTGGTCCAGTTGGTCTGTTTGTTCACGTTCCTGTGGAAGAGGACATAAAATAAGAAGAAGAAAATGCATTCATCCTTCACCTCGTTTTGGTGGCAAGTCGTGCAAGAGACTGGGTCCAAGTAAAGAAAAGATTCATTGTAATGGAAATCCATGTCCTGGTAAGATTATTGTTGCTACTCAAACGTTTCTTATTAAATAGCATGGTTTCTGGTTTGGAAAGAGTTTGAATGGTGTCATATGTTGATTATCTTATCGATAAAACTAATATACGTCTTTTAAATCTTTTTCTTGTTAAACGTATTTAGACTTTGTTTTTGTAATATATGTTTTGTTGGTAATTATTTTAGATTGAATAAGTTTTCTTTCTGTATCTTAGTTCATGGAAATTGGGGCTCGTGGACTTCCTGGAGTCGATGCTCGGCCAAGTGTGGGCCTGGTATTAGAACACGTGATCGTATTTGTAACAATCCATATGCAAATTACGGTGGGGATTCTTGTGTGGGTAGAGGTCATGAAACAATCGTATGCAGTATGCCTGATTGTCCTGTTGATGGAAACTGGGGAGCCTGGTCCAAGTGGTCAGACTGCCAGAGTGATTGTGGTCTTGCTACGAGATATCGTACACGTGACTGTATTGATCCTCCACCTGCACATGGCGGACGGGGCTGTGAAGGTGAAGCTGAGGAATATAGTGACTGCAACCTGAATCATTGTCCAAGTGAGTCCTTCTGAAATTTTTATTAAGAAGATTTCAACTACAGGCTTTGTTGTAATATCATTGTTGTTTTTTAGTCAATGGAGGTTATTCCAGCTGGAGTTTGTGGAGTTCTTGTGATAAAACGTGTTCATCTGGACACAAGATAAGGTCAAGAACTTGTTCCAATCCTGAACCTCAATTTGATGGCCTAAACTGCTCGAGCTTGGGGCCAGAGACCGAGTATCTCACTTGTAATGATGATCCTTGTCCAGGTTTGCTTCTTCTTTGTACATTAACGAGATATTTTTGAACAGCAGCTAATGTGTATTTCCATATAGTTGACGGTGGCTGGTCCGGTTGGACAAGTTGGTCTTCATGCTCCCAAACCTGTGGTCTGGGACTCTCTACTCGTTCAAGAAGCTGTTCCTATCCTGTTCCTGAGTTTGGTGGAAAAGCTTGCTCTGGAAATTCCAAAGAAGCAAAGCCTTGCAAAACCTTCGATTGCTGTAAGTAGCTATAACCTTTATCAAAACAAGTTAAATTTAAGTTTATTTCTGAAATATTTGAAGTAGAAATATGAAAGGCCAGCATTGTAACCTAGGTATTTAATGGGTCAATGAAAGTCACTCTGCTGGGATTCAATGTTTATGATTAGAATTTTCGACTCTAAACTGTTTGAGTATTCAATTTATGTTTCCACAAAACAAATTTTGTGAAGTTTTATTTCATTCCAGGTGACATACCATACGAAGATGTTGGATGTTATATAGATACCCAGCGTGCACCGCGGCCTTTACCTGAGTTATTGTTCAGTGATCGAGATAAGATATCATGGAAGAACTGGAAAGATTTCATATCAGATATGATATGCAGGTAAATAGCAACCTTTTAACATCATTACTTTATTTGTTTTAGGGAAATATCACGTAAATTTACTGTGAATTTATCCTTCTTGCGTTGTGCTTCTGACAAACTCAAAAAATGTTTGATGTTGTAGAACTTCGATGAACTTTATGCTCTTTTTCAAGAGAAGATGATGATTTTAATGTTGTGTCCTTTTTATTTTATTTAGTTGTGCGCAAGAAACCCGTGATAAACAATACAAATATTTTGGTATCCAGCATTACGGAGAGTGTTATTCAGGACCAGAAAGTTGGAAGACTTATGGTGACCAAGGAATTCGTCAAGATTTTACACGTCCCCCTGATGCTCAACCTTGGGTTGGTTGTGTTGATGAATCATTAAATCAATGTAAACAACCAAATTTGAAATGTGTTGGCAAAAAAAACACGAATTTTGTTTACACAATTGATCAAGGTAATGAAACTTGTGAAATCTCTAAAATCATCTAAATTATACACTCCCTATGGTGAGTCTGATTGCGAAAACACCCATTTGCTGTTGTTCATTCACTCTCATCGTGAACGGTAAATGGATTTTTAACAAGTTTATTTTGTGTTTCATTAAGCAATATCATCTCTTTCTGATTGATAGTGATATACGTAGCATGTCTTAGCAAACAGATAATTGTATCTTGCAAAAAGCAACTTCAAATTTATTATTTATATATACATTTAATGAATAAGGCGTCTATTTCTTTTCCAGTTCAGCCAGTAGACGGTAATTACAGTTCTTGGACATCTTGGAGTCCATGCACGTCATCATGTGGCATTGGATCGCGTTATCGTTGGCGTTCTTGCACGAATCCTGCACCTTCGTTTGGTGGTCAGCGGTGTTATAACATGGGAAGTGATGAAGAAGTCGAAAACTGTTATGAAAATGACTGTCCTGGTCAGTAAAATTGTCTGTGTCTGTCTCTGCGTTTCTTTTGAAACTTGTATATTTTACTCTAGTCATGTGCATTTTTGTTTAGTTGACGGTGGTTGGAGTAACTGGGGAAAGTGGAGTGTTTGTTCTGCCACCTGTGGTCGTGGTGAAATAACAAGATCACGACAATGTGATAACCCTGAAGCACAATTTAATGGTAAAAAATGTTTGGGTAGAGATTTGGAAACTGTTTCTTGCAATCATCACCATTGTCCAGGTATTATTTGTTATTTGTTTACATATTATAATCACAAACTAAAAATGAACAGTTGTGTTACATTCTGTCTGTTGATTTGAAGTTTTTAGAAATAACTTTGAGTCAGTCTTTTCAATGTGTATACCTCGTATGAAATTGATATAAGAGTGCATTATTTAAATTGCCTTTTTCACAAAGTATTTGGTGGTTGGTCTGCATGGTCTGCGTGGTCCCAGTGCTCTTCATCTTGTGGATTTGGTCAGCAGTCTAGAAAACGAGATTGTAACAATCCTTCACCTGCTTATGATGGTGAACCTTGTAGTGGAGTTTCAGTTGTATATCAGAACTGTGTGGAGAAAGAATGTCCAGGTTTTATGTCAATGAACTTTTTTTTTTTGCTTTTTTAAGATATTTTCATGAAAGTTGTAATCAAAGTGTATTTTTTAGCATTTTCACGTTCAATTGTTTAGCCAAATGATAAACGCTAATATTTTAGTATTTTAACTCATTTATCGAAAGCTTACATGGCTCATTTCTACAAAGAAAACTATTTAAATTCGATGTCATTATTTCCTCTCTTACTGTTATGTGATGAAAACTCTACATTTACAACAACCTGCAGGTGTTTGGGGAGCTTGGTCATTCTGGAGTGATTGTACCAAAACATGTGGAGAAGGAGGGACTCGTACAAGATCAAGGACCTGTCATGGTGGTCAGCGGTGTGAAGGCTCAAAACACGAGACTACAAAATGCTTACTTCAAGACTGTCCAGGTAATGTTTGTAATGGCTGCCAATATTGGATATTTATCCACAAATAAATGGACAATTATTTTCTCTATCACTCTCCAAGATATTTTCTTTTCATTTTTTACGAGTATCGTAACAAATAAGTGAAAGAAAATGTGGTCACTGTTTCATTTTAAGCTGGTATATTCTAGAAATTCTCTTGTTTATTAAAGAATGCTCTAATTCTGCTGATGTTGCTTTCATTATGGATGGGTCCACTGCTGCAGATGAGTTCATTTGGAATCGATTAAAATCTTTTGTGCGTGGAGTGGCAAATGCATTCTTCCTTAGTGATGACACGACGCGCGTGGGATTGATCACGTACTCCACGCAACCTAAACTCGAACTTCAATTTGACGAGAAGAATGATGTTGACGAGTTTTTCGATTTTCTCGAAACAGTCTCCCGCGATCACGGCACCTCAAACCTCGACTCAGCTTTGGCCCTTGCTAATGATAAATTGTTTGTTCCTAGTGCTGGCATGAGAGTCAATGTTAGTTGTGTATTAGTAAACAATTAATGGATTGTATATTGCCATGAAATTTGATTCCTGAAACCTCTTACTTTGACGCTGCCAAAATATTTGATTAGTTAAGACGAAGTACAGACTTAAGTCATAATGTCATCGTTAATGTGTGTTTAAATGACCATAATGTATGAGGAAAACCTTTAACTTAGTTCTAACACTTGCTGTCGTTTTTCAGCCTTGCATAATTGTGATAGCAACAGTAATCATCCTTGTTTTTGTCAATAAACCTTAAAGAAACCTTATTTTCCTAGGTGCCAAATGTTGCAATCATATTGACTGAAGAAGGACCAGTAAATACCTTTACCATGTACAATGATAGCTCACAGGATCTGAAAGAAAGAGGAATTACTTTAATAAGTGTTGGCGTTGGTAACCGTGTGAATCCATATGAATTACAGAGAATTGTAAATGATCCAAGAAATGCAATTTTAGTTGATACCTTAGATGACGCCATTGCATCAATTGCAACTGTTGCCAACGCAACATGCCTGGCGAAGCCAACGCCTCCTCAAGGTTAGAGCATCATCATATTTATATTGTTTATGAACAAAGCATGACTAGCATGGAGTATTTTTAAATATTGACCGTAGAATTCTTTCCGTAACCAAGTAAAACAATTGTTACAACTGTTATAATTTTTCATATGCTCTCTAAATCAGGACTTTCCACTGTCTATGATGATTTGATTTCTAGATTTGCATCGGAGCCTTATGATGTCATGGAAACATGTTGCAACATTTTTGTGATTATGATTTTGGTTGTTTTATTTTTTTAAGTTAAATGGAGTCCGTGGAGTCGATGGTCTTCTTGTTCCCGTCTCTGTGATGCTGGTGTTCGTCATCGAACTCGATCGTGTGTAACTGGTAATGAGTGTGGTGGAAATGATAGAGAGGAGATGACATGTATCTTACAAAAATGTCCGGGTAAGGTCTTAGACATTACACTTTTTGAAATGAGTTTCGTTTTTACAATTGTGCCATACAAGTTTGGAAATACAAGTTTTGCTTTATTGATACTTGTGATGTTGCATATGTATTCACAAGTTTCACATTCTTTTGGTCTGTTTTATGAAGAGCGTTTAATCTGCCTCGTTTTGGTGATAAAGAAATACATGAATAATGGTAGTATTTGTTGCATTAAATGATTCATTTCATTTTTTTACAGAATGTAAATCAATTCTTGATGTCGTCTTTGCAATTCCCATTGCTGATAGTATTCCCAAAGAGGAATTTAACGAAGCAAAGAAATTTGTCCGTGGACTTATCGATGGTCTGTACATATCACCACAGGGAGCCCATATTGGTCTACTTGGTTATTTTGATTATCCACGAGTTGAACTAAAACTCAATACTTTCTATAATAAAGATGATATATTACGAGCATTATCTTCAATCCATACCGTTGATGGTTTTAATAATACAGACATCGATTCTGCATTCAGAGCAGTCCAGTCTGATATGTTCGTACTAGCCAATGGACTTCGAGCTTACGTACCGAAAGTTTTGATCTTCCTCGCTTATGGTGATGTCACAGGTCAGAATTTGCTTGCAGCCTCGTCTCCACTAAAAAATGATGGAACAACTATCATACCGCTCGTTACTGGAGACATAGGTACTAAAACGATTGCGCCAAGAGGGTCCAGCACCTTTCATTATTTTTCGTCTAATAATTTTGCTAATCTGGCATCAAAGTTAGACGCTATTTCGGCAAAATTGTGCGAAGGTAAGACTTGATAACTTAAACATTGTGTTTCAATATGTGAAATTTTGTTTTTACCTTCTTGTTTCTCTAATAATGTTTCAAAAAACCATAAAAAATGTTTTATCTGAGAAACTGAAAACTTATTAGTTAATTTTTGTGATCTATCATCTTGTGTAGTTCCATTCTTACTGAGTAAACTTTTTCAAAGTTTATTTCTACAAATAATCCACGTTCACATAAGGCTTAAAATCTTTTTAAATTTGTTTAAATAATTTTAACAGCGAACTCTGCGTTAACGTAGATGAATGTTGATTTAAGTTGACTTGATGTACAACTCAGTTCTGATGCGAAATTTTCTTCATGTAGCGTCTGTCTATACTGGCCTTTCCTTGAAGCCATTCCTAAATACTTCAAAACATGGCGTGTCAAAACTGCACCTAAAAACAGTATCACGTGTTTCAAAGACGTTGCCACGTGATAAAACTCAAAGGGATCAAATCAAAGAAATATTTACTCATCCATCATCAGATACCGTACCTAAAGTTAAATCTGATGTGATTTCACCTGCCTTTGAATCAAGTATCACTTCAAATTTACTTAACCAGGTTGATCAGCTGATGCCAGGAACCGATGTAACGTCATTGCTAACGAAGTCAAGCAAATTTAAGCCAGTTACTAAAGCAAAAGCACCTGACACAGGTTGTAATTTCTTAAAGTTGCGGTTGATAAAATCAGCGAAATTTCATGTATAATGTGTTTCTTTCATTGTTAATTGAAGGCATGTGGAAAGACTGGAGCATTTGGAGTGCCTGCTCAACCTCTTGTGGACTGGGCAAGAGAACACGAGTTCGTTTATGCAATGCTACAAAATGTAGTGGTCAGCAGCCAATAGAAACGTCTTTATGTAAAATGAAAGATTGTCTAGGTGAGTTATTAATATTGTGAATGTGGTTTCTCATGATGTCCAAGAAGAAAGTGATGTACATATTTATTGATGTTTGTGAATTTTAGCTTGCAACCACAATGTGGATCTTGTAATGGCCGTAGACTCATCTTCTGCTGTACCAAAAGAAAACTGGCTAAAGATAAAATCATTTATGAAAAGCATCGTGGACGCCTTTCTAATCTCGAAGCCAGCAACGCACGTTGGCATTTTGTCGTTTTCCTCAGTCCCCTATTTGGAAACACGGTTTTTGGAAGAGCTTTCAAAATCAAACATTTCGCAACTTCTGGACAATATGCAACAACTACTAGGAAAACAACGAAGAATCGATAAGGCGTTGAGAATGGCTAATTCTGAGTTTTTCTCTTTAAAATCGAGAGGTTTTAGAGCTCATAAAAGTAAAGTATTTCTTCTTATAACTGGTGGAAACCCAACTGAGGGAACCAAAGATGTAGCGTCTGCAGTGAATCTGCTGACTCAAAATGGCGTGTCTGTGATGGCTGTTGGAGTTGGACCTGGTGTAGACAATGCTCTCTTACAGTCTATGATGGGAAAGAAAGAAAATTATTTCAAGATTGCAGACTACAATAAGTTGGGAACTTATGTCTCTGATGTTGTCAAAGCTATATGTAAAGGTGAGTCAACGTTATTGTTGTGCTGATTTACTGAAGTTTCTTAGAATTCTTTTCATCGTATGTATGTAAAAGAATCTGGAAGTATCCAGTAGCGGAAGTGGCACAAGTCAGAATACATTAAACAAATTATACTTAAATTTATAAATTTTGGTTAAAAATTATACTTTTTAACCAACAGATTTATTTCTACATGTTTTAAATGTAAATCGTCCAGGTTGGTAAAGTCATGAGAAGGAATGTTTTTGTTGTTGTTGACTGACGTTTCGACAACCTTAGCAGTAGTCATCTTCAGAGCAATAAAGTAAATGGTTCAAACCATTTACTTTAGACTTATTTCTTAGATACATGTATTTTGAATTTAATATGATGCAGTATAACGTATTCTGACTTACCGTAGATCTACCCTTGGAAATCTCCTCTAAAATATATAGCAGTTTTCTAGTATGTTCAATGTTCATTTTAATATTTTTGCAGCGCAACATCAAACATTAAACATACGAACAGTTTCACCAAAGACAGTCACAGCTAAAATAATGATTTCACCTACTCAAGGCAAGGAATTATCTTCACCTAAGACAGAGATTACGTCTCACACAAGTAAGTGAGGATGTTGCTATGACTTAAATATCACATGCAGGATGGTTTTCAGTTATGTTATGACTGTTATTTCCAGACAAGTGGGGAAAATGGAGCAACTGGGAGACATGCTCTCGTACTTGTAGTGAAGGGGTTCGTGCAAGATCACGTATTTGTACAGGAATTAATTGTACTGGTCCATCGATGGAGACAGAAGCTTGTTTTGTTCAGGATTGTCCAGGTATAAGAAAGTTTTTAGAAATAAAAGCTATTAATCATACTCCTTGTTGTTGAATAATGCTCCTATCCATCATTTCTTCTAATCACAGATTGTCAAAAGTGATTGACCTCGTTTTTGCTTTGGATGCGTCAGATGGTGTTATCGATAAAGAATTTATGCTCGAGAAAACATTTGTCTTAAATATGTTAAATGCCTTTAAAATTCATCAAGACCATACACGTGTTGGTGTTTCCACTTATGGTGGTGAAGTTTCTCAAGATATTCCTCTCTCCAACCAGTTTGATAAAGATAGTTTACTCTTGGCCATCAACTCTCTTATCAAGAATAAAGGCAGAGCATCACTTTCTAAAGTTCTAGATGCGGCAAGGACAAATTTATTTACGGGAACACGTGATAATGTTGCTAAAGGTCTGGTCTTGCTGTCGTCCATGAAGAACAAAGAGAAGGAAAATCCAGAAATCGCTGCACAAGCTTTGAAGCGAACTGGTGTTGAAATTATTATAATTGGCATTGGTTCCATGGATGATAGTTCTAGAGATGTATTATCAAAGGTTGCCAGTAGTAAATCACGTGCATTTCACCTTGTTTCATTTGATGATCTGTTAAATGACGTATATCTTGTTGCTACAAGTGCATGTGAAGGTAAGTAAACAAATGTTTTATAAAAAGTACGTTTTCAGTTGTTTTTACACACACGACCGCAAGTTTAAATCCTGATTATCATGATTTATTATCTTTATGTCTGGATTTAATAACGTTATTTTATTGATGAAAAAACGCAGTCGATGTTTTGGCATTAGGAATTAACAGTAACATTGTAGTAATAAGGATACTTCGCCACGTAATATTGCTTCTTTTGATTTATAGTTTATACGTTGTAAATTTTTTTTTATTAATAAATATCATGCATCCCTTCATTCTAGCTGAGCCTGTAGCGTCAGTTAACAAGGAAAGGAAAGAATCATCAAAAGCACCACCAAGTGAGTTTTTAACGTGCAAATCTCGGCTTTTTCTAGTTTCTTTTTTATTTCAAGATTGACGACACTGCTTCTTTGTCATTGATGATGCAGTTGTTAAAGTCATTTAATTTTTTTCATTTTAGTAGTGGTGGTAGTAGTGTTTATTGTTGTAGATGTTGTTTCATTGTTGCTGATTTCGTTGTTGTTATTGGTGTTGTTGTTGTAGATGTTGTTTCATTGCTGCTGATTTCGTTGTTGTTATTGGTGTTGTTGTTGTAGATGTTGTTTTATTGCTGCTGATTTCGTTGTTGTTATTGGTGTTGTTGTTGTAGATGTTGTTTCATTGTTGCTGATTTCGTTGTTGTTATTGGTGTTGTTGTTGTAGACGTTGTTTTATTGCTGCTGATTTCGTTGTTGTTATTGGTGTTGTTGTTGTAGATTTGTTTTATTGCTGCTGATTTTTGTTGTTGTTATTTGTTGTTGTAGATGTTTTTTATTGTTGCTGATTTCGTTGTTGTTATTGGTTATTTGTTGCTGTAGATGTTGTTTCATTGCTGCTGATTTCGTTGTTGTTATTGGTGTTGTTGTTGTAGATGTTGTTTCATTGTTGCTGATTTCGTTGTTATTGGTGGTGTTGTTGTAGATGTTGTTTCATTGCTGCTGATTTCGTTGTTATTATTGTGTTGTTGTTGTAGATGTTGTTTCATTGCTGCTGATTTCGTTGTTATTGGTGTTGTTGTTGTAGATGTTGTTTTATTGCTGCTGATTTCGTTGTTGTTATTGGTGTTGTTGTTGTAGATGTTGTTTCATTGTTGCTGATTTCGTTGTTGTTATTGGTGTTGTTGTTGTAGATGTTGTTTCATTGCTGCTGATTTCGTTGTTTTATTGGTGTTGTTGTTGTAGATGTTGTTTTATTGCTGCTGATTTCGTTGTTGTTATTGGTGTTGTTGTTGTAGATGTTGTTTCATTGTTGCTGATTTCGTTGTTGTTATTGGTGTTGTTGTTGTAGATTGTTTTATTGCTGCTGATTTCGTTGTTGTTATTGGTGTTGTTGTTGTAGATGTTGTTTTATTGCTGCTGATTTCGTTGTTGTTATTGGTGTTGTTGTTGTAGATGTTGTTTCATTGCTGCTGATTTCGTTGTTGTTATTGGTGTTGTTGTTGTAGATGTTGTTTCATTGTTGCTGATTTCGTTGTTGTTATTGGTGTTGTTGTTGTAGATGTTGTTTTATTGCTGCTGATTTCGTTGTTGTTATTGGTGTTGTTGTTGTAGATGTTGTTTTATTGCTGCTGATTTCGTTGTTGTTATTGGTGTTGTTGTTGTAGATGTTGTTTCATTGTTGCTGATTTCGTTGTTGTTATTGGTGTTGTTGTTGTAGATGTTGTTTCATTGCTGCTGATTTCGTTGTTGTTATTGGTGTTGTTGTTGTAGATGTTGTTTTATTGCTGCTGATTTCGTTGTTGTTATTGGTGTTGTTGTTGTAGATGTTGTTTTATTGCTGCTGATTCGTTGTTGTTATTGGTGTGGTTGTTGTAGATGTTGTTTTATTGTTGCCGATTTCGTTGTTGTTATTGGTGTTGTTGTTGTAGATGTTGTTTTATCGCTGCTGATTTCGTTGTTGTTATTGGTGTTGTTGTTGTAGATGTTGTTTTATTGCTGCTGATTTCGTTGTTATTGGTGTTGTTGTTGTAGATGTTGTTTCATTGTTGCTGATTTCGTTGTTGTTATTGGTGTTGTTGTTGTAGATGTTGTTTAATTGTTGCTGATAGTTTTCAGCATTGTTTTTGGAAAAGGATAACAGTTTTTATTGCTATCTTTGATGTTATGCTCTCTTGATGTCCTTTATCAACATTTTTACCTTGACTTTGTTAGCTCCTAACTTCCAACCAACTTACGTGAAAAAATTGTCAACACATCAAGCAGCTCCAGTCGCCATAACACATTTAATTCGCCCTGGAACTTCAGATTTACAACAAGCTTTGCTCGGGAAACTTTCAAGTAAGTAATTGTGATCAGTGGAAACTTGTTGTATATCAGGACTTTGGTAAATATATACTTGCAATTTTGCCATAATTTTCTCTCATTACTATAGCTCATTTTCCAATAATCTATTGAAAAGGCCAAAAAAGACACACGTCTTTTTTGTTGTTATCAAAATAATCTAATAAGTGTAACAATAGTTTTTTATTTTCAGAAATTATTTATTTTTTTGATACCTTTCCTCCAAGAAGCGTCTGTATTACTCCTGTACATATTCCCTTTACATATGCGTCTAAATATTTTAGCTCAGGAGCCATCCCAAGGAAAAGATTGCATTTCGCATGCTCTGAATCGTTTTCTATTCGAGTTAGTGTTTTCATGGGAATGGCACAAAAAGTTTTTGGCATTCATGTTTTTTAACGAATTTTTATCGTTCGGAGAACACTATTTGTAGAAAAAATTAAGCTTTGCAAAGACAGTTTCAACAAAAAAGAAAACAATGAAACTGAAATTTTTTAATGTTGTTTGAAAGATAAAACAAGCATTACTATTATAACTATATACATCAAGGTGATGATATGCAACACTTTTTTTAAACTTCGATACAGGAAAAAGATCCATCATTGAGTCATCTGAAGTTTTGGCTAAAAATTTGAAGGCAGAAAAGCACGGCAGTGATCATCACCACTATTCAAGAATACACAAAGTCATTAGAAAAACGTCGAAAAAGAGAAACGATCATTCAAGTGCAGGTCGGAAAGCTGTTTTTAAAAGACATGTATATGTCAAACATCTTAGCAAAAAACGATTAGGCAAAAACCATTGATGATTATGTGACCTAAATACGAGACACATCTTTAAGAATTCACGTTTACTTTTATACTGTTGTTTAAATTATGCTGCATTGTTACCATATGTAACGTTTTCCATGGTTAGTTCTCAGAACAAATAATTTTACATCCAACGTCTAAAAATGAAATGTAATCTTTATATTTCAGTTAACATAGATATATATTCATATCAGAAAACATGCTCTGTTCAATAGAGTGGTTCCCAATGATATCACCGCCACAAGTATCTTTTGATTCAAACTTGTTCAATAATATGTTGTATAGCAGAAAGATGTTTAGCTAAATTTCAGACATTTTCTTTTATGGCAAATGTTCTAGGGCAATACAAACCCGATTTTTACTTCTACAATAAAGGTTACTTCTTCAGCAAAATAATTATTCATTATTCTCCAAAATTAATTTCATACGTTTTTTTCAGTAAATGAACACAAAAATATTTTCATTCTAAGATTAAAAACGATGAACAGTTTTTTTGAAGAAAACGACATCTCTCTTGAATACATTTCATTATGATTCTATAAATCAATAGTTAGTTGTCATTTGAATTTTACATATATTTAATGTTGGGATGATATAGCTTTTTAGCAACACTAATTATTGTTCTTAGGATTAGTTTTGATAGACATCCGGTAATTTGTTCCAGCACAAACAATGAAGGTTAAAACAATCAAGTGGAACAAATACATAATGATATGCAAAACACCATGCATATGGCTTTATTATTCACACTACAAGTTTGTAGGACAAACTTTGCAAACTACCAAGCGTCATATTAAACACTTGTTATTCGTATGAACTTAAACAAGACTAATCAAAGGCAAAATTTCTAGCGTATTCAAAAGATTTCTTGTTTTGCAACGGAAAGTTGTTTTGCTAAATGGAGTTAACCACGAGAATCGTTAATTTTTTGCTCATTACGGAAAGACGTCTCATTTAATTGGTGGTGTAATTGATCGTGATGAAACACAATGAAAATTGTTAACATGTCTATAAAAACAACTGAACAAGAAATGGAATCCATCAACTAGAAGAAACATTTTAAAAAGTATAGAAAAGTATGAATGAAAATTTGTTTATTAATTGTCAACGAAAAGCAATGCATTCAATTGCTGAGCAAGTGGCAAATAAAGATGGTCTAAACCTGGACAAAGATAGACACAAAGGTAAACATAAAATTAAATACTAAGGCAGACATAAAGGTTTACATGAAGGTAGATATAAAGGTAGAAATTAAAGGTAGACATAAAGGTAGATATAAAGGTAGACATAAAGGTGGAAATAAAGGTAGATATAAAAGTAGACATAAAGGTGAACATAAAGGTGAAACATAAAAGTGGACATAAGGTAGACATAAAAAGGTAGACATAAATCAGACATAAAAGGTGAACAAAGGTAGACATAAAGGTGAACATAAAAGTGAACATAAAAGGTGAACATAAAAGAGATAGACATAAAGGTGAACATAAAGATAGACATAAAAGATTAGAACAAGGTGAACATAAAAGTGAGACATCTAAAGTTAGACATAAAGGTGAACATAAAGATAGACAGAAAGGTAGACAGAGAAAAGAGAGTGGAGACATAAAGGTGAACATAAGGTTTACAAAAGTTAGACATAAAAGGTGGGAAAATAAAAGGTGAACATAAAGGTGAACATAAAGGTAGACATAAAGGTGAACATAAAAGGTGAACATAAAGGTAGACATAAAGGTAGACATAAGAGATTAAATATAAGGCACCATGGTTAAAATAAAGGTGGACCAAATTAGACATAAAGGTGAACATAAAGATAGAATAAAGATAGACATAAAGGTAGACATAAAGGTGAACATAAAGATAGACATAAAGATGAACATAAGGTGAACATAAGGTAGAACATAAAGGTGAACATAAAGGTGAACATAAAAGGTAGACATAAAGGTAGACATAAAGATTAGATATAAAGGTGGTAAAGGGAAGTAGACATAAGGAAGATTAGACATAAGATGAACATAAAGATGAACATAAAGGTGAACATAAAGGTAGACATAAAGATAGACATAAAGAGTGAACATAAAAGGTGAACATAAAGGTGAACTATAAGATAGACATAAAGATGGAACATAAAGATGAACATAAGGTGAACATAAAGGGTGACATAAAGTGGAACATAAAGGTGACATAAAGGAGTGTAGACAAAAGGTGAATAAAGGTGGATATAAAAGTGGAACATAAAGGTGAACATAAGATGGATTATAAAGATGAACAAAGGTTAGACATAAAGATTGAACATAAAGATAGACAAAAGATAGACATAAAGGTAGACATAAAAGGTGAATAAAGGTAGATATAAAGTAGACATAAAGGTGAACATAAAGATAGACATAAGATGAACATAAAGGTGAACATAAAGGTGAACATAAAGATAGACATAAAGATGAACATAAAAGATGAACATAAAGGTGAACATAAAGGTGAACATAAAGGTGAACATAAAGGTGAACACAAAAGGTGAACATAAAGGTAGACATAAAGTGAACATAAAGGTGAACATAAAGGTGGAACATAAAAGGTGAATTATAAAGGTGAACATAAAAGGTGAACATAAAGGTAGATAAAGTGAACAAAGGTAGACATAAAGGTGAACATAAAAGATGAACATAAAGGTGAACCTAAAAGGTGAACATAAAGGTAGATATAAAAGTAGACATAAAGGTAAACATAAAGGTAGACATAAAGGTAGACATAAAGGTAGACATAAAGGTAAACATAAAAGTAGACATAAAGGTAGATATAACGATAGACATAAGATTTAGAAAATTGCGGTAAAGTCATTAACGGTAAAGAAAAGAATCAAATTTCTAAATCTGTTGGTAGTTTTGAAGCATTTCTCGATGAGATAATGTGAATATCAGGTTAATAATGCATGTCGTGGAGCTTGACACTTTCAGCCGTTAAGATCAACAATCAAACTTTCACAACAACAATAGCAATAAATGAAAAACCAGTCAGGTGCAAGAACAATCATTGTTATAAAGACAGAAAATTTTGTACTGTAGGATTAATCTGTTTTCGTTTATGCATGCATAATAACGAATAAGTAAGAACATTAATTCCACTTATAAATCTGCCTAGACTAAATTTGAACAGAAACAGCAGCAGCAAGTGCAATGGCAAGGATAAAGGGGCGAGAGACGTTAACGTTTATGTTGGGAGAAATTATTTGGTCACTGGAAGGAGTCTCAACGTGGATTGAACGTTAATTATTAACTATCAAAGCAGAAATTACTACGAGTTAACGACGTCTACCAGACAAACCAAATGTCAATGGATGTATCGGACCCAATCTAAGCATTTGATAAGCATACAGTTTGTATAGAAGCTATGGAACTGAATGATAGCGTAACACAACAAACAAGAGCGCTGTGAAGACTGTGCAGATTGGTTTATTACAACATCCTATGTCCTCAACACAATGTTTAAAGATAATATGGCTGCGTTGTCAAATATGTGGTGATATGTTATAAGTGTCATAAACCATTGAAATGTAGGATATGACTCGTGAAATCGACATTCCTAAAGAATACACCTCAAAATCGGAACGATAGAAAAATTCATTTCCTATGTATATCATATAAAAGCTAAAGAGACAAGTTATCGGCTGCTTTAAAGCCTTCACCAATGTCAAACCAGAAATATGTCATCCTTATATTTAACTACGACAAGTGCCATTGGAGGAATAAAGCTAATATCGACAGCAACCGCTAAAGAAATCTGCATTTCTTAACCGTAAAGAAAACGTGCTGTGCTTCTCAAAGACTTACTTGTCTGTCTTTTCAAAGAAGACATAAGTGACTATAGATATTTTGCTAATGTATTACCAAAGTAACATTAATATAAATGTATTTATTTGTACTATTCTTTCACTCTTTATATCAACACTCGATCACGAATATGATTTTTAGTTTTGTTGCTTTATCTTTAGCTGAAAGTGTTGTGCTATAATTTTGATTCGAGACCTTCAATGGTCTATTTTTTTGCATTAATTACTACTAGGTAGGAGTGGTACTTTAAAATGACCAGGTGTCTTCAACGAACTCTCTGGTCTAGTGGATAGACACAACCTTTCGAGGTTGAGAGTGGAGGTTCGAACCCTGTCTGGAATAAGATGTAACTATGCTAAGGATGACTTAAGAAATAGGAAAATAAGGAAATAGTGCTGGTTCATTGAACAAAAATGGGATTTCTATTACTAAACTTTTCGACAATGGAATGCGACACTTAGTATAAATTCAGAAAAAAACGCTCTCCGAGGAGAAGGAGAGCGAAGGAAAAAAAAGATAGGATCCCATGCAAAAAACCACTCTTAAAACTTCTTTGCAAAGGACTATGCATTTTCACAAAATTTTCACATTTCTCACACAAGACTATAATACGAATTTTTCACAAATTTTCGCATTTTCTCACAAAAGACTATAATACACATTTCACAAATTTTTCACATTTTCTCACATAAGAGACTATAATTCATCCATTCATTCCATTCCATTCTTCCATTTCCATTCCATTCCTCATCCATTCCATTCATTCCATTCCATTCCATTCATTCATTCCATTCACCCCTAAGACTATTTCAAATTCCATTTTCTCCACCTAAGAACCCTTCCACCCATTTTCCATTTCTCACTATAATCACCACCCATTTTCACAAATTCCACGATTTTCTCCTGTCGAGACCTCATTTCCACATTACATTTTCTAATCCATTCCACCATTCCATTCCATTCCATTCCATTTCCATTCCATTCCATTTCCATTCCATTCCATTCCATTCCATTCCATTCCATTCCATTTCCATTCCATTCCATTTCTCCATAAGACCCTCAATTCATCCATTTGTAAAATTTTATCTTTTCTCACAAAGAGACTATAGTTCACACATTTTCATATATTTTTATGTTCCTCCACACAAGACTATCAGTTCACGTTTTCACACATTTTTCACATTCTCTCACACAAAGACTATAATACACGCATTTTCACAAATTTTCACATTTTCTCACACAAAGACTATAATTCATGCATTTTCACAAATTTTTATAATTTCTCACAAAAAGACTATAGTTCACGCATTTTCATAAATTTTTATATTTTCTCACACAAAGACTATAGTTCACGCATTTTCACAAATTTTCACATTTTCTCACAATGTGAAAATTTGTGAAAATACATAATGTCCAATCTTTGTGTTAAAAAAATGAAACTTTAATGAAAATGCGTGGCTCTATTTAATGAAAATAATTTGTGAGATGCATGTTCTCATTCTTTGTTTGAAAATAATGAAAAATATATGAAAATAAATGACTAATCTTTTTGAAAAAATAATGAGATTTGTTCCGTTCTCTAATCTTTGTGTGGCATTGAAAATTTTCTATTCTTCGTGTAAAAGAAAAATTGAAAATTTATTGAAAATTCTTTTATTAATGAAAATTTCATGTCAATCTTTATTATTGAAAAAGAAATAATGGTAATCTTTTTGAAATAGTATGAAATGCGTGTATTAAATCTTTATTTGAAATAATGAAAACAATAATTATATTTTAACGTATATCTTTGTGTGAAAAGAAATAATAATTGTGTCATAAAACTTTATTAATGAAAACAATGAAAATGCGTGAATTAACTTTTTGAAAAATGTGAAAAAACAATAACAATAAATCTTTATTAATGAAATATGAATCTTTTTAATAACGTATTAATTTTAATGATAATGAAAAAGTAATATTATAATGTCAAGATTGAAATCTTTTCTGTGAAGTGAAAATGGACTTTGTGAAAATCAATACTTTTGAAAATGAATGTGTGCAAATTCGTAATGGTCTTTGTGTGTGAAAAAAAGGAAATGGTTTATTATAGTCTTTGTTGAAAAATGAAAAAAAGAAACTTTGGAAAATTAATCTTTGTGTGAAAAAAAAATGGTAATCTTTTAATGAAAGAAAATGTGAAAAATTGAAAATTCGTGTATTATAGTCTTTGTGTGAGAAAATGTGAAAATTTGTGAAAATGCGAATTATAATTTAATGTGAAAAAATGAAAAGAATTGTGAAAATGCGATTATTATGAATCTTTGTGTGAGAAAATGTAAATGGTGAAAATGCGTGAATTATAGTCTTTGTGTGAGAAAATGTGAAAATTTAAGAAAATGCGTGAACTATAGTCTTTGTGTGAGAAAATGTAAAAATTGTGAAAATGCGCATAGTCTTGTGTGAGAAAATGTGAAAATTTAGTGAAAATTCGTGAATTATAGTCTTTGTGTGAGAAATGTGAATTTGTGAAAATGCGTGAACTGTAGATCTTTGTGTGAGAAAATGTGAAAATTTGTGAAAATGCGTTAATTATAGTCTTTTGTGTGAGAAAATGTGAAAATTTGAAAATGCGTGACTATAGTCTTTGATGGAAAATGTGAAAAATTGTGAAAATGCGATTATATAGTCTTTAGAAAATGTGAAAAGAATTGTGAAAATTTCCTGTATTATGGAATCTTTGTGTGAGAAAATGTGAAAATTTGTGAAAATGCGTGTATTATAGTCTTTGTGTGAGAAAATGTGAAAATTTGTGAAAATGCGTGAACTATAGTCTTTGTGTGAGAAAATGTGAAAATTTGTGAAAATGCGTGAACTATAGTCTTTGTGTGAGAAAATGTGAAAATTTGTGAAAATGTGTGTATTATAGTCTTTGTGTGAGAAAATGTGAAAATTTGTGAAATTGCGTGAACTATAGTCTTTGTGTGTGAAAATGTAGCCATTAAGTTGACTACGAACATGCGCGTTGTTGTTTTGATTCACCACATGGCAATGTCTAACAATGTGCATACTTTATTGGTCTTCCTCCTTTCAGTTATAACATTTATTCTCCAACAATATTAAAGTTGAACAGCTCTAATGCGTAGTAAGTCCCTTTCTTCACCTTTGCAATGATGATGACGAAGAACAAGATAAACACAGTATAAAATGTGAGCCTCGAGAGAAACGAAGGCAATTTTGTTTTGTCAGAAGCACTTGACACGTTTTAACCGGTTTTCCAATTCACCCGTCTGGCCGAGTGGTAAAGATGCAGGTGCAGTGATCTCAACTTCTCGGGTTCAAGACCTTCTAAGGTTGAAGACCTTCTCCTTTTCTTTCGCTTCACATCGAAAAAAATGAACAAATACGCCAAAAAACCTAGAGTTTTCGATGATGAGCGCTTAGCTCAACTGGCCGATGTTGGGCGTTTAGTTCGACATCAATGACCTCCGGTGCACAAGATCCTTGGTTCGCCCCTCTGCCAACACACTTGGCAGGTGTACGCGGCGGATGTGGAAGACAGAAAGTCGAACTGAGGAACGAGTGCCTCGAGGTGAGAAAGGAATGATTAGGGTGTTCTGTTTGCTCTTGGGTTTCCTGACTTTTCAAAATTTAAAAAAATAACTGCCTGATCACAGGGAGTCATAAAAAAATTTGAGCAAAAGACTTAGTTTTTTTAAGAGTGGTTTTTTGCATGGGATCCTATCTTTTTTTTTCTTCGCTCTCCTTCTCCTCGGAGAGCGTTTTTTTCTGAATTTATACTAAGTGTCGCATTCCATTCTCGAAAAGTTTAGTAATAGAAATCCCATTTTTGTTCAATTAACCAGCACTATTTCCTTATTTTCCTATTTCTTAAGTCATCCTTAGCATAGTTACATCTTATTCCAGACAGGGTTCGAACCTCCACTCTCAACCTCGAAAGGTTGTGTCTATCCACTAGACCAGAGAGTTCGTTGAAGACACCTGGTCATTTTAAAGTACCACTCCTACCTAGAAGTAATTAATGCAAAAAAATAGACCATTGAAGGTCTCGAATCAAAATTATAGCAGAACACTTTCAGCTAAAGATAAAGCAACAAAACTAAAAATCATATTCGTGATCGAGTGTTGATATAAAGAGTGAAAGAATAGTACAAATAAAACATTTATATTAATGTTAGTTTGGTAATACATTAGCAAAATATCTATAGTCACTTATGTCTTCTTTTGAAAAGACAGAGACAAGTAAGTCTTTGAGAAGCACAGCACGTTTTCTTACGGTTAAGAAATGCAGATTTCTTTTAGCGGTTGCTGTCAATATTAGCTTTATTCCTCCAATGGCACTTGTCGTAGTTAAATATAAGGATGACATATTTCTGGCTTGACATTGGTGAAGGCTTTAAAGCAGCCGATAACTTGTCTTCTTTTAGCTTTTATATGATATACATAGGAAATGAATTTTTCTATCGTTCCGATTTTGAGGTGTATTCTTTAGGAATGTCGATTTCACGAGTCATACCCTACATTTCAATGGTTTATGACACTTATAACATATCACCACATATTTGACAACGCAGCCATATTATCTTTAAACATTGTGTTGAGGACATAGGATGTTGTAATAAACCAATCTGCACAGTCTTCACAGCGCTCTTGTTTGTTGCGTTACGCTATCATTCAGTTCCATAGCTTCTATACAAACTGTATGCTTATCAAATGCTTAGATTGGGTCCGATACATCCATTGACATTTGGTTTGTCTGGTAGACGTCGTTAACTCGTAGTAATTTCGCTTTGATAGTTAATAATTAACGTTCAATCCACGTTGAGACTCCCTTCCAGTGACCAAATAATTCTCTCCCAACATAAACGTTAACGTGGTCTCGCCCTTTTATCCTTACCATTGCACTTGCTGCTGCTGTTTCTGTTCAAATTTAGTCTAGGCAGATTTATAAGTGGAATTAATGTTCTTACTTATTCGTTATTATGCATGCAAAAACGAAAACAGATTAATCCTACAGTACAAAATTTTCTGTCTTTATAACAATGATTGTTCTTGCACCTGACTGGTTTTTCATTTATTGCTATTGTTGTTGTGAAGTTTGATTGTTAATCTTAACGGCTGAAAGTGTCAAGCTCCACGACATGCTTAATTAACCTGATATTCACATTATGTCATCGAGAAATGCTTCAAAACTACCAACAGATTTAGAAATTAGATTTTTTTTCCTTACCGTTAATGACTTTACCGCAATTTTCTAAATTATTTGGGTTCTCGTTAGTTGTGGACGTCATAGAAATGCGTTCCTCCAGCGAATGGACATGATCGTAGCCTGATAGTTCAAACAAATGCAGAATCCCATCACAGATAACTTTGAAGGAATCGAAGTTTTTGCTGTATGAGCGTTCTTTTTAGAGGGCCGTTTGGCATCCATTACCTTAATGTCGTCAAAGCCATAAGATTGTCTGTCAGGAACAAATTTTGCCTTCGATTGAAAAAGTTACATAATATTAAAATATACAAAGAAAAACAAAACCTTTGTTGTTCCTTCTTCTCATTATTCCTCTTCACATCTTTTTCGTCGTTTGACGTTTTTCGCATTTTAGCATTCTTGAGTAAAAAAAATAATACTTTTTGTAACCCCCTGAACATAGCATTTGAACAAATTTTACGATATACAAAAACCCTTTACTCCAACCAAAATTTTCACCTTCAACATTTCTTTCGTAGTTTCTTATATTATCAGAAAAAATTCTCTCTGTAAATAAAAGCAAGGGGATATCCACCACGCACAAATTTTTGCCCTAAAAACGAAGTGTCGCATTCCATTCTCGAAAAATTTAGCAAGAGAAATGTCATTTGCACACTTTGTGTGGAGTCTTACCATCCTTTACCCCGCAAGTTCCGCTTGCCTCGCTCACAGAAGTAATCACTTATCGTTAGCTTGGTCACACAGCAAGAATACATTAAAGTTTCTCATCATTGGATCTATTTTCATACATGATATCGCAGCAAGCACGTCTGCAGCATACTCCAAAACTCTTTTCATTTTCAGATTTCTTTGAGCAGCTCTTTAAACGGTTTTTGTTGAATTCGTCGAGGAGCAATTGTACGTTTTCTCGTTGCCTTAAGTACAATACAAAAGTTTTGATTATAAATACAGCAAATTGAAGCTTGCATGGTGTTGGTTAAGGCACCTACAAATAAATTTGACATACCAATAATACATTCATGAAGAATTTTTTCTGTTCTCTAATCCTGCAAACTAATATCTAATAAATTATTACACAAATTGTAGCGACCTAACTTAAAACATACACGAAAAAAATGGTAAAATGTCGTATATACTGTCCATGTACCTTAAAAACATTGTGTATTAGTGAACATGAAGTTTTCATTACAACAACCATGATAACGATAAGAATTTCATTATTCAAGACGATTAGGATAAATTTTAAAATCTTGTAATAAAATACAAATGTTCCTAGGTACTACGATTGTTGTGATGTTAAATAAACTTTTAGTGGAAGTTTAGAATATTTTACATGGTATTTTCAGATGGAATTCAACAAATAGTCCCATATTTATAACGTCTTTGATTAGTTGTCTTGTTGCTATGTTGCCCTTAATAATGTTAAACTACTGTCTACTTAAAACTTGTTTCTACATTGGAATACACAATAAAAATTCGGTCAACTACGGTATTGAGAACTAATAAAAACAATGTTTCACTGCTGCACTACTTAATTCGATTTCCAACTCAATTTTTCAAACTACCATGAATAATTTAGCAAGAAGATTGTACACATTAAGATGTTTGATTGGTTGAAAACCTGTACATATATGAGATAAAAAATCAATAAAAATGTCTTACATATTGGTCTTAGTCACAAGATCATTCCCAAACTCCTGTTTCCAAGCCCTTGTTCTGATTGCTCCAACGTGTTTACGTTTGTATGTTTAAGCATCGTCTTGTTTATCTACAAGTAAAATAATCAGATTAATTTATCTCAAATAGCAGATTAAGTGTCATCTACCCTCATCTACCATAACCTCCTCTTCTCTAAAGTAAAATAATAAGATTAATTTATCTCAAATAGCAGATTAAGTGTCATCTACCTCATCTACCGTCAACCTCCTCTTCTCTAGAGTGAATTGATGTCATGCTTTATCAACTGCAACCTAATGCCATGTGCACAGTAAATTATTTTCACCGTCTATCAACCAACATCATTTACTATAAGTGAATATTTTTATACCGTTTGTTATCTTCGTGAGGCGTGATTTAAAGTCATCACCTTTCATCCAACACTATCCATTGTCATCAACGGTAAACTGCTATCATCTACTTGAATCTTCTGACATCTCCCGTTACCAAATTTTGTTCACTTTCACGTACAAAAGTTCTACCAAATGATATTATGTTTCGTTGCTATAAGTTGGTCAACTGTCAATTCTCACGGTTCTTCAACTATCCCATGCTGTCCCATGTTGTCCCATGTTGTCTCATGCCACTGAGTTCTTGTGCAGCGTTTATATTGAAATGAGTTGATGATAGTTGGAAGCAATAAACCAACTTCGACGACATCTTTATGATACGAGACCTTCCTATACAAAATTTGCTGACAAGAGAACTTTTTGCCTTGGTAAGACAACGTGGCATTGAGATGGCTGTTAAAAACACGACATTACAATATTTATCATCAAGAATCTTTTATAACATAAAACATTGCCATCTCATATCTGATCTTTCAAAAAAATGCTCCAAAAACAGGGGGGAGAGAAACGACAAACAGACTGGGACAAATACAATGGAAAATATGGTATAAAAACGAAAGTAAATTTTATGTTGTTTCGATAATTTGTTTTTATCTATGTACATGGTTAGTTCAGAACTGCATTGTTCACATGGAGGATGATCCTCATTTGTACGGCATAAAATTAGAGAAAAATAATGTTTATGATATTTTAACAACGGACAGAATTCTAAAATTGAAAGCCCAAATAATCAGTTTTGAACGAAAAACCTGCAGCGTGTGATTTATAGTTTATAGCTATAAATTATTGTCAAACTCGCGTATGTGCAACAAAGTCCGAGTCTTAATTTTGGCGTCTTGAAAAGATAAATGTAAATCAGAGAAAACACGACATGGTATATCAGAAGTCACAAACTCGCATCGGGAACTTTGAAGACAAGAAGAATTTGCTTGTAAAAAGTGAAGTAAATCCATTAGTGTATCTGTGTTTGCGAAAGTGCCTTCGCAACGACTGCCGTCAGGCAATCTCGTCGCTATTAATAGGTCATGTTTACCAATCGACCATTCCATAGTAGGTATTTCACGAGAGTCCAATTTACCCTGAGGCATGTCGTTAGAGCTCAAACTGAACTGAATCTTCTCCTTTTCATTTCGAACTCTAACGTCAATAACATTAGAGGAATCCATATTATATAACACTGTACTTGCTTCCTTCGTAGATTTTTCATTCGCCAGAGATAGGTCAAAATTTTTTCCACCTTTTTTTGGAAGTTTATTTTGATGTTCCGAAAGAGGGAGAAGATCATGACCAGAAGGAAAACAATATCTCTGATGATACACGTTTGGAGGATATATATTAACATCATCACTTCCAGTTACCTTTCCTTGTATTTCTTCACTATCACATGTCCTCGATGATTTTATGTAAAGTGTTCTTTCGTCTTCACCATTTTTAGGTAAATTACTGTTTTCTCTTACATCTGTGGAGCTACTGATGGCAGGCAATATACTGTATCGTGTCAGCTCATGATCAGCTTCAGGCATCTCATACGTTGATACTTGAGAGAACCTCGTTGCATTCGTGTCACTTGTCTCTTTAAGAAGTCTATTTACATATCTTGATCTTGGTCTCCGTAATGATGATGGTCTGGTTGAGGGTGGAGTGGGGATCTTGGTGTTGGATGAGGGTGGGGTGGGGATCTTGGTGGAGCACTGATGTTCCATGTTTTTATGCACTTGACACACGCGTGCTCATCTGAAGGTAAGAATTCATAGAATTAGCACGCGCTGATCAAAAAAAAAATTCCTACACGAATTTTTAATTCCTTCAAAAACTGTGCTATCGCTGTAAAGAGCATTCATCATACGATTTCCTACTAAAATACAACTAAATGAGAACTCTACTACACCATTCATCACCACACTAATACAACCATGACTAACACAATCCGACCATTCACGATTACCATACTTTTTAAACTAATCACATTCTTATCACGTTCTTATCACGCAGTCAACATATGAACAACCATAAAAATTGTGCAATACGTACTACTAAAACTTGGCTTATTATAAATTTTGAAATGCAACAGCAAATACATTATATGAATTTATATGGAGAGCTGTAACAACACACACGTTTGGAAAACGTGATATTTACCACGAACACCTAGTTTTTACCAGCGATATTTGGATTTTAACAGGAATATCCGGTTCACAGCAGATATATGGGTTAGTTAAAAACCTTCCCAGCGCAAGTTTAATAAGCTTTATGAAAAGTGAAGAACATACAACAAAGGCAAACATCAAATATTTCAAGTCCATACATAACACATTGTACTGTCATAATACACCTTAATAACAGCAAATTTATCGCAATGTTGAATTGTTTTTCAAAATAAAAAGTGAAAAACAGTCAAAACAACGCGATTTGTTTTGATTAAATACACAGCACAACACTCTTGAAACAAGCAAAACTGGGTCACGTTTATGTGAAATTGACCAATCAGAAAACACACCAACGATTCTCTAAAACCAACGCAAGCAAAGCAGAATACTTAAAACTACACAACTGCTTACAGCACAATGAGCTCATATTCGCTTAAGAACACAAACAGGAAGATAATGGAGAACGAGAAAACTACAAAACCACAGCGATTGAAAATGAAACCAACCATCAAACGTTTGCTGGCAAATAAATGTGAACGTGAAAGAGTAAGAAAAATCAATGAAGCATTTGAGATACTAAAGACACATACCATACTGTGACTCAAACCGCATCCGTACAAAACTCGATGTTCTTAAGTTTGCAATCGACTACATAGAGGTACTAACAAAAATGGTCTCAAAGAACGAGGCTGAATTTCTACTAAAATCTTCACAATTAGCAAAATCTGGCGTACCTACACATAGACAGTCGACGGAGCACACGAACAAGAGATATTCGTCACGAAGGCAAAGTGACTTCCTAGTATCGGACGAACTTCTGGCTACACAGGTACGAGTTATCAATCAATATATATTCCAGACTGGAATCTGTGATAAGAGTTCACAAAACAATTTCAAATATTTTTTATTTTTTTTCTCTGAAAGAAAAACATAATATGACGATTTTTATCGGTAGAGATTTTGTGCAGCTTATGGGACCTGTTTCATTTTGCAACGTTCTGCAATGTAGGTACCTAAATTCCGAAAGTCATGAGCAGGTTTTTCTAGAATTAAAACAAAACGCAACAGAAGCATGACTTTTATGCCAACGAACAATTTGAATGACTTGGTAAGACTTCGGTCATTAAATAGTGGTTTGCAATCAATGTCGTGTTGGTTAATATCAGATTTCTCTCATTATCGTATAGTCGTTAATCCAAAACATCCTTCAACTTGTCGCGATACAATAAGCCCTTATTAACAAAACGCGAGGTCTTTAAGAAGAAATATCGGACTGAAATGTTTTTGTAGACTGCGCCCGTAGGGCGCATTTGTTGAATTTTTCCATTGTATTTAGTGCGCAATGATAACTTTAGAAAGTCAATCAAAACTAGAAAACCTTTGCTAACATACACGTTTTCTTCCGTTGAATCTTACAAACACGATAATACAAAGTTAGGGACGTTGAAAAAGTTGACAATAAACTTCATTCTTTCTATGCTTGTTACAGGAATATGTAGTAAGTACATGTCTTCACGTATGTTATGAGTTCAAACGACCATTTATTTAACGACAAAAATGGACATTTCATTCCGTTTGCCGAATTTTTCCCAAAATACATCGTATCTTTCCTTATTTACTTAAATCTTACATTTTGATATCTACAAACAAGAAACTGCAAAAGAAGGAAGCGGATAGGTGTCGTGCTGCTATCGTGGTATCACCCAATTTTTAATGCTAATCATGGTAATATACCAGTCAGATTCTTTCTCCCACCAGCATGCCACCTTTTGGCAACTTCTTTTGACTAAAGTAACACATTGTCATAATAATTGGTCCTAATACATTATCTCTAAATAATGGAACAGATTGATCATTCCTCTCTATATGAGCAGCGCTTTTTGATGGAGTAAATAGGAAAAATTCTGCTTCTGCAGAGTTTAGTAATTTTGTCGACGAGTAATTTTTTCTCTGCTTGCCCATGTTCAGAACGTTTTGAGCACTGTAGTCAAGTTGCAAAATAATCTGGTACAAATGGAATGCATCTTATTGCCATAAAACGTCGTAATGGATGCCCTTACAGAGAGTATTTACGACAATTTTAACGTTTGAAGTCATCTACAGTGAAAAATAACCTCTGAAAATTTCATTTGTTTGAAATTTATGCAAAAACACTGAACTCTTGCACAGAATCACTTTAACTTTAACGGACAATTATTTAATTTCAACTTATTGCTGTCGCTTGTTAACTTGTCGACGAGAGTTTTCCAAGACCACAAACGATATTTTCTAGACATGTACTTTATATATCATACAGCCACATTCTACCTATGCTTACAGGGGATCCTTTCACCTCTAGACATGTACTTTATATATCATACAGCCACATTCTACCTATGTTTACAGGGGATCCTTTCACCTCTAGACATGTACTTTATATATCATACAGCCACATTCTACCTATGTTTACAGGGATCCTTTCACCTCTAGACATGTACTTTATATATCATAAAGCCACATACAGTATCACATACTATATATCCAGCCGCATTGTACCTATGCTTAAAGGGGATCATGTACTTTATATATCATACAGCCGCATTGTACCTATGCTTAAAGGGATCCTTTCACCTGACATGTACTATATATCATACAGCCACATTCTACCTATGTTTACAGGGATCCTTTCACCTCTAGACATGTACTTTATATATCATACAGCCGCATTCTACCTATGCTTAAGGGGATCCTTTCACCTCTCGACATGTACTTTATATATCATACAGCCGCATTCTACCTATGTTTACAGGGATCCTTTCACCTCTAGACATGTACTTTATATATCATAAAGCCACATTCTACCTATGCTTACAGGGGATCCTTTCACCTCTAGACATGTACTTTATATATCATACAGCCGCATTGTACCTATGCTTAAGGGGATCCTTTCACCTCTAGACATGTACTTTATATATCATACAGCCGCATTGTACCTATGCTTAAAGGGGATCCTTTCACCTCTAGACATGTACTTTATATATCATACAGCCGCATTGTACCTATGCTTAAAGGGGATCCTTTCACCTACAGACATGTACTTTATATATCATACAGCCACATTCTACCTATGTTTACAGGGGATCCTTTCACCTCTAGACATGTACTTTATATATCATACAGCCGCATTCTACCTATGCTTAAAGGGGATCCTTTCACCTCTAGACATGTACTTTATATATCATACAGCCGCATTCTACCTATGTTTACAGGGGATCCTTTCACCTCTAGACATGTACTTTATATATCATACAGCCACATTCTACCTATGCTTAAAGGGGATCCTTTCACCTCTAGACATGTACTTTATATATCATACAGCCGATTCTACCTATGCTTGGATCCTTTCACCTCTAGACATGAACTTTATATATCATACAGCCATTCTACCTATGCTTAAGGGGATCCTTTCACCTCTAGACATGTACTTTATATATCATACAGCCCCATTCTACCTATGTTTACAGGGATCCTTTCACCTATAGACATGTACTTTATATATCATACAGCATTCTACCTATGCTTAAGGGGATCCTTTCACCTCTAGACATGTACTTTGTATATCATACAGCCACATTCTACATATGCTTACAGGGATCCTTTCACCTCTAGACATGTACTTTATATATCATACAGCCAGTTCTACCTATGCTTAAAGGGGATCCTTTCACCTCTAGACATGTACTTTATATATTATACAGCCGCATTCTACATATGTTTACAGGGATCCTTTCACCTCTCGACATGTACTTTATATATCATACAGCCGCATTCTACCTATGTTTACAGGGGATCCTTTCACCTCTAGACATGTACTTTATATATCATACAGCCACATTCTACCTATGCTTAAAGGGGATCCTTTCACCTCTAGACATGTACTTTATATATCATACAGCCGCATTCTACCTATGCTTAAAGGGGATCCTTTCACCTCTAGACATGAACTTTATATATCATACAGCCGCATTCTACCTATGCTTAAAGGGGATCCTTTCACCTCTAGACATGTACTTTATATATCATACAGCCCCATTCTACCTATGTTTACAGGGGATCCTTTCACCTATAGACATGTACTTTATATATCATACAGCCGCATTCTACCTATGCTTAAAGGGGATCCTTTCACCTCTAGACATGTACTTTGTATATCATACAGCCGCATTCTACATATGCTTACAGGGGATCCTTTCACCTCTAGACATGTACTTTATATATCATACAGCCGCGTTCTACCTATGCTTAAAGGGGATCCTTTCACCTCTAGACATGTACTTTATATATCATACAGCCGCATTCTACATATGTTTACAGGGGATCCTTTCACCTCTAGACATGTACTTTATATATCATACAGCCGCATTCTACCTATGCTTACAGGGGATCCTTTCACCAACAACAGGAGAAGATGAGGTCTTCTTTGGAGAGAATGAAACAATCGACAATACAATGAATGCTCAGTATCCCTACTGGTCAGAACCTCAACCAAAATATGAAGAAATAAAGCCGGCATTCCAACACATCCAAATACAACATGACGAATCATCAATTCATCATTCAACAACATCACCATCTTACAGAAATGAACAAGAGCAAATGTCTTTATGGTGTTTCAATGATGATGAAGATTTCCTAAAAGCAAGTTTTCTAGGAGATAATCCAACCACACTAGAACAAGTTACCATTGACAATGATCTCACAACTTGGCTCAACGTATAATTATGCTGGTTTTGCTTAATGAAACGAGTTACAAAACAAGTTTGAACCTGTATGTCATTTAATGTTGAAAGATATTTTTCTACCATGATGCATGATTTTATATTAGACATATTAAAGGGAAATCTAATTGTAAATGGCTAATGAGTCGAGAAGAGTGTTATTATCATGATTAAAATCAATTTCCTTAGTACATATTCATCATTATAAAAATTGCAGTAAGTTATAATCAAAGCATTTTCATGAATACCATGAATACCAATAATAAAACCAAGCCATTGAAAATAGGGATTTAACAACTATTGCATACACTAAGGAAGTTAACTATCGCAGTGAACAAAGACTCTTAAATACTTAATCAAAACATAAGGCAATTCCATTCCCCTTAACCTACTTCAACATGTTTTTGTCTTTTGTTTTTATTTATTTATATTTTTAGTATCATGTCTCTGTTTAACTTTGTTCTGTTATCCTAACATCCTACTCTCTTTATATGTAATTTAATACCATGTAAATGTATAACAATCTGCTTATCTTTGAAACTGCTAGTAGTAAATAGTAAATATTTGTATATTATTGTATCTGTGGCTGTCTTAGGTTAAAGACAAAATGTCTTCATTAAAAAACTTACAATTCATTTTTTTTGTGATGGATCCAATAAGACACTTATGCAAGGCTATCATATTGACACAATGCAAATTTGCTCTCTGTCTCTTAAATCTCTGACAAAGATTTTGGATTTAAAATTGTCATATTATCATGATAGTAATTATATTTCCATGCCTTCTGCCAGGCACATTGTTATTAAAGCAAAGTCTGCTTTTATATATGTTCATGTCTTATGCTCAAGCAAGCAAACTAAAATATTAATTTTCTGCGTAAGTTTCTATCATGAAAGCAAAAAACATTGATCATCACTTTCTATGAGAACAAAATCTCTTACCAAGCATGATAACACATGGAGGCAATACAAATGAGGAAGAGATTTGACAAAATATGTCATACATATTGTTTACTGGGCTGAGCACATCTTGATAAAACTGAAGACAAAATATTTTTATCACATGTTTGTATATACTTGGGAAAGCAAGTCATTCAGGTGACAAGAAAAATATTTTGATGTAAAATTCGATAATACTTGGTGTGCATGCCATTCAAGATAAAGTTCTATAAATTTTACGGCGGAAAATTAAAATGGAAATGCATGAAATATTTCTAAAACTGATATATTTGTACAATTCAAGCAAGAAACCTTTTGTTCCACATTGTCTGACTGATAAAACAATTCCACTGTGGAAATGAACACTGTTCATTCAAATGAAAGAAATTTTGTTCATTATGACAAAATGACATTACTGATGCTGACATGCATTACAAATTTATAAACATACTAATTCTGCAAAGTTTTCAAATGATTACAATAAGAATGAATCTCAAATGTTTTAAAAATTGTCTGACATACACAATTTAAATACAATTGATTCAGACGAATAAAGTTTTTGATTTCGAAATATTGCAAGATGCGACACACATTTTTATGCTTAAACTAAATTCTAAAATTTAAATGATCAAATTAAAGTTGTCATGGTAACCACAACCATATGTTTGCAGTTGAAATAAGCATAAGTTAAAAATGTCATTTTCAAATGTTCATTTACAGTTTTGACGCGTAATTAAAGCCAATTTTCAATGCTAAGATATAGCTTCAATTATTAAACGACACACAAAGTCCTTCATTCCAGATTTTCTACGTTCACAGTTGAAATAACGAACAACTCTCTTATCTAAAGCTACGTTAGCTAACATCTTACATTTCACAAGTCATAAACATGGAATACTTACAGTTTTAGATCAAAATCTCACGAAAACATCTTCATGATCATGTCTAACAGCAATAAACGATGAAATACATTCATTTACTTTGTTATTACAAAATTTTGATATAAATTTAAATCATCGGATCAAGTTTAATTTCTTATTTTGCGAGAAACGTCATGTTATAATTACAAAACCGTCCAAACGTGCAATAAACATAGGTACCGCAACATGTACACAAACATTTGAGAACATTGATAAAGCAAATCTATATACAACTTTTTAAAACTTTATCTACAAGTTTTTGAAAATATTTTCTACATAGTAAGACAATCATAGTCAACATACATTCTCTTATAACATCTTCCTCGTTAAAGATCAAAACCTTGATAGAAACTATTCAAAACAAAAGACATTATATCCTGATTTTACTTTCATTAAAGAAAGCATTTCTTAAAATACAATAAAGAAAAGGAGCTAAAAACTGTTGGAATGAAATGTTGTATCTATATTCCAAAAGTAAGTAATTATAAGACAGCTGGCACCAAAAAATGAATGAATATGAATAATGTTTATGATATCGTATTTAAAGTTTGAAAATTTCCGCAATAGTATGAAGTCATTCATTTAACTATTCTTTAAAATTGACTTCATTAAAGTATTATTAGACGCTAAAAAAAGACAACAAATTGCATTACCAAATAAATGAATAGCAAACGACATTTTAAAAGTATTCGAGGTGCGCATGTCGAATGAAAGTGTTTTGTTACATAATGTAGGGAGAAATTAAATACCTGTTAAATACAGTTTGTGACTAACTAATAAATGTTTTATCTTCAAAAAAACCACTTAAAGTGTCTCTCTCATCAAAACTGTTTAATTGCGATATTAAATTTAGGTGAAATTTCTAATGTATCAGAGAAAAAAGTTTCGAAGTTTGTCTAATTATTCCATTTTTATGATTGTTTAAAGTTTGCAAAAAATGCTTCTTTTAATGGACTTTGTCCGTCGTTCGAAAAGTTTGGAACGACTTACTTTTGTGACGTCATGCAAGGGATTCCTCATTACAAGATATATATACCAGACTCAGACTTCATGCCTAATGGCCAAGGTTCGTTGAAAAGCAACTTTGAACTGCCATAACAAGAAGACGATTTGACCAAATTTAAAAACTTTTCAACCAATACGTTAGACATTACATCTAATTTTGATATTGCAAATAAAGTTTTTGCTGATAGGGGCACTTTAAAATATCTACTTATATAATATGCACATGAGATAAACGCATACTATTTTATGAGAAAAATTTAAGGATTTAGTCAAAAAAGAAATTTTCAATGTAAATCAAGTTTTAATTTTACGTAAAGACTACATTGTATGTTACAATTCGTACTATGATAATACATTGTTCATTGTCTATTGAAAACGTCTTTTACTAAAGAAAGATTAATGATAATGACTCTTTGTAAGATTGAGCATCGGTCCTCACTCAATCAACCATGGACTGGATATTTTCCAGCAAATTCTCTCTTCCCATGGAATGGCTGTTCTTCAGAAAATTCTCTCTTCCCATGGAATGGTTGTTCTTCAGAAAATTCTCTCTTCCCATGGAATGGCTGTTCTTCAGAAAATTCTCTCTTCCCATGGAATGGTTGTTCTCCAGCAAATTCTCTCTTCCCATGGAATGGTTGTTCTCCAGCAAATTCTCTCTTCCCATGGAATGGCTGTTCTTCAGAAAATTCTCTCTTCCCATGGATTGGTTGTTCTCCAGCAAATTCTCTCTTCCCATGGAATGGTTGTTCTCCAGCAAATTCTCTCTTCCCATGGAATGGTTGTTCTTCAGAGAATTCTCTCTTCCCATGGAATGGTTGTTCTCCAGAATTCTCTCTTCCCATGGAATGGTTGTTCTCCAGCAAATTCTCTCTTCCCATGGAATGGTTGTTCTCCAGCAAATTCTCTCTTCCCATGGAATGGTTGTTCTCCAGCAAATTCTCTCTTCCCATGGAATGGTTGTTCTCCAGCAAATTCTCTCTTCCCATGGAATGGTTGTTCTCCAGCAAATTCTCTCTTCCCATGGAATGGTTGTTCTCCAGCAAATTCTCTCTTCCCATGGAATGGTTGTTCTCCAGCAAATTCTCTTTTCCCATGGAATGGCTGTTCTCCAGCAAATTCTCTCTTCCCATGGAATGGTTGTTCTCCAGCAAATTCTCTCTTCCCATGGAATGGTTGTTCTCCAGCAAATTCTCTCAACCCATAGAGTGGTTGTTCTCCAGCAAATTCTCTCTTCCCACTAAGAATAGAAGAGTCTTTTGCCGAAGTAACTTCGCTCAATGCAATCAAAAATGAGATTACGATAGTACAATGAACATAGTGAGTCATCTTTATTGCTTTTCGAATGAGTCTAAAAACTGCCTCTCTTCTTATTTCAAATGAATGAAAGTAAAATTGAAACTAGTTGTGTTTAAATACATTTGGCGTCATCAGGTGCCCAACGCGCATTATTTACCATCTGCTCATTAAATCATGCACAACACAAAAAATAATTGCAAATTCAAATAACATGATATGCAAGCTATTTAATAATTTATGCACAAATTTTAAAAGTCAATTAGTCTACAAAAATATAATTAGAGAAGACTAGCATAGTGGTTTAAATATTACTTTAAGACGAAGAAACGTCACATATGTCGTAAGCTTGATCATTGACAAAGTGACCACAATAAAAAAATTGCTATTTAGGATTTTGTAAATGACATCTGCACCTCTCATAGTAACTCACATTAAAATTTAAAGATTTTCAAACTGAATAAGAAGACAACAACGCAAATGTTCTTCAATATTGACGAGTTACGCCTACATATGTCAAGTTATATTTTCATCGTGCACATTTGAAAAGTCAATTTAAGCTTTGTATATTGAGACTGTTTGCAAAGACAATTAGGCAAAATGGCCAGTTCCATTTTGTTTTCATAATTTAAAGATTTGACGTGCATTTTGGAGTTTCAAACTTTCAATCACCATGGAGATGTAATAAAGAAGCAAACATAATAGCAAAAATGAAAAATTAAAATTACGACGTTACCGCCGCAAGAGAGCACAAAAAGTTAATTTTCATTTTTAAAACCAAAATACACAAACAGTAGACGATTAGCTACTTTCAGTCGAGTTTTCAGAATTAAGACAATAAATCGTCATTCTATGAGTTGACGATTCACAAGATTCAAATATGAAGATTTGCTTTCTTTTGCTATCGACATTCCCAATAAAAACTAAATATCTGTGTGTGAAATTAAACCCCGCTGAGCTAAAAATGAAAAATTATCTGAGTAGATAAAGAAAGTTTTGCGCAATTTTGTGGATGGCTAAAATCGATTATATTCTCCCCGTTAAAAAAACTTTACACAAATAATGAAACTAATTATAGTTTAGGAAATGTCTTAGATAAACAGTTTGACTTAAAACACAGTTTATGGGCAACAAATAAGCCTAGAATTATCACATGCCTTAGCCTTCAGCAAGGATAGGACGACTAGAGTGGTCAGCAATCCCCATATCTATTCCGCCTTTTGAGCGATGATTATTATTGACATCATCCTCATCATCTTTTTCTTCTACATTGAAATACATTGAACTTCGATCAAAAATCAACTGTTAGCACAAACATATTTTGGAAAAAAGCAAAGCTATGTCAACAAAATGAGCAAAACCCCAAGTGCTAAGGATAAGTTTCTTTTCTTTCCTATGAAATATTTCCATGCATATTTTACCATAAAACTTTGCAATTCTAATTTCTCAACCCCCCGTCCTTCCTCATACTTTCCGTACGTTTATTGTCTTTGCAGTTGATCTATATACACTAACCTGAAGTGAGCTCATCAACAAATGAAGACATTGCATTGGTAACATTATCAGTGGCATGAAGTAGATCGCGATGAAGATTTTTGCCCTGCTGACTTGGATTCTCTTTTGTGACTACGTGTACGGCCGAATTACTATCCCTTGGATCAGATGGCGACCGCCGCATCAACTCGGTATTTCTGGGGCGTATTGAAGGTGAGCTAGGCGTCGATCTCGATCTAGGTGATCCAGCCTAGAGAGAACGTGTGATAACATTGTATAATCACTAGTGAATACGACCACGTGAGAGTACACGGTCAATGGATGAACGATGTTCAATAAGATGACCATATCAACAACACTAACTTATAGATATTTTGTATATTATATTAATACACAGTAAAACATATTTTCTTGTAGTTGTAACCTTCATAAGTGAATACAATGAGCTCTGCAAACTAAAAGATAGTTGAAACTACGTACCACGTAAGTTACTTGTGTCTTAGTAACGTACTGCTGTATTGTGTGAGGAAATGAACGTGAAATAGTAAAGACAATAAGCTTCAAGCATAAAAACCAGTCATGAGCATGTAGGTATCCTTATGTATCACTACATGTACATATTACCACAAGATCTATTGTCAATACATTGTGATTCTCTTTCAAGGTTTAAAACCGAACATGTTTGTTCCATTCTGGATATATTTCGATGTAAGGCGATTATAATAAATGACAGTTTCTAACTTTCCTCACAATATCATATATTCTATAACACACAGTTTATTGTTATTGAACTTCTATACTATGTCGATAAAACGAAACTATTACTATGAATCATCGCAGTTATGTAATAACATGCAATATGTGAAGTACGAGTTAAGATCTTTTCTAAAAATACATTCGAATGTTCAACAAAAACATGAAGTTCGATCACAACGCTAGAGAAACCTACAATTAGTGTTAAGTTAGCAATGGAAAAATTTCGTTGAAAATTCCATAGTAAATCGACTACATGTATATATGTATACATATATATATATATGTTGTAAAACTATCTATTCTCTTCGCGTTAACTATCCAAACGTTCTTTCAGAAATACAACCAAAGGATTGTTTCAAGAATGCCACATGAATGTGCATCGTTAGTTTTCTGACGATTCACAGGTGTTCAGCCTATATGGAACACAGAGAACAGTGGTGAATTAAAGGTCTTTTTATAAAAATTAAAAGTGAACTTTCGACCATAAAGTAAACAAAGTGTGTAGATTTAAAGTCTCTAGTGAACATCTTCTCAATTTTTGCCCTTTCAAAGTTGTATGAAATAATTTTTTAACGAAATTGGCTGTAAACGAAACCTGAAGTATAAAATACAAGAGAAAGATATTTTTGATATTATAAGCACCATTAATTCACATCGTTCTCTATGTTTCAAACTCAAGCAGTGCTTATGTTTCTCTTTCGTAGTCAAATGTAAGGATATAATGATATCCTTATCACAACACAAATATATAACATCAATTGCAAACATGAAGTTCATAAAATGCAGAAAGGAAGACGCCTTGAGGAATTGAATGCTTTAGAAAAGAACTACACACCAAGCATATGCTACTTTCGAATAAATATTATCTTATAATCAACTTCATCAAAACAGCATAAAACTCCCCCACCCCTTTAACAGATCTTATAATCAACTTCATCAAAACAGAATAAAACTCCCCCCCTTTAACAGATCTCTTTCCACCCACCTTCAGTATACTCATGAGACCTTCTAGCTGTGACATCAACTCCTTTCTAGTCTCTTGTAATCCACTCATTTTTAGCTCGAGTTCATCTTTCTTCTGACGTAATCCCTTGAGTTCCGCAATCTGAGCAGAATCTACTCCACTGGCGTTTGGTTTGTCAGTAGAATTGTCACGGATTTCACGTAAATTTCGAATTGTTTCCAATAATTCTCTGAGAAAATATCACGAGGTCACTTTTGAAAATTGTTCATAATTCAATTGCTCCAAGAAATTGTATTTTAATAAATGAAATGTTATACAAAGTTACCTATTCTTGGACTGCAAATCATTGATGATTTTTCTCTTGGTTTTATTTTCCTCCAAATCACGTCGAAGTTCAGTAGGTGCTTTTGAATCCCTCACCTCAGCGTCCGTATTATCAGCGAGTCTACAAAAACACAGAAAGTAAACAATATAAGAAATAAAACTACAAGATTGACAAATTCAAACTGTGGCCACACCTTGCTGCATATCTTGCAATCAGTTTATGTTCATCATCAATTCTAAGAAAAAGGCTCAAATTTAAGAAAAAAATTCAAATTTACGTACAAATGACTACATTAGAAATTCGAAAGTTAAAGGGTATACTAATAATCTTACATAAAAATTTGACTGATTTGAACAATGTGCAGGTAAGAGTTTTACTTTCAATACTGTGTATGTTTAAAAAGTTGACAACACATATATTCAATTCTTCGTTAATTTCATGTAATTTTCAACATATCAATGTTAACAACACTTTTGTATCGAAATATAAACTTCACATTTCTCCGTGTATGTATTGTTAAAAAACTTCAAACATCAAAATTATTCATCAGCTGACCTGGAGTCAAAGCTGTCAGGATCACTAATTTTACCAGAAGAGCTTGGAGTAGAGTGAGAACCACCATTCATTGTAGAAAAGTCTTCAACGGGAGGACTACAAAACAGGGATTCGGCAAAGTTATTCAATGCAGTATAATGAATCATCAAATTATAACTAATTTCCAAGATCTTATTTGACCCTTTACTAGGGGGAATTTTTTGAAAATTTTGTACAAATTTCGTTTGGAAAATTGTTGCCGTATGGCAACACTGCCAAAGTAAAGCGTTAAAGAATTTTTGTACTTACACAACGTTTGATATGTCATATAATTGATTAGGAGGTACTTCTTCATAATACTCCGGCAATTTAGGAACAGGCTTCTTCTGAATTTTCCATGAGGGTTCAGGATTCGCTAAATCATCAGAATGTGCAAATATTGGCCACTGATCACACACATGCACCAACTAATATAATTAACCAAGCGAATGACCAATAAACATACTTACAATTTGTGTCGTTGATAATCCTATGAAATGCTGCAAGCCAGAGAAGCGAGGGAGGACAATTGCTTGCCCAGATACAATCAAGAAAATGTTCTAAAGTTGTCGAATCCTTTCGCAAAGGCTGAACAAAAATGAAAAGATTGACGAAATAAAAATGGCACAAGTTTAAGGAACGCTTAAAAATTGTTTGAATAGCTTCACTGTATGAGCACATCTAGCTAACCTTAACACTCTCATAAATTTGGGCTTTTGGATGACTTTCAATATACAACGGGTTGAGATTAAATAAAAATGCTGTAGTTTATTGACTTATTCACTATGTATTATTTAGACCAAGACAGAAAATGGCATAATGTATAACAACATACCCCAGTGGGTCTAAAAAATGAATTAACAACATCTTCATTAAAACCAAAAGTCGGAGACTCGCCAACAGCTTCGGGAAGCTAAACCAAAAATATTTATTCTAATTTGTTGTATCTTTTTACATCCTTAATTTAGAAAATAAAGATTTTTCCCGACTTCTTTGTAATACCTTTAAGATTTCTTTCAGATAGGCTTCAAATTTAGCAAAATTTAGTTTGCCATTCTCCTCCGACACTTGAGAAAAAACATCTAAAAAAATAGACAAGCGTTTTTGACAACATTTAAGTTGTATCATTTGAAATTCAGGTAGTAATTATACATCTTAGCTTATCAACCAATCGTCCAGCGCACAGCATTGAAAGTGACGTTTTCACCGATAAAACTTGAACCCTATCATTGCCCTCACTAAAATGAAAATTTACAAACTTTTAATCGAAAAAAAACATCACACTCAAATCATCCCAAGTTTTTTAAAGGAATATTGGCGATGATCGAGGATTGCGTTAAAGACTGTTATATAAATCCTGCTTTTTATTGTTTGTTCAAGAATAAAGTAAAGCCACTATACACGATCATTTCTTGAAGAAAGAAGCAAATATTTGGAAATATATGCACAAAAATTGATTTGCAGTGGGCCTGAATCATAACAACGGGTTTTCACAGAATTTGAACTGACAAGACCTTCTAACTACACTTGAAACAGTGTGAACTCTTTCTTTATCGCAAAATTTGAATTTGAAAGCATTTACACTTTGTAGACGTTGAATTTCTCAACATATTATATCATTATTATGTTTCCAGTCAAAGTTTTTTTAAATCACGTCAACCCACAATAAGTAAAGTGTCAACACATGGCATAATGTGTCAACCCACCAAAATGACTGAGTCCACCCACCATAAGTAAGGTGTCAACCCACCAAAATGACTGAGTCCACCCACCATAAGTAAGGTATCGACCCACCACCAAAATGACTGAGTCCACCCACCATAAGTAAGGTATCGACCCACCAAAATGACTGAGTCCACCCACCATAAGTAAGGTGTCAACCCACCAAAATGACTGAGTCCACCCACCATAAGTAAGGTATCGACCCACCAAAATGACTGAGTCCACCCACCATAAGTAAGGTGTCAACCCACCAAAATGACTGAGTCCACCCACCATAAGTAAGGTGTCAACCCACCAAAATGACTGAGTCCACCCACCATAAGTAAGGTGTCAACCCACCAAAATGACTGAGTCCACCCACCATAAGTAAGGTGTCAACCCACCAAAATGACTGAGTCCACCCACCATAAGTAAGGTATCGACCCACCAAAATGACTGAGTCCACCCACCATAAGTAAGGTGTCAACCCACCAAAATGACTGAGTCCACCCACCATAAGTAAGGTATCAACCCACCATAAGTAATAAAGTTAATGGTTTGAATCGGGGAGTCACATATTTGGATCGTCCAGATTAGTGCAATTCTGAAAAGAGCTGTTGGTGTTGACTCACGTTACGACGTTCTTAACGGTAATCATCTTCAAAGTAAAGTCAGTCAATACTTACACCAACAGTCTTTCTCAGGCCTGTAATAACCAAGACTATCAACATCTACGAACATGTTATCATAACGAAGGTGCCGATCAACGACAAGTAAGACTTTGTAATGCGTACAAATAACCATTACGTTGACTAAAAATTTAGCGAAGTGTACCTGTCATAGGCGTACAAAAGCCATTGTTTGACTAGAGCGATGCTTTTTTCGACGTCAATATCAGTAGTTGAAGGTATACGTTTGTTCAGGGCATAAAATATACTCGATAACACAGCTTCCAGTTTTGACTCGTGGATTTCAACGTCATGCTGCATAGTATGAAGGCGATTCTCGCGAAAGGCCTCAATCATGTTGTAAATATCAACCAGATGCACTAAACAACCGAATCAAGACTCTGTTATCGGCAATCGGACGGGAAAAGATGTTTTATTCATGGTAGCTTATTTCAATCACTTTACAAGTTTCAAATTGCAGTATTGTGACATACATGTTATATGTACGTCACATAGTTCTGATTACAGAGTGCATACGGGCTTGGGATACCTATGGTTTTTTCACATAACTTACAGTTCGTTTTTGTCATCAAAAAGAAAAGTTTGGATCCAGTTCTTTGGGATGCATACTGTATTGAGTCAAAATTTTGAGCATCTAAAAGAATGAGAAGTTAAACATGAAAATGATGTTTTGAAACACAACTATTTCCACAGAGCTCTATACCAAATACCTCCAACTGATATTTCATTACTATATTTCATGAGCGCGCGTTTTTTGACTCGAATTACGTATGCTACCAAATATCGTCCTGATCATTTTGGATAAAAATTTGGCTAAATGACTTTACAACTATGTTATAACCTACAAGTAGTTTTTATGTTAGTGAAACTCTATCCGAACTTCAAATTCGAGCATTTTGCATCCAAAATGTGTTTTTTGACAGTGAACTTCCATGTCGTCGCTCTTATTTCAAAATAAATAAGACAATTATCGGTGGAGATAAAAAAAGTGTATTACTGACTCATTTCGTTGATCAAATCCTGGAGCATGTGTTCAGCTTGTTCCCGAGGTATTGATTCATTTTCAATGCTGAAAGAACATGAAACAATGAAAAATATGCATGATTTAGCAATCAAATGAAAACAACGAGTTTCATGTCGTGTGCTAAAGCATTCGTCACCACTATCATATCAGTCATATATGCAATCTACGGTAAACCTAAATAGCCAAGCTTTCGTATGTTTGACAGACACCCAGTTATGAAAAATGATCCAAACGTCACTCCACATATTTAGGTCACTCATCACAAATAGTGGCTTATTTTACTATGAAGGGAGTAGTCGCCGTAAATTAGTAAGATCGTAACTGAATGTTTCAACAGTCGTACATATAGTTACACATTTTTAATCATAAGATGTTAACTGATAATTGGTGAACCTGAAATTGAACTCGACTCACTCTTGTCAGATAAAGTAATGATGAGATAGTCAGGTAAACATATTAAATAGTTGAAGTGAAAACTTTTAAAGTCAGTCTATTAACTGCATCTGTGAGGCATAAAATTTATGAAAATCTTATTATGCCGTGACGCTCTTATTCTGTCATTAAGATTGTTTAACTAATATTTTTTCGCACAATCGTCTTTTTGAAAAGAACAATTTTTTTAAATTTTTGTGCATCACGCATTTAAAAGTGCTTAAATAAGCACGTTTTAGACTAGTTTATTAGAATATATTCATTTCAACATGTTATTTTTGCAAACTGAGTTTCAAGTATTCACGATCGACCAAAAGGATTTAGGGAACGAGTCATATGTAAACAAGTCATATGTAAACGATATTATACATAGTAAGCAACGCTTGGTGGATAGAAAAACAACTGAAATGGTCATGTTTAAACTTTACAATCCCTTACTTTCCCTGAAGAGTGGGAGATGTTGTTGCGTCAAATATCGGCATTTCTTTGACGTTTTATATCGTTTTAAAGCTGCAGTCCTTCAAGTTGAACGTGAAAATCTAAAATGACAAAATGATTAAAATTTGCATTAGATACCAGATTGAAATCTTAATTTGATACATGGCAAAGAATGGAAAAGTTCTAGAACAAAAAACAACATAAAATAATCACGTCGAAAACTTAGTAAAAACAAAACAGCATCTTCAGTTTGTAAAGATATATTACTAGAAATCGAAAAACAAATTTTTGTGTACCTTTAACCCAACGGATCTTCAACTTAATGTAGTTGAACATGCAGAGTTATATTTCTAATATTTACTTATCTCTGACATCGGATATGAAAGTATCGTGGAAGCGAATATACTTTCTTTCTGTAGTGTGTGGTTGTAATATTGTAGTGTTCATATTAATTGCGAATAGAAAGTTCACAAATTATGCTGTGTTGACGAACCTCTTCGGCAAATATCTGAGATTTAAAGATCTTCCAAGAACATCAAAATTTCAATGAGTCATATAAGCACTGCGTTTATAAATTGTAGATGTAGCTGAGGATTTTTCGCGAAGCAATATATTGATGTATTCATTAATTTAATGTTTTCCTGTTGAATTAATTTGCTAACTTAATGGTGAATAATACTGGTGAGCCATTCATTGAGCGAATCGAAGTAAGTTCGTGGCAGAAATATTATGCGTTCGAAAATATTTGACGACCTAGAAGAAAGATTTGATGATCGTGTACAAGAAGCTGGGATAGTATAAAATTGGTTTAATCATTTACTATAGGAAATCACAAGAGAGATCAATATGAAGACACAAAATCATTATTAATAGCAACCAATATTATGACAAAACAATCTCAAGTATGTTATAAAAAACAGCATATACAAAATACTTTTCTTAGCGTTAAGCAAATTCGATTCAATACTTTACTTTTTGAAACCTACAAGTACGGGTATCTTAATCGGACAATTTTAAACATGTAGAACAGTAAAAGAGGATGTTAACTGTCTGATAAAATTGTCAGATTACATACATAAGTTTGCTAATCGAATTTAAGCCGTTATTTCACCGTTTAATTTGATACTTTTATGCTTTAAGTACCTAAGAACAGCACAAATATTCTATTAATCTTAACCCTCAGTCGCGGCAATTATATATCTGCAAGGTTTTAAAAGCAGAGAAGAAAAAATCATATCAACACTTCCATGTCGAAATCTTTATATTTTGAACATTGAAATGCGTATTGTATTGACAACAGAGAAGGCTTTATGAAAAATATGACACAAAAAAACAGCGTAATATTATTTACCTAAACTACATAGTAGTATGCTTTCTTTACATGTATAGAGGCAAAATCATTGCAACCAAACGCCAGACGTCGGGGAGGATTCCACTATAAACGGCGGCCATCTTACTTAAAAGAAGCTACTTCATTGATTTTATCTGTATAACGCATGCGTATTGTTGTTGGAAGAGGAAAGTATTCGAAACGCACAAAATATGCAAGTATGAAAATTCTTTGCCCCTCTTCCTGTATCACATACCAATAAACATTTGAGCGTTGTACTGACAAGGGTAGTTAAGTGTTAAATACATGGGTGTCGAATAAACGATGGCTTGACGGGGGAAGCTTGTATTCCAAAACAATATATACACATTGCTCGCGATTGTTGACTAATATGATTTCCAGAAAGAACAAGGTACAATGTAAAGATTTTGAAACATCTTTTCGATGTGCATGTCTATATATCTTAACTCTCTTACATTAGTTAAAAGTGCGCAGTTATGTTTCGCAGGGTTTGACGATTAATTCTTAAAACTTGCGCAGACCGAAAATTGTCACTTCCAGTTTATATATAATACACTTTTGTCCTTCACAATAAATACGATTTATGATTAGTGGAGATTTCTCAGCAAGTATGTCGCTAAGACGACCATTGTTTTATAGACGACAGCATTGAAAGTGTTTCCTGAATTTTTCTTGGTGACGTAACGATATCCTTTGTCATTTTTGTCAGCTAAAGAAAAAAACATTGTTACGTACTGATTTCAGTCTTCATATGTAAAAATAATAATTAAGAAACATACTTAGTTTCTCAAATATTTTGTTACTCTGATGGCATTTCGTCATGTGTTTGATATTTTTCTTTTTTGATGCAAAATAACACACGTTTTTTCTGGCGTTATAAACAGTCAACCAACATCTGCCATCCTTTCCGCACGCTTTTTTACACTTTGAGCTATGCTTTGTTTTGAAGCGTTTATAATATGGTGCTCTTAAGCATTTACCACGATGCTCGGCAAACTTCCAAAGAATAGAAGCTGAGGAAAAATAGGAATAGAAATAGACCATTAACTTCCCGCATATTTTCACTGAAGTTAATTATTTCCAGTCAACTCACTCGTTGTCACATTTGCGGTTACCAATTCTGTTGTTGGTATTTCAGTTGTCGAGGGTTCTGTCGTCACCATTTCTGTTGTTGGCCTTTCTGTTGTTGTCATTTCAGTTGTTGGTATTTCTGTTGTTGTCCTTTCTTTTGTCGTCTTTTCTGTCGTCGTCCTTTTTGTTGTTGTCCTTTCTGTCGTCGTCCTTTTTGTTGTTGTCCTTTCTGTTGTAGTGGGTGGAGCTCTAGTTGTGCGCCGTACTTTTACTTTCGCTAAAAAAACAAATGGAATAATAGTTTGTCTGTTTTAAAAAATGTTGAATTTGCCAACATCGACTATAGCTCACCCACCTTTTAACCAGTATTGACCTGGTTGGCTGCAAACTCCATGCCAACGTTTAGAGGATAAACTAAAATGGCAAGTTTTACTTACGAAGTATGCAGCATCACATTTAACTTTTCTTAAACACCACCAAGTACAATAGTTCATATTATCAGCGGGGATAATAACAGAAATGAAAAGTCTCAAGCATCCTCCTTTTGGAAGGGGCTTCATACGGGTAACGATGTCTGAAAATAAAACATAAAGCACTTCATACAGTTAGTGATTGTACAAATTGCTTTAAATGACTTTACGAAATAACCATTTGAAAACGAACAAAGTATATTTAGCAACAAACTTGTACAGTATTTTATAACATTTTACCATATTGTGTTGCTTCAACATAATCCTGTTCACGCCAAAGAGACAGTAAAATGAAAAGGTAAAAAATAGCCGTTGTCAGTATTTGCATTTCTAGGAAACGTTTATTTTTTATTATACGTATGGTTATGCATTTGACGTACTTAAGAATTAATTAAGCCTGTCAAAATACTCAATCAGTAATTAGAAGTTAATTATGATTGTTACAACATTCAATAAATGAAAATTATGTTACCTTGGAAACGAGATTAATTTGCTTCGTTATCCAGTCTGAAATCACAAAGAAAGTGAAATTCAGATGTTCATTTAGCATTTTTACACACTAACCGAAGTGAAAAGTTGAAGAAGCTAGTTAAAAATTTTCGCTGAATAAGCAACATATTATTTTGTGCATCAAGGGTCATCAAAGATGAACTTGGGTACGCATGTTTAGTTTGGGAAAAACGCATCTCTAGTTTTATGTGATTCTGTAAAAATTCTATAGTATTCAACGGCAAGTACAAAGATTTTAAAGCAAAGTAATGGAAAGTATTGTTTATTTCGTAATTTCTAGCTACATCAATTCATTATTGCACTTCAGCTTGACTACTCTTTTTCTTTCGCATTTCATTTAACGTTTATGTTACTTTTTATACGTTATACACACTTCCACGAAGTTATTTCATTCTACCTTTATTTATTCAACATTTCCTAACCATTAATATTTACCTAATCAAAGATGTTTTTACAAATTGCTTTGGGTTTTGACTGTAGTAAATGGACATCTTTTTCGTGCTATGGGTGTAAATCGTCGTCATGAGAAAGTCTTTTGAGTTACTTTTATAAATTCATTTTCTAGCTTGGATGGACAAGTCACTTTCAGTGGTTATCTGTAACAGTTTACATATTTCAGATAGAACTACTTTTTGTAAATATATCGATGTAAATTTTTCTAATTTTTTTCTTTTGTTGAGTGTAATTACATGCCATGCATGTTTTGTCCGAATTACTCTCAATATGCAAAGATTTTTTTTCCATAAAAAGCTCTTCGTAATTCTCGTTAAAGCAAAGTAGGGATCAAAGTTTCTTTATCGCTATTGAAATATTTCACAAATGACATAAGTTCCAGCTAGCTATCAGTGCTTTATTCATTGAACTAACTATCTAAGTATCAAAAAATTGATTACATCCAAAAGAAATTTACGATTTGTATTTCTACATTTTGTATCCTCTGCTCTTTATTTTGGTTATTTACAATCTAAGAAGATCATAGTCGAAGACAAACAAAACTCGTTTCCAGGACCTTTGTTTCCATGAAATCTCACAACTTCAACTCGCACTCAAATGCTGGTCATATGTAGAAAAGGCAAAAATCACCATCAACTTATGCAATATAGTTGTTTTTTTAAATAAAAATGTATGTCATTATATGTCAATAACGGTTATGTTGATTGATTTTTAAGTGTATGATGATGTTATTGAAAAAACACGGCAAGCTCTATTCTTTTTTCCCCTGCAATGTTTGAGGCATTAATGGAAAACATCTTTACAAACTTTGTATAACAGATAGCACAATATTAAAAGCTAAAAACTGTCTTACAACAATTACAGTAAAACCAGTTTATATATAATACGATTTTGTACTTTACAATAAATATGATTTATGGTTAGTGGAGATTTCTCAGCAAGTACGACGTTAAGACGAGCATTGTTGTTTTATAGATGCCAGATTTGAAAGTGTTCCCTGAATTTTTCTTAGTGACGTAACGATATCCTTTGTCATTTTTGTCAACTAAAGAAAAAACAATGTTATGTACCCACTTTCCTCCATATGTAAAAAAAATTTATAAATATACTTAGTTTCTCAAATATTTTGTTGTTCTGATGGCATTTCGTCATGTTTTTATGTTTTTCTTTGTTGCTGCAAAATAACACACGTTTTTTCTAGCATTATAAACGGTTAACCAACATCTGCGATCCTTTTTGCACGTCTTTTTACACTTTGAGCTATGCTTTGTCTTGTAGCGTTTATAGTGTGGTGCTCTTAAGCATTTACCACGATGCTCGGCAAACATCCAAGGAATAGAGGCTAACGAAAAATAGCATTAAAATGAACTATTAAATTTCTACATATTTTTATTAAACTTAATTATTTCCAGTCAACTCACTCGTTGTCACATTTGCGGTTACCAATTCTGTTGTTGGTATTTCTGTGGTCGAGGGTTCTGTTGTCACCATTTCTGTTGTTGTCATTTCTGCCGTGGTCAATTCGGTTGTTGGTCTTTCTGTAGTGGTTATTTTCGTTGTCGGCCTTTTTGTTGTTGTCTTCTCTGTTGTCGTCTTTTCTGTTGTTGTTCTTTTTGTTGTTGTGGGTGGAGCCTTAGTTGTGCGCCATACCTTGTTTGCATCTAAAGTAAAGAAATTTTATCATCAATTTTCTGTTTCAATTAATACCGAGTTTCTAATTTTTGCAAAGTTTCAGACTTACATTTTCTATAGTACAGGAAACGACCAGGAAGACAACCACCACTTTTCGATAGTATAAAATCTCCATAACTGATTGCGCATCGATAAGATGAGTAATCATGAAACACGACTACAGTCAGACATCTGGAAATTTTCAAGCACCATCGTAGACAACCTTCTACCTTCTGGAAAAGACGATGTTTATCTGCGCTGTTATAGTAACATCCATTCAACTTAACATATCTTACATCATAAAGCAAATCTAAAAATACAGCATTTCTTGTTGTTATATTTGCAGAGATTGCACAAACTAAGCAATATCTAAAAAGATTTTCGTCATTCTTTACCATATTGTCTTGCTTCAGCATAATCCTGTTCACGCCAAGGAGACAGTAAAATGTAAAGGTAAAAAATAGTCGTTGTCAGTATTTGCATTTCCAGTAAAAATTTATTTTTCGTTGTACATAATGTCACGGAGTTAAAGTAATTATGTATTGATTAGGCATGTCAAAAAAGTCAATCAATGATTAGTCCATAATAATGATTGCCAACGTCATTTAATGAACAAAAATTACGCTTTCGTAGAAATGTGTGAAATATATAAACAAAGATGAAATCACTATTCCATATAAAATCTGACATTAAAAAAACAAAGGTTAACGTAAAAACCAAGGTTAACTACATTTACAATATAATCTTACCATTTGTATTTCTACATATTGTATCCTCTGTTCTTCTTTTCTGGTATTGGCTATCTGGAAGAACTTTAGTCAAAGACAATAAACTCGTTTCCCGGATCTCTTCCACAAAATCTCACAAGATTAACTGAAATGTTGGTCATATAGTGAAAAGGCAAAAAATCACCATCAATTTATGCAATATAATTGTTTTTGTTAAATAAACGTACATACCATTATATGTCAAAAACGGTTATTTTGCATGTTTTTTAAGTGTATAATGATGTTATTAAAAAACAGTAAAAACTAAAGTATTTTTCACTGTAAGATGCTAAGGTAATAATGGAAAACATCTTTACAAATTTTATATGCTGGGATTGCACAATATTAAAGCTTGTTCATTAACATTTACAGTATGACAAATTTATATGTAAAAAAGTTTTGTACTTTGCAATACATATGATTTATGATTATTTCACAGTGCTCAGCAAGTACATCGCTAGGAACGACCATTGTTGTTTTATACATACCAGAATTGAAAATTTTTCCAGAATTATTCATAGTGACGTGACGATATCCTTTGTCATTTTTGTCGACTAAACAAAAAACGTTATGTGGCCATTTCAGTCTTCATATATAAAAATAAATTAAATAATAATTTATAAATATAATAAGTTTCTAAAATATATTTTTTGCTCTGATGGCGTTTCTTAATGTGTTTCATACTTTTCTCTTTTGATGCAAAATAGTACACTTTTATTTTCACGTAAATATAGTTAACAAACATCTGCCATTTTTTCGCACGTCTTTTTACACATTGAGCTATGCTTTCTTTTAACGTTTACAGTGTGGTGCTTTAAAGCATTTACCACGATGCTCGGAAAACGTTCATTTGGTAAAGGCTGGAGTAAATTAATACTTAAAAATTCCGAAATGTTTTTTTGTTTAATGTTTCTGCACAAAAACACGTTGAGAACATGTTAAAGCCGTGTAAAACTTTATCGTATGAACTTAAATTTTAGTTGTAGTAAGTAGTTAAATGAAACTTTAAAGTCTTTATCTTTAATAAAAGTTCTCCACCTCCAACATAAGAGGGTAAACATTCACATTCGTAACTTCTGTCAGTGTTAACTAATGAACTCTCTAATTTAAACTGGAACGTGAACTCCAATACTATTGATAAAGGTCAATTTGTAGCACACTGTAATGCTTTTATATCTTAGTTTTTCAGTTAATCAGCAACAAGAGCTTGTGTGGTAAAACCTAACATGACAATATGTGCAACCGTGTTTAATTCATATCCCCTTTTCATTTGTTAAAATAACATCATGGAGCCTCTATAAACTCAAAAAAGTAACAATTCCGGTTTCAGAAAGGATGGCAACGTTGACGTCCAAGTTTATACTACACAACATTGGTGTTAACACATTAGGCAAATTCACCACAAAGATTTTGAAATCATTAACGTCTACAAAATCATAAGCAAAATAAGTAAAGAGTTTTGATATTGAATCATATAAATTTACTGCATTTGATGAATCTTCTGGTAATACGTTTCGTTACAGTTGATACAGATTATTTTGACGTTGAACTTCTCTGTGTAAGGATCTATAGTTTTAATTCTAAAAATTCCTTTTCTACTATTTATTTTAAAATTCATGGACTTTTCTTTTTGGTTTACGTAATGCTTTTGCTTTGGAAGATTTGTTGCATGTTCTTGATTTCTGAGATTTTTGGTGACTTTTTTGCGTTCACAACGTATTATACATCCTTCTGCAAGTTCAAAAACTTCAATCTACGAATCATATTTGTCTACAACTGTAGCATTATCTGACATTCTATAAATATCTTGACTAGAAGCACCAATGGCTGGAACAACAGCTGCTAAGCCAGTTGGTTTAGGTAAAGATTTGGTTGTTAAAGAATTCTTTAGTTTCTTTGGCTTCCGGTGCTTTCGATGACTATTTTTGGTGTGAGAATGTTTGATAGAATCTTCTGCAAGTTCATAAATTTCCATGTTTGAATCATATATGTCAACTGCTGTAGCATTATCTGACATTCTATAGACATCTTGACTAGAGGCACCAATGGCTGGAACAACGACTGCTAAACTAATTGGTTTAGGTAAAGATATGGCTGTTAAAGATTTCTTTAGATTCCTTGGCTTCCGGTACTTTCGATGACTATTTTTGGTGTGAGAATGTTTGATAGAATCTTGTGCAAGTCCATGAACGTCCATGTTTGTATCATATACGTCTAGTGCTGTAGCATCTGACATTGTACAGATATCTTCACTACAAGCACCAATAGCAGGAATAACAGCTGCTAAGCTAGTTTGTTTAGGTAATGATTTGGTTGTTACAGAATTCTTTAGTTTCCTTGGCTTCCGGTGCTTTCGATGACTATTTTTGGTGTGGGGATGTTTGTTAGAATCTTCTGCAAGTTCATGAATTTCCATCTTTGAATCATATATGTCTACTGCTGTAGCATTATCTGAAATTCTATAAATATCTTGACTAGAGGCACCAATAGCTGGAATAACAGCTGCTAAACTAGTTGGTTTAGGTAATGATTTGGTTGTTAAAGAATTCTTTAGTTTCCTTGGCTTCTGGTGCTTTCGATGACTATTTTTGGTGTGAGAATGTTTGATAGAATCTTCTGCAAGTTCATAAATTTCTATGTTTGAATCATATATGTCAACTGCTGTAGCGTTATCTTTCATTCTATAGACATCTTGACTAGAGGCACCAATGGTTGGAACAACGACTGCTAAACTAGTTGGTTTAGGCAATGATATGGCTGTTAAAGAATTCTTTAGATTCCTTGGCTTCCGGTGCTTTCGATGACTATTTTTGGTGTGAGAATGTTTGATAGAATCTTGTGCAAGTCCATGAACTTCCATGTTTGTATCATATACGTCTAGTGCTGTAACATTATCTGACATTGTACAAATATCTTCACTACAAGCACCAATAGCAGGAATAACAGCTGCTAAACTAGTTTCTTTAGGTAAAGATTTGGTTGTTACAGAATTCTTTAGTTTCCTTGGCTTCCGGTGCTTTCGATGACTATTTTTGGTGTGGGAATGTTTGTTAGAATCTTGTGCAAGTCCATGAACTTCCATCTTTGAATCATATATGTCTACTGCTGTAGCATTATCTGAAATTCTATAAATATCTTGACTAGAGGCACCAATAGCTGGAATAACAGCTGCTAAACTAGTTGGTCTAGGTAATGATTTGTTTGTTAAAGAATTCTTTAGTTTCCTTGGCTTCTGGTGCTTTCGATCACTATTTTTGGTGTGAGAATGTTTAATAGAATCTTCTGCAAGTTCATAAATTTCCATGTTTGAATCATATATGTCAACTGCTGTAGCATTATCTGACATTCTATAGACATCTTGACTAGAAGCACCAATGGCTGGAACAACAGCTGCTAAGCCAGTTGGTTTAGGTAAAGATTTGGTTGTTAAAGAATTCTTTAGTTTCTTTGGCTTCCGGTGCTTTCGATGACTATTTTTGGTGTGAGAATGTTTGATAGAATCTTCTGCAAGTTCATAAATTTCCATGTTTGAATCATATATGTCTACTGCTGTAGCATCATCTGACATTCTATAAACATCTTGACGAGAGGCACCAATAGCTGGAATAACAGCTGCTAAACTAGTTGGTTTAGGTAATGATTTGGTTGTTAAAGAATTCTTTAGTTTCCTTGGCTTCCGGTGCTTTTGATGACTATTTTTGGTGTGAGAATGTTTGATAGAATCTTCTGCAAGTTCATAAATTTCCATGTTTGAATCATACATGTCTACTGCTGTAGAATTATCTGACATTCTATAAATATCTTCACTACAAGCACCAATAGCAGGAATAACAGCTGCTAAACTAGTTGGTTTAGGTAAAGATTTGGTTGTTAAAGAATTCTTCAGTTTCCTTGACTTCCGGTGCTTTCGATGACTATTTTTGGTGTGAGAATGTTTGATAGAATCTTCTGCAAGTTCATAAATTTCCATGTTTGAATCATATATGTCTACTGCTGTAGAATTATCTGACATTCTATAAATATCTTCACTACAAGCACCAATAGCAGGAATAACAGCTGCTAAACTAGTTGGTTTAGGTAAAGATTTGGTTGTTAAAGAATTCTTCAGTTTCCTTGACTTCCGGTGCTTTCGATGACTATTTTTGGTGTGGGAATGTTTGATAGAATCTTCAGCAAGTTCATAAATTTCCATGTTTGAATCATATATGTCAACTGCTGTAGCATTATCTGACATTGTATAAATATCTTGACTAGAGGCACCAATGCCTGGAACAACAACTGCTAAACTAGTTTGTTTAGGTAATGATTTGGTTGTTAAAGAATTCTTTAGTTTCCTTGTCTTCCGGTGCTTTCGATGACTATTTTTGGTGTGGGAATGTTTGATAGAATCTTGTCCAAGTCCATGAATTTCCATCTTTGAATCATATATGTTTATTTCTGTGGCATTATCTGATACTTTAATGGCTGGAACAACAGTTGCTATGGTACTTGGTTCAGTTATTGATATATTTGCCGAAGAGTTGTTGAGTGTGCTTGGCTTCAGGGACATAGAATCTTGTGCAAGTCCATGAATTTCCATCTTTGAATCATATATGTCTATTGCTGTAGCATTATCCGACATTTTATAATTATCTTGACTAGAAGCTTCAATGGCTGGAACAACAGTTGCTATAGTACTTTGTTCATTCAATGATATATTTGCTGAAGAAATGCTGAGTGTGCTTGGCTTCAGGGACATAGCATCTTGTGCAAGTTCATAAATTTCCACTTCTGAATCATACATGTCAATTTCCAGTGCATTATCTGGCTTTCTATAAATATCTTGACTAGAGGCACCAATGGCTGCAGTAAAAGCTGCTAAACTGTTGTCATATACGTTTTCAGTTGTCTTGTTTTCTGTTCCATACAGGTTTTCTGCAGCAATATTGCCCATGTCATACTTAGTTGTTACAAATGCTGCGTCATACAGGTTTTGAGCTGTATAAAGGAAATTCAAAAGTACATTTAACATTTACAGCTTATTTTCTTATGTTTTGCAACAATATTCTTGTGCGAAAAATGCACACATATAAGTAATAAACATTTATATTCATTTAATAACGGTAATTTGGCGTCAATTTGGCCAAATATTTTATGAGAAAATTGGCTACATTACAACACAATAGAAGGAGCATGTAAGTAAGGGAGAAGAACTCTGCCACTTGATACAAGATATTTTATTTTATGAAAGAAACACTGGTATTATTGGTTCAGTAAATGAAAGAAGAATGCTTGTTCACTTTAAAGGAGATATTTCAATTTTCCATAGAGTACCTCTCTCTCCTGATAAAACATTATCGTACGCAGAGTCTGCATCATGAATTTTCAAAACAGCAACATCGGTGTATCTGTATAAAGCATAAGACAATATGAACAAGCAAGAAAACCCAATGAAAACAGTAACGGTGATTTTGTTTAGGTATATTTCCAAATTAGTGAGATATTATCTCTAGGCTGTGGGATGTTTTTGAGACTGGGGGAATGTTTTTATTGTAACCGACCTAAATGACGCATCAAACAAAACAAAACAAAGAGAAACAAAACAAAACAAAACAAAACAAAACAAAACAATACAAAACAAAACAAAGCGAAACAAAAAAAACAAAAAAAAACAAAAAAAACAAAACAAAACAAGTCAAAACAAAACAAAACATAAAAAACAAAACAAAACAAGTAAAACAAAGCACCCTTCAACAACATGATGCTTTGATAAACAGTACATTATGCTACATGTTTGTAAATGTAGATCGTACAGGTTGGTATAATCCTGAGGACTGTTTTTGTTGTTGCTGAATGACGTTTCGACAACCTTAGCGGTAGTCATCTTCAGAGTCTGAAGATGACTACCGCTAAGGTTGTCGAAACGTCAGTCAACAAAAACAAAAACAGTCCTTCTCAGGACTATACCAAACTGGACGATCTACATTTACAAACATGTAACGATAATCCAGGGTTCAAACCATTTACTTCAGTACATTATGCGTGCATTAAATATAATCAATATCGGCATGAGCAAATAAGTCCATATTTTTTCATAAAAAAAGGGTGTGTGTAAGTGTAGGGGTTATACCATCTATAAAATGACAATGAGAGTTAAACATTCACTCGCTGTATCTATCTTTTTGTAATTTTTTCAATAATTTAACTTTGAGCTAAAACGTAACTTTGGTTTGGCTTTGTCTACAGGACGCAAGACAAAATTTTAATAACACAGTTATGTGAAATTTGTAGTGGAAAGAAACGTAAAAGTAAAACTACAGTGATAAAAATTCTCTTCTTAATATTCTTGTATTTCTCTGCACAATAATTAATACGTATTCAAATAATTAGGATTCATATATGTCACTTACAATTAACTAAATTCAGGTACAAAGAGGATGGTTTTCAAAACAAAACGCACAAAAACAGTATTTTTTAATTTTACATGAGACGAAACAAAACGTTAAGGTTACACACATATACACACATTCGTTCTGGGCCTTTCAATGAAAACCTAGTTTTTGCCTATGTTGTTTTAAAACAAAACAAATAACGAATTGGCTAAGAAGCAATAAACTTTGACATAACACGTGACAAAAATTATATTTTAGTTGTACAAAAAGAGTTTGATATAGAATTAATTCTTCACCTATCATAAGGTAGCAGTCTTTTCTTCCATGAAACACAAATAATGACAATGACGATCAGTACCACTACAAAGATAGACACTCCTACTATCCCAGAGAACATTATAACACCTGAAAATGAAACAAAAAATACTTATTCGTTTTCGTTTGCTGTTATATATTTCTAAATAAATAAAACCTATCTTGATCATTACTGATAGTTTAAATAAATTTAACAAAAATGCAACAACTTACTTTCCCCCGTTATATCTGGTATTTTGTTCTCTTCTTAAATAAAAAATGAGCTTATAGTTCAGTTGTACATTGATAGGTTGTTGCTGAGCACATTTTTCTAAAATAAAAATACAAATAATAAACATCTTACCATTGCCGTGTTTGTGAAGAACAGCAGGCGGTCCAACTCCTGCAATCGTTCCAGCTTTAATATGAAATATGTAATTGATGTTTGGATTCAAGCTATTGTTCTTCCATACAGTGATATTTGGAGACAAGGAAGAGTTTGTAATCCTCTTAACTTTGGAATGAAACATTTCCTCGTAAGCAATAACTTCATAAAGCACAAGAATGCCATTTTGATCTTTAACATCGGGAGCTGTCCAATTTATTTCAATTGATCTTGAACTTAAAGTTCGTAAGACTGCATTTTTAGGTGGAGCAGATGGTGCTACATCAATGACGTAGTGTTTAAAGTGATGCAAAACTCTCAATATCAACATATCAAGTGCACATTTTGTAAAATCAGATACCTGCTTCTCCGGTGCGAAAATCAATGTGATTAGCAGGACCATAACCTAGAGCATTTCTTGCTTCGACGTGAATATTATACAATGTATAAGGCTTCAAATTGTCTTCAGTATGAAACAATTGAGTTTTAGGCACGGTAATATAAATGCGACACGGCGCATTCAAATATTTTTCATGTACACAAAGTCTATAACCGGTGATATGACCATTTTGCATTGTAACATTTGGAGGTTGCCAGAATATTTGTAGAATATGTGGACCAATTCTCATAGCATAAAGAGCACGTGGTGATCCAGAAGGAGCTGAGAAATTAAGTGAATGACAAATCAAGCCAACAATCTTTTCAAGAATTTTATATACTGTTTTAACTTTTAACTCACGAGAAGAAAGAGTTTTTTGTGAGATAACTGCTTTCGGTCCCCAGCCTAAATTTGTACTCGCCATAACTGCTAATAAGTATTCTGTATATGGTTTCAACCCTTTGATGATTTTGCTTGATGATTTTCCATCAGTAATATAATTCACGATGCTACAAATTTGGCCAGAGTTTGTCTCTATATAGCACACACCATACTTGGTAATGATTCCATTTCGACGATGCTCTTCAGGTGGTGACCAGGCTAATTTCAAGCTTCTGGCAGTAACATTTTTCACTATTATAAGTCGCGGAGGCCCACTGGGTACTAGCAGAATAAAAAATAATTATAAACAAATCAAGATGATATAAAATACATATTTTTTAAAATGACAAAAATATTCAGGGATTTTTATGTCATTTAAGTTGCCCATAAAATTGCTTTGTGTTAGTTTGGTGTACTCACATACATAAAAGTACAATTTGAAAATGCAAATGATACAAAACTTTTTAACCCTATTCGTTTTTCAGCAATTTAATATATATTTATCCATTTCAATAGCATGTTATCTTTTATTGTTAAAAACTGCAAAAAATTACGAATTATGACAAATACAACTAAAATCCTCTTTTACCTGATTCTCTCGTTCTTTGAGTAATCCTGGCTTGAGGACCATAGCCAGCTTTCGTCGCAGCGGATATTTCAATGATATATTGCACGTAGGGTTTTAAACCAGTAAATGTATATGATGTTTGTGAGAATGGAACAGTTACTTTAGGTGTGCATGTTGTCATAGACTGTCCTCGAATACACACTGAGTATTTGGTTAAAATACCATTGAGCAGGGAGCGGTCAGGTGACAACCATGTTGCTTTTATAAAATTTTTGGTGTACGAAACGACATTTAAATTGCGAGGTGCACCCAATGGTTCTGAAGGAATAAAAAGGCAGAAAATGTTGTCATTACAAGACAATTAAAAGTGTAAGCTATAAATATGAAAGTATCTGCCAACCAATGCTTTTACAATTTGCAACCTTTTATATCATGAAACATTCTTACACTGTAGACAGTCTTCAGGGTTTAGTCTTTTCTCACCTGCCTCTAATGTCCTAGTTGTTAAAACTGCTGCTGGGCCATATCCAATCTTTGTTGCTGATGTAATTCTAAGATGGTATTTGGTGTAAGGTTTTAAGTTTGAAAAAGTGTAATCTGCGATATTGCCTGTCGTGATTTGAAGTAAACATGGTCCTTGAGAAGTACTGCCAATCTTAATGCAGAGTTTGTAATTAATGATTCTTCCATTGCGTAATGCAGGATCTGGAGGAAGCCAGGAACCAGTGATATTTGTTGCATACACTCGAGATATTTGAAACTTCGTGGGTGGACCTTTAGGAACTAAAATCAAACAAAGTGTTGGATTTAAAATATTAAATTTATCCATTATTCAAATAACTTAAAAATCAATTTGTAAATATCATACATCCTCCTCTCACCTGATTCTTTCGTTCTTTGAGTAATGTTGGCTCGAGGACCATAGCCAGCTTTAGTACCAGCAGATATTTCAATGGTATATTGCACGTAAGGTTTTAAACCAGTAAATGTATATGATGTTTTCGTGAATGGAACAATTACTTTAGGTGTGCATGATTTCAAAGACTGTCGTCGAATACACACTGAGTATTTGGTTAAAATACCATTGAGCAGGGAGCTGTCAGGTGACGACCATGTTGCTTTTATAAAATTTTTCGTGTACGAAACGACATTTAGATTGCGAGGTGCACCCGATGGTTCTGAAGGAATAAAAAGGCAGAAAATGTTGTCATTACAAGACAATTAAAAGTGTAAGCTATAAATATGAAAGTATCTGCCAACCAATGCTTTTACAATTTGCAACCTTTTATATCATGAAACATTCTTACACTGTAGACAGTCTTCAGGGTTTAGTCTTTTCTCACCTGCCTCTAATGTCCTAGTTGTTAAAACTGCTGCTGGACCATATCCAATCTTTGTTGCTGATGTAATTCTAAGATGGTATTTGGTGTAAGGTTTTAAGTTTGAAAAAGTGTAATCTGTAATATTGCCTGTCGTGATTTGAAGTAAACATGGTCCTTGAGAAGTACTGCCAATCTTAATGCAGAGTTTGTAGTTGATGATTCTTCCATTGCGTAATGCAGGATCTGGAGGAAGCCAGGAACCAGTGATATTTGTTACATCCACTTGAGATATTTGAAACTTCGTGGGTGGACCATTAGGAACTAAAATCAAACAAAGTGTTGGATTTAAAATATTAAATTTATTCATTATTCAAATCACTTAAAAATCCATTTGTAAATATTATACATCCTTCCCCTACCTGATTCTCTTGTTCTTTGAGTAATCTTGGCTCCAGGACCATAGCCAACTTTAGTAGCAGCAGATATTTCAATGGTATATTGCACGTAAGGTTTTAAACCAGTAAATGTATATGATGTTTTCGTGAATGGAACAATTACTTTAGGTGTGCATGATTTCAAAGACTGTCGTCGAATACACAGTGAGTATTTGGTTAAAATACCATTGAGCAGGGTGCTGTCAGGTGACGACCATGTTGTCTTGATAAAATTTTTAGTGTACGAAACGACATTTAGATTGCGAGGTGCACCCGATGGTTCTGAAGGAATAAAAAGGAAAATAATGTTGTCATCACAAAGGAATGCAAGAAATTTGTAAGACAGTCAAAAATGTAAACCGTAATATGAAAGTACCCACAAACCAATGTACATTTGTACATTTACAATTTGTATTCTTTTTAAATCATGAAACATTCTTACACTGTAGACAATCTTCAGACTCATTCTCTTCTCACCTGCCTCTAATGTCCTAGTTGTTAAAAATGCTGCTGGACCATATCCAATCTTTGTTGCTGCTGAAATTCTAAGATGGTACTTGGTGTAAGGTTTTAAGTTTGAAAAAGTGTACACTGTGATATTGCCTGTAGTAATTTGAAGTAAACATGGTCCTTGAGAAGTACTGCCAATCTTAATGCAGAGTTTGTAATTGATGATTCTTCCATTGCGTAATGTTGGATCTGGAGGAAGCCAGGAAGCAGTGATATTTGTTGCATCCACTCGAGATATTTGAAACTTCATAGGTAGACCATCAGGAACTAAAATTAAATAAACTTTTAGATTTCAAGCATTAAAAATACTCTTAATTTGAATAACTTAAAAAATAATTTATAAGAACACAGATGTACTTTAGTCACTATGTAATTGTTGGTTGTATGAACATTTCATTGGAAATATAAAAGAAAGTCTCCCTAATTTTAAAGACTGCCTACTTTATTCTAGTATTTTATCATCCATTAAAAAATACTTAATATTACTGTATAATGAACTTATAAGTAAATCAGTGGCCAATTTACAACATCGAAAGAAAATCAAAAACACAAAAGGCGAATTTAAAAATCCATATAAAACATGGGCACATAGAGTAATTAATAAGCTTGGTTTATAATCATGTCAGTCATTTAAATAACTAATTCTATTAAAATCAATAATTTTATGAACATTATCAAAATTTATTCATCCATGAATGTTTCATGTTCATAAATAATATACATCCTCCTCCTACCTGATTCTCTCGTTCTTTGAGTAATGTTGGCTCGAGGACCATAGCCAACTTTAGTTGCAGCAGATATTTCAATGGTATATTGCACGTAAGGTTTTAAACCAGTAAATGTATATGATGTTTTCGTGAATGGAACAATTACTTTAGGTGTGCATGATGTCATAGACTGTTGTCGAATACACACTGAATATTTGGTTAAAATACCATTGAGCAGGGAGCTGTCAGGTGACGACCATGTTGTTTTGATAAGATTTTTGGTGTATGAAACGACATTTAAATTGCGAGGTGCACCCGATGGTTCTGAAGGAATAAAAAGGCAGAAAATGTTGTCATTACAAGACAGTTGAAAGTGTAAGCTGTAAATATAAAAGTATCTGCCAACCAATGCTTTTACAATTTGCAACCTTTTTATATCATGAAACATTCTTACACTCTAGACAATCTTCAGGTTTTAGTCTTTTCTCACCTGCCTCCAATGTCCTAGTTGTTAAAACTGCTGCTGGACCATATCCAATCTTTGTTGCTGCTGAAATTCCAACATTATACTTGGTGTAAGGTTTTAAGTTTGAAAAAGTGTACACTGTGATATTGCCTGTAGTAATTTGAAGTAAACATGGTCCTTGAGAAGTACTGCCAATCTTAATGCAGAGTTTGTAGTTGATGATTCTTCCATTGCGTAATGCAGGATCAGGAGGAAGCCAGGAAGCAGTGATATTTGTTACATCCACTTGATATATTTGAAACTTCGTAGGTGGACCATTAGGAACTAAAATCAAACAAAGTGTTGGATTTAAAACATTAAATTTATTCATTATTCAAATCACTTAAAAATCCATTTGTAAATATTATACATCCTCCTCCTACCTGATTCTCTCGTTCTTTGAGTAATGTTGGCTCCAGGACCATAGCCAACTTTAGTAGCAGCAGATATTTCAATGGTATATTGCACGTAAGGTTTTAAACCAGTAAATGTATATGATGTTTTCGTGAATGGAACAATTACTTTAGGTGTGCATGATGTCATAGACTGTTGTCGAATACACACGGAATATTTGGTTAAAATACCATTGTGCAGGGAGCTGTCAGGTGACGACCATGTTGTTTTGATAAGATTTTTGGTGTATGAAACGACATTTAAATTGCGAGGTGCACCCGATGGTTCTGAAGGAATAAAAAGGCAGAAAATGTTGTCATTACAAGACAATTGAAAATGTAAGCTGTAAATATAAAAGTATGTGCCAACCAATGCCTTTACAATTTGCAACCTTTTTATATCATGAAAAATTCTTACACTCTAGACAATCTTCAGGTTTTAGTCTTTTCTCACCTGCCTCTAATGTCCTAGTTGTTAAAACTGCTGCTGGTCCATATCCAATCTTTGTTGCTGCTGAAATTCTAAGATGATACTTGGTGTAAGGTTTTAAGTTCACAAAAATGTAAGTTGTGATATTGCCTGTAGTAATTTGAAGTAAACATGGTCCTTGAGAAGTACTGCCAATCTTAATGCAGAGTTTGTAGTTGATGATTCTTCCATTGCGTAATGCAAGATCTGGAGGAAGCCAGGAAGCAGTAATATTCGTTACATCCACTTGAGATATTTGAAACTTCGTAGGTGGACCATTAGGAACTAAAATCAAACAAAGTGTTGGATTTAAAACATTAAATTTATTCATTATTCAAATCACTTAAAAATCAATTTGTAAATATTATACATCCTTCTCCTACCTGATTCTCTTGTTCTTTGAGTAATCTTGGCTCCAGGACCATAGCCAGCCTTAGTAGCAGCAGATATTTCAATGGTGTATTGCACATAAGGTTTTAAACCAGTAAATGTATATGATGTTTGTTTGAATGGAACAGTTACTTTAGTTGTGCATGATGTCAAAGACTGTCGTCGAATACACACTGAGTATTTGGTTAAAATACCATTGAGCAGGGAGCGGTCAGGTGACGACCATGTTGTCTTGATAAGATTTTTAGTGTATGAAACGACATTTACCTTGCGAGGTGCACTCGAAGGCTCTTAAGGAATAAAAAGGAAAATAATGTTGTCATGACAAAGGAATCCAATAAATATGAAAGTACCCACCAACCAATGTACATTTGTACATTTACAATTTGTATTCTTTCTAAGTCATGAAACATGCGTAAACTGTAGACAAACTTCAGATTCATTCTTTTCTCACCTGCCTCTAATGTCCTAGTTGTTAAAACTGCTGCTGGACCATATCCAATCTTTGTTACAGCTGAAATTCTGAGATGATATTTGGTGTAAGGTTTTAAGTTCAAAAAAGTGTACACTGTGATATTGCCTGTAGTAATTTGAAGTAAACATGGTCCTTGAGAAGTACTGCCAATCTTAATGCAGAGTTTGTAATTGATGATTCTTCCATTGCGTAATGTTGGATCTGGAGGAAGCCAGGAAGCAGTGATATTTGTTGCATCCACTCGAGATATTTGAAACTTCGTAGGAGGACCATCAGGAACTAAAATTAAATAAACTTTTAGATTTGAAGCATTAAAAATATTGTTAATTTGAATTACTTAAAAAGTAATTTATAAGAACACAGATGTACTAAAGTCACTATGTAATTGTTGGTTGTATGAACATTTCATTGGAAATATAAAAGAAAGTCTCCCTAATTTTAAAGACTTCCTACTTTATTCTAGTATTTTATCATCCATTAAAAAATACGTAATATTACTGTATTATGAACTTTTAAGTAAATCAGTGGCCAATTTACAACATCGAAAAAAAATCAAAAACACAAAAGAAGAATTTAAAACTCCATATACCGCATGGGCACATAGAGTAATTAATAAGCTCGGTTTATAATCATGTCAGTCATTTAAATAACTAATTCTATTAGAATCTATAATTATATGAATATTATCAAAATTTATTCATACATGAATGTTTGATGTTCATAAATAAACATTATACATCCTCCTCCTACCTGATTCTCTCGTTCTTTGAGTAATGTTGGCGCGAGGACCATAGCCAACTTTAGTAGCAGCAGATATTTCAATGGTGTATTGCACGTAAGGTTTTAAACCAGTAAATGTATGAGATGTTTGTGTTTTTGGAACTATTATTGGAGATAGGCAGGTTGACAAAAACACTCGTCGTATGCAAACCGAGTAGTTGCTTATGACACCAACAAACAGAGATCTGTTAGGTGACGACCATGAGGCGTTGATAAGATTTTTAGTGTACGAAGACACACGTAAATTACGAGGTGCACTCGGCAAAGCTGAATAAAAAAGTAAAATAATGATTTTAGGGTCCAAATTTCATATTAAGCATTTACTACGATGCTCGGTAAACTTTGCGAGAGAGGCTCAGAAAAAATAACATTGTAATAAACAATCAACTTTCTGCATATTTTGAATTTAACTATTTCCAGTCAACTCACTTGTGCGGAATACTTTTTCCGAATCTAAAATAAAAATATTTATAAACATTGATTTTGTATTTGAATTCACACTTAGTTTCTAATTTTTGTAGACTTACATTTTTTCCAGTAAAAAAACTGAAGACCAGAAGGACAACCCCTTGATGGCATAAAATTTCCATAACTGATTACGCATCGATACATATCGTAATCTAAATATGTCATTACAGTCAGACATCTGGGAATTTGCAAGCACCGTCGTAGACAATCGTTTAAATCCTTAAAATAACCATCTTTATTTAGTCTGACATTGTAACATCCATTCAATGGTACAGATCTTATACGATAAACCAAATCTAAAAATTCAGCATTTCTTCTTGTTATATTTGCAGAGATTGCACAAACTAAACAATATCTAAAAAGATTTTTCATCATACTTTACCATATTTTCTTGCTTTAGCATAATCCTCTTCACGCCAAAGAGATAGTAAAGTGAAAAGGTAAAAAATAGCCGTTGTCACAATTTGCATTTTTAAGAAACGTTTATTTTCTATTATACGTATGGTGACGGAATTAAAGTAATCATGAATTGGTTAAGCATGTCAAAATCATTAATCAGTAATTAGTAGTTAATTACGATTGCTTACATCATTTTACGTATTGTCACGCAATTAAAATAATAATGATGAAATAATAATGAATTCATTAAGCAATTGAAAACAATCAATCAGTAATTAGTCCATGATTATGATTGCTAACATTATTTAATAAACAAATATTATGCCATCATAGAAATTTGTTAATTATATAAACTAAGATGAGATCACTCTTCCATATAAAATCTGACATTTCAAAAAAACAAAGAACACTTCAGATGTTTCTTTAGTATTATAAAATAACCTTTTAAAAACACAGGTGCCGATTGGTCGAATGCTTAAAAAAATCGTGTTTCATGACGTGGTAATACACGGGAACTTCAGTCCATCAAAATTTTAGCAGGTTGCATGTACAAGCAGCTTCCCTGTTGCAGTCGATAGTTCATTCATTTAAGTAGATGAATTGTAAAAAGGTTAATTACATTTATAATATAATTTTACCATTTGTATTTCTAGATATTGTATCTTTTGTTCTTTATTTTGGTAATGGCTATCTCCAAAAACTTTAGTCAAAGACAATAAACTCGTTTCCCGGATCTTTTCCACAAAATGCTCACAAGATTAACTGAAATGTTGGTCATATATAAAAAAAGGCAAAAAATCATCATCAACTTTTGCAATATAGTTGTTATTGTTAAATAAATATAAATATCATTATATGTCAATCATAGTTATCTTGATTGATTTTAGATTATTGCAGATTGTTCAACAAGTACGTAACTAGTAGGACAATGGCTGTTTTTTAAATGCTAGAGCTAGAAGTGTTTCCTGAATTTTTCTTGCTGACGTAAGTCATGTAACGATCTCCTTGTCATTTTTGTCGATTAAAGAAAAAACAATGTTATGTAGCAATTTTATCTTTGTATGTAAAAATAAATTAAATAAAAATTTATAAATACAATTAGTTTCTCAAATATTTTGTTGCTGTGATGGCATTTCTTCAAGTGTTTGATGTTTTTCTTTTTTAATTCAAATTAACACGCGTTTTTTCTCCCGTCATAAACACTTAACCAACATCTGCGATCCTTTTTGCACATCTTTTTACACTTTGAGCTATGCTTTCTTTTAACGTTAACAGTTTCATACTTTTAAGCATTGACCACAATGCTCGGAAATCCTCCATTTGGTAAAGGCTGGAGTAAATTAATTCTTGAAAATTCCAAAACGTTTTTTTGTCTTATGTTTCTGCAAAAAAAAAAACACATTGAGAACATGTTAAAGCAATGTAAAACTTTATCGTATGAACTTAAATTTTAGTTAAAACTTTAAAGTCTTTACCTTTAATAAAAGTTATCCACCTCCAACATAAGAGGGTAAACATTCACATTCGTAACGTCCATCAGTGTTAACAAACGAACATTCTAATTTAAACTGGAATGCTAACTCCAATACTAATGATAAAGAGTCATTTTAACACACTATGATGTATTTATATTCAAGGTTTTTCAGTTAATTAGCAACTAAAGCTCGTGTGGTAAAAAGTTACATGACGATATGTGCAACAGTGTTAAAATCATTTCCCTCTTCATTTTTTTATAATAACATCATGGAACCTCTAGAAACTCAAAAACAAACTAACAATTCCGGTTTCAGAGAGGATGGCAACAATTACGTTCCAATTTATACTACACTAAATTGGTGTTAACACATTTCGCAAGTTCACCACGAAGATTTTGAAATCATTAACGTCTACAAAATCATAAGCAAAATAAGTAAAGAGTTTTGATATTGAATCATATAAATTTACTGCATTTGATGAATCTTGTTGTAATACGTTTCGTTACAGTTAATACAGATTATTTTGACGTTGAAATTGTTTGGTTAAGGATGTATAGTATTTAACTCCAGAATTTTCATGAACTTCCATCATTGAATCATATGTTTATTGCTGTAGAATTATCTGACATTCATGAATATTTTCACTGGAAGCTTCAATAGCAGGAAGAACAGTCGCTGAACTGTTTGGTTCAGGTAATGATTTGCTGATATCATGACTAGAAGCACCAATGGCTCTAATAACAGCTGCTGAACTGCTGTCATATAGGTTTTCAGAATCAGTTGTCATATTTTCTGTTCCATACAGGTTTTCTGCAGCACCATTGCCAAAGTCATACTGTGATACAACAAATGTAGTTCCATCCAGGTTTTGAGCTGTATAAAGAAAATTCAAAAGTACATTCAGCATCTACAGATTAATTTTATGTATTTTGCGACAGAATTCTTGTGCAAAAGATGCTCACAAAAAAGCAATCAACATTTCTATTCATGTAATAACAGTAGTTTGAGGTCAATTCATGCAATTATTTTATGAGAAAGATGGCTTTATTTTATCACAATAGAACGACCATCTTTGTGGTGGAGAAGAACTCTGCCACTTGATACAAGAAGAGATTTGTTTTATAAAAGAAACATTGGTATTATTAGTCCAGTAAATGAAAGAAAAAACTTGTTCTCTTTAAAGGAAGATATTTCAATTTTACGTAGAGTACCTCTCTCTCCTGATGAAACATTATCGTACTCAGAGTCTGCATCATGAATTTTCGAAGAAACAACATTTGTGTATCTGTATAAAACATGAGAAAAGATGAAGAAACACTAAAGCCCAATAAAAACAATTTTCAAACAGACTCATCAGCAATACATTTCAATAATTTGTTCACACCGAGTAATTTTTTTAAAATTAGAGGAAAAAGGAGTTTACTAGTGTAAGTTTGTTTTAGTTTGGGTTTGTCTGATAGACGCAAGACAACATTTGAATAACAGTTTGATATCAGTAATTTGTGAAAATTGTAAAGGAGAGAATAATAAAGTGAAACTATAGTGACAAAATTTCTCTCCTTAATGTTCTTGTAACTTTTTGCAGAGTAATTAATATATATTTAACTAACTAGGAACCATATAGTTCATTAACAACTGAAAAAAGTACAAAGAGGATTGTTTTCAAAATAAACCGTAATAGATGGTAATTTTCAAATTTACATGAGACGAAACAAAACGTTAGCATCGTATGCACAAGTCCGTTCCTGGCCTTTCTTTGAAAACCTATTTTTGCAGATATTTTTATTTAAAAGCAGTAGACTTTGACAAAAAAAAACGTAACAAACCAATTTAAGAGGTCTAACGCAAAATTAAATTCTTGTTGTACGAAAGAGTTTGATACAGAATTAATTCGTCACCTATCATAAGATAGCATTCTTTTTTTCCATGAAACACAAATAATGACAATGACGATCAGTACCAATACAAAGATAGACACCCCAGCTATTCCAGAGAACATTATAACACCTGAAAATGAAACAAAAAATACTTATTCATTTTCGTTTGTTGTCATGTATTTTTAAATAAATAAATTCAAATTTAAGAAAGATTCATAAACTTACTTTCCTCCTTTATATCTGGTATTTTGTTCCGTTGTTAAATAAAAAATAAGCTTACAGTTTAGTTGTACATTGGTAGGTTGTTGCTGCACACATTTTGTTAAAATGCAAATACAAATAATAAACATCTTACCATTGCCATGTTTGTGAAGAACAGCAGGCGGTCCAACTCCTGCAATTGTTCCAGCTTTAATATGAAATGTGTAATTGATGAATGGATTCAAGCTATTGTTCTTCCACAAAGTGATATTTGGAGACAAGGAAATACTTGTGATCTTCCTAATTTTGGAATGAAACATTTCCTCATAAGCAGTAACTTCATAAAGCACAAGAATGCCATTTTGATCCTTAATATCAGGAGCTGTCCAATTTATTTCAATTGATCTTGAACTTAAAGTTCGTAAGACTGCATTTTTAGGTGGAGCAGATGGTGCTATATAAACGAAGTAGTGTTTATTCTGATTATCAAAATGAACATATCAAGTACATATTTCGTAAAATCAGATACCTGCTTCTCCGGTGCGAAAATCAATGTGATTAGCAGGACCATAACCTAGAGCATTTCTTGCTTCGACGTGAATATTATACAATGTATAAGGCTTCAAATTGTCTTCAGAATGAAACAATTGAGTTTTAGGCACGGTAATGTAATTGCGACACGGTGCATTCAAATATTTTTCATGTACACAAAGTCTATAGCCGGTGATATGACCATTTTGCATTGTAGCATTTGGAGGTTTCCAAGATATCAGTAGAATATGTGGACCACTTCTCATAGCATAAAGAGCACGTGGTGGTCCAGAAGGAACTGAGAAATAAGTGGATGGCAAATCAAGCCAACAATCTTTTCAAAAATTTTATATGCTGTAGCATGTTTAAATTTTTAACTCACGAGAAGAAAGAGTTTTTCGTGAGATAACTGCTTTCGGTCCCCAGCCTATAATTGTACTCGCCATAACTGCCAATAAGTATTCCGTATATGGTTTCAACCCTTTGATGATTTTGCTTAATGATTTTCCATCAGTAATATAATTCACGATGCTACAAATTTGGCCAGAGTTTGTCTCTATATAGCACACACCATACTTGGTAATGATTCCATTTCGACGATGCTTTTCAGGTGGAGACCAGGCTAATTTTAAGCTTCTGGCAGTAACATCTTTTACCATTATAAGTCGCGGAGGACCACTGGGTACTAGTGGAATAAAGAAAAATAATTCAAAAGAAATTAAGCTAACAGAAAATTTAATTTTTGAGATAGCAAAAACATTCAGGGTTTTTTAAAATATTTCAATTTAAATACATGTCATTTAACTTGCGCAATTGATTGCTTTGTATTACTTTTGTGTATTCATATACTTAAAAGTACAATATGCACGATTTTATCAATACTGGTATCCGAGATGGACTATAAAAATCATGGAAATAAAAATCTAGTTCTTAACACATTAGCTGCTTCCTTAAATGGCACCAAACTTTTTAACCTTTTCCGTTTTTCAGTAATTCAATATATATTTATCCATTTCAATAGTTTTTTTTCATCGATGTTCAAATTCGTTTTTCTATCCCTTTCAAGTGTTAAAATTTGCATAATACAACACTAAAAAACAAATGTAAAATGAGCTGCCAAGTGCTAAACATAAATAACAATTTTGACAAGAATTAATGTTGGTATTTTTTCGGTACACTTCAAAAAAGCTTCGCTGTAAGCGACATGTTGATTATTTTTTTATATATTCGTCAATAAAATTGACAAAAATCTATTTCTGAAAACATTAGTTTTTTTCTAAAAGCATACAACAGTTTTCAAATTTTTTCATTATCTTACTAACAAGTTTTATCTTTACTAACATATTATCTTTTACTGCTAAAACCTGTAAAAATCTTTCGAGGAGCAAGATTATTAACAATTACCACTAAAATCGTCTCTTACCTGATTCTTTCGTTCTTTGAGTAATCTTGGCTCGAGGACCGTAGCCAGCCTTTGTAGCAGCAGATATTTCAATGGTATATTGCACGTAAGGTTTTAAACCAGTAAATGTATATGATGTTTTCGAGAATGGAACAATTACTTTAGGCGTGCATGTCGACAAAGATTGACGACAAATGCAAACAGAGTAGTTGGTCAAAATACCATTAAGCAAGGAGCGGTCAGGTGACGACCATGTTGCCTTGATAAAATTTTCAGTGTATGACATGATCTTTAAGATGCGAGGCTTGCCCAACGGTTCTGAAGGGAGAAAAAAGGGGGAAAATGTTAACATTACAAAGGAATGCAAAAATTTGTAAGACGATTTAAAATGTAACTGTAAAAATGAAAGCCTACTCCATCCAATGCATTTACAACTTCGTAATCTTTTTATATTATTTAACTTGCGTCAACCGTAGAGACTCTTTGGGTTCATTCTTTTCTTACCTGCCTCTTGTGTCTTAGTAGTTACAACTGCTGATGGACCATATCCAATCTTTGTTGCAGCTGAAATTCTTATGTAGTACTTGGTGTAAGGCTTTAAGTTCGAAAAAGTGGAAACTGTGATATTGCCTGTAGTAATTTGAAGTAAACATGGTCCTTGAGAAGTATTGCCAATCTTAATACAGAGTTTGTAATTGATGATTCTTCCATTGCGTAATGTAGGATCTGGAGGAAGCCAGGAAGTAGTGATATTTGTTGCATCCACACGAGTTATTTGAAACTTCGTAGGAGGACCATTAGGAACTAAAGTCGAACAAATTGTTAAATTTGAAACATTAAAAATGTTATGAAAATCAGAAAACGTTCTTCTGAATTTGATTATTTTCTTATTTGAAATGAGTTATATTTATTAAATAAGAAAAAAGTAAACTAAATGCAATTATTAAGCTCTGTTGAAAGTCATGTTGGTAATACAGTTCAGTAATTAACACTGTTTTAAAATTCATTAATTTTATGAACACTATCAAATTTATCCTTCATAAGTTTTTTCATATTTCTAAATGTTATACACCCTCCTCCTACCTGATTCTCTCGTTCTTTGAGTAATGTTGGCTTGAGGACCATAGCCAACTTTAGTAGCAGCAGATATTTCAATGGTGTATTGCACGTAAGGTTTTAAACCAGTAAATGTATATGATGTTTGTGTTTTTGGAACTATTATTGGAGATATGCAGGTTGACAAAGACACTCGTCGTATGCAAACCGAGTAGTTGCTTATGACACCAACAAACAGAGATCCGTTAGGTGACGACCATGTGGCTTTGATGAGATTTTTAGTGTACGAAGACACACGTAAATTACGAGGTGCACTCGGCAAAGCTGAATAAAAAAGTAAAATAATGATTTTAGTGTCCAAATTTCATATTAAGCATTTACTACGATGCTCGGTAAACTTTGCGAGAGAGGCTCAGAAAAAATAATATTGTAATAAACAATCAACTTTCTGCATATTTTGAATTTGACTATTTCCAGTCAACTCACTTGTGCGTAATACTTTTTCCGAATCTAAAATAAAAAAATTTATAAACATTGATTTTGTATTTGAATTCACACTGAGTTTCTAATTTCTGTAGACTTACATTTTTTCCAGTAAAATACCCCAGGAGGACAACCATATGTCGGTAAAAAATTTCCATAACTGATTACGCAATGATACATATTGTAATCAAAATATGCCAATACAGTCAGACATCTGGGAATTTGCAAGCACCATCGTGGACAATCGTTTAAATCCTTTAAATACCGTTGTTTTTCTAGTCTGACATTGTAACATCCATTCACTTGTACAGATCTTATACGATAAACCAAATCTAAAAATAGAGCATTTCTTGTTGTTACATTTGCAGAGATTGCACAAACTAAACAATATCTAAAAATATTTATCATCATTCTTTACCATATTGTGTTGCTTCAACATAATCCTGTTCACGCCAAAGAGACAGTAAAATGAAAAGGTAAAAAATAGCCGTTGTCAGTATTTGCATTTCTAGGAAACGTTTATTTTTTATTATACGTATGGTTATGCATTTGACGTACTTAAGAATTACTTAAGCATGTCAAAATACTTAATCAGTAATTAGAAAATAATTATGATTGTTACAACATTTAATAAATGAAAATTATGTTACCTTGGAGATGAGATAAAGTTGCTTTGTTATGTAGTGTGACATGACAAAGAAAGTGAAATTCAGATGTTCATTTAGCATTTTTACACACTAACCGAAGTGAAAAGTTGAAGAAGCCAGTTAAAATTTTTTGCTGACTAAGCAACATATTATTTTGTACATCAAGGGTCATTAAAGATGAACTTGGGTACGCATGTCTAGTTTAGGAAAGTCGCATCTCTAGTTTTGTGTGATTTTGTAAAAATTCTATAGTATTCAGTACAAAGATATTAAAGCAAAGTAATGGAAAATATTGTTTATTTCGTAATTTCTAGCTACATAAAATCATTATTGTACTTTTGCATGGCTTCACTTTTTATTTCGCATTTTATATATTTTAATTTGTGACAGCGTTTGATGTTTCCTCATTTTGACCTCATGCCGGACAACGGACGTGGTTAGTATCAAAGTTCATGCTAGTTTTTGTTTGAGGAAGTTATAAACACTTCATTCAACTAAACTTACTATAATACTGTTCTATACAAGACAATTTATTTTAAGTATGTTTCTAGATATACGCACATGCCAAATGTTTTGAATGGTTACATGCAGATATTTGTCGAGCAGAAAAACGTTTTCAAGAAAAATACAAATATATTTGAAAAAAGCTATAAATAAAACAGTTATATTGTTAAGTTAATTACTTTTGTATGATGTAATTGAATATTTGTTTATGAATTATGATGGCTTTGCCTAATCTTATTTATCAATTACCATACGACTAAAACAAAAATGCGCAAGAAAGAGAGCCATTAATATATAAAAAGAAGGAAGGGAAAAGTCTATATCTAATAGTTATTTCCTTCTACCTTTTTTTTACTTAATTAATGTTTATCTAATGTAAAAATGTTTTTACAAATTTCTTTGGATTTTGACTGTAGTAAATGGACATCTTTTTCATGCTATGGGTATAAATCGTCGTCATGAGAAAGCCTCTCGCTTTTGAGTTACTTTTATAAATTCATTTTCTAGCTTGGATGGACAAGTCACTTTTAAAGAATATCTGTAACAGTTAACATATTTCGAATAAAACTTTTTTTGTAAATATTTTGATATTAATTTTTCTAATTTTTCTTTTAATGAGTATATTTTGATGGCAAACTCCTCTCAGCTTTCCCGTTACTGGTTCAATAACACTCTGGGGACTGTACCTTTCGATATGTTTTCTATTTTTAACAAAACTCGTTTCCAAGACCTTTGTTTCTATAAAATCTCACAAGTTTAACTCGCGCTCAAATGTTGGTCATACGTAGAAAAGGCAAAAATCGCAGTCAACTTGTGAAATATAGTTGTTATTGTTAAATAAATATATACACCTTCACAAATTTTATATGTCAGGATGGCACAATATTAAAGTTTGTTCAACAGGATTTAGAGTAGAACCAGTTTATACTTCACAACACATATGATTTAAGAGTTTTGTACTCTACAACACATATAATTTTGGATTATTGCACATTGCTCAGCAAGTAAGTCGCCAAGACAACCATTGTTGTTTTATAGATGCTAGCGTTGGAAGTGTTTCCTGAATTTTTCTTAGTGACGTAACGATATCCTTTGTCATTTTTGTCAACTAAAGAAAAAACAATGTTATGTACCCACTTTCCTCCATATGTAAAAATTATAATTTACAAATATACTTAGTTTCTCAAATATTTTGTTACTCTGATGGCATTTCGTCATGTGTTTGATATTTTTCTTTGTTGATGCAAAATAACACACGTTTTTTCTGGCGTTATAAACAGTCATCCAACATCTGCGTTCCTTTTTGCACGCCTTTTTACACTTTGAACTATGCTTTGTCTTGTAGCGTTTATAGTGTGGTGCTCTTAAACATTTACCATGATGCTCGGCAAACTTCCATGGAATAGAAGCTGAGAAAATTAGCATTTAAAATAAATTAATAACTTCCTATACATTTAATTTATTTCCAGTAAAGTTACTTGTTGTCATCTTTGTGGTTATCAATTCTGTTGTTGATACTTCTGTTGTCAAAGGTTCTGTCGTCACCATTTCAGTTGTTGTCATTTCTGTCGTGGTCATTTCGGTTGTTGGTCTTTCTGTTGTTGGTCTTTCTGTCGTGGTTATTTCTTTTGTTGTTTTTTCATTAGTGGTAGGGGGCGTTTCTTTAGTTGTACGCAATTTTTTTACCGAATCTAAAATAAGAAATTTATTAACATTGATTTTGTATTTGAATTCGCACTGAGTTTCTAATTTTTGTAGACTTACATTTTTTCCAGTAATCATAGTGATAACCAACGAGACAACCACTTGCGGAATATTTCAAATTTCCGTAACTGATTACGCACCGATAAGATGAGAGTGTAAAGTATTGGTATACAGTCAGACATTTGGGAATTTGCAAGCACCATCGTGGACAATCGTCAAAATGTCTAACATAACGTTTTTTATCTGGTCTGTTAATGTAACATCCATTCAATTTTACAGCTCTTATACCATAAACCAAATCTAAAAATACAGCATTTCTTGTTGTTATATTTGCGGAGATTGCACAAACTAAACAATATCTAAAAATATTTTTCATCATTCTTTACCATATTGTGTTGCTTCAGCATAGTCCTGTTCACGCCAAAGAGACAGTAAAATGAAAAGGTAAAAAATAGCCGTTGTCAGTATTTGCATTTCCAGTAAACGTTTATTTTTTATTATACGTATGGTTATGCATTTGAAGGTTATACTTAAGAATTAATTAAGCATGTCAAAATACTCAATCAGTAATTAGAAGTTAATTATGATTGTTACAACATTTAATAAATGAAAATTATGTTACCTTGGAGATGAGATAAAGTTGCTTTGTTATGTAGTGTGACATGACAAAGAAAGTAAAATTCAGATGTTCATTTAGCATTTTTACACACTTACCGAAGTGAAAAGTTGAAGAAGCTAGTTAAAAATTTTCGCTGACTAAGCAACATATTATTTTGTGCATCAGGGGTCAACAAAAATGAACTTGGGTACGCATGTCTAGTTTAGGAAAGTCGCATCTCTAGTTTTGTGTGATTTTGTAAAAATTCTATAGTATTCAGTACAAAGATATTAAAACAAAGTAATGGAAAATATTGTTTATTTCGTAATTTCTAGCTACATAATATCATTATTGTACTTCTGCATGGCTTCACTTTTTATTTCGCATTTTATTTATTTTAATTTGTGACAGCGTTTCATGTTTCCCCGTTTTGACCTCATGCCGGACAACGTACGTGGTTAGTATCAAAGTTCATGCTAGTTTTTATTTGAGGAAGTTATAAACACTTCATTCAACTAAACGTACTATAATACTGTTCTATACAAGACAATTTGTTTTAAGTATGTTTCTATATATACGCACATGCCAAATGTTTTGAATGGTTACATGCAGATATTTGTCGAGTAGAAAAACGTTTTCAAGAAAAGTACAAGAGAGCAACAAATATATTTAAAAAAAGCTATAAATAAGACTGTTATATTGTTAAGTTAATTACTTTTGTATGATGTAATTGAATATTTCTTTATGAATTATGATGGCTTTGCCTAATCTTATTTATCAATTACCATACGACTAAAACAAAAATGTGCAAGAAAGAGAGCCATTAATATATAAAAAGAAGAAAGTGAAAAGTCTATATCTAATAGTCATTTCCTTCTACCTATATTTATACTTCATTAATGTTTATCTAATGTAAAAATGTTTTTACAAATTTCTTTTGATTTTGACTGTAGTAAGTGGCCATCTTTTTCGTGCTATGGGTGTAAATCATCGTCATGAGAAAGCCTCTCGCTTTTGAGTTACTTTTATAAATTCATTTTCTTGCTGGGATGGACAAGTTGCTATTAGTGAATATCTGCAACAGTTCACATATTTCGAATAAAATTTTTTTTGTAAATATTTTGATATTAATTTTTCTATTTTTTTTCTTTTGTTGAGTATATTTTGATGGAAAACTTCTCTCAGCTTTCCCGTTGCTGGTTCAATAACACTCTAGGGACTGTATCTTTCGATATCTTTTCGATTTTTAACAAAACTCGTTTCCAAGACCTTTGTTTCTATAAAATCTCACAAGTTTAACTCGCGCTCAAATGTTGGTCATACGTAGAAAAGGCAAAAATCACAATCAACTTATGCAATATAGTTGTTATTGTTAAATAAATATATACGCCTTCACAAATTTTATATGTTAGGATAGCACAATATTAAAGTTTGTTCAACAATATTTAGAGTAGAACCAGTTTATACTTCACAACACATATGATTTAAGAGTTTTGTACTTTACAACACATATAATTTTGGATTATTGCACATTGCTCAGCAAGTAAGTCGCCAAGACAACCATTGTTGTTTTATAGATGCTAGCGTTGGAAGTGTTTCCTGAATTTTTCTTAGTGACGTAACGATATCCTTTGTCATTTTTGTCAACTAAAGAAAAAACAATGTTATGTACCCACTTTCCTCCGTATGTAAAAATTATAATTTACAAATATACTTAGTTTCTCAAATATTTTGTTACTCCAAGGGCATTTCGTCATGTGTTTGATATTTTTCTTTGTTGATGCAAAATAACACACGTTTTTTCTGGCGTTATAAACAGTCATCCAACATCTGCGTTCCTTTTTGCACGCCTTTCTACACTTTGAGCTATGCTTTGTCTTGTAGCGTTTATAGTGTGGTGCTCTTAAACATTTACCATGATGCTCGGCAAACTTCCATGGAATAGAAGCTGAGAAAATTAGCATTTAAAATAAACTAATAACTTCCTATACATTTAATTTATTTCCAGTAAAGTTACTTGTTGTCATCTTTGTGGTTATCAATTCTGTTGTTGATACTTCTGTTGTCAAAGGTTCTGTCGTCACCATTTCTGTTGTTGTCATTTCTGTCGTGGTCATTTCGGTTGTTGGTCTTTCTGTTGTTGGTCTTTCTGTTGTTGGTCTTTCTGTTGTTGGTCTTTCTGTCGTGGTTATTTCTTTTGTTGTTTTCTCCTTTGTGGTAGGAGGCGTTTCTTTAGTTGTACGCAATACTCTTACCGAATCTAAAATGACAAAATTTATGAACATCGATTTTACTTTTGAATGAACACTGAGTTTCTAATTTTTGTACACTTACATTTTTTCCAGTGATAATAGTCAAAAAAAGGCATACAACCATATGCGGTTGGAAAAAAATTTTCATTACTGATTGCGCAGCGATAAGATGAGGAAACAGAGTATGCGTATACAGTCTGACATTTGGGAAATTGCAAGCACCATCGTGGACAGTCGTCCAAATGTGTAAAAAAACGTTCTTTAAATGGTACGTTTAGGTGACATTCATTAAATTGTACAGATCTTATACGATAAGCCAAATCTAAAAATACAGCATTTCTTGTTGTTATATTTGCAGAGATTGCACAAACTAAACAATATCTAAAAAGATTTTCATCATTCTTTACCATATTGTCTTGCTTCAACATAGTCCTGTTCACGCCAAAGAGACAGTAAAATGAAAAGGTAAAAAATAGCCGTTGTCAGTATTTGCATTTCTTGGAAACGTTTATTTTTTATTATACGTATGGTTATGCATTTGACGTACTTAAGAATTAATTAAGCATGTCAAAATACTTAATCAGTAATTAGAAAATAATTATGATTGTTACAACATTTAATAAATGAAAATTATGTTACCTTGGAAACGAGATAAAGTTGCTTTGTTATGTAGTGTGACATGACAAAGAAAGTGAAATTCAGATGTTCATTTAGCATTTTTACACACTAACCGAAGTGAAAAGTTGAAGAAGCTAGTTAAAATTTTTTGCTGAATAAGCAACATATTATTTTGTACATCAAGGGTCATCAAAGATGAACTTGGGTACGCATGTCTAGTTTGGGAAAGTCGCATCTCCATTTATGTGTGATTTTGTAAAAATTCTATAGTATTCAGTACAAAGATATTAAAACAAAGTAATGGAAAATATTGTTTATTTCGTAATTTCTAGCTACATAAAATCATTATTGTACTTTTGCATGGCTTCACTTTTTATTTCGCATTTTATATATTTTAATTTGTGACAGCGTTTCATGTTTCCTCATTTTGACCTCATGCCGGACAACGTACGTGGTTAGTATCAACGTTCATGCTAGTTTTTATTTGAGGAAGTTATAAACACTTCATTCAACTAAACTTACTATAATACTGTTCTATACAAGACAATTTATTTTAAGTATGTTTCTAGATATACGCACATGCCAAATGTTTTGAATGGTTACATGCAGATATTTGTCGAGTAGAAAAACGTTTTCAAGAAAAGTACAAGAGAGCAACAAATATATTTAAAAAAAGCTATAAATAAGACTGTTGTATTGTTAAGTTAAGTACTTTTGCATGATGTAGTTGAATATTTATTTATGAATTATGATGGCTTTTCCTAATCTTATCTATCAATTACCATACGACTAAAACAAAAATGCGCAAGAAAGAGAGCCATTAATATATAAAAAGAAGAAAGTGAAAAGTCTATATCTAATAGTCATTTCCTTCTACCTATATTTATACTTCATTAATGTTTATCTAATGTAAAAATGTTTTACAAATTTCTTTGGATTTTGACTGTAGTAAGTGGACATCTTTTTCATGCTATGGGTGTAAATCGTCGTCATGAGAAAGTCTTTTGAGTTACTTTTATAAATTCATTTTCTAGCTGGGATGGACAAGTCACTTTCAGTGAATATCTGTAACAGTTAACATATTTCAAATAAAATTTTTTTATGTAAATATTTTGATGTTAATCCTGTTCACGCCAAAGAGACAGTAAAATGAAAGCATAGAAAATAACCGTTGTCAGTATTTGCATTTCCAGTAAACATTTATTTCTCATTGGACGTAATGTCACGCAGTTGAAGTAATTATGAATTAATTAAGCACGCCAAAAAAGTTAATCAGTAATTAGTTAATGCTTATGACGTCACTTCATGAACAAAAATTATGCTATCGTAGAAATGTGTGAAATATATGAACAATGATGAAGTCAATATTCATCATTAAGTCTGACATTACAAAAAATAAACCACATTTCAGATTACTTATACAAAGTAGAAATTTATTTACTAATGACGAAGTATTGCGGGCGCAGTCATACGTTTGTTATATTGTGGTTATACGTTGTTTTGTTGACTATAAGTCTATTAAACGCTATATACATTTTTTATTTTTCTGCTATTTTTCTTGTCATTTGTCTTAATAATTTACCATTACTAATACAATTTGTATAAAATAATCTTTTAAAAACATGGACACTGTTTGGTTGAATGCTTGAAAAAAAGTGTTTCTATAACTCTATAATGCACGCAAAATTCAATTTCAAACAAAAATCTCGAAGGTTGCTTGTACTGCTTGGCTTCAGTGGCATATGTAGCAAAAAGTTTTTGGTCACGCTAATGTTTACAGAGCCACGCGCTATAACGTCATGATTTTCAATCATACGTAGAATAAGACATAAGTAACTTATTAAAATTAAATGTACTGTCTTTAAAGTACAAACAAACAACATAAAAGTTTTTGAGAAGTCAAAATAAAAATTAGTAATCATAGATCTCAACTAAAATAAATTTATTAAAAAATAAACAAAAATTACTACTTTTGGATCGCAACTTCATCATCATTTTAATGGCTCTGATATGAAAAGCAGGTATTAATTTCACTCACAGTAAATTTAAGGTAACTTTAAAGGATAATGAATGACATTATCTTAAGGGAGAAATGTTGGTATTAGCAGAACTGAACTTGAAGTTTTGAAAAATACAATGAAACCGTTAAATAATAAAACAACTATAAATATTCTGATATATATGGATATTTCAACATTAAAAGAAATATTCAATTTTTGAACAGTCACTGTATTTTATCATCCCATTATTTTGGTCTTTTCGAATTAAAAAATTTTTAAATTTTGAAACATTTTCAAATCTTTCAAAATAACACACTTGAGCTATATGTTTATAATCACGCATTTTCAGGAATGGAAAAATTAGTCCAATTACAGTATCTTTTTAGATTTTCTTGTAAAAAGATAAAAAGCAGAAATGGATGCAGTTTTACACATCAAATCAGCGTATGCGCTTAGCAGCTTGACACATCTTAATAGAAATCAATGGATCAGACTCAATGACTCAAATCTGCGTGTTTGAGCTACTGGTTGGAGCATGCTCAGATGTCATTATACGCAAATGTTTAAGTTTGAATGGCGTATTAAACCAAAATCATTATTCAAAGACTTGGATTATTTGCTCAAAACTTGCAATAAATAGATTAAATTATTTCAAAATTTAAACTAATTCCTTTTGAATTTTAAGTGAAGCAAATTTCTTGTGTGGGTGGAAATTTTTGCCACTCTTTCTAACACATTTTATTTATTATAATAAATATTTGTTCAAGTCCAGTCGATAGTTTATTTATTTAAGTAGCTGAGTCGTAAAAACCAAGGTTAACTACATTTATAATATAATCTTACCATTTGTATTTCTACATGTTGTATCCTCTGTTCTTCTTTTCTGGTATTGACTATCTGTAAGAACTTTAGTCAAAGACAAATAAACTTCTTTCCCAGACCTTTTGCATGGAAAACTCACAGGTTTAACTAAGTGCTGACAATATATAAAAATGGAAAATCACCATCAACTTATGCAATATAGTTGTTTCTGTTATATAAATATATATGTCATGATATGTCAATCATGGTTATCTTGATTGTCTTTAAGTGTATGATGATTTTGTTAAAAAAAAACACACGGTAAACTAAAGTATTTTTCCTTGCAACATGCTGAGGAAAAAAGAGCATCATGTCACTGAACTAAAACGATGAAAGTTGCAAAAATGGATTTGTTTTACTTTAACAATACAGACTTGCAGATTTACAAAGTTTAATAGAAAAAAGATCAAAAATTAGATGTTTGCCAACAATATCAAGACAGCTACAAAAAGAAGCCAAGAATGAAGATAAAATCGGGGCGATGCAGATGTATTCAAAAGATTTATCAACTCATGTAGAGCTCCTTTCTTGTCTTGGTTTTGTGTCGACATGTTTTTCAAGGATGATGTTTCTGCGAAATACACATCAATAACATGTTATAGCAATGTCAAAACTTCTTCTATTGCAACTCAAATATTTGTTGTAGTATTTTAAAAGTAAAACTTTGAATTCTTTACCTTTAATACAAAGTTCTCCATTTCTATGATAACCATGCAAACATTCACATTTGTAACTGCCATCAGTGTTAAGACACTTGGCATTCTCACCACAAAGGTTTTGGTATGTTTCACATTCATTAACGTCTTAATAAACATAACAACACAAAAGTAAAGATCTCTCGTATCACACGAGTTTTTGTCTTTGACAAGCACTGACAGTCAAAAAACATACACTGTTATGTCAATGTAAAGAATTAGATGTAGAAAGAAATTTACTGCATTTGATGAATCTGGTGATAATACGTTTCGCTACAGTTGATACAGATTATTTTGACGTTAAAATTGTTTGGTTAAGGATGTATAGTTTTTAACTCTAGAATTTTCATGAACTTCCATCATTGAATAGTATGTTTATTGCTGTAGAATTATATGACATTCTTGAATATTTTCACTGGAAGCTTCAATAGCAGGAAGAATAGTCATGAACTTTTGGTTTAGGTAATGATTTGCTGATATCATGACTAGAAGCACCAATGGCTCTAATAACAGCTGCTGAACTGCTGTCATATAGGTTTTCAGAATTAGTTGTCATATTTTCTGTTCCATACAGGTTTTCTGCAGCACCATTGCCAAAGTCATACTGTGATACAACAAATGTTGTTGCATCCAGGTTTTGAGCTGTATAAAGAAAATTCAAAAGTACATTCAGCATCTACAGATTAATTTTATGTATTTTGCGACAGAATTCTCGTGCAAAAAGATGCTCACAAAAAAGCAATCAACATTTCTATTCATGTAATAACGGTAGTTTGAGGTCAATTCATGCAATTATTTTATGCGAAAGCTGGCTTTATTTTATCACAATAGAACGACCATCTTTGTGGTGAAGAACTCTGCCACTTGATACAAGAAGTGATTTTGTTTTATAAAAGAAACACTGGTATTATTCGTCCAGTAAATGAAAGAATGCTTGTTCACTTTAAAGGAAGATATTTCAATTTTACGTAGAGTACCTCTCAGAGATTCAGAAATTTCCATTTTTGAATCATAAATGTCTATTGCCAAGGCATTATCTGACATTTTATAAATATCATAACTAGAAGCACCAATGGCTGGAATAACAGCTTCTGAACTGCTGTCATATAGGTTTTCAGAATCAGTTGTCATATTTTCTGTTCCATACAGGTTTTCAGCAGCAATATTCCCAACGTCATACTGTGTTACAACAGATGTTGTTTCATCCAGGTTTTGACCTGTATAAAGAAAATTCAAAAGCACATTCAGCATTTACAGATTATTTTTATGTATTTTGAGAGAGAATTCTTGTGCAAAAAAAAAATCAACATTTCTAATCATGTAATAACGGTAAGTTGAGGTCAATTCATGCAATTATTTTATGAGAAAACTGGCTTTATTACATCACAATAGAACGAGCATTTTTATGGTGGAGAAGAACTCTGTCACTTGATACAAGAAGTGATTTTGTTTTATAAAAGAAACATTGGTATTATTGGTCCAGTAAATGAAAGAAGAATGCTTGTTCACTTTAAAGGAAGATATTTCAATTTTACGTAGAGTACCTCTCTCTCCTGATGAAACATTATCGTACTCAGAGTCTGCATCATAAATTTTCGAAGAAACAACATCTGTATATCTGTTTAAAACATGGGAAAAGATGAAGAAACACTAAAACCCAATAAAAACAGTCATGGTGATATTTTTATGTATATTTGCCAACTAGTAAGATATTTTCTCTTGGCTGTAAGATGATTTTGAGAAGGGTTGAGGAGGAATTTTTAAATTCTTACAGGCCTACATGAGGCATTTATTTTTTGCCAAAGACTATTGTCTCCGACAGGATTGTACAGTCTGACTCAACAACGGCGACAAAGAAAACATTAAAACTTTGCTTCCTCGATTTACTTTGAAAAACAATTTTTTAAATTTGAAAATTAGAAGTGAAATAATAGTTTACTTACTAAGAAAACAAAACAAAGCAAAACATTAAAAAACAGAGAAAACAAGTAAAACAAAGCACACTTCAACAACAAGAGGTTATGATAAACAGTACATTATGCGTGCACTAAATATAATCAATAACGGCATGAGCAAATAAGTCCATATTTTTTCATAAAAAAAGGAGGAGGTAATACCATCTATTGAATAACATGTAATGCACAAAATAAATAACAAGAAACAATTTTGAATCAGACTCATCAGCAATACATTTCAATAATTTGTTTATTATCAGAAGTCCACACTTACTAATTTTTTTAAACTTAGAGGAAAAAGGAGTTTACAAATGTAAATTTGTTTTAGTTTGGATTTGTTTGGTGGAAGCAAGACAACATTTGAATAACAGTTTGATAGCAGTAATTTGTGAAAATTGTAAAGGAGAGAATAATAAAGTAAAACTATAGTGACAAAATTCCTCTCCTTAATGTTCTTGTAACTTTTTGCAGAGTAATTAATATATATTTAAATAATTAGGAACCACATAGTTCATTGACAACTAAAAAAGATACAATGAGGATTGTTTTCAAATTCAACCGTAATAGATGGTAATTTTCAAATTTACATGAGACGAAACAAAACGTTAGCATAGTATGCACACGTCCGTTCCTGGCCTTTCTTTGAAAACCTATTTTCTGCCGATATTTTTATTTAAAAGCCATAGACTTTGACAAAAAAACGTAACAAACCAATTTAAGAGGTCTGACGAAAAATTAAATTCTTGTTGTACGAAAGAGTTTGATACAGAATTAATTCGTCACCTATCATAAGGTAGCATTCTTTTTTTCCATGAAACACAAATAATGACAATGACGATCAGTACCAATACAAAGATAGACACTCCTGCTATTCCAGAGAACATTATTACACCTGAAAATGAAACAAAAAATACTTATTCATTTTCATTTGTTGTTATGTATTTCTAAATGAATAAATTCAAATTTATAAAAAAAGATTCATAAACTTACTTTCCTCCTTTATATCTGGTATTTTATTCCGTTCTTAAATAAAAAATAAGCTTACAGTTTAGTTGTACATTGGTAGGTTGTTACTGCACACATTTCGCTATAATGCAAATAGAAATAATAAACATCTTACCATTGCCATGTTTGTGAAGAACAGCAGGTGGTCCAACTCCTGCAATTGTTCCAGCTTTAATATGAAATATGTAATTGGTGAATGGATTCAAGCTATTGTTCTTCCACAAAGTGATATTTGGAGACAAGGAAGAGTTTGTGACCTTCATAACTTTGGAATGAAACATTTCCTCATAAGCAGTAACTTCATAAAGCACAAGAATGCCATTTTGATCATTAATATCAGGAGCTGTCCAATTTATTTCAATTGATCTTGAACTTAAAGTTCGTAAGACTGCATTTTTAGGTGGAGCAGATGGTGCTATATAAACGAAGGACAGTTTAAACTGATTATCAAAATGAACATATCAAGTACATATTTCGTAAAATCAGATACCTGCTTCTCCGGTGCGAAAATCAATGTGATTAGCAGGACCATAACCTAGAGCATTTCTTGCTTCGACGTGAATATTATACAATGTATAAGGCTTCAAATTGTCTTCAGTATGAAACAATTGAGTTTTAGGCACGGTAATGTAATTGCGACACGGCGCATTCAAATATTTTTTATGTACACAAAGTCTATAGCCGGTGATATGACCATTTTGCATTGTAGCATTTGGAGGTTTCCAGAATATGTGTAGAATATGTGGACCAATTCTCATAGCATAAAGAGCACGTGGTGGTCCAGAAGGAACTGAGAAATTAAGTGAATGACAAATCAAGCCAACATTCTTTTCAAAAATTTTATATATTGTAGCATGTTTTAATTTCTAACTCACGAGAAGAAAGAGTTTTTCGTGGGATAACTGCTTTCGGTCCCCAGCCTACAATTGTACTCGCCATAACTGCCAATAAGTATTCCGTATGTGGTTTCAACCCTTTGATGATTTTGCTTAATGATTTTCCATCAGTAATATAATTCACGATGCTACAAATTTGGCCAGAGTTTGTCTCTATATAGCACACACCATACTTGGTAATGATTCCATTTCGACGATGCTCTTCAGGTGGTGACCAGGCTAATTTTAAGCTTCTGGCAGTAACATCTTTTACCATTATAAGTCGCGGAGGACCACTGGGTACTAGTGGAATAAAGAAAAATAATTCAAAAGAAATTAAGCTAACAGAAAATTTAATTTTTGACATAGCAAAAATATTCAGGGTTTTTTAAAATATTTCAATTTACTATCATATTTCCCTATCAAATTTATCCGTCATAAGTTTTTTTTATATTTTTAAATGTTTTACACCCTTCTCTTACCTGATTCTCTTGTTCTTTGAGTAATGTTGGCTTGAGGACCATAGCCAACTTTAGTACCAGCAGATATTTCAATGGTGTATTGCACGTAAGCTTTTAAACCAGTAAATGTATAAGATGTTTGTGTTTTTGGAACTATTATTGGAGATACGCAGGTTGACAAAAACACTCGTCGTATGCAAACCGAGTAGTTGCTTATGACACCAACAAACAGAGATCTGGTAGGTGACGACCATGAGGCGTTGATAAGATTTTTAGTGTACAAAGACACACGTAAATTACGAGGTGCACTCGGCAAAGCTGAATAAAAAAGTAAAATAATGATTTTGAGGTCCAAATTTCATATTGAGCATTTACCACGATGCTCGGTAAACTTCTTTGCGAGAGAGGCTCAAATTATTCATTTCTGGTTAAGTTAAATGCTCAATATGAAATTTGCTTCAAAATAATGACTTTACGAAATAACCATTTGAAAACGAACAAACTATATTTAGCAACAAACTTGTACAGTATTTTTAAAACATTCTACCATATTGTCTTGCTTCAACATAATCCTGTTCACGCCAAAGAGACAGTAAAATGAAAAGGTAAAAAATAGCCGTTGTCAGTATTTGCATTTCTAGGAAACGTTTATTTTTTATTATACGTATGGTTTTGCATTTGACGTACTTAAGAATTAATTAAGCATGTCAAAATACTCAATCAGTAATTAGAAGTTAATTATGATTGTTACAACATTTAATAAATGAAAATTATGTTACCTTGGAAACGAGATAAAGTTGCTTTGTTATGTAGTGTGACATGACAAAGAAAGTGAAATTAAGATGTTCATTTAGCATTTTTACACACTTACCGAAGTGAAAAGTTGAAAAAGCTAATAAAAAATTTTCACTGAATAAGCAACATATTATTTTGTGCATCAGGGGTCATCAAAAATGAACTTGGGTACGCATGTCTAGTTTGGGAAAGTCGCATCTCTAGTTTTTTGTGATTTTGTAAAAATTCTATAGTATTCAGTACAAAGATATTAAAACAAAGTAATGGAAAATATTGTTTATTTCGTAATTTCTAGCTACATAAAATCATTATTGTACTTCCGCATGGCTTCACTTTTTATTTCGCATCTAGTTTGGGAAAATCGCATGTCTAGTTTGTGAATGACAAGGCAATTTATTTTAAGTATGTTTCTAGATATACGCACATGCCAAATGTTTTGAATGGTTACATGCAGATATTTGTCGAGTAGAAAAACGTTTTCAAGAAAAATACAAGAGAGCAACAAATATCTTTCAAAAAAGCCTTAAATAAGACAGTGATATTGTTAAGTTAATTACTTTTGTATGATGTAATTGAATATTTATTTATGAATTATGATGGCTTTGCCTAATCTTATTTACCATTTAACATACGACTAAAACAAAAATGCGCAAGAAAGAGAGCCATTAATATATAAAAAGAAGAAAGTGAAAAGTCTATATCTAATAGTTATTTCGTTCTACCTTTTTTTGTACTTCATTAATGTTTATCTAATGTAAAAATGTTTTACAAATTGCTTTGGATTTTGACTGTAGTAGGCGGCCATCTTTTTCGTGCTATGGGTGTAAATCGCCGTCATGAGAAAGCCTCTCGCATTTGAGTTACTTTTATAAATTCATTTTCTAGCTTAGATGGACAAGTCACTTTCAGTGAATATCTGCAACAGTTCACATATTTCGAATAGAATTCTTTTTTTTGTAAATATTTTGATATTAATTTTTCTAATTTTTTTCTTTTGTTGAGTGTACTTTGATGGAAAACTCCTCTCAGCTTACCCGTTGCTGGTTCAATAACATTCTAGGGACTGTATCTTTCAATATCTCTTCGATTTTTAACAAAACTCGTTTCCAGGACGTTTGTTTCCATAAAATCTCACAAGTTTAACTCGCGCTCAAATGTTGGTCATACGTAGAAAAGGCAAAAATCGCAATCAACTTATGCAATATAGTTGTTATTGTTTAATAAATATATATGACATTATATGTCAATCATAGTTATTGTGATTGATTTTTAAGTATATGATGATATTATCAAAAAATACTATTCAAACTTAAGTCTGTTCCCCTTGCAATTTGCTAAGGTAATAATGGAAAACGCCTTCACAAATTTTATATGTCAGGATAGTACAATATTAAAGTTTGTTCAACAATATTTAGAGTAAAACCCAGTTAAATATATAATAAAATTTTGTACTTTACAATACATATGATTTATGATTATTGCTCAATGCTCAGCAAGTACGTTGCTAAGACAACCATTGTTGTTATATAGATGCTAGCGTTGGAAGTGTTTCCTTATAAGTGTACAACATAAAAGTTTTTGAGAAGTCAAAATAAAAATTAGTAATCATAGATCTCAACTAAAATAAATTTATTAAAAAATAAACAAAAATTACTACTTTTGGATCGCAACTTCATCATCATTTTAATGGCTCTGATATAAAAGCAGCTATTAATTTCACTCACAGTAAATTTAAGGTAACTTTAAAGGATAATGAATGACATTATCTTAAGGGGAGAAATGTTGGTATTAGCAGAACTGAACTTGAAGTTTTGAAAAATACAATGAAACCGTTAAATAATAAAACAACTATAAATATTCTGATATATATGTATATTTCAACATTAAAAGAAATATTCAATTTTTGAACAGTCACTGCATTTTATCATTCCATTATTTTGGTCTTTTCGAATTAAAAAATTTTTAAATTTTGAAACATTTTCAAATCTTTCAAAATAACACACTTGAGCTATATGTTTATAATCACGCATCTTCAGGAATGGAAAAATTAGTCCAATTACAGTATCTTTTTAGATTTTCTTGCAAAAAGACAAAAAGCAGAAATGGATGCAGTTTTAAACATCAAAATCAGCGTATGCGCTTAGCAGCTTGACACATCTTAATAGAAATCAATGGATCAGACTCAATGACTCAAATCTGCGTGTTTGAGCTACTGGTTGGAGCATGCTCAGATGTCATTAACTACATTTATAATATAATCTTACAATTTGTATTTCTACATGTTGTATCCTCTGTTCTTCTTTTCTGGTATTGGCTATCTGCAAGAACTTTAGTCAAAGACAAATAAACTTCTTTCCCAGACCTTTTGCATAGAAAGCTCACAAGTTTAACTAAGTGCTGGCCATATATAGAAATGGAAAATCACCATCAACTTATGCAATATAATTGTTTCTGTTATATAAATATATATGTCATGATATGTCAATCATGGTTATCTTGATTGTTTTTAAGTGTATGATGATTTTGTTGAAAAAAACACACGGTCAACTAAAGTATTTTTCCTTGCAATATGCTGAGGAAAAAAGAGCATCATGTCACTGAACTAAAACGATGAAAGTTGCAAAAATGGATTTGCTTTACTTTAACAATACAGACTTGCAGATTTACAAAGTTTAATAGAAAAAAATATCAAAAATTAGTTGTTTGCCGACAATATCAAGACAGCTACAAAAAGAAGCCAAGAATGAAGATAAAATCGGGGCAATGCAGATGAATTCAAAAGATTTATCAACTCATGTAGAGCTCCTTTCTTGTCTTGGTTTTGTGTCGACATGTTTTTCAAGGATGATGTTTCTGCGAAATACACATCAATAACATGTTATAGCAATGTCAAAACTTCTTCTATTGCAACTCAAATATTTGTTGTAGTATTATAAAAGTAAAACTTTGAATTCTTTACCTTTAATACAAAGTTCTCCATTTCCTTGATAACCATGCAAACATTCACATTTGTAACTGCCATCAGTGTTAAGACACTTGGCATTCTCACCACAAAGATTTTGGTATGTTTCACATTCATTAACGTCTTAATAAACATAACAACACAAAAGTAAAAATCTCTCGTATCACACGAGTTTTTGTCTTTGACAAGCACTGACAGTCGAAAAACATACACTGTTATGTCAATGTAAAGAATTAGATGTAGAAAGATATTTACCATAGCAAGCATTGCCGTTTTCTTTGTAACCAGTACGGCATCGGCATATACGATTTCTACTGTAACTTTGACAATAGGAATGTGGTGGACAAAATTTCTTTATGTTATCGCATTCAATAATAGCTGAAAAAACGATAATTTTGTCATTAATGAATCAATGGTACATTTATGAATAATCTTGAAGGTATACAGGGAGTACATTAAAGTCAGAATGTTACATTTCTTGTAGAACATGCATGTACAGATAACAAGGACCTAAAATTACCTTTTATAAACAAGACAGATCTCCTTCCACAGTCATATATTGACTTATAATGATAATGTGTGGCAAGTTTACACAGCTTTTTCTCACTAATGTATTCTGCCACAGCACATTTATCTTTGATTTGACATTTGAATTGACATTGCTCTTTGCTCTCTACTTTCAAATGGGCAAAATAAGTCTTATTCTTAAAGCAACCATTCAGGTAAGGTATCCAGACAACTTCTGGAACTAAAAATACATTGTTGATTGTTCTCATATTATATAGAACAACTCATTGAAAGTTAAAAAACAAACTTGATTCCCCTACTTTTCACGCAAGTTCCTGATTTTTTATAAAAACCAGTTTTACATTCGCATTTGAAGCTTCCAATTCTGTTAATGCAGTTAGCAGAATTCTTGCTGCAGTTGTGGGTACCAATAGCACATTCATTTACATCTTAAAATTAATAATGATTAAATGAAATAAATTTTCATAGTTGAAATAAAATAAATTTACATTGTTTACTCAATGAAAACTCGCTCACAGCCGCATCTGTAGTGGATTGCAGCCCTCACAAGCAAATGGACCTATGTATGTTGTTGTTAGTGTTGCGCGTTGTGGTTTATGAGTCACACATTCATTTTGGCAAACGTACGTTTCACGTTCGACGTCGTGTTATGTGTTGTTAACCCTCTAGGAGCCGGACTTTTTAAAAAGTTTGTACATATTTCGTTTGTTGATTGTTGCCGTGGGTCAACAACGGCCGCAGGGGGTTAAAGTCATCGTGGTTTCTAATCAATATGAACTCAAATGTATACCATAAGACACACGTAAAGTTCAAAAATGATCATTTCAACGTGATCTACCTTTGACCGTGATTTTAAATGGCTGACCACATGACTTTTTCACTTTGTAAACACCTTTACAAAGGAAACAATTTTTTTTATATGCATCATAAACGAAGAATTTACAACTTTTATCTTCGAGGCATATTTCCAAACACTTTTGACGATTCTCGGTCTGGTTTGAAACGTAGTAACTGTAGTCAAAACATTTGGGACCAACTTCGGGCCACACAACCTCTTAAGAAAAATAAACAAAACATAGTAAGAAAAAGTATAACATACGTTTTTGTGACGAAAACAATAACAGTAATAACAAAGTTCTTTAACTTACTGAGGGGATTTTCTGTTGTTTCCATAATTGTGGTCGTGCGAGCCGACTCTATAGTTGTGTGTAATACTTTTATTTTCACTATAAAGACGTACACACTCATCGTCTTTGTTTTTCATATGTAAAGTGATCTGATTTTTATCAACTTTATTTACCTTTCTGCCAGTATAACTGTTTTTTGAGACAACGAGTACGAGAACAGTACCTTCGGCGGTTACTGGAAGTACATTCCGTCTTAGTAAACGAGTATGTAACAGCCCTACATCGGTCATTTTGGAGACACCATTGTGCACAATCCTGTGGCTTCTTTGTGTATTTCTTATCCATTATACTTTTAAGAGTGTAACATCTCTTCGGAAACTGTTCCATCCGGTACGCTTAATACATAAATTACCAAACACACGTGACAGGCACTCCACAGTGACTAATGTCAAAGAATGTTGTTTACAAGAATGAAATAAACTAATAGACAAATAACCATTAGATCACACAACCTTGAACTGCCATTTACAGACAACTTTATGCTGGACATTTTACTATTTTCTTTGCTTTAGCATGAACTTGTTTAGACATGCAAGAACGTTTCTTTAAGTGTGTGGGCGTGCGTGTGCGTTGGGGTTGAGTGCAGCGTAAAATGCATTGCTATTGATGACTTGGAGAGAAAAATAGTAAACAAAGTAAAAAGTAAACAAAGTGAAATAAAATAATTTAACAAACTTACTTATTGCATGCATGTTTTCAAGAGGTCTTGTTGTGGGAGGCAACGATGTAGTTGTAATGTTTACTTTCACTATAAAGTAGAAGACAAGAAAGAAAAAGTACGGTTTTTGCCAGTTAACGTTTTTAGTTAGGTGAAGTTTTATTTACCTTTCTGCCAGTATTTCACAGTTTCAAAGCAAGGAAGTATGTCATGATCATGAGTGGAAGCGAAAATACAGAGTTTTTTAATCTGGATAACAGCCATACATCGATTATCTTTGAGACACCAACTAGTACAATCATTTGTATTGTTTGACTTCCGTCTGTAATATCGAGTAACTACATAACAATCCTTTGGGAATGCTTTCATTTGGATTACTTTACCAGAAAAAAGAAAACAGGAAACATGTTCGTCTTGTTCTTTTAAATGATGTCAAAGCTACCAAAAATTGTTTGTATGAACGAAATACGATATAGCTGTTAAAATGATATGATCATTTCTCAAGTGAATGGTCAATTTAAGAAAATGATATTAAATTATTTCATTATTAAATGCTTACCAAAATCCTTCGCTTCAGCATAATTCTGTTCGTGCCAAAATGTTGCTACGATAAGAAGATATAAAAAATCTGTCAAACATATTTTCATATTGTGTGACTTACTCAACCCATGAAAACAACCAATCAGCAATCGGGAATTAGCTCAGTGAGGAAGTAATCCTCATGATTTAATTGTTGCATCATGTAATTATGAAAATTTGAGTGAGAAAAATGTTTGTTGATGTTCGATAAAAATTTTAGAATAAAAAAATTCTAACAATGTAAAATAACATCATTCAACAAAACTTAAAAGTTCAGTCTGTAACGTGATAAATGATAGGATATGTCCGTTACGCAGGAAGCCTTGTTGATTTAAGTACAGTGTAATGCAGTTTATACACAGTGGACCGCTATCAAACTGTTTAATGTGTTAGTGACGACACAATTATCTAATCGACCATGAAAAGGAGATCCATATCACTGAAGTAAAAACCGAAAGTTGACAAAATGAATTTATTTTAGTCTCACATGACAAACTTGCAGATTTGCAGAGTTTAATAAAAAAAAAGATAAAGAAAAACTGTTTGCTTAGTATATCAAGACAGTGACAAAAGGAAGCCATGAGCCAGGATAAAACCGTGGCGATGGAAATGTATTAAAATCAACTCCTTAAAAGGCCCTTTCTTCTCTTTTCTGGGTGCCAAAATGTTTTTCTTGGTTAGCGTTTCTGTGATTACACATTGATAACATGTTAAAGCAATGTTGTTGTATATATTTAAATGCTAGTTGAAGAATTTTTAAAGCAAATCAATAAGAAGTTTATTTTCTCCACCTTAAATTGAGAGTTCTCCAAAGATCTTGTCGTCATTTGCGTTTTGGTCTTTCCAGTGTTCGCCATTATTGCTGTTGTGGCAAGCGACTCTATAGTTGTGTGTAAGACTTTTATTTTCACTGTAAAGAAGTACAAATTTTCTCATCTTTGTTCTACATATGTAAAGTGATCTGATCTTTATCAACTTTATTTACCTTTCTGCCAGTATAACTGTTTTTTGAGACGAGTACGAGAACAGTACCTTCGGCGGTTACTGGAAGTACATTCCGTCTTAGTAAACGAGTATGTAACAGTCCTACATCGGTACATTTTTTCGAGTAAAAAAACTGATAACCAGGAGGACAAACACATTCGCATTTTCAGTAAACGTTTATTTTTTATTATACGTATGGTGACGGAATTAAAGTAATCATGAATTGGTTAAGCATGTCAAAATCGTTAACTAGTAAATAATTACGATTGCTTACATCATTTTACGTAATGTCACGCTATTAAAGTAATAATAATGAAGTAACAATGACTTAAATAAGCAGTTGAAAATAGCCAATTAGTAATTAGTCCATAATTATTATTGCTCACATCATTTAATTCTTAGAAATTGCAATGTTTTTTTGTTTAATGTTTCGCAGAAAACACATTGAGAACATGTTAAAGCAATGTTAAACTTTATCGTATGAACTTAAATGTTAGTTGAAACTTTAAAGTCTTTACCTTTAATAAAAGTTCTCCACCTCCAACATAAGAGGGTAAACATTCACATTCGTAACTGCCATCAAAGTTAACCAATGAACTTTCTAATTTAAACTGGAATGCTAACTCCAATACTAATGATAAAGGTCATTTTTAGCACACTATGATGTATTTATATTCGAGTTTTTTCAGTTAATTAGAAACTAGAGCTTGTGTGGTAAAACCTAACGTGACAATATGTGCAACAGTGTTTAATTCATATCCCCTTTTCATTTTTTAAAATAACATCATGGAGCTTCTATAAACTCAAGAACAGTAACAATTCCGGTTTCAGAAAGGATGGCAACGTTGACGTTCAAGTTTATACTACAATACATTGGTGTTAATACAGTTGGCAAGTTTACCACGAAGATTTTGAAATCATTAACGTCTACAAAATCATAAACACAAGATACGTAAAGAGTTTCGATACCAAATCATGTAAACTTACTGGATTTGATGAAGCTGTACGTTTCGTTACAGTTGATACAGATGATTTTGACGTTGAATTTCTCTGTTTAAGGATCTATAGTTTTAACTCTAGAAATTCCTTTTCTATTATTTATATTAAAATTCATAGACTTTTCTCTTTCGTTTAGGTAATGCTTTCGCTTTGGAAGATTTGTTGCGTGATCTTGGCTTCCGGGATTTTTTGTGATTTTTTTTGCAGTGGCAACGTTTTTTACATACTTGTGCAAGTTCATAAATTTCCATCTCTCCTCTGCACTGGCAATGACTTACGCATCCTTGTGCAAGTTCATAAATATCCATCTCTGAGTCATATGTGTCCAATGTTGTAGCATTAACTGACAATCCATAAAGATCGGAAGCTTTAATAGCTGGAAAAGCAGTTGCTAACTTTCTTCGTTTAGGTAATGAAATGGTTATGGGAGATTTGTTTAGTTCCTTTCGCTTCCTGTGCTTTCGATGACTATTTTTGCCGTGTGAATGCTTTTTACAAGCTTGTGCAAGTTCATAAATTTCAATTTCTGATTCATATAAGCCTATTGCTGCAACATTATCTGACATTTTATAAATATCGTGACTAGAAGCTTTAATGGTTGGAGCAACAATTGCTGAACTACTTGATTCAGTTAATGACATGTTTGTCGAAGATTTCTTTACTGTCTTTGACTCCGAGTGATTATTTTTGATGTGGAAATGTTTGATAGAATCTTGCGTAGGTTCATTAACTTCCATCTTTGAATCATATATGTCTATCGATGTAGCGTTATCTGACATTCTATAAATATCTTGACTAGAAGCTTCAATGGCTGGAATAACAGCTGCTAAACTACTTGGATTAGGTAATGATACAGTTGAAGAAGATTTCTTCAGTGTCCTTGGCTTACGGTGCTTTCGATGACTATTTTTGGTGTGGGAATAACTGATAGAATCTTGGGCAAGTCCATGAATTTCCATGTTTGAATCATATACATCTACTGCTGTAGCATTATCTGGTATTCTATAAATATCTTCACTAGAGGCACCAATAGCTGGAACAACAGCTGCTAAACTAGTTGGTTTAGGTAATGATTTGGTTGTTAAAGAGTTCTTTAGTTTCCTTGGCTTCTGGTGCTTTCGATGACTATTTTTGGAGTAGGAATGTTTGATGGAATCTTCTGCAAGTTCATAAATTTCTATGTTTGAATCATATATGTCTACTGTTGTAGGATTATCTGACATTCTATAGACATCTTGACTAGAGGCACCAATGGTTGGAATAACGACTGCTAAACTAGTTGGTTTAGGTAATGGTTTGGTTGTTAAAGAATTCTTTCGTTTCCTTGTCTTCCGGTGATTCCGATGACTATTTTTGGTGTGGGAATGTTTGATAGAATCTTCTGCAAGTTCATAAATTTCCATGTTTGAATCATATATGTCTACTGTTGTAGGATTATCTGACATTGCACAAATATCTTCACTATAAGCACCAATAGCTGGAACAATAGCTGCTAAACTAGTTTGTTTAGGTAATGATTTGGTTGTTAAAGATTTCTTCAGCTTCCTTGGCTTCTGGTGCTTTCGATGACTATTTTTGGTGTGGGAATGTTTGATAGAATCTTGTGCAAGTTCATTAACTTCCATCTTTGAATCATATATGTCTATCAATGAAGCATTATCTGACATTCTATAAATATCTTGACTAGAAGCTTCAATGGCTGGAATAACAGCTGCTAAACTACTTGGAGTAGGTGATGATACAGTTGAAGAAGATTTCTTCAGTGTCCTTGGCTTACGGTGCTTTCGATGACTATTTTTGGTGTGGGAATAACTGATAGAATTTTGTGCAAGTCCATGAATTTCCATGTTTGAATTATATACATCTACTGCTGTAGCATTATCTGACATTCTATAAATATCTTCACTAGAGGCACCAATAGCTGGAACAACAGCTGCTAAACTAGTTGGTTTAGGTAATGATTTGGTTGTTAAAGAGTTCTTTAGTTCCCTTGGCTTCTGGTGCTTTCGATGACTATTTTTGGAGTGAGAATGTTTGATGGAATCTTCTGCAAGTTCATAAATTTCCATGTTTGAATCATATATGTCTACTGTTGTAGGATTATCTGACATTGCACAAATATCTTCACTACAAGCACCAATAGCTGGAACAATAGCTGCTAAACTAGTTTGTTTAGGTAATGATTTGGTTGTTAAAGATTTCTTCAGCTTCCTTGGCTTCTGGTGCTTTCGATGACTATTTTTGGAGTGGGAATGTTTGATGGAATCTTGTGCAAGTTCATTAACTTCCATCTTTGAATCATATATGTCTATCAATGAAGCATTATCTGACATTCTATTGATATCTTGACTAGAACCTCCAATGGTTGGAAAAATGGTTGCTAAACTACTTCGTTCAGACAATGATAAAGTTGAAGATTTCTTAAGTGTCATTGGGTTACGGTGCTTTTGATGACTATTTTTAGTATGGGAATGCTTGATAGAATTTTGTGCAAGTTTATAAATTTCCAATTTTGAATCATATATGTCTATTGAAGTAGCATTATCTGACAATCTATGATTTTCTTTACTAGAAGCTCCAATGGATGCAACAACAGCTACTAAACTACTTTGTTTAGGTACTGATTTCGTTGTAAAAAATCTCATGAGTTTTTTTAACTTCCAGGACTTTCGTTGACTAGTTTTGTTGTGGGAGCATTTGATAGAATCTTGCCCAACATCATTAATTTCCATCATGGAATCATATTTGTCTATTGATGTAGCACTAACTGACATTCTATAATTATCTTGACTAGAAGTTTTAATGGCTGGAACAACAGTCGCTAAACTACTTGCTTTAGTTAATGATACAGTTGAAGAAGATTTCTTCAGTGTCCTTGGCTTACGGTGCTGTCGATGACTATTCTTAGTGTGGGAATGTTTGATAGAATCTTGCGTAGGTTCATTAACTTCCATCTTTGAATCATATATGTCTATGGATGTAGCACTACCTGACATTCTATAGATATCTTGACTAGAAGTTTCAATGGCTGAAACAACAGTTGCTAAACTACTTGGTTCAGGTAATGATATAATTGAAGAAGATTTCTTCAGTGTCTTTGGCTCATGATGCTTTCGATGACTATTCTTGGTGTGGGAATGTTTGATAGAATCTTGTGCAAGTTTATTAACTTCAATCTTTGGTTCAGGTAATGATACAGTAGAAGAAGATTTCTTCAGTTTCCTTGGCTTCTGGTGCTTTCGATGACTATTATTGGTGTGGGAATGTTTGATAGAGTGTTGTGCAAGTTCATTAACTTCCATCTTTGAATCATATATGTCTATCAATGAAGCAATATCTGACATTCTGTTGATATCTTGACTAGAACCTCCAATGGTTGGAAAAATTGTTGCTAAACTACTTCGTTCAGACAATGATAAAGTTGAAGATTTCTTAAGTGTCATTGGGTTACGGTGCTTTTGATTACTATTTTTAGTACGGGAATGCTTGATAGAATCTTGTGCATGTTTATAAATTTCCAATTTTGAATCATATATGTCTATTGAAGTAGCATTATCTGACAATCTATGATTTTCTTTACTAGAAGCTCCAATGGATGCAACAACAGCTACTAAACTACTTTGTTTAGGTACTGATTTCGTTGTAAAAAATCTCATGAGTTTTTTTAACTTCCAGGACTTTCGTTGACTAGTTTTGTTGTGGGAGCATTTGATAGAATCTTGCCCAACATCATTAATTTCCATCATGGAATCATATTTGTCTATTGATGTAGCACTAACTGACATTCTATAATTATCTTGACTAGAAGTTTTAATGGCTGGAACAACAGTCGCTAAACTACTTGCTTTAGTTAATGATACAGTTGAAGAAGATTTCTTCAGTGTCCTTGGCTTACGGTGCTGTCGATGACTATTCTTAGTGTGGGAATGTTTGATAGAATCTTGCGTAGGTTCATTAACTTCCGTCTTTGAATCATATATGTTTATGGATGTAGCACTACCTGACATTCTATAGATATCTTGACTAGAAGTTTCAATGGCTGGAACAACAGTTGCTAAACTACTTGGTTCAGGTAATGATATAATTGAAGAAGATTTCTTCAGTGTCTTTGGCTCATGATGCTTTCGATGACTATTCTTAGTGTGGGAATGTTTGATAGAATCTTGTGCAAGTTTATTAACTTCAATCTTTGGTTCAGGTAATGATACAGTTGAAGAAGATTTCTTCAGTTTCCTTGGCTTCTGGTGCTTTCGATGACTATTTGTGGTGTGGGAATGTTTGATAGAATCTTGTGCAAGTTCATTAACTTCCATCTTTGAATCATATATGTCTATCAATGAAGCATTATCTGACATTCTATAAATATCTTGACTAGAAGCTTCAATGGCTGGAATAACAGCTGCTAAACTACTTGGATTAGGTAATGATACAGTTGAAGAAGATTTCTTCAGTGTCCTTGGCTTACGGTGCTTTCGATGACTATTTTTGGTGTGGGAATAACTGATAGAATTTTGTGCAAGTCCATGAATTTCCATGTTTGAATTATATACATCTACTGCTGTAGCATTATCTGACATTCTATAAATATCTTCACTAGAGGCACCAATAGCTGGAGCAACAGCTGCTAAACTAGTTGGTTTAGGTAATAATTTGGTTGTTAAAGAATTCTTTAGTTTCCTTGGCTTCTTGTGCTTTCGATGACTATTTTTGGAGTGGGAATGTTTGATGGAATCTTCTGCAAGTTCATAAGTTTCTATGTTTGAATCATATATGTCTACTGCTGTAGGATTATCTGACATTCTATAGATATCTTGACTAGAGGCACCAATGGCTGGAACAACAACTGCTAAACTAGTTGGTTTAGGTAATGAATTGGTTGTTAAAGAATTCTTTCGTTTCCTTGTCTTCCGGTGATTTCGATGACTATTCTTGGTGTGGGAATGTTTGATGGAATCTTCTGCAAGTTCATAAATTTCCATGTTTGAATCATATATGTCTACTGTTGTAGGATTATCTGACATTGCGCAAATATCTTCACTACAAGCACCAATAGCTGGAAGAACAGCTGCTAAACTAGTTTGTTTAGGTAATGATTTGGTTGTTAAAGATTTCTTCAGTTTCCTTGGCTTCTGGTGCTTTCGATGACTATTTTTGGTGTGGGAATGTTTGATAGAATCTTGTGCAAGTTCATTAACTTCCATCTTTGAATCATATATGTCTATCAATGAAGCATTATCTGACATTCTATTGATATGACTAGAAGCTTCAATGGCTGGAATAACAGCTGCTAAACTACTTGGATTAGGTAATGATACAGTTGAAGAAGATTTCTTCAGTGTCCTTGGCTTACGGTGCTTTCGATGACTATTTTTGGTGTGGGAATAACTGATAGAATTTTGTGCAAGTCCATGAATTTCCATGTTTGAATTATATACATCTACTGCTGTAGCATTATCTGAAATTCTATAAATATCTTCACTAGAGGCACCAATAGCTGGAACAACAGCTGCTAAACTAGTTGGTTTAGGTAATGATTTGGTTGTTAAAGAATTCTTTAGTTTCCTTGGCTTCTGGTGCTTTCGATGACTATTTTTGGAGTGGGAATGTTTGATGGAATCTTCTGCAAGTTCATAAGTTTCTATGTTTGAATCATATATGTCTACTGCTGTAGGATTATCTGACATTCTATAGATATCTTGACTAGAGGCACCAATGGCTGGAACAACAACTGCTAAACTAGTTGGTTTAGGTAATGATTTGGTTGTTAAAGAATTCTTTCGTTTCCTTGTCTTCCGGTGATTTCGATGACTATTCTTGGTGTGGGAATGTTTGATGGAATCTTCTGCAAGTTCATAAATTTCCATGTTTGAATCATATATGTCTACTGTTGTAGGATTATCTGACATTGCGCAAATATCTTCACTACAAGCACCAATAGCTGGAAGAACAGCTGCTAAACTAGTTTGTTTAGGTAATGATTTGGTTGTTAAAGATTTCTTCAGTTTCCTTGGCTTCTGGTGCTTTCGATGACTATTTTTGGTGTGGGAATGTTTGATAGAATCTTGTGCAAGTTCATTAACTTCCATCTTTGAATCATATATGTCTATCAATGAGGAATTATCTGACATTCTATTGATATCTTGACTAGAACCTCCAATGGTTGGAAAAATAGTTGCTAAACTACTTCGTTCAGACAATGATAAAGTTGAAGATTTCTTAAGTGTCATTGGGTTACGGTGCTTTTGATGACTATTTTTAGTATGGGAATGCTTGATAGAATTTTGTGCAAGTTTATAAATTTCCAATTTTGAATCATATATGTCTATTGAAGTAGCATTATCTGACAATCTATGATTTTCTTTACTAGAAGCTCCAATGGATGCAACAACAGCTACTAAACTACTTTGTTTAGGTACTGATTTCGTTGTAAAAAATCTCATGAGTTTCTTTAACTTCCAGGACTTTCGATGACTAATTTTGGTGCGGGAATGTTTGATAGAATCCTGTGCAAGTTCATTAATAATTTCCATCTTTGAATCATACAAGTCTATCGATGTAGCGTTACCCGACATTCTATAGATATTTTGACTAGAACCTCCGGTGGTTGGAACAACAGCTGCTAAACTATTTGGTTTAGGTAATGATTTGGTTGATAAAGATTTCTTCAGTGTCCTTGGTTTACGGTGCTTTCGACGACTATTCTTGGGGTGGGAATGTTTGATAGAATCTTGTGCAAGTTCATTAACTTCCATCTTTGAATCATATATGTCTATGGATGTAGCACTACTTGACATTCTATAGATATCTTGACTACAAGCTTCAATGGTTGGAACAACAGATGTTAAACTACTTGGTTCAGGTAATGATATAGTTGAAGAATATTTCTTCAGTATCCTTGGTTTCCAGAACTTTCGATGACTTTTTTTGTTGCGGGAATGTTTTATAGAATCATGTGGAAGTTTATTAACTTCCATCTTTGAATCATATATGTCTATTGATATAGCATTCTCTGACATTCTATAAATATCTTGACTAGAACGTCCATTGGTTTGAACAACAGTTGCTAAACTATTTGGTTTAGGCAATGATTTGGTTGATAAAGATTTCTTCAGTTTCCTTGGCTTCTGGTGCTTTTGATGACTATTTTTGGTGTAAGAATGTTTAATAGAATCTTGTGCAAGTTCATTAACTTCCATCTTTGAATCATAAATGTTTATTGATGTAACATTATCTGACATTCTATAAATATCTTGATTAGAAGCTTCAATTGACTTAAAAACAGCTACTAAACTACTTTCTTTACGTACTGATTTCGTTGTGAAAAATTTTACGAGTCTCCTTAAATTCCAGGACTTTCGTTGACTATTTTTGGTGTGGGAATGTTTTATAGAATCTTGCACAAGTCCATGAATTTCCATCTTTGAATCATATATGTCTATTGCTGTAGCATTATCCGACATTTTATAATTATCTTGACTAGAAGCTTCAATGGCTGGAACAACAGTTGCTATAGTACTTTGTTCATTCAATGATATATTTGCTGAAGCAATGCTGAGTGTGCTTGGCTTCGGAGACATAGAAGCTTGTGCAAGTTCATAAATTTCCACTTCTGAATCATATATGTCTATTGCCAGTGCATTATCTGGCTGTCTATAAATATCTTGACTAGAGGCACCAATGGCTGTAGTAAAAGCTGCTAAACTGCTGTCATATACGTTTTCAGTTGTCACATTCTCTGTTCCATACAGGTTTTCTGCAGTAATATTGCCCATGTCATACTTAGTTGTTACAAATGTTGCGTCATACAGGTTTTGAGCTGTATAAAGGAAATCAAAAGTACATTCAGCATCTACAGATTATTTTTATGTATTTTGGAACAGAATTCTTGTGCAAACGATGCTCACAAAAAAGTAATCAACATTTCTATTCATGCAATGACGATAATTTGAGGTCAATTCATGCAATTATTTTACGAGAAAACTGGCTACATTACATCATAACTGAACGATCATCTTCGTGGTGGAGAAGAACTTTGTCATTTGATACAAGATGTTTTATTTTAAAAAAGAAACATTGGTATTATTGGTCCAGTATATGAGAGAAGAATGCTTGTTTACTTTAAAGGAAGATATTCAAATTTTACGTAGAGTACCTCTCTCTCCTGATGAAACATTATCGTACTCAGAGTCTGCATCATGAATTTTCGAAGAAACAACATCTGTATATCTGTATAAAACATTAGAAAAGATGAACAAACCCAATAAAAACAGTGGTGGTGATTGTGTTTAGGCATATTTCCAAATTAGTGAGATATTCTCTATATGCTGTAGGATGTTTTTAAGACCGAAGGAAAAGATTTTTCATCTTAAACGGCAAAGAACGTATTTATTTTTTGCCAAAGGCTACCGTCTCGTGCAGGATTGTACAGTTTGACTAAACAACGGTGATAAAGAAAACATTAAAACTTTGCTTCCTCGTTTTACTTTGAAAAACAATTTTTTAAATTTGAAAACTAGAACAAAACAAAACAAAAACAAAAGCAAAGAACCCTCGATCAACAAGAGGTTCTGATAAACTGCAGATTATGCATGCACTTAATATAATCAATATCTGTATGAGCATGCACTAAAAAGGGAAGGGGGAGGAAGGAAATAATGCCATTTATAAAATTACATTGAGATTTAAACACGCACTCGCTATATCTATCTTTATCTTTTTTGTTCCAATAACTTGTTAGCCTGTCCTGTCTTTCTTTTGCTTCGAGTTGCTTTTTTCTGTAGAAAAAAATTGATAAAATTAGCTGGCGATCCACTTCTATAATATACTGTAGTTCCTGATTGAATGACAAATAAGACAAAAAATACACCAAAGAAAGAACCAGAAAAGATTTGGTGTCGGATTAATAAGCAATACCTTTCAATAATTTGTTTATTAGTCAAAGCCCACTGAATAATTTTATTCAAATTAGAGGAAAAGAGAGTTCTCAAATATAAGTTTGTTTTGAGTTTGTCTGATGAACGCAAGACAACATTTGAATAACAGTTTGATATCAGTAATTTGTGAAAATTGTAAAGGAAAGTAACGTAAAAGTAAAACTGCAGTAACAAAAATTCTCTTTTAATAATCCTGTATTACTTATTTTTCGCCTATATTATTCTTAAACATAACAAAGTACGCATTTATTAGGACTTTGACACAAAACGTAATAAAAGGTTTGAGAGGTCTGAAGCAAAATTCTATTTTTTGTACGAAAGAGTTTTGTACATAATTAATTTGTCACACCTATCATAAGGTAGAATTCCTTTCTTCCATGAAACACAAATAATGACAATGACAATCAGTACCACTACAAAGATAGACACTCCTGCTATCCCAGAGAACGTTATTACACCTGACAATAAAACAAAAACAAATTATTCGTTTTTGTTTTTTGTAATGTATTTATAAATGAATAAAAAGTATCTTGATCATTACTGATAGTTTAAATAAATTTATCAAAAATTTAACAACTTACTTTCCTCCGTTATATCTGGTATTTTGTTCCGTTCTTAAATAAAAAATAAGCTTACAGTTCAGTTGTACATTGGTAGGTTGTTACTGCACACATTTCGCTATAATGCAAATAGAAATAATAAACATTTTACCATTGCCATGTTTGTGAAGAACAGCAGGCGGTCCAACTCCTGCAATTGTTCCAGCTTTAATATGAAATATGTAATTGGTGAATGGATTCAAGCTATTGTTCTTCCATACAGTGATATTTGGAGACAAGGAAGAGTTTGTGACCTTCCTAACTTTGGAATGAAACATTTCTTCATAAGCGATAACTTCATAAAGCACAAGAATGCCATTTTGATCCTTAACATCGGGAGCTGTCCAATTTATTTCAATTGATCTTGAACTTAAAGTTCGTAAGACTGCATTTTTAGGTGGAGCAGATGGTGCTATATAAACGAAGGACAGTTTAAACTGATTATCAAAATGAACATATCAAGTACATATTTCGTAAAATCAGATACCTGCTTCTCCGGTGCGAAAACCAATGTGATTAGCAGGACCATAACCTTGAGCATTTCTTGCTTCGACGTGAATATTATACAATGTATAAGGCTTCAAATTGTCTTCAGTATGAAACAATTGAGTTTTAGGCACGGTAATGTAATTGCGACACGGCGCATTCAAATATTTTTCCTGTACGCAAAGTCTATAGCCGGTGATATGACCATTTTGCATTGTAGCATTTGGAGGTTTCCAGAATATTTGTAGAATATGTGGACCGATTCTGATAGCATAAAGAGCACGTGGTGGTCCAGAAGGAGCTGAGAAATTAAGTGAATGACAAATCAAGCCAACATTCTTTTCAAAAAATTTATATACTGTTTTAACTTTTAACTCACGAGAAGAAAGAGTTTTTCGTGAGATAACTGCTTTCGGTCCCCAGCCTACAATTGTACTCGCCATAACTGCCAATAAGTATTCCGTATATGGTTTCAACCCTTTGATGATTTTCCTTAATGATTTTCCATCAGTAATATAATTCACGATGCTACAAATTTGGCCAGAGTTTGTCTCTATATAGCACACACCATACTTGGTAATGATTCCATTTCGACGATGCTCTTCAGGTGGTGACCAGGCTAATTTCAAGCTTTTGGAAGTAACATCTTTTACCATTATAAGTCGCGGAGGACCACTAGGTACTAGTAGAATAAAAAAAATAATTCAAGAAATTTGAATAGCAGAAATTTATTTTTTTAGAAATAAGAAAAATATTCAGAGTTTTTCAAGTACAGGTCAAAGTTACATGCCATCTTCCTTAATTGATTGCTTGTATTAGATTGTGTATTCACATATATAAAAGTACAACATGCACGATTGAATCAATGCTAGTATCTGAGTTAGACTACATATGTCACATCAAAATTTGATGATCAGCTTTGTTTTTGTATTGTATATAACAATGATTTGACTTTTTCATGAGAATAAATGTTAACTCAAACAAAAAAGTTGGTCTTCTTTTGGTACGCTTCGAAAAATCTTCATTGTAAACATTTTGATCAGTTTTTGTTAGATTTATCATTAATAAATTTGATATGAAAATAAATATCGAGTTCTTAGAACATCATAGTTATTTTCTTAAATGATACAAAACTTTTTGACCATTTCCGTTTTTTCTGCAATTCAATATATATTAATCCATTTCAATAGCATGTTATCTTTTATTGTTAAAACCTGTAAAAATTTTCGAGGAGCATGAATATTAACAAATACAACTAAAATCCTCTCCAACCTGATTCTTTCATTCTTTGAGTAATCTTTGCAGGAGGACCGTAGCCAGCTTTAGTAGCAGCGGATATTTCAATGGTATATTGCACGTAAGGTTTTAAACCAGTAAATGTATATGATGTTTTTGTAAATGGAACAGTTACTTTAGGTGTGCATGTTGACAAAAACTGCCGTCGTATGCAAGCCGAATATTTCGTTAAAATACCATTAAGAAGAGAACTGTTTGGTGACGACCATGTTGCGTTGATAAGATTTTTAGTGTACGAAGAGACACGTAAATTGCGAGGTGCACCCGATGGTTCTGAGTGCACAAAAATGTAAAAAATGTTGTCATCACAACGAAATGCAAAAAATACTCTAACAATTTGTATCCTTTTTTTATCATGTACGAAACACGCTAAACAGACTTCAGTTTCGGTGTTTTCTCACCTGCCTCCAATGTCCTAGTTGCTAAAACTGCTGCTGGACCATATCCAATCTTTGTTGCTGCTGAAATTCTAAGATGATACTTGGTGTAAGGCTTTAGATTCGAAAAAGTGTAAACTGTGATGTTGCCTGTAGTAATTTGAAGTAAACATGGTCTTTGAGAAGTACTGGCAATCTTAATGCAGAGTTTGTAATTAATGATTCTTCCATTGCGTAATTTAGGATCTGGAGGAAGCCAGGAAGCAGTGATATTCGTCGCATCCACTCGAGATATTTGAAACTTTATGGGTGGACCATCAGGAACTAAAAGTAAATAAATTGTTCGATTTAAAACATTAAAATTATTCTACTAATATTTTTTTTGCAAAACTTCCATAAATAAATCGAATATCAACTGAATCAAAGGCGAATCAGAAAGGGTGAACAATTCGATTTAAATAACAAGGAATTAAAAATTTACGTGTTACATAGTTTTAAAAGCTCATTTTGAAATATTTACAACACTAGCGTTACAACTTTGATATAACTGATCTAGCTTAAGAAGTTCGTTATTACATCACGTAAAGAGTTTTTAAAGTATTTAATCACAGATGAATTATTTGTATATTGCTTTCTTGTAGTTCATGATTGCCAATGAATAGTAAAACAGTTAATGCTTTCATATTGACCTATTTTACGAAATTTACCACTATTACCTGATTCTCTCGTTCTTTGAGTAATCTTGGTTTGAGGACCGTAGCCTGCTTTAGTCGCAGCAGATATTTCAATGGTATATTGCACGTAAGGTTTTAAACCAGTAAATGTATATGATGTTTTCGTGAATGGAACAATTACTTTAGTTGTGCATAATGTCAAAGACTGTCGTCGAATACACACTGAATATTTGGTTAAAATACCATTCAGCAGGGAGCGGTCAGGTGACGACCATGTTGTCTTGATAAAATTTTTGGTGTACGAAACGACATTTAGATTGCGAGGTGCACCCGATGGTTCTGAAAAGGCAAAAAAATGTGAAAAAATTTGTAAGACAGCAAAAAATGTAAGTTGTAGAAATAACTGGTTTCAATTAATCACCAACCAACGCATTTTGAGAATTTGTGAGCTTCTTTTTATCACGAAACATGCATATACTGTAGACACACTTTAGATTCAGTCTTTTCTCACCTGCCTCTAATGTCTTAGTAGTTATAACTGCTGCTGGGCCATATCCAATCTTTGTTGCAGCTGAAATTCTAAGATGATACTTGGTGTAAGGCTTTAAGTTTGAAAAAGTGTAAACTGTGATATTGTCTGTAGTAATTTGAAGTAAACATGGTCCTTGAGAAGTATTGCCAATCTTAATGCAGAGTTTGTAATTGATAATTCTTCCATTGCGTAATGCAGGATCTGGAGGAAGCCAGGAAGATGTGATATTCGTTACATCCACTCGAGATATTTGAAGCTTCGTGGGTGGACCATTCGGAACTAAAATCAAATAAATTGTTAGATTTCGAGCACTTATATTCTTTATTTGAATCACTTAAAATGTAAAACTTTTGTTCATTAATAATATACTTCCTCTTCCTACCTGATTCTCTCGTTCTTTGAGTAATCTTAGCTCGAGGACCAAAGCCAGCCTTAGTACCAGCAGATATTTCAATGGTATATTGCACGTAAGGTTTCAAACCAGTAAATGTATATGATGTTTTTGTGAATGGAACAATTACTTTAGGTGTGCATGATTTCAAAGACTGTCGTCGAAGGCAAACTGAATAACTGCTTAAAATACCATTTAGCAGGGAGCTGTCAGGTGACGACCATGTTACTTTAATAATGTTTTTAGTGTACGAAACGACATTTAAATTGCGAGGTGCACCCGATGGTTCTGAAGGAATTAATAGGAAAATAATGTTGTCATTACAAAAGAATGCAAGAAATTTGTAAGACGATTGAAAATGTAAACTCTAAAAATGAAAGTACCCTTCAACTAATGCAGTTACAATTTTGTAACATCTTTATATTATGAAACCTGCGTAAACTGTAGACACTCTTCAGGTTTAGTCTTTTCTCACCTGCCTCTAATGTCTTAGTAGTTATAACTGCTGCTGGTCCATATCCAATCTTTGTTGCAGCTGAAATTCTGAGATGATACTTGGTGTAAGGTTTTAAGTTCAAAAAAGTGTACACTGTGATATTGCCTGTAGTAACTTGAAGTAAACATGGTCCTTGAGAAGTACTGCCAATCTTAATGCAGAGTTTGTAATTGATGATTCTTCCATTGCGTAATGTTGGATCTGGAGGAAGCCAGGAAGCAGTGATATTTGTTGCATCCACTGCAGATATTTGAAACATCGTAGGAGGACCATTAGGAACTAAAATTAAATAAACTTTTAGATTTGAAGCATTAAAAATATTCTTAATTTGAATCACTTAAAAAGTAATTTATAAGAACACAGATGTATTTTAGTCACTGTGTGTTTGTTGGTTGTATGAACATTTCATTGGAAATATAAAAGAAAGTCTCCCTAATTTTAAAGACTTCCTACTTTATTCTAGTATTTTATCATCCATTAAAAAATACTTAACATTACTGTATTGAGAAGTTATTAGTAAACATTTTTTAAATTTGATGACTTTTTTATTTGAAATGAGTTCATTATATATCAAATAAGAAAATAGTAAACTAAATACATTTAATAAGTTTGTTGATAATGATGTCACACATACAGTTAAATAACTAATTCTATCAAAATTCATAAATTTTAAGAACATTATCAAAATTTATTCAACCATGAATGTTTCATGTTCATAAATATTATACATCCTCCTCCTACCTGATTCTCTCGTTCTTTGAGTAATGTTGGCTCGAGGACCATAGCCAACTTTAGTAGCAGCAGATATTTCAATGGTATATTGCACGTAAGGTTTTAAACCAGTAAATGTATATGATGTTTTCGTGAATGGAACAATTACTTTAGGTGTGCATGATTTCAAAGACTGTGGTCGAATACACACTGAGTATTTGGTTAAAATACCATTGAGCAGGGTGCTGTCAGGTGACGACCATGTTGCTTTCATAAAATTTTTCGTGTACGAAATGACCTTTAAATTTCGAGGTGCACCAGACGGTTCTGAAGGAATAAAAGGCAAAAAAATGCCATTGCAAAAGAACGCAAGAAATTTGTAAGACAGTTGAAAATGTAAGCTGTAAAAAAAGCATAAGCCAACATGAGCTCTTTTACAATTAGTAAGCTTTTTTTATATCATGCAACATTCTTATACTGTAGAAGGACTTTGGATTCATTCTTTTCTCACCTGCCTCTAAAGTCTTAGTATTTGCAACTGCTGCTGGGCCATATCCAATCTTTGTTGCAGCTGTAATTCTAAGATGGTATTTGGTGTAAGAGTTTAAGTTCGACAAAGTGTAAGCTGTGATGTTGCCTGTCGTAACTTGAAGTAAACAGGGTCCTTGAGAAGTATTGCCAATCTTAATGCAGAGTTTGTAGTTGATGATTCTTCCATTGCGTAATGTAGGATCTGGAGGAAGCCATGAAGATGTGATACTCGTCGTACCAACGCGCATTATTTGAAACTTTATTGGAGGACCATTGGGAACTAAAGTTATAAAAATTGTTAGATTTAAAACATTGAAAAAAATGAAATTTGGTTTATTTAACGATTAATAAGCAAGGAAATGCACCGAGATAAACAAATCAGTGTACAAAGGGCTGGTTTTTAAGGATAGTGAAGAGTCTTCTTTCAAACACTTTCAACTTTATCCTTATCTTTAAAATCCATTCTCATTTATCGCAAAGCGTCGCTTGAATTGTCAACGTTTATCACCGATGGTCAGTGATGGCAAGTGCACGAAAGATTCTTATAAATTGGCGAGGATATATTAGCAAACGCTCTTCGATATTCATGGCTCCTTTCATCTTAAGTTGATAATTTCTGTACAGCTTCAATTGTTTATAATATAAGTTGTCGCCGAAGTTGCAGGACTCAACAGATTCTCGTTCAAAAAGATGTTTTAAGCAAGTACCACTCGGCAATGATCGGCGATGAATGCAAGAAACAAACTGTTTTGTTTCTTGCAATGGCAGCGCCGATGTTCAGCGACCGTCATAAAAAATCGGCGACACAAATTTTAATGCGTTCTCATTAATCGTAAGCGTTCGCCGACGTCATAAAAGCTCTATCACTGACGTTTTGCGATGAATGAGAACAAAGTTTTAAGATTATTAAATTAAAATGTTTAAGTGAATGATTTTTTAATTTTGATCGTTCTCTTATCATAAATAAAATATGTTTGTACAAAAAAGTAAACTAAATAGAATCAACTCGATCTGTAGGTAGTCTTGTCATCGCTATCTCAATTAACTTAGAAACACTATTAAAATTTATTCACTTCATATGTGTTTCCTGTAAAACTGTTAACTTTTCGCTCATTTATGTTATACTTGCTTCTTCTACCTGATTCTCTCGTTCTTTGAGTAATCTTGGCTCGAGGACCATAGCCAACTTTAGTAGCAGCAGATATTTCAATGATATATTGCACGTAAGGTTTTAAACCAGTAAATGTATATGATGTTTCGAGAATGGAACAGTTACTTTAGTTGTGCATGATGTCAAAGACTGTCGTCGAATACACACTGAATATTTGGTTAAAATACCATTGAGCAGGGAGCTGTCAGGTGACGACCATGTTGCTTTTATAAAATTTTTAGTGTATGAAACGACATTTAAATTGCGAGGTGCACCCGATGGTTCTGAAGGAATAAAAAGGCAGAAAATCTCATTACAAGACAATTGAAAGTGTAAGCTGTAAATATGAAAGTGTCTGCCAACTAATACTTTTACAATTTGTAACTTTTTTATATCATGAAACATTCTTACACTGTAGACACTCTTCAGATTCAGTCTTTTCTCACCTGCCTCTAATGTCCTAGTTGTTAAAACTGCTGCTGGGCCATATCCAATCTTTGTTGCAGCTGAAATTCTAAGATGGTACTTGGTGTAAGGTTTTAAGTTCGAAAAAGTGTAAACTGTGATATTGCCTGTCGTAGCTTGGAGTAAACAGGGTCCTTGAGAAGTATTGCCAATTTTAATGCAGAGTTTGTAGTTGATGATTCTTCCATTGCGTAATGCAGGATCTGGAGGAAGCCAGGAAGATGTGATATTCGTTATATCCACTCGAGTTATTTGAAACTTTATGGGTGGACCATTAGGAACTAAAGTTAAATAAATTGTTCGATGATTTAAAACATTAAAAAAATTAAATGTTGTTTATTTACCTAAATTAACAAGTGTGAAATGCATAGAGATGAACAAATCAGTGTGCAAAGAATTGGTTTTTAAGGATAGTAAAAAAATTCTTTTAAATATTTTCAACATCATCATAATGTTTTGAAATCCATGAAAAGAATACTTAATGTTACTGAATTGAGAAACTTTGAGTAAATGAATTTTTTAAACTTTTGATTGATTTCTTATAATAAAAGGATTAGTTATATTAAGTAAGAAAATAGTTAATTAAATAAAATTAACAAGTTCTGTTGTTAGTCCTGACGACGCTACCATTATTTAATAAACACTATAAAAATTCATTAATTTCACGAATCTTACACATAAAAATGTAAAAATTTTGTTCATTTATAATATACATCCTCTTCTTACCTGATTCTCTCGTTCTTTGAGTAATCTTAGCTCGAGGACCATAGCCAGCCTTAGTAGCAGCAGATATTTCAATGATATATTGCACGTAAGGTTTTAAACCAGTAAATGTATATGATGTTTTCGTGAATGGAACAATTACTTTAGGTGTGCATGATGTCAAAACTGTCGTCGAATACACACTGAGTATTTGGTTAAAATACCATTGAGCAGGGAGCTGTCAGGTGACGACCATGTTGTTTTTATAAAATTTTTGGTGTACGAAATGACATTTAGATTGCGAGGTGCACTCGACGGTTCTGAAGGAATAAAAAGGCAAAAAATGTTGTCATTACAAAGGAGCGAAAAAATTTGTAAGATGATTGAAAGATTAAATGGTAAAAATGAAAGTATGTGCCAACCAATGCTTTTACAATTTGTAACCTATTTATACCAAGAAACATTCTTATATTGTAGACAGTCTTCAGGTTCGGTGTTTTCTCACCTGCCTCCAATGTCCTAGTTGTTAAAACTGCTGCTGGACCATATCCAATCTTTGTTGCTGCTGAAATTCTAAGATGATACTTGGTGTAAGGTTTTAAGTTCAAAAAAGTGTACACTGTGATATTGCCTGTCGTAATTTGAAGTAAACATGGTCCTTGAGAAGTACTGCCAAACTTAATGCAGAGTTTGTAATTGATGATTCTTCCATTGCGTAATGTAGGATCTGGAGGAAGCCAGGAAGATGTGATATTTGTTGTATACACACGAGATATTTGAAACTTTATGGGTGGACCATCAGGAACTAAAATTAACAAATTTTAAGATTTGAAGCATTGATATTCTTAATTTGAATCACTTAAAAAGTAGTTTATAAGAACACAGATGTACAAGTCACTGTGTAAAAGCTGGTTAAATGGACGTTTCATTGGAAATATAAAAGAAAGTCTCCCACTTAAATAATTCCAACTTTATTCTAGTATTTTATCATCCATTAAAAGAATACTTTATATCACTGTATAATAAAGCTACGAGTAAAGTACTTAGTTTTCAATTTTCATCTTATTTTTTTCAAATGAGTTAATAATATTGTAAATAAAAAAATAGTAAACTAAATATTATTAATAAGCTCTGTTGATAGTCATGTCAGTACTACAAATAAATAACTAATGCTATTAAAATTTATTGATTTTATGAACATTATCAAAATTTATTCATCCATGAATGCTTTATGTTCATAAATATAATACATCCTTCTCTTACCTGATTCTCTCGTTCTTTGAGTAATCTTGGCACGAGGACCATAGCCAGCTTTAGTACCAGCAGATATTTCAATGGTATATTGCACGTAAGGTTTTAAACCAGTAAATGTATATGATGTTTTCGTGAATGGAACAATTACTTTAGGTGTGCATGATTTCAAAGACTGTCGTCGAAGGCAAACTGAGTATTTGGTTAAAATACCATTGAGCAGGGAGCTGTCAGGTGACGACCATGTTGTCTTGATAAAATTTTTAGTGTATGAAACGACATTTAAATTGCGAGGTGCACCCGATGGTTCTGAAGGAATTAAAAGGAAAATAATGTTGTCATTACAAAAGATGCAAGAAATTTGAAAATGTAAACTCTAAAAATGAAAGTACCCACCAAAAATGAATTTACAATTTTGTAAGATTTATATATTATGAAACATGCGTAAACTGTAGACACTCTTCAGGTTTAGTCTTTTCTCACCTGCCTCTAATGTCCTAGTTGTTAAAACTGCTGCCGAACCATATCCAATCTTTGTTGCTGCTGAAATTCTAAGTTGATACTTGGTGTTAGGCTTTAAGTTCGAAAAAGTGTAAACTGTGATATTGCCTGTCGTAATTTGAAGTAAACAGGGTCCTTGAGAAGTACTGCCAATCTTAATGCAGAGTTTGTAGTTGATGATTCTTCCATTGCGTAATGCAGGATCTGGCGGAAGCCAGGAAGCAGTGATATTTGTTGCATCCACTCCAGATATTTGAAACTTCGTAGGAGGACCATTAGGAACTAAAATCAAATAAGCTTTTAGATTTGAAGCAATAAAAATATTCTTAATTTTAATCACTTAAAAAGTAATTTATAAGAACACAGATGTACTAAAGTCACTGTGTATTTGTTGGTTGTATGAACATTTCATTGGAAATATAAAAGAAAGTCTCCCTAATTTTAAAGCTTCCTACTTTATTCTAGTATTTTATCATCCATTAAAAAATACTTAACATTACTGTATTAAGAAGTTATTAGTAAACCTTATTTAAATTTGATGATTTTCTATTTGAAATGAGTTCATTATATATCAAATAAGAAAATAGTAAACTAAATACATTTAATAAGTTTGTTGATAATGATGTCACACATACAGTTAAATAACTAATTCTATCAAAATTCATAAATTTTAAGAACATTATCAAAATTTATTCAACCATGAATGTTTCATGTTCATAAATATTATACATCCTTCTCTTACCTGATTCTCTCGTTCTTTGAGTAATCTTGGCTCGAGGACCATAGCCAACTTTAGTAGCAGCAGATATTTCAATGCTATATTGCACGTAAGGTTTTAAACCAGTAAATGCATATGATGTTTTCGTGAATGGAACAGTTACTTTAGGTGTGCATGATGTCATAGACTGTTGTCGAATACATACTGAATATTTGGTTAAAATACCATTGAGCAGGGAGCTGTCAGGTGAAGACCATGTTGTCTTGATAAAATTTTTAGTGTATGAAACGACATTTAAATTGCGAGGTGCACCCGATGGTTCTGAAGGAATAAAAAGGAAAATAATGCTCATCACAAAGGAATGCAAGAAATTTTTTAAGACAGTCGAAAATGTAAATTGTAAAAACGAAAGTACCCACCAAAAATTAATTTACAATTTTGTAAGATTTTTATACTATGAAACATGCGTAAACTGTAGACACTTTGCAGGTTTAGTCTTTTCTCACCTGCCTCTAATGTCCTAGTTGTTAAAACTGCAGCTGAACCATATCCAATCTTTGTTGCTGCTGAAATTCTAAGATGATACTTGGTGTAAGGCTTTAAGTTCGAAAAATTGTAAACTGTGATGTTGCCTGTCGTAACTTGAAGTAAACAGGGTCCTTGAGAAGTATTGCCAATCTTAATGCAGAGTTTGTAGTTGATGATTCTTCCATTGCGTAATGCAGGATCTGGAGGAAGCCAGGAAGTAGTGATACTCGTGGCATGAACGCGTGATATTTGAAACTTCGTCGGTGGACCATTAGGAACTAAAATTACATAAATTTTTAAATTTGAAGGATTGATATTCTTAATTTGAAATAGTATAGAATTGATATTCTTAATTTGAAAAATAAAATAGTAAGAACACAGATTCACAGGTTACTTGACAATTACTGGTTAAATGAACATTTCATTGGACTAATGATAGAAAGTCTTCCTAGTGTTAAATATTTCCGACTTCATTCTAGTATTTTATCATCCTTTAAAAAATACTTAACATCACTGTATGATGACGTTATAAGTAAACCTTTTTTAAATTTGACGATTTACTTCTTTGAAATAAGTTAATTATATATCAAATAACAAAATAGTATATAAAATACATTTAATAAGTTTGGTTGATAATGATGTCACACATACAGTTAAATAACTAATTCTATTAAAATTCATAAATTTCAAGAACATTATCAAAATTTATTCAACCATGAATGTTTCATGTCCATAAATAAACATTGTACATCCTTCTCCTACCTGATTCTCTCGTTCTTTGGGTAATGTTGGCGCGAGGACCATAGCCAGCTTTAGTAGCAGCAGATATTTCAATGGTATATTGCACGTAAGGTTTTAAACCAGTAAATGTATATGATGTTTTCGTGAATGGAACAATTACTTTAGGTGTGCATGATGTCAAAGACTGTCGTCGAATACACACTGAATATTTGGTTAAAATACCATTGAGCAGGGAGCTGTCAGGTGACGACCATGTTGTTTTGATAAAATTTTTGGTGTATGAAACGACATTTAAATTGCGAGGTGCACCCGATGGTTCTGAAGGAATAAAAAGGAAAATAATGCTCATCACAAAGGAATGCAAGAAATTTTTTAAGACAGTCGAAAATGTAAATTGTAAAAACGAAAGTACCCACCAAAAATGAATTTACAATTTTGTAAGATTTTTATATTATGAAACATGCGTAAACTGTAGACACTCCTTAGGTTTAGTCTTTTCTCACCTGCCTCTAATGTCCTAGTTGTTAAAACTGCTGCTGGTCCATATCCAATCTTTGTTGCAGCTGAAATTCTAAGATGATACTTGGTGTAAGGCTTTAAGTTCGAAAAAGTGTAAACTGTGATGTTGCCTGTAGTAATTTGAAGTAAACATGGTCCTTGAGAAGTACTGCCAATCTTAATGCAGAGTTTGTAATTAATGATTCTTCCATTGCGTAATGTAGGATCTGGAGGAAGCCAGGAAGATGTGATACTCGTGGTATCAATGCGTGATATTTGAAACTTCGTCGGTGGACCATTAGGAACTAAAATTACATAAATTTTTAAATTTGAAGGATTGATATTCTTAATTTGAATCACTTAGAAAATAAAATAGTAAGAACACAGATTTACAGGTTACTTGACAATTACTGGTTAAATGAACATTTCATTGGACTAATGATAGAAAGTCTTCCTAGTATTAAATACTTCCGACTTCATTCTAGTATTTTATCATCCTTTAAAAAATACTTAACATCACTGTATGATGAAGTTATAAATAAACCTTTTTTAAATTTGATGATTTGCTTCTTTGAAATAAGTTAATACAGTTAAATAACTAATTCTATTAAAATTCATAAATTTTAAGAACATTATCAAAATTTATTCAACCATGAATGTTTCATGTCCATAAATAAACATTATACATCCTTCTCCTACCTGATTCTCTCGTTCTTTGAGTTATGTTGGCGCGAGGACCATAGCCAGCTTTAGTAGCAGCAGATATTTCAATGGTGTATTGCACGTAAGGTTTTAAACCAGTAAATGTATATGATGTTTTCGTGAATGGAACAATTACTTTAGGTGTGCATGATGTCAAAGACTGTCGTCGAATACAAATGAATATTTGGTTAAAATACCATTGAGCAGGGAGCTGTCAGGTGACGACCATGTTACTTTAATAATGTTTTTAGTGTACGAAATGACATTTAAATTGCGAGGTGCACCCGATGGTTCTGAAGGAATTAAAAGGAAAATAATGTTGTCATTACAAAAAAAATGCAATAATTTGTAAGTTATATAAAATTGTAAGCAGTAAATATGAACGTATCTGCCAATTAATACTTTTACAATATGAAAAGTTTTTATACTATGAAACATGCTTATACTGTAGAAAGTCTTCAGGTTCTGTCCTTTTCTCACCTGCCTCTAATGTCCTAGTTGTTAAAACAGCTGCAGGTCCATATCCAATCTTTGTTGCAGCTGAAACTCTAAGACGGAACTTGGTGTAAGGCTTTAAGTTGAATGCGATATTGCGTGTCCTAGTTGTGAGTAAACATGGTCCTCGTGAAGTACTGACTAGCTTAATGCAGAGTATGTAATTGATGATTCTTCCATTGCGTAATGCAGGATCTGGAGGAAGCCATGAAGATGTGATACTCGTGGCATCAATGCGTGATATTTGAAACTTCATTGGAGGACCATAAGGAACTAAAGTTAAATAAATTGTTGGGCTTAAAACATTAAAAAATTAAATGTTGGTGATTTATGGATTAATAAGTAAGAAAATGCATAGAGATGAACAAATCAATGTGCAAAGGGATAGTTTCTAAGAATAGTAAAAAGTTTTGTTTAAAATACTTTCATCTTTATCATAATCATGAAAAGAATACTTAATATTAGTGAATTAAGAAAGTTTGAGTAACTGATTTTTTTACTTTTCGATTGTTTTCTTATAATAAAAGAGTTAATTATGTTAAGTAAGGAAATAGCAAATAGGTATGACAATAACACCATCAAAATTTATTAATTTGACGAATCTTACACGTATAAATGCAATGCAAAACTTTTGTTGATTTATGTTATACATCCTCCTCCTACCTGATTCTTTCGTTCTTTGAGTAATCTTGCTCGAGGACCATAGCCAGCTTTAGTAGCAGCAGATATTTCAATGGTGTATTGCACATAAGGTTTTAAACCAGTAAATGTATATGATGTTTGTGTTTTTGGAACTATTATTGGAGATTTGCAGGTTGACAAAGACACTCGTCGTATGCAAACCGAGTAGTTGTATATAAAGCCAATAAACAGAGATCTGTCAGGTGAAGACCATGTGGCTTTGATAAGATTTATAGAGTACGAAGATACACGTAAATTACGAGGTGCACTTGGTAAATCTGAGTAAAAAAGTAAAAAATAAATTTAAGGTCCAAACTTCATATTCATTTATTTCTTAAATTTATTCAAAAACACAACTAAGGCGGACATAGGTTACTTTTTTTAGTCGTAGAGTAAATACCTGTAAAGTCAATAAGCTATAGCTTCTTTTGTTTACATTTACTTGCTTGTATTGATTTAGAAAATTTGTTTTTAGTCAGTTAAAACCGTAATAAATTCACGAGTATTTACTTTGAAACGAAAGGAGTTCGTCGCTTAAAATGGAAGGTACTTTTAAAACAACAATTAATACTTGGTTTTTGTACGGTTTGCAAGTTTCTAACTCCCCTCAATATTGCAACGTTTTAATGAGCATATTAAGTGAAATGGCTTCGAAAACGTTTCACCGTAAACGACATATCAAAAAATACAGAAAGTATCACTATCAATACACGCCCAGAGCTTGAGAAAAACTATTGCAAGGTTATATTACATAGCAAAGCGAAACAAATTTATTTCAAAATACCTTGAACGCAAGCTCCAAGTCCTGATTTTTTATAAAAACCGGTTTTGCATTGGCATTTGAAGCTTCCAAGGGTGTTAATGCAGACAGCAGCATCCTGGTCACAGTTATGGGCACCAGTTCGACATTCATTTATATCTTAAAATTTTTATTTGATCAATGTCAGTATCAATCTCATTACCTCGAGGTTACCATTATACATATATATATATATATATATATGCAGATAAAGCAATCAAAGCAAAGATTATTTCTACATACCTTTGATCACGATCTCGACTGGGTAATGTCTACCACACGATCGTCGTGGTACGTATTGACGAACACACTGTACAAAGCACTTGCGTTTCCTCGCATAATAAGCAATGTAATAACACGAAACATCTCTACGGCATATTTCCATACACATGCTACGTCTGGCTAATGTTGCTCTATAGCAGCCATTTCTATAGCAGCCGACACCCATTGAGAACCACGATACCGCTCCTAAACATAACCACAGAGCGAATTGGAGAAATAAGAAAAGAAAGTTTGAACGTACAGAAAAATAAGAAAAGTTACCTTTCTTAGTCGGAAATTTTAAACGAAAATCTACGGGAATAAACAACAATTGAATCAAGACACCATGAAACAGATTTATTACCACGGTGTTGCGACAAAAAGTGGGGTTGGGGAAAAGTTTGTCCCAGTGTCATGTGACGTCACGATTTCAAACATTTGCAACTACATGAACCATGGGCAATGTTTTTTTTGAAGCTACACACACTTCGATTGTCTTAAGTAATTACGAAAATTTGTGTTTGGAAATATATCTTGAAGTTTGTCATCTTGAATAATTTACGTTGTCGTCATTTTGGTGGTAGCTCGTTGTCAGAGAATGTTGTTCATTAATAAGACATACTAATTGCAAAATAACACTTTGATTAAAGGTTCTTTAACTACGACTAGCAGGCAGCCGAATAGTCGATATTTTACAATATGCTCAACGTTTCTAGATTGTAAAAAATCAAGAAATTGGAAAAAAACGAGATAAGTAAACAAAGTAAAATAATTTACCAAACTTACTTATTGGATGCACTGTCGGAAGAGGTCTTGTTGTGGGAGGCGCCTTTGTAGTTGTAATTTTTACTTTCACTTTAAAGTAGAAGACAAGTGAGAAAAAGTGCGGTTTTGCCTGTTAACCTTTTTTTAGTTAGGTGAAGTTTTATTTACCTTTCTGCCAGTAACTTGCAGTTTCAAAGCAAAAAAGTATGTCATGATCATGAGTGGAAGCGAAAATACAGAGTTTTTTAATCTGGACAACAGCCATACATCGATTATCTTTGAGACACCAACTAGTACAATCATTTGCATTGATTGAATTCCGTCTTCGATATTGAGTAACAACATAACAATCCTTTGGGAATGCTTTCATTTGGATTACTTTACCATAAAAAAGAAAATAGAAAACTTGTTAGTCTTGTTCTTTTAAATGATGTCAGAGCTAACACAGATTATGGACGAAATACAATATAGCTGTTAAAATCAAATAATCATTTCTCAAGTGAATGGTGAATTAAAAGAAAATGATCTTAAATTATTTTATTATTAAATGCTTACCAAAATCCTTCGCTTCAGCAAAATTCTGTTCGTGCCAAAACGAGGTTGCTACGATGAGAAGATATAAAAAATCTGTCAAACATATCTTCATATCGTGTGATTTAACCATCAGAAATCAGCAAATTAACTCAATGAAATTTTATCCTTAATTATGACTGTTACATTATGTAATTAACTCAATGAAATTTTATCCTTATGACTGGTTACATCATGTAATTAGCTCAATGAAATTTTATCTTTAATTATGACTGTTACATCATGTAATTATGAAAATTTACGTAAGAAGAATCTTTGATGCTCGAAAAATTATAGAATTTAAAAATTTTAACATGAAATAATAACATCAGTCAACAAAACTTCAAAGGCAGTCTGCTACTTGATAAATGTTAAGTCATAACTTTTAAGAAGAAAGCCTGTTTTATTTAATTGCTAAAACTTTTGATGACGAACGATATAAAAAGCAGGCGTTTCCACAACTATAGTACAACAGATTGTGCAGTCTATAGATGAAAGTTGTAAAAATAATTTAATTTAGTTTGACAATACAGACTTGCAGTTTTACAGAGTTTAATATAAAAAATAATAAAAACTATATGTATTCCCACAATATCAAGACAGCGAAAAAAAGAAGCCATGTGCGAGGATGATATCGGGGATATGCAGACGTGTTGAAAAGATCTAATAACTCCTTAAAAGGTCCTTTCTTCTCTTTGCTAAGTGTCCAAATGTTTTTCTCGGTTGGTGTTTCTGTGAAATGCGCATTTTAATATAACATGTTAAAACAATGTTGTTTTATCAATTTAAATGTTAATTTCAGAATACTTAAAGTAAAGGTATAAAACTTTGAATTCTTCACCTTTAATACAAAGTTCTCCATCTCTATGATAGCCAAGTAAGCACTCACAGTTGTAACTGCCATTGTTGTTTACACATATCGCATTAGCACCACAAAGATTTCGGTATGTTTCACATTCATTAACGTCTACACATTCACAAACACAATGTAAGTAAAGATTCTGACATGAAATTATGATGGTAAACTAGTGCAGTCAAATTGTTTATTTAAAAAAAAGAATTTGAGACAGTAAATGATTTACCATGGCAAACTTTGCCAGTGCCTTTGTAACCAGAACGACATCGGCATACACGATTTCCACTGTAACTATGACAATAGGAACGTCGTGGACATAACTTCTCGATATTGTCACATTCAACAATAGCTGGAGATAAACAGTTATTGTGTCAGTAACAATCCATGGTACATTTATGAATAATCTTCAAAAGTACAAGGCACATATTAACTATAGAATGTTGTTAAATTTCTAGGAAACTATGCTTAGATTGCAAATTTACCCTTTAAAAACAAGTCAGATCTTATTCCACAGTGAGAGATTGGCTTATAATGATGATGTCTGAAGAGTTTACACATTTTTTTTTCACTAATGTATTCTACCATTGCACAGCTATTATTGATTTGACATTTGAGTTGACAGTGCTCTTTGCTCTCTACTTTTAAACGTGCGAAATGAGACGAGGCCTCAAAGCAACCGTCCTCGTAAGACATCCACAAAACTTCAGGTACTAAAGAAACAACATTCTCACTTGTTTGCTTCAGATCTACAAGAGAAAATAAAGCAACATCATTCCCCTTACCTTCTACGCAAATTCCAAGTCCAGCTTTTCTATAAAAACCGGTTTTACACCGGCATTTGTAACTTCCAATAGTATTAATGCAGACAGCAGAATCCTGGTCACAGTCGTGGGCACCAGTCTGACATTCATCAATATCTTAATTAAATTTTTGAGAGATCAGAAACAACAAAAATCGTCGTAACAGGTTATTAAAAATAAACGCAACCACGCATGTCAGCAAATAAGTAACGTGATTTAGTATAAAATTAAGCCGTTTTTTGCATTTCAGTTACACGCACTGACCTGTATAGTAATATAACTTCAATGGTTACCTGATGATTGCATTTGGCACGAAACTTGAAGTAGTAACAATAAAACTGTTGTGTTTTGAATAAATAAATATATATATGTATATTCCGTGGTTAGTATAAATGCAATCAAACCAATACTATAAGTGTCACGTACTGTCCCTAAGTGATCATTCCTACATACCTTTAACCACGATCTCGATTGGCTGTTTGCGACCACATGACTTTCTTGCTTTGTAAACACCTGTGCACAGGGCACATTTCATATTTTGTGCAAAATAAGCGAAGTATTTACAACTGTTATCTTTGAGGCAGATTTGCAAACACTTTTGACGATTCTCGGTCATCTTTAAATCGTAGAAATTGTAGTCGAAACAGTTGAAACCAGCACTGTGCCACGTAATTAACTCTGGAGAAAAATATATAAAGATCGAGTAAAAAACATAACATCCTTCTTTGTGCTGAAAATAGCCACACATTATATTTCGAAAAGAAGACAAGGGAAAGGAAAAAGACTGAGCAAATTATACAAAGTAACTTAATGTAAGTTAACAAACTTACAAGCTATGGAAGAAAATTGCGTTACTTAATTTACTATGTTCTTAATTGCGCAACATGTGTTTGGAAACTTCCGAGAAGTCTTCATCGTCAGTTAGAAGCTAGAAATTCATTCGCTATTCCCTACGATTAGTTTTATCAGATACTTCCGCATTGAATATTCAAAGTAATTTTTTTCTTTACCCTTCCCGATATTATAAATTGGGAGGCAGGAAAAGATTTTAAAAGTGCTGTACTCTAAATAGTTTAAATAATGCAGTTTAAAAATGTATAATTCAATTCTAGTTACCGGAATTTTTTCCTTCAGTATAATTCTGTTCGTGAAAACAGGAGGTTGCTATGATGAAAAGATACAAGAGAGATGTCATCAATATCTGCATATTTTGACCATACTTAACATACTACGATAGAAATCAACAAGTTAGTTCAGGGAAGATCTTTTCCTTAATTATGACTGTTACATCATGTAATTGTGAAAGCTTACATAAGAAAATATTTTTCATGAAATTTGAGCTTTGAAGTCATCAACTTTCATGTCAAATGAAAATAAATGTTAAAAAAATCTATCACCAAACCTTCAGATCAGCTGCAATCTTAACGTGATAAATGTGTTATCGTTAACGTCATAAATGTGACGTCATATCTGTTACGCAGAAAGCCTGTTTGATTTAATTGCTGAAACTATTGATCACGATATAAAATGCAGGAGTTTCCACAAACTGGAGTATACAACAGAAAATAGTCTATATTCAATAGACCACTAGCTAAACTTCTCAATGTGTTACTAACGACACAATCAACTATATGAAATTGAAAAGAGGGGTTTGCGCCACTAGACTAAAAAGATGAAAGTTGCAAAAATGGATTTGTATTACTTTATAAGAGTACAGACTTGCAGATTTACATAGTTTGACTTAAAAAATAAATTATGTTTGCCAAAAATACCAAGAAAATGACGAAAAAGCCACGAGCAAGGATAGATGGAGATGCAGATGTATTAAAAAGATCTAATAAATCCTTGAAAGGTCCTTTCTTCTCTTTGCTGGGTGTCAAAATGTTTTTCTTGGTTGGTGTTTCTGTGAAATACACATTTATAACATGTTTAAAGCAATGTATTTGCATCAATTTAAATGTTAGTTGTAGTACTTTCATAAGTAGATACATAAAACTTTGAAATTTTTACCTTTAATACAAAGTTCTCCATCCCCATGATAGCCTGGTGAACATTGACATTTGTAACTGCCATTGGTATTAACACATTTGGCATGATGACCACAAAGATTTCGGTATGTTTCACATTCATTAACGTCTACACAATCACACGCAAACATAAGATAAGTAAAGTGTTTTGGTATCAAATCACATGAATTTATTGGAATGAATGAGCCTGGATGGTAAAATAGTGCACAGTCTAATGATCTAAAATGTATAGGATGTAGAAAGAAATTTACCATGGCAAACATTGCCAGTGCCTTTGTAACCAGAACGACATCGGCATACACGATTTCCACTGTAACTATGACAATAGGAATGTCGTGGACATAACTTCTCGATATTATCACATTCAATAATAGCTGGAGATAAACAATTATTGTATCAGTAACAATCCATAGTACATTTGTGTATAATCTTCAAAAGTACAAGGTGCATTACATAATCATAGAATGTGTTACGCAATAGGTAAAGCTATTCATTACTTGCATAGATATAAATTTACCCTTTATAAACAAGTCGGATCTCCTTCCACAGGGAGATATTGGCCTGTAATGACGACGTCTAGCGAGTTTGCAAATTTTTCTGTCTCTACTGTACTCCGCCATAACACAGTGTTCTTTGATTTGACATTTGAGTTGACATTGTTCCTTGCTGTCTACTTCAGCAAAAAATGAAAAAAGAGGAAGCCTCCAAGCAGCTGTCCAAGTAAGATATCCAAACGACGTGCGGAACTAAAGAAACACTTTCGTCTGATTATATTGCAGAAGAAATCAAAACAAGTATGAATCTCCCAAACCTTGAACGCAAGATCCAAGTCCTGTTTTTATAAAACCGGTTTTACATTGGCATTTGAAGCTTCCAAGGGTGTTAATGCAGACAGAGGAATCCTGGTCACAGTTATGGGCACCAGTTTGACATTCATTTAAATCTTAAAATTTTTATTTGATCAAAGTTAGCATCAAACTTCACAATCGAAGTTTATAAAAGACAAGTCAATATATATATCGTGGTTACCTTAAATATGCATATAAAACAATGACAGTTACCCTTTGCTACTCTACTCTAACTCTTAGACATACCTTTGACTACAATCTCGACTGGATAATGTCTACCACATGATTTTCTTACTTTGTATTGACCATTACACAGATGACACTTGCCTCTCATTGCATAATGAGCAACGAAATTACATTTGGTGTGGTTGAGACACGTTTGCAAACATTCATGACGATTATTAGGTATTAATTTGTAACATCCATAAGAATAGCAGTTGGTGCCTTTAGAAAACTACACAATTGCTCCTAAATAGAATAAACCAGAGACTGGACTGGAGGAACGAAAAGTACAAAAAGAAGTTTGAACATAGTTCATAAAAACGGCACAACAGAAAAAACAGGAAGTTACCTTTCTTTCTCGGAATTTTTACACCAAAATCTAAGTGAATAAACAAAAATTGAATGAAGACAACTATAAACAGATTCATTACTACACCAGACATATCCTCAACGTAGCTAAGTCAATCATTTTGACGAATAAATCACATGCCATAAGAAACAAATTAACAGTGTCAACAATACCAATTGCAACAAATGCGCGTGGGCATTAGTGAATGCGCATACAGTTATGTTTATTTAAAAATATGTGTCAACTATGTTCGCACAGCCTTATGAACACCGAGAAAACTTTTTGGAAAACTCAAGAGCTGATCAGTTCAAATTTGAACCTGCTTGATAAGAATGATTATTTCACGATAAACAACAGTTGAAGCTGTGTTTGGTAAAGATTCGACACTTTCAAACATGTGGATGTGATTCAAATTTACACTTCCCGAGTTTTGCATTAAATTCTCATATAAATGCATAAAGTTGTAATCATAATAAAGCGTCTGCTTTTATTTTTAGCAAAGCAAAACTACGAAAATTCGTTGAAAATATATCGTACAAAAACCCGTTGCTCGTAAATTTGAGAGTAATATTATGTCAAGTGCCATACAAATGCTCACGTTTTTTTCATAATTTTGAGAAAAACATCATACTTATTATTCGCCATTATCATACTATATCACTAATCAACGATTTAATGCGAGGTACAAATAAAGTACATATTCCATCGTAAAAGCACCTTCAATACCTCAAGTGCCGCAAAACAAATGCTCACGTTTTTTTCATAATTTTGAGAAAAAACATCATACTTATTATTCGCCATTATCATACTACATCACTAATCAACGAGGTACAAATAAAGTACATATTGCATTGTAAAAGCACGTCCAATATCTCATCATCTATAGACCAACACTTCCTTTCATTGAGATTTCATTTATTCTTGTCGTGTTATGGCACAGTCAACATTAATTTTGAATGGGAAGTGAGAATAAAATGACGAACGTGAATCCATTGTCGAAGAACAATACCTATGTTGAAATTAACGATCCAAAGAAAAATATATTTCTGGGTTTGCTACTCGAGGTGATTATCGTGTTTATCGTAATAGAAAATCTTCTCGTACTCTGCATCATAAGACTGTACAAGAAAGTGAGAATTTTTGATCTGCTGATTTTGTCATTGTCACTGTCAGATTTTGTGAATGGCCTGTTGCCATTACAAATTATAAACATTAAAAGGAACTTCGTCGCGACGTTGTGGTCGCGATCACTTTGCGGTAGCTTTATCTGGATGACCTACACGTTACGATTAGCCTCGTTATGCACAGTATCACTTATGAGCATGGAAAAAGCTTTCCTGCTTTACAATCCTCTCCGCTACTACACTCAATTCACGTTTTCATTGACGCGAAAACTCGTTGTATTAGCATGGCTTATTTCAACAGTTTTAGCAACTCTACCGGCAGCCTTCACAAAGATGACACCATACAAAAGCAAAGTTTATTGCCGTCATCTGCCGTATGAGTTTGGTTTGGGTTTTGGAATTCTAATCGAAGTCATTGGACTCTTTCACTTCATCTTTGTCTTATGTTCTTACATCGCGATGCTCATCTCAACAAGAAAGTTTCGAAAACGCCAGAAGACGATGTTAAGAGACCAAAATATAGATGGTCGTAGACAAAATACAACAGAAAATAAAACGAAAACGATTACGGAGACGAAAGGAATGCTACAGGCTACAAAGTTGTGCAAAGTTATGGGTTACATCGTGATCGTTTACTACATAACCTGGCTACCATTTCTGGTAAGTTGTGAAGGAAAATATCCATCCACTATTACTAGTAAATGGAGTAAATATACAGCTGGCGATATTGAAAGTTAATAGTATTCATCTTTTACATTATTTATTTAACTTTGTCACCTTTTCATGTTTAGATCTACAACCTTTACAATTTACTGAGACCAAAGGTTGAATACAACCACAGGATGGGTGTGATTGTCGGAACAATATCCTTGGCAGCACCGCTTGTGTGTCCTTTACTTTGTTTGAAAAGGTTAAAGCGATATAAGAAAGCTGTTCTTTATCTCATGGGTAGAGTGAAGACGCTCGCTTCAACCAAACAGTCTCTTCACGATGTCCGTCAAGGTAAGCAATGGATAATAGAAATTATTGCAAAATGCTATTTTCCTTCAACTTACGAGCATTTTTACTTCAATACGCACGAATAAAAAGCGTCTGGTTGTATTGTGAAATTTTTATGCAGTTCTCGTGGTTCTGTCTGCTCATCAAGTACATTTCTCATTTGTAGGCCGAAAAAACAGCAACACAACTGGCGAAGAAAGATCCAGGGCAGCTACCATTAGCTGTGAATTGGAAGAGATACCAAAATCTTCAATATAGCAAACAATTACTTCCATTCGATTCTAATAGGAACATAGTATTAACCAAATAAATTTGAAGATTCTTGTTCAAGTCTTTCGGAAAACGCTGTCCGAAATCAACACAAGCCAGATGATAAAAAAGGGGGATAGCTGGGATTGCAAAGTACTGACGTCTACTTCCATGTAACATCCAAGAAAATTGTTTGTATCAGGATTCCTAGCTGCTAGGAAGTCCATGGAGCTAAACATCTTGTATTTGTTCTTTTTATATGACTATTTCTTCAGGGATTACTCATATCAAGAAGCCCAATAAGCAACAATGATAGCCTCTTTGACTTTAGTTGTTGATTTCGTCAAATATTACCAAACTAGTAGCAATAGAATCAGCTGTGTATTTTTAACCTACATTCATGTTGGAAGTATTAGGACCTTCTCTGTATTCCCATTAGCTTTAACAAAACATTAGACAAGAGCTATTACAAATACTCCTATTTTTTAAGATCACTAATATTGTTGACAACACAGCATGTTAAGGCACTCAGAAGATGTGAAGATATCCAATAAATCAGATTCCTTTCTTTAAACCAAGGACTGTAACTAGTACAAAAACTTCAACAAGTACAGGAAGGACACTGTGAAAGTTAAAGAAAGAGAATATTTGTAGCTTTCTTGTAGCGTGTACATGAGTTAAACATGTGATATAAATGTTTAAGTGTTAAAAGGTTTTCAGGAGAAAACACATATCTTCTGTTTAAAATAATATTTTTAGACCAGCATATTCAAAGACGATGCAAGAAAAGTGCATGAACTGTAGCAATTCAAGAGTAAATTCATCAAGAACTAACTTTCCTTATAAATCTTGCTATTTCATATCTGAATTACCTGGAAAAACCAAATATAAACCAAAATCTATCACAATTCCATGATTCCAAAATGAAGAATGACAACACAATGGTCCCAACACCATGCACAGCTATAGCTTTGTAGAGTTAAGTTATAAATATTCAAAATAAAGGCTTTAAGCTGTTGAAAAACATAATGATAAATCATTTGAGTTTCAAAATCTTGTAGTGTATGTTGTGTATCACACAAAGTGTATATTTGAAAATTTGTGGATATTCTTTTGTGTATCATGAGATTTTTTTGTAGAAACTAAAGGATACAAAGCATCGAAGCAGATGCATGAAACATAGAAATTCCTCCAAGAAAGCTCATCAATTCAATAAATATACATGCCAACATTATTGAAAGTCCAACCACTAAACTATGAGTATATACAAGTAAGTATCATCACATCGACACTTCAATCCATTAACTATGAGAATAAAGAGGCCTGTATTGTTGACAAATCAAATACAGTCAAACCTTTTACTTTTATTGTCATATTCCGATGGTGAATAAGACACAGGAAGGCATTCAGAGACATTCGATTCCTTTAATTGGATTGAAATGTAACTTTATAAATGCAGTTCACGCCTTTAGGTAAACAAATGAAATTATAAATAAAACCGAAACACAACTGATACACTTGCCTTTGACCAAAATATAACGATAGTTATGACAAGGTGAGCTGTCAAGGTAAGAAAGCGAGCCGGTATTAAGCTACCTACACTCATATTTTCAAGATGTCTGCTCTTAATTTGACTTTAAAACATACTTTAGTAGGAAGAGCATAGTGTTCACAAATTCTCGACGCCATTTGCTTTGCTAATTAGCATAATTTTGGGATAATAATGGGATCCCAAATCATCCATTCTTGTCAGGGGTCATGGGGGTCGTATGCTCATCATGCTCACCATTGAAGAACATGACTACAGAACGTTGTCACAGAGTGGACCACAGCCCACAGATTGCAACAGGGCTTTTGTCAACAAAACAATTAAATACAACTAATTCTGAATAACGTGTAAATGTTCGCCCTGATTGTGGGAAGAATTATGCAAGCAGTGATTGTCGAGTCCAAAAATCCATTTTCTGTTAATGATTGATACTAGATACTAGATATACTAAGAACCGTGGCGAATCTAGAGTACGTCAAAATAAATTACGGCAGCACATTTTAGCATTATTTACATTATTACACACCTCAGAGGCAAATCCATTGGTTAAATTATATTCTTTAGAATTTAAAAACCTTTTGTGTCCTTCATAACGTAATTTAAATTTTAAGTTGAGGAGCTATAATTGTTTTGACGTAACAGTATCCGCCCATCCGCCCTGGGTCCGCCATTTCGCCAAGTTTTTAGTGAGTTGATAAGACAACAGTGAAACAATGGCTTTTATTTCCCTGATAAATCATTCAGCTCGACAATTGAAACTACTCGCCAAACAGCAGTACATACTAAAACGGACTGCAATCACAGGCTTGGAATGGACTGAGCGATGCAAGAGAATTGATGTTCTGGACTCACACATAAGTTATTACGACTCACAAAGTGCGCATGATGATACGGTTGTTTTCCTTCATGGAAACCCGACATCTTCTTACTTATGGCGTAATGTTATTCCACATGTGGAAGGAATTGCTCGCTGCATAGCCCCTGATCTCATCGGTATGGGTCAGTCAGGTAAACAAAACTTACAACTGTCTCATACACAACAATACGTGTTTGTCGTCTTTTCATTCTCACAGCCACTCCCTTCACAAAACACAACTGTTTTATGGGTGTTGTACATATAATAGCAATTTACATGCAACGCTGTTCACTTCAATTTGTTGTTTCAATTTTTTGAATGAAATTAACTCCAGCTTTGATTCTTGATAAGGTAAATCTGGTAATGGTTCATACAGATTTATTGATCATTTCAAATATCTGTCTGCCTGGTTTGACTTGTTGGACCTTCATCATCCAATAACAATTGTTTGTCATGATTGGGGATCTGGTTTGGGATTTCACTGGTGTCATAAAAATAGTCACTTTGTTAAAGCCTTAGTACATATGGAAAGTGTTGTTGCACCTTTCAAATCTCTGGATGAATGGCCAGAATTTGCAAGAAGCATGTTACGAGAAATTCGCTCTGATGCTGGTGAAGAAATGATACTAAACAAAAACTTTTTTGTCGAGAGAGTTCTACAAATGGGCATCATACGAGAGTTAAGCAAGGAAGAGTTTGAGGCCTACAAGATGCCTTACAAAGAGAAAGGGGAGAGTCGCAGACCAACCCTCACATGGCCGAGGGAGATTCCAATAGAGAGTGAAGGACCTCAAGATGTTATAAACATAGTAGCAAGTTATGGAGAGTTTCTTTCAAAGTCAACTATACCTAAACTATTCATTGAAGCTGACCCAGGATTCTTGAGTGAAACCAAATTCAAACGTGTATCACTCCAATGGCCAAATACCAAAGTGGTGAAAGTCAAGGGCTTGCATTTTTTACAAGAAGACTCCCCTGATGATATTGGTCTTGCAATTCAACACTTCATAAAAAGCATGTAAAATCTATGCATTTCGTTTCCAATGCATCAATAAATCACTTGTGAAAGAATGTTATGTGCAGTGCGGTGTTTGAAAGTAAATGAAGATATGATCTTCGCACTTTTGCTGGACAATTTAAGCAATTATCTCATGAAGGTTCATGCAAAAGTGCGAAGATCATATCTTCATTTACTAATAAATCACTTGATTGATCATATGTATTTTCACAGATAATAAGCACTGAAATAAAGTTTAATTTTGACTCTTCTCTCTATATTTGCAACAGTTTACGTTTAACAGTCATTTCATAAGATATGAAAGAAAATTCATCAAAGAAAGACTAGATGTTTATTCAACTTGCCGTACCTTTCTAACAGTGGCGCCGCCATTTCCAACAATATTCCTGTAAAGATCGATGTAATGTGCTGCCTTTTTTGTCTCAGGTAAAACGTATCGTTCACAAAATGTATCTTTATTAAAAAATTCTTGCGATGAAGGAACTATAGTTTGAAGGAATCCAAGAACAAAATCGTAACAATTATTCTCAGTAGCGTTATATCTACAACGAAAAATTCAAAGGACTAGATCATAATGCGAATTGAAAAGCGGTTGAACATTTTTTGTCATACTTATCGTAACTCCATAATGTGTGTGTGCAATGTTTAGTTAGTGCATCGTCCCATGCATTTAGATTGAACATGAAAAATTTTTGCTGCGTAATGTCCAGCACATTCACAACAATACAAATTGACCAGATCGAGTTATCTTCAACTTGTACGCCATCTTCATAGAAACTGTAAACCAAGCCGCCTAACATGTAAAAAATATAAAAATAAATAATCATGGCTAGAGCGTTTTCAGTTAGTTGTTTCAAGTAAATTTTATCATTATACCAAGCGAAGTTGTTAAACCGATATGCAAGTTATCTCCACTCAGGTAAGTGCTATAAAAGGGAAATGAACAAAATTGTGCTATTAAATTTCACAATGCAGTTCTTTCACAAAGCATTTAGAAATAACTTATCCATACGTCAAAAAGGAGCCATCTGTTGGTTTAAGAATCACCGAGCATCTAGCTTGTCGACTTGAAACGAAAGGTTGTGGTATACAAAATGGCGGCAAAAGAACTGAACCTTCGATTTTCTTTTTACAAATGGAGCATACTCTCGGAAATTTAATGTAGAAAATGTTAAAAGAGTTATCACAATGCCTCATGCAACGGATAGTATATCTTTCGTCCATGAAAATTGTTATAGTGTTAAACATGTGAGACATTAAATCATGGTGTTGTCAAATACATTTCAATACTAACTTTACTCATAGTATAATATGAAGTAAGCCACGTTTGTTTATATCAGTTGCTGACCATTTAATAATGCACTCTCATTTCTAAAACAATGGCCGGCTGATAGTGCTAAACTAACATGAATTTTGGACGATTTTTTGGTCACTTTCAAATGTATAGCAAAAGTCGCCTTTTAACATTACGCACATGGAGTTTAGCAAGGAATATTTGGGGAAATACGAATGAAAGAAAAGTAAAAAGAAACAAAATGTAAGACTTTCAATTTGAAGCATTTTTTCATGGTACATCACCACTCGATACTAAATGCCTTAAAGCCTAAACATTAACAGTTCTAAACAGCAATGACCTTGATGTAAATCACCATTTATAAATACACCTCACACCAGTACTGTCTTTAGTGTATCAGAACTGAAAAAAGGTTTCATTCCTGACTTGAAAGGTACTTCAAATCAAAACGTATTGAGCATCTTATATGACAGGATAACTACCAGTAGAAAGACTTAATATTTTGCAGAGATTAAGGAAAATGGTGGGAAGAGATATAATGCACTGGAGAAACCGTTTCCGAAAGAAGTACGTTGACAACTTCAGTAATACACAATATAACTTTACGCGCAGACCCAGAAACAAATTGTTTTTAAGCAGGAATCGATTACTTTACCAACAATAACTGGTGTAACATTGAGTGGAGAATCATTGGAACTGCCCAAGGATATTATTGGTTTTGTTGTTCTCATCTTATTATGGACTAGAGATCATGGACAGGTTACCCAGTTTGCTATAGTCATAAATATTATTCATTCAATAACACTTAAAGAAATTCGATTCTTTTATGCAGTTGTGCAATATTGATGTTGTTTTTAACGTGAAGCATTCGATTGCGAAAGAAACGAACAACTAAAAATGAGAAATCTTTCGTTGCATTTATGATAGTGAAATATTTTTCCATCTTAGAGAGCGTGTGATACATATCGAAGTGTATTTCAAAAGAACTTTCACACTTCGGATGTGAGGTGTTACGAGGTAGTTTGTTTTAATTGTCATGAGTATCATATCCTTGTAAATTCTTAACACTATGGTTTAAATTTATTTTTTTAGGTTAACCTGCTAGATCGTTGGATATTTAAAATGATGAAGTCATATATTATTACAAATCTGCAAAAGCAGTTACCTTTAGATCGACAGCAAAATTTTTATGTTGCTATGATGGAGCTGCCGAGGTAGTTGACGCAATTTTTGAAAACACGCTAGTTGGCCATGCTGTTTTGATTGACAGTAAGGGACGAATACGATGGAAAGCCCATGGGCCCCCAACAGAGAAGGAGCTGACGTATTTAGTAGATTGCACAAGAACATTACGCCTCGAATGAAATGAACTATGGATTGGTCATTATTTTCATCTATGTGGGAACTTGAATAAAAACCTGGTTTTTACATATGTATATCTGCAGTTTCTTTGACTACTACGACTATTTCCAACGGCAGTTTTATAAATAGACTAGCTTCATACATAATGGTTCCGTTTCAGTTTTTCTCTTTAAACTTTAACCCCTAGTCAACTGATAGGGTTCGTCATTTGAACTAACAGTTTTAAAGAATTACCTATAAGCATTGTGACTCTGTAAGCAATGAACGACCTTTAGGTTAAACGAAAATGTTTTTAAATAATTGATGCAGTATTAAGAAATTGGGGTCTACAAACAACAATTGACGGAAACAAAAAGGTCATGGCTGTGTCAAAAACAAAGCCTGTGGTTACATGACTACGTCACTTACTTTAGTTAGCTGATATGAACCGAGAGATATGCGCTTAATCATGTTATCATATTCATGTGATAAATACTATTTTTAAATATTTCAAATTCAATTATTTGGTATACGTGGCAATTCGTTCCCCCAAAACAATTTGGCAACAGGGATGAGAGGATCATAATATTTCAAATACAATATAACATTTTATATGGCCTGAAATAGAGGTCGTTAAATTGCGCACGGTATCTATTATAATGCAATGCATTAGATTTACGTCACAGGAAAGGCGTAGCAATTACATTGCCTTTGAACGATCCGCAAACACGGAAGTTTTGACTTGTTCGTGTCCTGTGGCATGCCGGATTATATTACATTACAATATAGTATATAAAAGCATGCGCTACATTCGTACAATTTGCATATACGTCAGACAGTCTCAGCGACAATAACAAAAGTCACACACGTGAGGATAGTCAGACAACTTTAAAACCTTTAACATTAAAAATGGGAAATTTTACGTTATCGCCAACATTATTTCAATGCCTTAGAAAGCAAAGAAAAAATTCCACGTCAAGAAGCTCTTTTAGTTCTTCTGTATCCAGTGAAAACATGCAAACGACGAGTTCGTGTCGCAATTCTATGGCTTCAACTTCTGCCAGCTCTTCATCCACGATCTCTACATCCAGTGGAAGTAATTTATTAAAACAGTCGGTGAAAAAAACTCAAAGCTCAAAGAAACAATACAAATCGTCACCATTCACAGGACCATCAGCGTTTTCGCGCTCTTTAAATGGCGGATATTCATCAAGTGCTGCAGATCTGGCCGCCATACACTCGTTTCGTTTTATTGGACGTTGAAATTCAAAGTACGTGGAGTCCTTAGAGGTCCACGTTCTTTGATAGAATAACATATGGATTTTGCATAAAACATGAAACTAAGTATTACCCAATCACCAGTGTGTATATTGGAAGCATATGTAAACATTACATCGAACGGGTATATGTAGATAACTATGTTTTTATGTTTATAAGTTGTACTTTTGTGGAAGATATTATGGACAGCATGTAATATTTCTTGAAATTATGTAAAAAGCTTTTAATTTTTATATGTAAGTATGTGTACATAATAAATTACAGACATTGTTTGTGTTATAACTTGACCAATCAGAACTGATTTGGGTTATTGAGTGGCAACGTATTATTTGTTTCGCTTTGGTAACAAAAATTAGATTAAACGGACTTTGACATTTTAGACAACGCATGACAAAAAATGGCGTGACAAAAATAATATGATAATAGATAAGCTGACGGTGACAAAATCCGCAAACATCTAAAATTTCTGAAAAAAAGCACAACAAAAATTGGCCAGATTGTAGCCATTAATCATCGAAGTGCTTGATGCATCGTTCACCCCATTAAGTGTCCTTCAATGCCCTTTTATCTTATAAATAATATTTCAATGGAAAGAAAGCGTAATGCAACCAACATAACATCTACCACAGAGAAAATTTCATATTGCTTTTATAAATGTTTTAAAAATAACACCTCTTCAACAGTGATCAGAGTACAAAGATCAAAGAAACCCAACAACATTGAAGACATACCTAGCTGAAGGTCAGCAAAACTCGGAAATTCCTCTAATATGTTAACTTCGCAGGCCAATGATTAAATTGTTGGGCAAACAAAAGTGCTGCTATTATAAGCTAAGATGATAAAACATAGGAGAATTTCCTAATAATATAATAATGGTAACAAACATCAGTTTGACAACATGCCAGACTAAATGTGGTATTTTAATTGAGTAAAAATTTTCGATTTTTCCATTGTTCTCTGTTACGCCAGCTTATAACGTCAACATGTCAAATTCAACAAATTTTTGACCGAAAAGTTTGGCTTGGATAATACGTAAAAAACGCGAATTGCTTCTATAATGTCTTCTTTTGATAAAATGCTTTCCTTGTTTTTGCTAAATATCCGAAGCAAGCTTAGCACACAATATAACAAGTAATCAATGCATGTTAGCGTTATATATTAAAAAGATAAAGATCAACTCATTAATGACCAATAACTGTCATCCACTGACTAATCATTAGCCAATGTTTTCGTACGAAATACAAGAAAAATATATTGAGAAAGTTAAATATTACAGTCACTCCTACAGTCATAAAATGATAGCTAAAAACTTAGAATATTTTTCTTGGCATTGATAATGATTTTTTTTTTTTACTTTAAATAATCAGTCATAACAATGGTGACATATTATTTAGATTAAAAAGCAATCATCTTTTTAATCATGTAACAATTGTAAGTCAACGATTCCTACTTTTCAAAAATAAACTGCACAACGGCTTACAGTTGGATATTTTGATATAGACATATCCAGCATCGTGCAACTGCAACTCTAGATAACTGCAACTTTCCGTAAAAGAAGTAGCACAAGCTGCATAGCCATGATTAAATCATCGTGCGGTGTGTAATTTTGTTATAAATCTTACTTTTAATGAGGCATATCTTAGCTGAGCTTTTTTTCATCATCTCTGCTGTAAAACAAAAGCGACAGCAAAATAACCGCATGGCAGACGTGGAGTGCAAGCGAGCTAACATTTGTAGATGGATATGTATTCCAACACAATTCTATCACACCAAGTATTAAAATTCTGAAAATGAAAAAGTTAGAAATAGTAGAAATTCTGTCATTTGTCAACCATTCATCAATTTATTGCATTCATATGTACATTACGCCGAACTAACCTTAATGGAGATGATAGTTTTGTATCCCACATTAGAAATGGTAAAGTATGAAAGTACCAAACGTAGAATTGATAATGTAGCGATCGACAAAAACACATACCAATAAAATTTGAGGTAAACAACAAACCCAGGATATCTTCGCTAAGTTAAGCAAAGAATAACTTCTATTCTATCAATAAATATTACACTATGACAACGTTTTCCAACAAAAAAGGATACCGTTTGTGGATAAAGTTTTGTACTGATAAGTCTTATCAAAATATCTTGTCACTTTGCGAAAAGATCTGCAATATTTTAATACCACGTATTGTAAACAGCCTATGACTGCTGAGCTTAACGACAAAGTGAGCAATACTTACCCTTTCCATTTAAAGAAAAAAAAGACGATTAAAAACGTGATATGAAGAATCAAAAGCGCCATATGAAAATAACGATTCAAGAATATTGTTTCCGATAAAAAACGCCAGTTCACAGTCCATTTGAATAAAAACTGCCGTCCCAAATTAAAAGATCTAACAATGTAACCAACTGGATTGGCAAGTAAAAAAGGAACAGCCAAAATCAATTGTGGCAAAGCACATATAAATAGTTTTCCAGGGCACCCAAAAGCCATGCGATTCCAGTAACAAAACCAAGAGTCCAGGTGCAAATAGCAAAATATTCATTTTGACACTGACAGCCAAACTGTAAGAAAAACTGGCTCATGAAAATAGTGAAATTTAAAAATTGAACTAAAAAAATATTAGAGTTCAAATATAAATAGTTATAATATATCATAAATTAAATTCTATAATCTTACCTGAAAATAAGGCATCCCCAATTCCACGAATGATTAATAAACAAATATGTAGCAATATAAAAAAGAAACATTGCCACAGGATCATTGAAAAGTCGAAGGATATAAATTGAATGAATTCTGTATGATGCACAGCACATGAAGAAGAATACAAATGGTGGAACCTAACATAAAGAAATGCTATATCAAATATAAATATGAAATCATGAAATACAATTAACTGTTAAGTTTATATACAACAATTGAAGCAAGTAGTAATTACCCTTGATGATTTCTGATAAATTGAAAAAAGGAGAACCAATGTTCCCATGTACAATAAAAGGAAAATATACTGAGCAAGCCGAATATTGCTTCCATTTTTAGTCAAATAGTATAGAGCACTGAAGATGTAGACAAATCCAGCAGGGTAACTGCAATATATTTTGGGACAATATGTTTATAAGTATACTGTACTCATGGCTTCCACTAGGTAGCTTAAGATACATACACAAGTGGTCCTGTGGCACCCTGAAGTTTTGTATAATCATGAGTGCCATTCAAAAATCCTTCCACTTCTTGCATGTACGCTTCCCAGTCTATTTCAGTGTCTAAAAAGACAAATGCAATCTTCCATCACTCCATGATCTTAATGTACTGATCTACTACACTTCCTTGCTTCTGCTTGATAGTAAAATAATTTAACGTTATCATCAAACTGTCCTGTGTGGAATTTGCATGAATGGAGACGTGTATTACAAAAAGTTAAATCGACCAATAATTCTTATATAAACATTGCAGGCTATTATATTATAATTATATTAAACTGTTTACATGGAAATAAAATCAAATATTTAAATAAGCAAAATAATTACACTTTATTTTCCATATAACAAAGATATTGACAAATATCTCAGCTGAACAAAGGAGCAAAGCCACAAACCAAGTTTTTCTAGGTTCAAATAAGGCCATTCTGATAAAATCTATTGCATTACTGAACCAGAACTTTACATTGTATAAACCTTTCCGTTTCTTGACAGAAGCCATTTTAGAAGATTTTAAACATGTGTTTTCTTACTTTTCATGCGTCAAACGTAGATACTAAGATAGGAGTTAATTAATGATAAATCTGAGCGATGTAAACTAGCATAAACAAAATCAACTATGGCAACCAAATATTGGCTTTCAATGCTTTCCACTCGGTGGATTTTGCACGCAATCATATATTCGCTTCTGTTTACAAGTGGAAAAACACGATTGTGTACTTATTTTGGTAAGCATAGCAGTATTAGAGTGCACATACTTTACGAGCAAATTAATACCAATGTATAAACTAAAAGAATGATAGCATAATGCTTTATCCAACAACTACAAACAATAACGACCTTATCTAACATTTGAGAAATTAACCTTCCACTCCTCTTCCTAGGAAAGGGAAACTTTTTGTTTAATAACATTCCAACTGTTTAACCTTATAATGTATAAACTACAAATATCGATACATTTAGCTTTTTGCATTATTATAAAAATAAAGTATAGGACTACGCGAAAATTGTATAGTCACAACATTAAATTTGTCGATAGGCTTTTTTAAAGATTATAGTTGATTTGGTTATTTTTAAAAACTTTTGTGTCAGGAGATGACCGTTTGCCAGAAGAGGAGTACAGTCTTTCAAATTGCACGTGGTATCGTGAGAGTGCTTGCTGCAAAAGAACAGAAGTTGCATCAGTTTTCAGAGAGATGCCAGCACTCTTGACCAAGAACAAAGGATGTTATAACAGGATGAACTATCTTATGTGTTATTTCTGTAGCCCACAACAAAATCTTTGGTACAACCAGACATTATCCATTTGCCATTCCTATTGCGAAGACCTTTACAATCATTGCAGTTCAGCCGAGTACAACGGTCAATCTATTTTAAGCCATTACGAAAGCGGCATAGCGTTTTGCAAAGCTCTTGCATTTAATGTCGTTGGACTTGAACGTGAAAACCATGAACACTGTTATGCGTTTGATGAAAAATTGTTTCAAAGTAATGGAAGTAACCATGTATTTTGTATGTCAAATTTTGTGAAAGGTTTGCTGATGCTTTTAATGTTTTTTGTACAAAAACATATTTAACCATGTTTGTGTAAAGCACGAGACCGGGCGTCGGGCGAACGGTGTGCCAAAAGCTGTTGCAGGGCACGTTTTTGGAACATATGAATATATTGTTGGCAAATAATGTAAATAAGTATGGAATTTAATTGACATATAATATAAAAGAAAAAGGAAATAATCATAAGGCATTCCTCGCCTTTCGGGTGCAGTAATTCTATGAGAGCCATCAGATAAATAGATTATAAAGAATTTTCACGCCAAGTTGATGATACGAACCAAACAATGACTTCTCTATTCAACAAGATGAACGTGATATTTCAAATATCAACATCCCTTTCAACTAGGTATCACCTAGGATACGTGAATCATTAGCAAAGACGGCTATGACCGGATATTCAGCTCATTTTACAAATACACCAAAACCTTTTTTGGACTTCAAATATCCTCCAAGTGTTGGGTGTGCACAAGGAAACCGTGACGTCATTAGCTAACAGTAAAGCAAATAGCACACGACTATTTTCAACATAGAAGTAAACGAGCTTTGTATATAACTGCATTTATACTAACCAAGCTATACTAAAGTTTTTCACGAAATGGGAACAATTGCTACGAGCTTTAAAGCAAAGAAGGTGCATTTGATAAACGAAAGATATCAAATTCAAGAGAAATTAGGTGAAGGATCCTTTGGTGTTGTATTTAACGGTCTTGATACAAAAAAGAACGAACGGGTAGCTATCAAACTTGAGGTGAGAACTGGTTCACTTCTTGCGAAGGAATGGCATACTTATAAGTTACTACGAAACGCTGTTGGTTTCCCAAAAGGTTGGTTAATATAAAGTTGACTGCTGATATTATTCTTATTATTAGCGTTTATAGACGTCCAAACAGTTGAGAATCAATTTTGTTAAGAACCAATATCTGTCGAAAGAAGCACTCAGTTCTTATGTGCATGTGGAATGGCTATTAACTTTGTTTTCACCTAAAAAAAATATCTCTTTCGGCAGAATATTTCCCTTGTGAAAATTTGTGTAAGAAAACTACTTTACAACACACGCGTGTAGTGGAAGAATTATCTCAAAAGATTGAACGAGTCCAGTTAGTTTAAATTATTTGATTAGATATTGTCATCATTATAATCAATTTACGACAAAAGTAAATAGATGCGTTTCTCTGATAATAAATGTATTGTCATTATGTTTCCGATCATTACATGTTGAGATTGCTAATTATTTTCTTACGTAATAGTGAGATGGTTTGGTCAGATCATGCCCTTCTACGACGTAATCGTAATGGATTTGCTCGGAAAGAATTTAGGAGAGTTGTTTAGAGAATGCGGCAATCGTTTTTCGATCAAAACAGTTTTGATCCTAGCAGATCAAATGATCAGCCGTCTGGAGTACTTACACAACATGAATATCGTTCATAGAGATATAAAACCAGAGAATTTCGTTATGGGTTTAGGCAACACAAGAAATACACTGTATTTGGTGGACTTTGGCTTATCAAAACGTTTCCGTGACTCTTACACAAACCAACATATCTCATTTCGTGACGGGAAAAATTTGACAGGAACAGCTCGATATGCAAGCATCAACACACATCAGGGAATCGAGGCAACACGAAGAGACGAGTTGGAAAGTGTTGGCTACGTGATGATATACTTCCTGCGAGGTTCGTTACCTTGGCAAGGGATTACGAAAAAACTATGCAAAAAGCAGAGGCACACCAAAATAGGAGAGATAAAACGCGATATGAAATTAGATGACCTTTGTAGGCAATGTCCCAAGGAATTAATACGGTATATATCTTACTGTAGAAACTTGGAATTTACGGAAAAACCAGATTATACAAGCCTTAGACAAATGTTTCGCGATTTACTTAAAAACCTTGGCCACGAATATAATTACGACTACGAATGGTCAGAAAAAGGATCAGGGAACAGTTATTTAAGCACATTTCCGTGCAACTATAACAAAGATGTCGTGACTTGGTTGTGATGCAAGTGAAAATAGAAACGTGGTCGATTCGTCGATATGAAGAAATATATGGAAAAAATGTTTAATATATTTCTAATTTAAATGTTTAATCGTTATTTATATATTATAAAATGTATTTAATAAATGAACGTTTATTTAAAAGGTAAGAGTGCAATAAAGAGTTTTGTTCATTGATAATGATGATAATTTACAAGTGAGAGTTTCCTGAACTTTTATTTTAATATTGCAACGAAACTGTTTCTATGCACGAACAGCAGCACATTTTTCAAATTTTCTTCATCATCATGAAAGAGTCAAACCTCGCCATCAGAAATGGCAACTGCAACACCAAAGCCTTCAATGCAAGCACAACTTAAAGAAGCGAATTGTGCATTTAATAATCAAAAGTTATTTGAATCGCAATGTTCTCACAAGATCAGCTTGTTCCGAGCTTGTTTACGCTAGTCATTAATAAAAGTTCCTTACGATTCCTCAAAAAAGGAAACAACATTGCCTGCAGCTAGGCACAAGTGCAAAACAACACGCGTGACCTATTTCACCACGCGGGACTCTCGCACTTTAAATGATTGCAACCAATCGAGAGCACGATAGTCCTTCCATCATAAACACACGATTGAAACTTCGATTCATTCCAAGGTTCATAAGACATCTACGCAATTTTCTAAGCCTTAAAATGGCATCGACGTCTGATGCTCGTTGCGAGTTTGTTATAGGGAACAAATTTCGCGTACTACGAAAGATTGGAAGCGGTTCATTTGGTGATATATACCTGGCCGTCAATCGCCATACGGGCGAAGAGGTCGCAGTCAAACTAGAACTACAGAAGGCAAGACATCCTCAACTGTTGTATGAATCGAAACTGTATCGTATTTTACAAGGAGGAGTAGGAATTCCCAATGTCTTGTGGTACGGTCAAGATCGCGACGTTTACAACGCACTTGTTTTAGAACTTCTCGGGCCAAGTTTAGAAGATCTTTTTAATTTCTGTTCACGTCGTTTTACAATGAAGACAGTGCTTATGTTGGCCGATCAAATGATAAGCAGAATCGAGTATGTTCACAACAAGAATTTCATTCATCGGGATATCAAACCCGATAATTTTCTTATGGGAGTCGGAAAGTCTTGTAATAAAGTCTACCTAATCGATTTTGGCCTGGCCAAGAAATACAGGGACAGTCGTACTTATCAACATATACCATATAGAGAGGACAAGAATCTTACCGGTACGGCTCGTTATGCCAGTATAAACGCTCACTTAGGACTTGAACAGTCAAGACGGGATGACCTGGAGTCCTTAGGTTATGTTTTGATGTATTTTAATCGTACCAGTCTACCGTGGCAAGGATTGAAGGCAGTGACAAAGAAGCAGAAATATGAAAAAATTAGCGAGAAGAAAATGTCCACACCCGTAGAGCTTCTCTGTCGAGGATTTCCTGCTGAATTTGCTATGTACCTTAATTATTGTAGAAATCTACAATTCATGGATAACCCTGATTATATGTACCTCAGACAGCTGTTCAGGATTCTTTTTCGCACACTCAATTATCAGTATGATTACGTTTTTGACTGGACAATGTTGAAGCAGCGAGCTGCACATGGTGTGGGTATAACAACACCAAGGGCATCAGTGAATCTACCAGCTATGTATCACAGTGGACTACCAAGAGATGTTCACCATTTGCCAGGAAACCTTCATCATGAAGGAGCAACATACATGACTCCCATTTCTAGAAGTGGAGGTCATTCTTCAATGAGCCAGAGATACACCAACTTTAGACTGTAATGTTCGCATTCCACTAACTTGCTTGGGTAGCACTTAATTGTAAGTTCATTCTTATTTTGTTCAACTTATTTGAAAAGGGAAACTTGGTCCTTTAGACAAGCCAAAGAAAGCCATTTATATTTTACATGAAAATCTTTTTATTCCACTGTGTGGAAGTCATTTTGAATCCTGAACTGCAAAATGTTAATAATTTTGCAATTACACTGTACTTTGTTAATTTCAAATATTCTTTTACGAATTAAAGTAATTATGTTGAATACTAAGAAATACTGTAAATTTTACCCATGTATAATATGTGTATTTAGAAAAACAGACTATTAATTTAATTATTTATCCTTATTTTGCTATTTGTGATTAACAAAATTAATACAATACCTTTGATTACAGTGTACAATAAAAACAATGAACTCATCTTTTTTGCCAATTGTCATTAGCCATTTTCATTCTGAAAAAAGTTTCTTCTAGAAAACAAGTACTTTCTCAGCAACTGTGAAATGAGTAAGTTAACAACAGTATTTTATGATCAAAATATAACGGACTTACCTTTTGAAATGCAAACACATTTTTAGAAATATTTGGTGCAATGAATTCAGAAATACAAAATAGTCTGTGTTAAATTTAACTGTTTAATAACAAATGTATGAAATGCTCTTTGGCCTCACTACTCATAGTGTCTCTTATTTCAACATCATCCTTCAAAGAATTTTGGCAATTCTTTTCCCAAAAGCACTTTCCTTTCCAGACCATCTTTAGTGATTGCAGCCATTCTGATAACACCCCCTGATGAGCCATCTCGTGACATTGCCAATGATACAGCTGTAACAAGGCAAAAATTAGTGCTTGTGCTAAGCAAGAGGGTAAAAAATGAAAAATGAAATCTTCTCACCATTAGCGACAAACTGAAAACATTCATCTTTAGTCATTCCTTCTTTGAATGTAGCATCACAATGCCCATAAATATATGTACTACCAGAGCCTATACAAACCATATTTATGAAAAACAGCTCACATGTAGTGCACATGCTGTATTACAGTAGCCAGTTCTTTACTAAGAGATTAACAGCCAATATCAGTGCACCTATTTTTGCTTTCAAATATGGAGATTTGCAACAAAGCAACAAGATTTTCAAGAGAAAGGTTAAGGAAATAAGCTTTAATACATGTCATCAAAATAACATCACTCTAAATCGTTTATTGCATGAAGTTTTACTATCAATCAAGCTTCATTGCATTTAATTATGGTTGCTGGACAACAAACAGCATATAGCAAAGAGTTAATTGTATTTTAATCACTTCCAGCAGCATCTATCATGAATGGCATCCATTACCGGAAAATAACATTATATACCTGTGCATGCTTCATGCCAACAAGATTTAAGATTTACTTATTTTATTGGTTGATATAGATTGCTCTTATAATTTCATACTGTATTCTTACATGAATTTTTGCTATCAATTTAGTTTCATGATTATTGCTGTGCAATGACATCATGCAAGAAATGGTAAAACCAAATGTAAAACACACATCTTGATGTTAAAATAATTGAAATTTGACAGTTTTGAATGAACTATTTAAGTCATATTTTTCAATTTTGGATTTTTGTCTAAAGCCAGTACTATTTTGTACACTGGTGTGTTCTGTATTCATTGACAAACTCAATTAACCAAAAAACTACTTAATAAATGTTTAATAGATGACGTTCAATAAAAAGTTTGATATTTTATAAAATCATATCAATTCCTTCTCTAATTCCCAAAACTCACAAAAATGACTTAGGCATAAAAGTTAGTAATGTGACATTAAATGAGTGTGCTGCACTCGGTCACTGTTTACACCATAGAAAAACTTATGGAAGCCAGATTTTCAATCACATGTCATTTGCCAACAATAAAATTTTGTACTTTAATAAAACATAAATAATGACATTATGTGCTAAAGTTATCATACCTCCAATTGTAAATGGCTGCCTTACACACATTCCTCCAAGTGGAATAGAGTATACCTAGTGATCAAGCATTAACAATTAATGCAAATAAAATAATAGAAATAACATTTTTTTATGGCAGTTTACATATAATACCTGTCCACCATTATATTCATCCCAACCGGCACAAATGATTCCTGCAGACAGGGAATCACGGTAGTCATAACAGAACTTCTTAAAAATATTCGCGGCAGTTGTAACTTGAGGATCTTTACCAATCTCTCGACTTAAATAAATGAACATATTTTTATGAAATGGTCAATAAGTGAATTATGAAAACCATAAATATACCAATAAAAGTCAAGATAATATTTCACAATATCAGCAATGGCTTGTGTATCAGCAGCTGAACCTGACCGACAGCAGTAGATCTTGTCTGTGATTGGAGTTAGTTTATCTGTCACACGATTGGCTATGTATGATCTTTAAATAAAAATTATAATGTCCAAAAACAGTGTACATTATTTTTTATAACTTAAATATATATCTTCAGCAAACAATGTAAGGCATTAAAAAGCTTTATTCATGTAATAATTAGTGAAATTCTTACAATTTGTGAGCTTTGTAAGACTTAAAACAAGGTATTATTTTGTCAGTTAGTTGCATTAAAGTATTTTAATGGTATTGTACAATGAGCATATTTCAGTTTAATGAAGTCAATTGGATTGCAAAAGGCTTTCTCAACTATATTTCAAAACAATTTTAAGAAGAATTATCAAAATACCCAGTGGTTGTGCGAGAATCTGCGCCAATAACTACTCCATCTGCAAATTCCACTGCCATAATTGTCGTCTAAAAATAAGAAAAATACACGTAAAATACGTCGAATTTTAAATTTTTTAATAGTCAATGAGCATTAAATTCACCCCAGTCAAATGCTGTGAATTAATCCAATCAGGATAATCAAAAAAAGGTGAATTTTTGAAGTTCTGAATTCTAGTCGACATTGCCTCCATTTTCTGCTTAAATGGATTGAGCCCGCAATAATCACTGGAAAAACTTCATATAATTCAAATATATACTTAGGCCACGACGTTGTCAGGGTAGTAAAGTACTAGCGTGTTGTTTCCATTTTCCATATCAAATGTGCACACAATATTTCGAGTTTCTTAGATTTCTGTGTCGTTAATGAAAGAATAGATGGGTCTAAAGAAGGTATGAATTGAAGCTTTTCTGTGTTTTGAATACAAAAAGAACAAGCACCTATGCCTTTAGTGTATATGTGTGACCATTTAGGGCCAGTAATACCACTTTCATCTAAGTATTTTCATGTTTTAGTCCTATATCATACACATGTCTTGTTTGAGCTTTCACTAAAACAAATAGTCACTCTTTTATTTCAATCATTCGTTCAGAGTTTTTTAAATTTCTTGATTACCGACGATATTTTTAGTTGAACTCAGAGTACAATTCATGCTTCAAGACATTTCGCGTGCAAAGACCAGTGACAACAAAAGCAAAGCTTTACCCAACAGACACAGCCCCCGAGACGTTAGATAGCAGTCGTAGAGCCGGTCTTCTCTCAAATCAGTTCAGTCAAGTGACAGAGCCAGCACTACAAAGAAAGCGAATTGTACCATACAAATACAATCATAATATTTTGTCAACAAACACGGTAAAGGAACTCAGCGACAATGACTGGTTGGTAACGGTTGGCAATGAAGAGGACGAAGTTCGAGTAAGTTCAGCAAGAATGTTGCTCTGTGCGAAAATTTTGTCTTGAAGGATAATGGCTCTTACTTGTGGATGTTCTAATTTTTCTTCGTTAGATTTCAAAAATGCATTTTCTGAAATGGGCACTTTCATTTGTTGTGATTTTTTAGAATACGAAAAATAAAAAGGACAGCGCATACAATGTTGGATTTGACAAGTTGAAAATTGCTGACGAAAGTCCAGTAGAGCTCGCCAGTAAAACGAGGGACAAAAAGAAATCGACTGCGATGTGGGCAGAACAGCAGAGAGCTCTGGGTATTCTATGCTTGCTAACAAGCACTGGTTTCCTGTAGAAAAACACTTTACTTTAACTGAGTTCATTTTACTTTCAGTTGATTCTCTGGACAGATTACCTGCTGCTGGCATAGCAACATACACGGCTGATCCTCATGACAAACGTTTATTAAGACATTCTGATAATCATTTTAATCCTCACATAACAAACGAAGAACTTAGGTATCATATTTTTATTTTATTTCACAGACAAATATCACAATTACAGTAAACAAAATTTAAAGTGTGGAGAAGACATTATCACACCACAACCGAAATTCATTGACTATTTCCAGCTAACTTCTCCTTAATTTTTATTCCTTGAACTTAGGAGCTCAATGACCGAATACAAGACAAAGTTTGATAACGGTTCAACATGTTTTGGAGCTCACGTAAGACCTCCACCATCCACCAAGATTGATATGGCCATTTATGAGAAAGTATGAAGAATTAAAGCCAGCTCACACTAGTTCATTTTTCAAATATTTATTGAAAAATTTCTCTTCGTTACAATGTGTAGGCTCTCCAACAAAGACAGGATGCGTACGGTCTGTCAGTTACACCAAATAGAGACGATATCAAGCAAAGAGTTTTCTCAAGGAACAACACTTTGCAACATAAAGAGAGCCGTCCGAAAGTTCATGTTTACGGGGAAGATTTTAAACGCTCTCGCTCAAATATGTCTTCTGTAAAAGAGAAATACACAGAAAAGCCCCATGTTTCACCACGAAGCCAAAAGAACTCAAGTTTGAAGTCCAAATCTAAGATGATGAGAAGTCAACAAGGTGACCTGGATGAGAAAAGTTTAAACTCCTCGATCATTGCATCTAGAGAAAGAAACTCCACAACTTCTAGACAAACAGCCAAGAAAAAAGCGCCGAAATCCAAAGAGAATGATAGTGTGTATGATGCATATGTCGCTTCGCCTGGATCTTCCAGCACTTCACCCCAAAAAATCTCTACAATCAAGTCTTTTCGTAGGCATAATACTAGACAAAGGAATGCTGCAAATAACACTTCCAACTCTGAGCCAGACATCTTGTCTTCACACCACTCTCTGAGAAGTTATCAGCGCACAAATAGAAAAGAAAATCAAACCGAGTATGACACAAAAAATAGTCCACAAAACATGCAAAACAAGCACCGTGTAAGTCGTAAACAAGCCTGGCAGACCGAAATTGTCAAGGGATTGAATGCAACTTCAAAGTATACATATGAGAGAGGAAGGTCGCCAACACCTGAAATGCGCACAGCTGGTCAGTCTCGAAGACATCATTTAGACATTACAACAGGGTCCAACAATCCACTCAGTACATATGACAGGATAGCATATGATCCTACTCGATATAGTGATGTTAGTGGGTCACTGACTTCCGGCATGCAGTCATGAAGTGTCTGAAAAAAGAAAGTCTCATTAAAGACAGTGCCAGCTTCTTACAGCTATTTTTAACAGCTTTTCTGTTAATGGTGTATGGTGTTACATGTTTATACTGTTATTGTGTTCACGCGCGTGTATGTAATCATCAATATCTAAATCTTAATAGTACAATAAAAAATTCTGTGAGAAAAGTTTGATAAATCATCGACAACTTCATGTGAAAAGATTAATATAGTCTTCGTAACATTGATTGTATTACGATTACATAATTATACGTAACTATAATTATGTAACAACAATGAATAACAAATGTGCGTAATTATGTTGGGTGAACAATAGACCAATCAGGGAATTGTAGGGTGATAAAATACGTTCAATAATGCAACACCCAAGCTGTATATTTAGAGAATTGTGAACGAAGTATATTATTTTAATCATGAAGTACATTTATAACTATAAACAATATTGTTATGATTGAGTGTTTCTTGTTTATTAATTATTTATGACAAATAGCTAAATGAATGCTATAAAAGTTGTAAAAAGTTCATGATTTATCAATCATTTTACGAACAACCTGGAATGTCAAGAGGATACTTTCTGTGAACGAATGTTACTTTGACAAAATGATGATGAAGAGCATGTTTATTGTTGTATGTATACTTTTGAAATGTTCACTCATTGACGGACGTTGTAACTGTGGCGGAAGTTATTGGTTTTATTGCTGTAAGGTAATGTTTGACATTCATATGTTTATCTATAAAAGCGTCAGCTTCGTTGTAAAAGATTTTCTGCGATTACTAATAACAGTCATCTAGAAATTACTCAATAAATCAATGAAACTACGCCAATTAAAATAAATTTCAATGAGATAACGAAAAGTTAGAAGCCATGTATAGTTTTAGTAAATACTTCCAGTTTTATTTACTAAATTGATTGCAAAAGTACACCATCACATTGTATATTTAATATTTCCGCCCATTATAACCCAATATAACATCCCTAAACCATAAATTAACAAAATTTGATTGACGTTCTTTTCTGCAGCCAGGAAAGGAAACAAAACGCACATATGAGGAGATAATCCGTCCCTACGAAAAGTCCAAATATGAATTGAAAAGTTTTCTTTTAGCAGGAAAATTGCAAAGAAAAATAGCAGCTATTATGAAAAAACAAATACATAATACAACACAGTGGAAACATAACCTTGTTAAATAAAATTTAGTTACGACTAAGTACAAATATCAAAAATATAAAACTAAACTAAATGTATTGAAAATAAATGTATTGACACCTAAACGATGCTGAATGCATGTTGGGTTGATATTTCATCAATGTCTATGTTTGTGAAATTATTTTTACAATTGTCTTTTAATTTGAAACATATTTTCTAAGACGCTCTTGATTGAGTAGCAGAAGTAAAATTATGAAATTATTAGAAATTCTTTTTATCATCAGGGCATATTGGCCGCCACGATCCACAAAATGTTTTCTTTCCGTCAGATCTTTTTACTCTGAGGAAGCGCGAGCATCCTCCGGGAAGACGAGCAAGCCACAGCGGGCAAAGTTCTAAAATCGTCCCAAATACATCAGGAGCAATCTGTTTAATGTCGTTTTTTCTGTTAGCTGGCATAGGATTTGCCAAAGAAATGAACAGAAAAAAGACAACAATGACACACATTTTAAAGGCCAATTTCATACTAAAAGTAAAAAAATATAACAAATTTTTGCAAGGTAAATCTAGCAACGGTTTTAAACTATCTCGGAATTTTAAAACAATAAAAAGACCTCACACTAAAATCAATTTAACTGACTCGTATAGCATCACCCCAAAGGCAAGGTTAAAATACAAGAAAAAAATTACATATGCATTGAAGAATACGTACCTTGATAAAATAACTGAGATATTTTTCTTTTGGTATTTTTTATAGAGTGCTTGATCCTTTATATGATATCTGTCAAATGTTCCTTCTATATCACTGATAACAAACTCTTTACAGATAGTCAAACTGAATCATATGACTCTTTCCCCAAAGTACAAACGATGTTCTGTGAAGTTTCGATGTGCTTATTAAACCGATAGTCCAGCTAGATCACACTTATATGTAATCGTCTTTCCATCAACAACCTCTCAATTTCTTTGTTTGTTTCCGGTTGTTAAAATACGTGCGTAGCTTGATGATGGCCAAAAACATGGCTTGGCGACCGCCAAGAGCCGGAGAGCGTCAAAAAAACCTCATTACCGCTATGCACACGAATGTTTTTTTTTTGAAAAAGGAAGTTCCTTCACCGTAGCGTTTATGCATGCATGCCCAGTATAGCAATACATGTCGCCATTAAATAATGATTGATGATCATATATACATTCGAGAGAATAGTATCAAAGAAATCAGACAAAATTTAGCAAGATGAAATCATAAGAGCTATAATAACAGTAGAAACAAACAATTTAAAATCTTAAGTATACTTAAATTGAGTATAAAATGGATGATCAAACTTAAAGCTACAAGAATAATATTTCTATAGTACTTTCAACTCTCAGTCTAATTGGTTTCTTAAATTTTTCTCATTGTTTCACTCAACTTAGCAACAATGAGCTTATTCTGCATGGCATGAAATTGCATTTTGTCATAAAATTACAAACTGAGCAAAACAAAGTTGTGTGGACCTATATGTTTTAAGGTTTAAATCTTCAAGATATGACAGACATTGAAAGAATCATAAATGAGTTAGCTAAAGCATCTGTTTTCGCTATCAACAATCCACAGATAAGTGTTTACAGTTAAGGTGTCGAGACTGGTTAGAGTCTGCGCAATGATCTGCTTTTTCCATAATTACGTCAATTTACCTTAAATTTTCTTCAGACGGAAAGTCTTGCTTTATTTTGGCACAACATTACTTTCCCAAAACTTCGGTGACTCCGTTGAATAACTCAGTTACCAAATATTACTTTGATCTTAAAAAAAAGAAATCGAAGGGATCGAGTTGTTGCGTCGCATATTTATAAACAAATATCACCTTGATCACTACAAATGAATTAAAAAAAAATGAGTAGAGTCGAATATTTGTTGGTAACTGAAAATTACATGAAAGTTACATCACAAAAAAAGTGAATTGCTGGGTACAATATTTTTAAAATATTTGGAAAATGCTCAAGAAAGCTAAGTAGTTGGATTATATCTCTAGCTGCATAGGATTTTGAAAACCACAATTATAAGAAAGGCTTCTATTAATTTACAACGCCGAAAATAAAGATGTTGAAAAGATCCGGATAGGATTTTATTAGAGGTTTTTTAAAATCAAATGTCCTTTGACAGAAAAGAAAGACATTCCATACAACAAAAAGTGTTGAAGTAGCTAACTTCAGTTAAATCAAGTTCCTATAAAATGGAACTCAATATAAAAAATAATAAAGTCCACGTGTTGTGTAATGAAGAATGTAACAAACACGTGTGTATGCAAGGAAATTATGTAACACAATAAATATCATGAGTTGTTGTTGACAAGAACGAAGATGCTAGAAAAAAAAACAAGCAAACACCAGATCATTATTTCTATGATATTTTCCGATCGAAAAGATTTTCAATGAAATGAATCTATGAAAGGGTAGAAAAAGACAAGATAAGAGTAGCCATTAATTATGTTACTATTTATTGGCATAAACATGTTGAACTTTTTCCATATCTTTAGCGGATATTGGTTTTACAAGAGTACAGGAATGTACAAATGCTTTCAAATTTTCAAAAAACAAATCACACGAAATTTGAGCACTTGTTTTAAGTAGCCGTTGTAAAGATAAACCAGTGACCTAAAGTTTTTTTGGCATACATTTCTAATTGCAGCTCAAAAATTAGAATCGGGGTTGAGAAGTGGGAATTGTAGCCATACATATTTTTAACTATGGAATGATGAACATAGCTACAATCGTAAAACAAAAACAATATTGATTGTTTATTAGTTTTATTTATATGCCGTCACTAGGTATAAGAATATATTTGAACTAAAGAAACTCAATGAATAATTATCATCACTGCCTTTAAAAATGTTCTCATTTTTTGAGCTACACTTTTGTGTGTAGTGAGGTAAGAAAAGTAAAACACGCTTCAGCCATGTTGTAAAAGTAAAAGAGGACTGATGGGAAAAAGTTGTTTTGGTAGAAATACGACATATACGACATGCGACTTTAATCAAAATGCTAAATAACCAAACAGTCTTTGAACGTGTTGGCCTTTAAATTATTTTTAGCATTGCTCAGTTGATAACTGCTTGACCAGACAAAAAGAAAACTTCATTTCCTGATCATTGTAGGCTTTCGCAGAGAAATTATTGTAATAAATAAAAGTTTTCTGTAAAGGTTTCTGAAGCGGCAAAGAATAAGATTTCCTCATCTTTGGTAACTCTTCACTCATCAAATCAAGCAACAAAATACAAAGAAAGTAAAAGTGTTGAATCGTGACACTTGTTAAGAAACAAACACAGCAGACGTTTCGAGCAAAAGCAGCTTGTTAGGATTGTTAATCGAGTTTAAATTAAATTAGTCGTTTTTACTTTGAAAATCGATATTTTTCCATAAACATTTGAATAACCCACCCGCAGACTAAGTTCTAGATACACCACTAGGTATGTCAGTCCCACAGGTAGACACAGAAAACCGACTTGATCGTGTCCCTTTTGTCAAAGAAACCTCCGTTATGAAACTTAATATTGTTGATGATTGCTGTAATCAATCTATACAAAGCAGATGTTAGTTGACAAAACAGAATGCTATCTTACATTACTGTGAACTTGAAAGGTCAAAATTTAGCATAAGCACGCACGTGCAGTCGTGCAGACTAAAATCATATAATAATCACAACTTGTAATTCTTACAATCTGCCATGCATGGAAAAGACCTTACTGCTTTCAACAAAATCAATAAATATAAGAGTGTATACTTGACACATATCTTTTCTTTGCACAAATGTTTTTCAAGCGGGTAAAAAGTCAAATCTTGTGGTCAATAACTATGACGCACATTCTTCGTTTTGCTGATCGATTTAGGTAAACGAAAAACTAAGACTAAGAGGTCTGGAATGCTTTGTTTACACCATGTAAGTTCGAGTAAAAACAAATGTTCACATTCCTCAATATTTTTAGTTCAATGCATTTTTTTTGGCGGTCATCAGTGTGACGTGTAACCACGATTAATCGCATTTTAAGCAAATGAGAGCCGTGCTGTAGTAAAAATAGCAATATAAATCGTGAAAAAGTTGTTATTCAAATTTTAGCAACTGAAGAGTTTACGACTTATGAAAAAGTGATGAAAGTTCTTTATAAGCGTCAATTGTGACAGCATATGTCACAACACGAGAATTAATTTCAGATCATTTTGAACAAAAAAAAAGGTAAGAAACATGACAATTCTATTTGATTGAAACGAAAATACAGTATGCAGCTGTAAAAGACAAAAAAATTCCTCATTGGTATTCAAAAAAAACCCAATATCACAACTGTTTTAAACAATTACATTCCCCAATATTAGTGCAAAGAACTGTATCACTAGTTACCTTATATAGTTTAAAAAAACTTTACTAGAATACTGTACTGCAACAAATTTACTTATTGAGTATACGACTTTCGCTTCATGTTTTTATCTAATTGAATTTGTCGAACCACTAACTGTTCAAAACTGTTTTTATTCCCAGCTCTCCGCGAGCTTTACGGAATAGTTTCAACCAGTATGAGGTCTATGAAGTCTGTCATGTCCTCATTTTCTGTTTTACAGCAGATGAGGTTTTAATGTGCTCATGCGTGATAATCGTGTCACAGTTGCGGTTAGAGAGCCAGTCACATCGTGACTAGAGGTCAAATTACATAGTGGGAGAAATCATGTTATAATACATTTTTTTGGTTTAGTTCGCCAAGTACATATTTTTTACCTAAGTACATCTAATATAACTAGATCTAATTGGATATATTTTTCTAATATCTCCACATAAAAAGTCATTTCGAGAAGTTTCCTATTTATAATCAAGTGAAGTGGAAAAGATGCCAAAGATCATATTTTTTTTAATGTTTGTTTTTGTTCACACAACTCATTGGATGAGAAAGTTTCCTGTAACAAACAAACATAGTCTCACGCAACATAAAAAACTGAGATTTATGAAGTTTAAGAGGTAGCTATACAGACAATGAAAATTTCAAAAACAGTTATATAAAAAACACAGAAACTTCAAAAAAAACACATGTGAAATGAATTTCAACGAAATCAAAGCAAAAGATAGAAATACCAAACAATTCATAAGAACAGTTATGGGCAACGTTTAGCAATATATAACATAACAGTCACAGTCACAACTAACAGTAGTCCCCAATTTAATTCTTGGAGACCACGTTTCAAACCTGAGAAAAGTAGTTATAATTTATGGTGATCAAACTGATCATGCAAATAATTAAAACCAAAAAGGTATTTTCATTAATAGCTCTTTGGTATAGTTTCTACGATATATAAAACTTAGGCAAATGGAGTTCTATGTAGTTATATGTAAGATTTTCCTATCCTACACTGCTAATTTAGACAAGTTTGGGAAGACAACACCCAGTTTGTTATTTTTGTAGAAAACGATAAAAATAGAGAGAAAATGAAAAAATGATATACAATTACGAGTTTGTTGAAAGCTAATTCAGCATATCAAATTCAAATAAACCAAGGAATTTCTCGGTCTATTACAATTTTTCCATACCCTCCATAGAAATTATTTTCCAGTGTATAGTGTTTCAATGTTTTATAATGAAAAGAAAAATCATTTTGACAGTTACTTGTTCACCATGCATTAACCAGAAACAGTTAAAATAATAAATGATTGCTTGAGCAAAGTTGGTGGTGATTACGATGTCGTTCGCAGTTCACACACTATGTTTCCATTAGCATTAGACCAGCTGATGTAGCTATCATTAATTGTGAAAAACAACATATTGAGCTTCCTGACAGAAGCTTAATTCCGAACTTGGCAAGGTCATGAAAAACGAAATAAGGAAATGAGAACACATGTAGTTGTGGTCAAGAATCGGACGGATGTACAAAACACGCATGCAATGTAATGGAGACGACTGAATTTACAGTAACGAAGTTGTGTATAAAAACACCACAACGGTTTCGAAAATTCATTCTCCTGAACTTTGGACAAAGGCAGAACGACAAGAACTACTAAAACGACAAACGACTATAAAGTAAGTTATATACGATATTCATTTTATCATTTATGCCGAGCTACTGCAAAAAATTTTCTTTAATCAGAACTATCAAAAATCTGTAACATGAATATGTAGTTATGAATTGTTTTATTCTAACGATTGCCAACAATTTGAAAGAAAAGTTTTGACCTACACCCATATTTTTACTTCAGTGGTTTTAAAATAATTGACCCATGGTTTTTATTGACTGATTATCATCCACGCATAGACGTGCTGGTCATTCATTAAGTATCTGCTTTTAATTTAAAACGAGTTTACTGAATGCAAAATGTTAAATGGACGAAAGTCATTAACGATTTACTCTTAATTATGCGGTTATCCCAAATATCCTTTCTCGCATCAACAAATTCTTGATTTTAGAAAAATTGATCGAGGGTATCGCATGTTTTCATTTGTTATACTAGAGTATTTCTAACAAAACTTTTTTCTTTTTCCTTGGTTCGCCATGGATTTATTGGATTATTCTTTAAAATATAAATAGAAGTCCGCATAATTCATTTATTCACTAACCTTACGCCCAAGCAGTTTCATCCATGTGAAATGAATACAAATTTTTACCAATGCATGAAAGTCAATAGTTCGTTTGGTTTACTCCAGATTTTGTGATAACACGGAAGAAATCTAAAATGATAAATGATGTTAAAAAATTTCATAAAATCTTTAAGAGCAAAGCTTTTTTTTGAATTAAAACATAGAAGTATTTATAAGTATGGGTCTGTTGCGTAAAATAGACAACAGTATTATTGACAGCAATTATTATAATTATTATAATTGCTGCCTCATTAGTTTGCGATTAAATTAATGATAAAGTATGATTACCTAATGAATTGCAATACTACGCATGCTCATAGTTTTATGCCACGTTGTGTCGATTTCAAGTCAGCAATTTCAAAGCGCACATACAAGAATGATGACGTAATTAGTGCAAAATGAGAAATAAAAACCAAGTTTATGCAAAGATTGTTAAGCCTCAAGTTAGTTCAAAAAGACGACGCACACAATCTCATCAAAAGATGTCATACGACCTGAGCAATTCCACAAATATCAATAAAGAAACTAAGCAACAGCAAGCATCAAACGGTCATATGATTTGCACAAGTAAATTTTCTGTTGCTTTCATCAACAAAAATAACTAAACTTTTATTTTCTTAATTGATTTAGGATGGAAAACGCTTTCTTTTTGACAGCCCTCGTTGTCCTCTGCCTCACAATCAAAGTGTACATGTCAGCAATAGACTGCCCTGTATGTATCCCCAGAATAAAAGTAAATGTTTATCGAACAATATGTTCAAAAACTCCACTATGTAAAAGAGGGAAAAGACGAAGCTCTGGATGCCCACCATGCATTCCAATCGATAAAATAAGTATGTACAAGAATCAATGCCTTGACAAGTCAATATGTATGAAAAAATCTGCCTATCACAATGTCGTGAAACGAAGTGCATCCTCTCCACCATGCATTCCGTTAAGAGACTCAAAAGCGGTATGTACTCCAATAAAATAGACTGACGTCATACTCATCCGTGAGAGACGGATGTGTGTTCGGTCATACATAAATTTGAAGATGTTTAAAAACTTTATTCTGTTACTATTTCTGCTTCAGTATCGAACTTGCAATGTTGTATTTTATTTTACCGTTGTTGCCATCACTCACTTAAATAAAACAGTTAACAAACATAGCACGCAAACTAAAAGTTAAACAACATACATTACAATAATATTTTTTAATTATTTTTTTTTGCTTTTTATAATAATAGAACGGTATATGTGCAAGCATGTCTGTTTCTAAAAGATCAAAAAGGTCAACAGACAATTGTCCCATTTGTATACCCTTGAATTTGAGACACATTTACGCGGCATCGTGTTCTCACGTTGATATTTGCAAAACAAAGAAAATTGAAAGTGTCCGTAACGCCTTCCCGTGCCCACCATGTTTACCATTAAATGAGGTGACGACGTACAAAAATCTCTGTGTTCATACTCCACTATGTTATCAAAGACGAAAAATGGTTAAGAGTTGTCCAGATTGTGTACCTCAGCATTTGCTGCATGTTTATGAAAACTGTCGTCTTTTCACACCATTGTGCAGAAGAAGAAAACGATACTCCTGCCCTCCATGTATACCTATTTCTATGACGGATTATTACGAATCCATTAATTCGTGCCTTGAAAAACCTATTTGTGCAAGAAATGTAAGTAATTTCACAAAGGTCTACCATCAGTTTGTGTCTGCTTCATGTTCCTCTCCACCATTCCACCCTCCTTCCCCAGGCCATAAAGTAGATATTAAAATCAGAACTGCTATAATACATCTTCACTAATAATAGACCATTTCATGCAGTTTACACAGTTATATATGTCAATGGATTTTTTGACATTATTTGCTAATCTATTCAATTGGCGTGTTTTCTGGATTATAATCATAACATGTGGCATTTTATCACGCAAGCATAAAAAAGGAGTCCCATATGTCAATGATAGGATGTGATATAGGTGACTTGCGCTAGAAGAAGTACATTTTTCCTTAGGCTCTCTTTTCGTTAGCTGATTTTATTAATATCAAATTATAAAGTGAGTTGTTTTTTTACAATGTCAAATTAAAATCAAAAAATAACTGAATGTAGAAAAAGACTCCGAAAAAGAAATGCAAAACTCGGATGATTTATCTTAAAGAGATCAAACCAGATAATATAGACATTTGTCTTCTCGTTGATATATATATATACATATATGGTAATAAAATAGGATGTATTTTGAGGATAGCTATTTGAATAATTTTGTGACAATATAATATCGTCATTGAGCGTTTTTGATAAAATCATACATATAATGACATAAGAGTTGAATAAAAAAAAGTTGATCAGAGATAGAATGGAACAAACTTTGACAAATAAAACCCAATCTGTTCTAGGGTCCTCAAAGACTGATTTGACGGTTTCTCTTCAAGATATGTGCGTGAAAAAGGATGCAAGAATGAATATACATTATACAGTAGAAAGATATTTGAATTGACTGGCATTGTCAACGATTTATTAAGTTTTTGAAATCTACAAAATTAATTATTATTTGCATCTATGTAAACAATTTTGATGGCAATAAAATTATAACGATTATTTCTATGAAAATATTTGTTTAAATTCTTCTACGTCTATTTTCTCAAAAATTTACAGTAGTGCCATAAATTTTATAGAGATTTTGACTGGAGCATTTGTACTAGCTCTTCTTGGTACAGATTTAAGATTGAATAGCGAAATTGATAAACTGATGAAATTATATACAGATGTTAAAGACACTTTCAAATACCAGACACGCACGTCAGCAAATCAAATATAGCGAGTTGAAGAAACAACCGTTATTATATCATTTGTTGCCTACAAAGATTGCTTTGATATGAAACTATATGATGGCCAATGTCTACGAATCGCATTATACTTGACTTATACAAAGATTTATATGTATACACACACATAGGTATAACGTTTTGACCATTAGCATGAGAATTTCAAAACATAAAGCTCCGGAATTGTTTTTCTACAGTTTCGACTCCCTCGCAACATTGCCCGCACCGAGAAATATTGCTACGCCGGTGATTATCAAAAAATTTCTCTTCCCACAAAATGATTAATCACGTATAAGCAATTGGCTACAATTTGTCAACCTAACCTTTTAATGAAGGCTTTACGTCAATACTACAAGATAACATGGTAACAAAGACAACACGTATTTCATAAATATAGTAAAAGGTTTCCTTGGAATTTTGAGTAGCGAACTGCGTAATATTTGCTTTGTTATACACAAAAAATGGTTAGTAACGCACAAGAAAAGAGCCTGAAACGATAAAGAGAACGACGAACACATGGTGATCATGTATTTTATATTAATTTTTAAAGTCCACATTTCAATAACAAAACCAAAAGATATCATTGTATAACAAAGAAATATTAACTGAAGTCTATTCAATTCACTGTAAAATAGTACACACTTACAGCTAATAAACAGTACAGCTAATTTTTCAAAGTCCATGCGATATCACATTTATTAAGAGAAAGCCAACTCTTACTAACAATCAGCTTGTAAGACCTATGTATAGGGCTGACACATGCTTGCAGCAATCTCTATCAAAATACGTGCAACTCAGCGGGAACAAAATCTTATGGCTATCTGTATTAATTTTCGCAGTGCCTTCCATGGTTCTCAAATTATCACAATCGATATAATTAGAATACAATTGCTGAGAAGTTAGAATTTCTATGTACAAAATTTATGTTATCACAACCAGTGAATACATTTAATTGTATTGGGTTGTATTTTAAAAATCACGAATGAAAAACAACACCGATACACTCGTTTTTCTTCGACGCAGCTAAATGACTTTGCGTGTAGACACACAAATGACTCCAGCTGTTCTCTTTTTGTGTCGTTGCAATCATAAGGAGAAACGCAAACGAAGATAAAGCATTAGAGTGGGACAATGTCAGCGTTGCATATGTCAAAGTCATTGACATCTACACAGCATGTTTGGAGACAACCGCAGAGTAAGAACAAATAAACCATTTTTATAAGCATCAGCAAGATAATTGAAGTAATAATTGCATATTGTAAATTATTAATAGCCTGTTAACATGTATAAATGAAATGGCTTCTTGAGTTAGCATAAAAGCGGAACATTGATCTCAAAAGTGCATATTATCGTGGGGTTCATCAAGATGGAAATCATCACCAAATATCTTCTATTTTGTTTTCTTTTACTTTATGCGAGCAGTTTTACATTCAGTAACAGAGTAAGATGCAGCCCACATCTCTGTTCAAAGAAGAGGAACGTTAGGGTAAGAGAATAAAACATATTTTACACATTCGTATGTTAAAACCACACGTCACTATTGGCTATCCAACACGCAGGTTATATATTAACACTAATGTTTCTTGTATATAGTTTATGAGTTTGAACTTCGTCAGATTCAAAATAAAGTTTTGTGTTTGAGAACAAACGACCACGAGTTCATGTAAAATATCACAGGTTTTGTTGTGGAAGGCATTTGATAGTATTTTCCTTGACCGTAGAGAAAGAAAATTATTATTGATAATGTTGACGTTTAATGGTAAAAATTGAACAATTTATATGATATTGGCAACAAAATCGAACAATTTAGCTAATAATACATGGCTATATACATATAGCCACAAAGAAAACATTGAGCTGAAGGAAATGCTTCCACTCAAGCGAGCAATCAAAAACCACGTATAAAAAATAAAATAAAAAGATTCTGTCAACAAAATATGATCGACGATGATAGGATATTTCAAAATACTACCTTGAATAAAGATCTTTTATAAATAACTGCAACGGAGTTTATAGCTATGTAAACTGTTGTGTATAAGAGTAAAATATCTGAAAATGCTGACTTGAAGGAATGATTAAATAATCCAACAATTCATCTGCGATTTTCACCATCTTCATTAACTGACACATTTTACAATAGTCTAAGAAACCTTGAGTACGTTTTTGTCAAACTGAGCAAGAAGATCAGTTTGAATAAAAATATGTTGGTTATTTTTAACATGTCATGTGATTACTAGCACGTATTTCACTATTGAAATTTCCACAATAGACGATTTCTTAAGATATTCTTTCTTTAATACACCCCCCTCAAAGTAATCGTTAAAATAACGGAAGATTTTATCACGCGCGTGCATCCCTATTTGCATGAGTATAATTAGAAATGTACAACAAAGGAGGAAAATGAAGCCACGAAAAACACTCTTTACAGTAAGTATGGGCAGATCGGTGATGCACGAAAATAGCCTACAAATATGCCAAACAACAAACTTTAAGATCAAAATACGTACATGACAAATGTAAAGACGCAAAAATTCTTTTCTCAACTCTATATCCGAACTACTACACTTTAACATAAATTTTGATGATTTTTCACCAAGGTAAATGAATTCAGGAAATTGATCAAAAGTAACGATAATGATCATACAGGACGTAAGATGACGGAAAAAGTCTATGACACCAACGCAGATGATCGACAAGGATATCTACGTGAATATATGGACACACGACGTCATTCGAACATAGAAAATTATGATTATGATTATGATTATGAAAACATAAGATTGTAATTATGTTTTGCGTCCAAGCACATTATATGACAAAACAGTAATAAATTAAAAAGTAGCTCTGGCGACAAAAAACTAGCTTTTCTGTAGAATTATTCTTTACTTTACATAATGCACGATATTTCTTTAAATGTCCCTTGCCCCTGTTTTACTCTCATTCAACAATAACATGAAATATTACATGAAAAAAAATCAAAGAACTGCACTGAAAAAAAACCCCCGTAATATTATCAAATGAAAGGAACACAAATATGTCACAATTATTAACATTAATCATACTTTGAAAAGGAAGATGAATTGGTCGAATTCATTAAATATAGATGGATTAAAATGATAGCAATTATCACTTAGCTTGATAAGGGCTTTGAAATAAAGTGGAAATATTGCTTTAAATCTTGTCTCTTGCTGTTATAGCTGACTCGAATCTTCAGTTTACAAGATGATGATTTTTGAAGTGCGTTTTATCATTTATTTTTGAAATTGTCGGCTGGAAAAGGATTACAGATGAATTTGTATGTACACTTGACCTTTCATCGAACATTTGCATTAATTCATAGCATTTACACTTTTAAAAACATTTTAAGTTCAAACGCAGCTGATTTCAACAACTCCTAAATGCACCTTTTATCTTCCAATCGTTCTTCTGCGATCAAATACACTTTAAATAAGGATGCAATCATTAAAAACAATAATTAACAGCAACGTGCACTAAAAAGATATTGAAGTTTCTGACGTCTTTAGTTAAAAATTCCTATTTGGCAAAGTGATTGCGGGGAGGGAAGGAGAGTGGAGAGGAAAAATCTCAAGTAGACTATAGTACATTTAACACATCTGTTGTTACTGCCATCCAGTTAATGTTTATCTCTATAAGAGCGTCAAAATAAAGGCAATGAGAAAATAATGTCACAGCAAACAAAACCATCTAAACCCACACTAAAGATACAGTCGTAATATTTAGGAAGCTTCGGATAACAAATACTAGAAGGATTTTTCGCAAAGAATGCTGTTATGTGTTTACGCCTTTCACTCGAAATCGTCGTTGAATCCTTAACTGAGAAGATATTTTTGCTAAAATGTCCGCAAAACGGCCTTTGAAGAAGCAAACAATTTCTTTTTTATTTACTAATATCTTCAACATACCACTATCTTCAATAATACCATTACCTTCAACAAATACTAAAACATTCAACAAAACTGCTACCTTCAACAAAACTTCTATCTTCAGCAATACTAATATATTCAATGATATAGTTTTTTGTTTGATTAAAAATCATTAATAATTAACGAAAAAACTTAAAAAGAGTGCATCATTCAAAATATTTATATTGATGTTCATATATTATGAAACAGATTTTAAACGGTACTTTCAACATTGTTACATGCATTTATGAAAAACGTAGCTAAATGTGAAGAAAAGTATTGTTGACTGTAGCCATATACATTTCGTACTCGCCCACAAATTTGGTCGTGCTATGTAAATACTTTTTTGTGTTCACTTACTGTAAAAACAATTAATTTGCAAAGAAGTGAATAATGATAATGATCTGAAATTTTCAAAATTAGCAAGATCAAATGCTGCAGGCTGACTACGCCACTGCACTTGTTTTGTCTTGGTTTTGTAAAGCAATATTTAAGTGGAAACCAAAGTGCAAGTAGGATTTCTTTAGTATAGTCACTCGATATGTAAGCCAAAGCTCCACTATACACATTACACACAAATATCTAAATAAGAAACTGAGAAATGATTTAACGACAAATGCTGATTTTTTGTTGTAAATTCAATTGATACGGAAGGAAAAACGATTGATAGAAAGCTGAGTTTAATCAATATACAATTAAAAATTTAGACATAGAATACATAACATAGAATCATCAGCCAGTTTGTTGGGTCAATGATATTTTCAAAGACATAATGTCAGGAATTTCCTCACACGTGATCATATATCATGACGTCATGTATTTTACATTTTATTTTACATTTTGTATGATTTTGTCAACTGCACTTTAAATCGTTTTAACTCCTATAAGCGTCGCAAGCAAGACAGTTTGTTCCGCAATCTAAAACTCCGTCAAACCAAATCCACCTTTCCGACCGTAAACACACGCGTCAAATTACAAAGTTAGGATAATAAAATGGTCGGACATAGATCTGTATTTGTAGAATAGTGGCAATAAGATAGAAGGAAGATATGCATTTGTCAAAACAAGCTAAAGAAGACAAAGCACAATTTCAGAACTCGCTCCGTCACAAATTAATTGAGAATTAATCTAGCATGGGTAGTCAACTCCACCAGCTCTCCAAGTTCATGGTCATGGCAACGACCAACTGTATGTACTAGTACCGATTATGGAGTAATTAGCTCGCTCAGTCACAAATTTTCAGATAAATCATCTGCGCATGCGCAGACTACTTGAGCATGCGCAGTCGACATGACCAGCTGCCCAAGTTCATGGTCATGGCAACGACTAACTGCATCTACTAGCACCGATTTTGAAGTAAATAGCATGCTTAGCAACAATTTAAAAGAGAAATCATCTACGCATGCGCAGTCCGTTCGTACATGCGCGATCCGCTTGACTAATTGTTCGAGTTCATAGTCAAGATAACGACCAACTGGATCTACTAGCACCAATTTTGGAGTAAATAGCATGCTTAGTAACAATTTAATAGAGAAATCATCTGCGCATGCGCTCGAGGATGCGCAGTCCACTCAACTAATTATTCATAGTCATTCATAGTCAATTATTCATGGCAACGACTAACTATATGTACTTGCACTACATTTGTAGCAATTAGCTCACTTAATCGCAAATTATTAAAGAAATCATCTGAGCATGCGCAGTTAGGATGTCAATTATACCACAACTTTCGTAAGCCTTTAAATTTTGGTATATATATATATAAAGCTAAAACTTCATATAGTAGATGTCAACTAGCAGTGGAAGCTGGGTGCGATATGTATGCAGTGGTTTAGGGGCCCACACTTCGGTGGCGACCGCACTCTCCCTGCGTACCTTGAGCAAAGCCTATCGCAGGTGATCTCAGGGTCTGATGGGCGGAAGCTTGCTATTGGCATCTCCCAAGTAGGATAGCGTGGAGGGGCCGAAATCTCCTACCGAAACGTTAACATGCGGCGTTCTAGTGCCTTACATATCAGAAGGTATCGGGAAGCATGGCCCGAAAACGGGTTTTTTTGCTTTCGAATTTTATCTTTTTGTTCTTCAAATGAAATACAAGAGTTCTTTCAATAAAATAAACCAAGCAATGTTTCAATGACCTTCTTCTGGCACTGTGCCTTTTTCTTATAATTTAAACCAACTCTAAGCATGCCTATACGTTTTTTACTTGTTACCTTTTACAATGTAACTTTCTCATCATGAACGAAAGCACCCATGGGCTTCATGGAAAGGGGTATTATATACTTTTTTAATAATAGTTTTTACAAAGATAACATTTAATAAGCCAAGCCAAGCAATTTTTATCGTCTAATTTGAACCCATAAAATTTTAATTCATTTTAGATAGTAAATTTCTTTTTACCTTACAATATTTTCATGATTCAATCTGTAAAGTAACTTCATTTCTCGAGTAAGTTTGCAATTAAACAGTCCCCTTTCCGGATTCAAACGACTTCTTTCAATCGCATAGACAGCCGTCCAATTTATTACGTAAATGCATGTAGTATGCATTTCGTTGTAAGAAACACCCTACCTAAGAATATCCAGATCGGATTTTAGCCGCATCGAGCGAAGAAAATTGCAAGTCATAGTAGTTCAAAAATTTGTATGGCTTGCTTATTTGCGCTTTATGCAGATGGAATACGTCTTATATATTCTTAAGTCACGCCGTAAAGGCCCGTAAAATCCTTACAAAAAAGTCATTAGCGCGATAGCATGCCAGTATTCTAGCTTTCTTTCGATCGTTATGCTTTTTTCTAACCCAAAACAGTTAATAATTACTGTTATCCCTTCTGCCTTTATAAATAATCGTTGTAAATAACTAGAATCAGATTCACAAATGCCCCAAAACTCAAAAGCATCTCCTACCCATTTTATTTCCACTATTCTACATGAACAATACTATGGTCGACCATTTGATTGTCCGAATTTTGTAATTTGATCTCGTATTTTTGACACATGTGTCAAAAACATCAAAGACAAGGGCATCAAAGACACATCAAATTACATAGACACGTAAACCAGTAAAGTGATAAAACGTAAAAAAAGGAGCGAGCCGCCCTTAAGTAAACCAAGTGATGGAATTTCCCTGGACAACGTGATGTTGTTCTAACAGCACGTGAAACTTTCAGTTACAAAATTTGAAGAGAATATTTTCCTATATTTAGCGTCTTGTTATTCATCAGAGATACATGTTGCAGGTTGCGCCCTTTCTTGTTGAATATAATTTTACCCAGGAATAATAATTGTTTGCAAAACAGAACTATATTTAATGACCGTTTGCGCTGTTGAAAGGCATTATCATAAAGTAGATAAAAATTGATCACGTGGTACAATAAACGAACGACATAGGCGCACTCGCACCATGAATTGAAATTTTACTTTTTCAGTTTGCATAATAATGGCGCTGCTCTTCGACGATATCCTTATCCAAGTCGGTAACTTCTCCCGTTTCCAACACATTCAATGGTTCCTCATGATCTTAGCCACCATAACGCAAGCATGGTACTCTTATTTACCTATCTTTACCGTGACTAAAGTAAAAGATTCCGAGGTGCTGTGCTCTTCAAATGCAAACATATCAGATGGTTGCGATGCAAACTGTACCACTAAGAGGTACGCCGTTGATTTTACTTCGATTGTGACGGAGGTATGTCAACATTGAAGTGAATAACATACAAACTCGAAATGGCATCGCATTGTGAAGTTTTTAATATAATTTTGCTTTATTGACTCATGTCATATGATACATTGTGTAATGAATGTTGACAAATGCTAATAAATAATAATATAAAGTATAATTCCCTTGTCTTTTAACATAAACGATACAACTAAAGCAGCCCACTGTAAACCTCCGACTATAAGCCCGCGCTTATACACGGAGGGAGGAGATAATGCATAAAAATATTACATTGCATGGATCTGTAAACATTACATAATCAAAACACGGATTTATATGTGTGTGGTTCTATACGCAGGTATGGTTTTCTGTGTATGAGTTGAATGTCACGATCTTAATCACGGAAGGTCTTATGGATGAGGGTGAAGGGTTTATGCATAAGGAGGGCGAGGGCCTTATGCATGAGCAGGGGGAGGTTAAAAGCTGGAGGTATACGGAAATTATTCATTTCAGAACAATTTATCATTAATCATTTCTTGGTGTGTTTTTAATCAGACTAATGTATATGGTTATTGAAACTACTTAACACTATTTCCATTTTTCCAAATAAAAACTGAAGCAATCCATTTACTCCTTCACTAGTGGAATTATGTGTGTGGGGTGGACAAATACAAGATTCCTTTGACCAAGAGTATATTTTACGTCGGAAAGTTCTTTGGTGCCTATATGTTTGGATGGATCTCTGATCGTTATGGTCGACGTCCAGTCTTCTTCATCACAGCTTTTATACAATTTGCCAGCTCATTGGCGACCACATTTGCTCCTGATTATTACATGTTTCTCGTCATGCGCTTGCTAATTGGCCTATGCAGTGGAGGTACGCAAGAAACGTTTTCATTAAAAATACATAATTCTTAGGCTGTATTCAACTCATTATTATGAAATCATTGCAAAATTTAATAAATTCATCAGGTAACTTTATGGTCGCGTTCTTGCTGGCAACCGAAATGGTCGGAATAAAAGAAAGAAATTTACCGAATGGTTTAATGCATGCAGGATATGGGGTTGGTTTAGCCCTTCAAGCTTTCTTGGCTTATCTCGTTCGAGATTGGAGATATTTCAATTTGCTGATCACATTGCCTAATATCTTCTTCGTCCTTTATCTGTGGTATTGATTTCAAAAACTTCCAAGTGTTTCATCAAACTATGCTATTTTTTCACCATTTATAGCAACAACAAAATGTTACAATGATTATAGGTGGATGCCAGAATCACCACGATGGCTTGTCGCTCGAGGACGGACAGACGATGCTGATAAAATCCTTGAAAAGATAGCAAAGCAAAACAAACAAACTTTCCATAAGGAGATGCACACAAATATGATTCCATTTGATAAGGCAATTTCGCAAAAAACCTATCATCTTGGACATTTGTTCAGCACGAAACGTTTGGCAAAGATAACGATGATTCAGGGATTTGCTTGGTATTCTATCCTTCTGAACTTGTGTGATGACAAACGATATAGATAAGGCTAATCGTTGCTTGTTGTAGGTTGGTTGTTAGTCTGGTATACTATGGACTTGCTTTTAATGTCGATGATCTTGCTGGCGATCTATACCTGAATGCTGCTCTCTCTGGAATGGTCGAGATCCCAGCATATGCTCTTGCAACCGTTGTAGTCAACAAGTACGCATTTGCTTTTTAATCGACAACAATTTTCCTTTTTATCTCTAACCAGCCTAATATGGCCCTTTTCTGTTGTTTTATAGATTTGGCAGACGAATTCCTACAGTGATATATTTTTCTGTCGGAGGTATTGCCTTATTATCCACTCTCCCTATAGTTCTAGAAGGTATGGTAAACTACTTTCCGGATTACAGTTACAAAAAAACTGGATCAATATTCTCTATACAAAAATCAAAATCAATACATATATATTAAATTTCTATTTCAAAGGAAAAGATAAAGAGCTTAAAAATTTAGTGGTGTCTTTCTCATTGATTGGAAAATTTGCGATATCTGCAAGTTTCTATCAAGTTTACATCCAAACAGCCGAACTTTATCCAACAGTACTCAGGTAGCAAACATTCCCGCGTGTATAAATGATTCCATATACCTAACGGCCGAATTTTTTCTACAGTACTTTGGTATTTTTTAACGCATGCATAAAAAATTTACGCCAAACATAAATGCTCCTTTTTACTGGAATAAATTTCTTCCAGTATGAAGACATTGAGCTGAAGGTTCTATAGTATGATGATTATTTGTTTTTAATTTATTTAATAGAAACAACGCAATGGGTTTTGCATCTTTATGCGGAAGAATTGGAGGAATATGTGCACCTTTCATTGTGGTATATTATAATATATCTACGTTAATTCATCCATATAGACCGTCGACACAAAAGAAACTGTACAATGTATATAAACATATTTAAACACATGTCATTTTTAGGATGGAACACCAAAATCGCTTCCCTTCGTTGTATTTGGGACAGCTGGAATAATAGCTGGAGTCTTGTCATTAATGTTACCAGAGACGAAAGATAAACCCTTACCGGAAATGGCAACAGATAACACAAACAATAGCAAATACGTCCAAGCAGAAAAAGAGGCGGATACAACGTTATAAGAGATCAAGACAATTTAGCGCTGTTTTAAAATCTGTGTTTTTTAAATTTTGAGAAATCAATCTGAATGCTAGCGCGACATACTTGAGCAAAGAACTTTATACAAATGTTTTTTTGATTTTTATCATCAAAACTCATCAATAATACCAAAATCTATTTCTCTATCAATAATTCCCTTTACTGTAAATATAAGATTGAATTATAACATCTGAGATCCTACCGTATTTGAAATTCCTGAATGAGCTCTAAGATCCATGGTAGACTGTGTTGGCAGAATCACAGGCTTTGATGACTGCCATCCAAGAAGACAATGCTGAAAAAACTATGTCACTTTAATAAATGCAACAAGTCTAAAACTTCTAATAAAAATATATTTTTTTTATAAATATTCTTGCACAATATATTATTAAAGTTCTTGAATCATAATAAATAAGTTCTGATAACTTTTTTCAACTGTTAGCAAATCTAGCTAATTGAAAAATCTCTGACAATAAGTTTTAGCCAACTAAAACATCATTTCAAACTTAAATAACCCTTGTTCAGAATGAAATATTATGAACTCTAAAGAAAATGAAAGTATTGAGGTTTTTTTCCAGGTGAAAAGATTTATTACCCTTGATAAAGCCACTGAGTCAGTGGGATCAAAACTCTTTCTGCGATGAGGTTTAACTCGATGAGGAGATTGAAGTGTTGATCTAGGTACACTTATCCTCACATAACTTTCTTGATCCACATATGCAGCAGGAGACTTGCTCGTTTTACAGGTTGAGCAGTTAGTGCCGGAGCCATGTATTGGAACTGCAAACAGACGCTCATCCAGAATATAGGTATTTGAGCCTGAATTATAAATTATAAATCATGATTATCAATTGCAAAACAATAGTCTTGTTCAATTAAAGGCATTGTATGTATTTTCTGCAAAGTTATGTGAGCTATATGAAATTTACATCAGCAAGCATTAATATGATCATGTTTTACACTGAAAGTATCAGATCTTGCACTTACATTTAGAATCAAAGTTTTCTTTTATGGCTGATTTTGTTTTAGTCATCATTTGTTGAGGTGATTTTTCTTGGGTTCTAAATTTTCAAGATACCAAAATGACTCATACACAAAACACCACAGATGAAAATGATGACAGACTAAAAGCACTGTATAATAAAAAGTTGAATACATTTATAATTACATGTATAGTTGAATATAATTACATTTATACTTGACTACATTTATAATTACATTTATAATTTGAAATAATTAGAAACGTATTACAAATGTTTCAAGAAAATAATACATCAATTCAGGATAAATGAGAGCAACTTACAATAAAAAGGAAGTCCCTGTGCACTCAGCATGGTTGACTTGGCGAAACTCTTTCAGATCTTTGAAGAAACTATCGTTCTTCTCACATACATGTGAATCATTGTCAAGCATACCAGCTATCCAATCATAACCAAGCATGGATTGGTCTGGCTTGTTGAATAAAGTATCAGAAGAGAATGTTATGTGTCGAGGTTTAGGCACATCAATTTCCTATAATAATGTTGTTAATTTTACAAAAAATTCCTGATTATAAATAGATTCACAAGTAACAAGAGAAAAGGAAAATGGAAGAAAATGGAGGGAAAGTGGTGAAACAATCACACACTATGACAGAAGACGGAAACATATGTGTTGTACTTATTAGGAAAGTAAAAGAGTCTCAACTATACAATAAAATTTTTTAACAACAATGCTCAATTACCTTTAATGATATTTGTTTAATATGTTTTATATGTTGCGAAGACGGTGTCTTTAAGATTGAATTACGGGCGTTGCTTTCACACAGTGGTGTTTTGTTTTCCTTTTTGTTAGCCAAGCTTGTCATTTGAAACTTTACACAACTATTTTCATTTTTCTTCCTTGGTTCAATCGCACTTGATAGTTTTGACATCGCAGTTTTTCTTGTTTGAGATTTGACGCGCAATTTTTCGAGCCCGTAACTTTTCAAAGTAGATTTTTCCGAGTTTAAATTTTTGCTGGATAGTTCTGAGTTTGTTTTGATGGAACATAAATCTCTCCAAATAGCTTTTTGAGCGACATTTAGTCTCGAAAGTAAAATTAAATTCTTCTCGCGTAATGCTTTCTCTTCCGCCATTTTTTGAATAGGCCATCTGCAACACGTGACCATTTCAATAATGACGTCATATAAATGGCGAAAGAAAGTGATTTGCCAACTTTCTCGACATTTCTTTTACAAATTTTAACAGTTTGAAGAAAAAAATTCAACACCTTTTTGCATAACAAATTTTAGAACCAATCAATCAAGTGATCAACGTCTTGCAGCTGGAGGATGTACGTGCAATACATCAAAAATATTTATTCTTGGTATTAATGGTTGTGCTGTCATTTGTGCCTGATTTGATCTTAGTTTGAATATTCGAATAGAACGAGTTTAAAAAAGGTTGTATTGTAATGGGTGTCTAAAAAGTGATTTTTTATCCATATAATTAAATATTGCCCAAAGATGCAGCTTATTATGTCGTTTTTAGTAGCAAGCATTTTATCTTGAAGTTCGTCTACCTCATCCAATACAGGTGAAACTAATGGAAATGAAATATTTGATATTGTCGTTAGCTAAGCTAATGTACTCTGTCCCTAAGATTACAAACTCCATCTTTAACAATATGAAAAGACCAATTTTATAAATCTATGAAAAAACAGTTTCAAATATCACTGAGGGCAAGTCAGTGTAACTGCAAGCCAGGTTATTGCTGTCTTTAAAATACAACAAGCCATACATCATAATATCAATATCATTTATAGAAAGACAAATATAGGGTTGTCATTAGACATTGATGTATAAAATATATTACTAAAGAATACATCAATTGCGAAGAAATACCAACTAGAATGACCCAACTATCTTTATTAACTTATCATCAAAAGTGTGGTATTTGTAGTTTCTATAATTTTTTAGTCATGATGAAAGTTTCAAGAGTCAAAATTCGTTGTGTGCGCTCAAAATGTGTTATACATATTTAATATATTATTCAATTGTTTTAGTAAGTGCTATAAAATACTCATTCGACCACAATTTATTTGCATTTTATGCTTTCTCTCACTTAATCATTTTATGAAAACAAATGAGACATACATATATATTTGATATAGCCTTTAAAAACTGCAGGTGATGAAAGAGAGCTCAACCAGCAAACATTTGAGATGAAAATGGCATCTCGCGAAGAATTGACGGGAATTTCGGTTTTCTTTTTCTTATTCGTAATTGTTGGCTGTTTTACGAACCTAATTGCTATCATCACGTTTATAAAATATCGCAAAACGATGCTTCAGCAATCAAAAGATCTGCTCTTGTTCAGCATTGCCTTGGGAGACTTAACACAGTCAATTTTCGCCGTCCCTCTTAGTCTGACCTCAGTTATTGCCGGCAGATGGCTTTGGGGTGATGAAGGCTGCTATATTTATGCCTTCGTTACAAGTTGGACTGGCTTATCCAACATTGCTCATTTTTCAATTGTGGCAGTCGAGAGATTAACTACTTTAAAAAGCCCAACAGTATTCCTCATTTCAAAAAAACGTATCATTAAATGGATAGTTTTTATCTGGTTCGTGACTTTCATCGTTGCTTCTCTTCCATTATTTGGTTGGTCAAGCTACACCTATGAAGGCTATGGTTTACATTGTTCCATATTTTGGGAGTCAAAGACAACTGGTAACCTCACCTATTGTTTGTTTCTACTTGTTGTCTTCTTTGTCGTACCGGTCGGAAGCATTATCTTCTCGAATGCAAAACTTTATGTAACAGTGAATATTATGTACAAGAATGCAAACAGTATGTGGGGTGCAAACGCTCCTGCCACTAAACAAAGTTACTTTGCTCAAGTTAAAGTCGCACAACAATTCACTGCCATGACTTTGGCGTTCTTAGCTGTTTGGTCCCCATATGCAGCGTTATCTTTTGCACGGGTTGTTCTGAATACGAATTTGTCATCAAAGGTTCGTGAATACCCGTCAATGTTTGCCAAAACTGGTGTGCTTTGGAATCCAACAATCTATTTTTACTTATATCGAAAGTTAAGAAAAAGAGCAATAGACATGTTGAAATGCCGGTCTTTGAACAGTGTGCAAGAAGTTCCACGCGATAGGGCCATTGCAATGGAGGATGCTACAATTCAATAAATTACATATTCAACTAGTATAGGGTTCATTTGTTGCAAAGTTCTGCTCGTAATGCATTTGGATAATTTGACAGTACTTGTGTATTAAAGATGATGTCGTATTTGAAGGAACAGTCTGGCTCAGGAATGGTTTTCTCTCCAAAGTACAGCTGATGTCGTGAACATTTAGCTTAAGTCCACACAAGATAGTCAATTTTAGAAAACCCGTGCTGAACATTTTAGCCTCACAAATTTTTTTCTTTAATTGAAAGAGAAAATGTCTTTGTTTTAGAAAATTTTCGTGAAAGGCAAATGTTTCAAGTAAAGCAAATATCAAGCATACGTTTCGTCACACACCTTATTTTAGGCAATGACTGCCAAGGCACTTTGGAAGAATTTTGATTTGTTCAATTCACTTTGACCTTGTTTTATCTTGTAGTCATGGACGTTGTCAAAATACTTATGTTCCAGGTGAAGCATGTTTGTGTTGCTTGCTTGTGTGTATCCTCAGAATGTAAACTGTAAATTAAACTTTGCAATGTTTTTAATGAGCAATCCTTTTATTGTAGCTCAGCAATCGAATTCTGTTTGTTGTGCAGTATAAACAGAATGAAATTTGGCTGTTTAATTTACACGTCTTAAAAAAATAATTGAAATCTCAATTCGGAAAGAATAGCATGCTGCATCTTATTATCTGCCAGCTGTCTTAAAATGAAGAGAAAAGCGTTTGCGATGGAAAAAATAATCTAGAAAGTTTTTTTGCGTGCTTTTTTGCAATAAACAAGTTTGAAAGGTGACGAATGCAATGTTTAATACAAGAAAATGAACAGTATTTCTATTAGAAGACTAATCGAATACACAATAATAATTATTGAATTCTTTACACTTTGTCGTTCATATTTTCTATATTTAGAGAGGCTTGATTAAACAATACCCTAGTTAGTACGATGGAGTTGGTTTCGTCAAACGAAGCAGCAATCATTGCTTTTTTCTTTTCTGTCATATTCACATGCGGTTCGTTTTCAAACGGTTTGATCATCTGGACATATGTACGATACAAAAACATATTGACTATTCAACCTAGAGATATTCTCATTCTCAGTTTGGCGATTGGTGACTTCGTGCAAGTCGTCTTTGCCTGTCCCTTAGGTCTCACTTCTGCCATTGCACGGAAATGGATGTGGGGTGATTTCGGTTGTTCTTGGTACGGATTTATAACGACTTGGGTCAGTTTGTCATCGATCATTCAGCTTGCGACTTTTGCTATGGAACGTTATGTGACCTTGAGAAGCCCTATGGCAAACTTAATCACGAATTGGCGTGCCGTTCAACTGACGATAGTTTGCTGGTTAATAACTTTTCTTGTATCTTCCTTCCCATTATTCGGCTGGTCTACCTACATCAAAGAAGGTCTTGGATTGCACTGCTCCATCAACTGGGAAGAGAAATCAACAGGCAATCTTACTTTTTCCCTTTTTCTATTAATTATGTTCTTTCTCGCTCCCATCAGCGTCATAGTGATAGCCAACTTGCAACTTTACATAATTGTGCATCACATGTATGCCAATGCGAGTGACATGTGGGGACCAGAAGCACGAGCTACAAAACAGAGTTATGTGGCTCAGGTGAGAACAGCAAAGCAACTTTTTGCAATGATTGTTGCATTTCTCGTTTCATGGACACCATATGCGTTCATGTCTTGTTATATTCTTATTTTTGAAGGTACAAACATATCCCTGGGTAATCGTGAATACCCCTCAATTTTTGCTAAAACATCAGTTTTGCTCAATCCAATTACATATTACTTTATGTACAAAGCACTGCGTCAAAAAGCCAAGAGTGTGCTTATGTGTCGAACAACAAATTCTGTTGCTCAAATATCTTCAAGTCAAGTGTAACGAACAGTCCAATTTCATTTTCAAAGTCCTTCTAATCTTAAATCCCAAAGCTAATAAATAAATTAATTGTGGAGTTTAAAATCAACTTTATGTGTGTACTATATATTGGAACAAGGAGCTATTCCTCTGGAGTGGTTACCAGAAATATTAAAAGTATAAGGGTGAACAAGATTGTCACTTCTACATCGCAAAATATCCTTAGCTTTTGTGCGAAGGCTTTCATACGAAAAAAAATATAGAAGTGGATTATAAACACTCGCAAACTTTGCCAAAAGTGAAGGGTATTCAAGGAATTCTAACGTATATTGGATGTCAGTGAATGTGACTAACGTAGACATGACTGCATACGGCGTCCAGGCGAATAAATAGCCCGCGATCATCAGAAGGAGCTGTTTTGATGCTTTAACTTGTGCGTTAAACGTGTCAAGAGTCCCTTGCGCATCGCTTCCCCATCTTGAATCAGCGTTATGGTACATACGACGAACAATGATGAATATTTTTCCGTAAGAGAAGGCTATCACTGCAACTGGCACAAAGAAGAAAACAGTAAAAGAAACGCGTAGCTACTGTTTAATGGAGCACCAGAGTCCCATACTATTGAGCAATGTAGACCGAAACCTTCATAAGTGTATCGTGACCAGCCAACCAATGGAAAACCACTTGCAATAAAACTAACAAACCAGGAAGCCATGATCATCTTGAAGGAATTTTTCATGGAAACAGCGTGTGGTGTTGAGTTTGATATTGTAAGGTATCTCTCGAGAGCGAGACATGTCAACTGAGCAATGTTTGCTAACCCAACCCAGGTAGAAAAGAAGCCGTAGAACATACAACCACTAAAACCCCACACCCACTTGAGGGAGAATGCAGAAACGAATCCAAGTGGACAAATGACTGCGCACATCACAAAATCACCAAGAGCTAAACTAATAATTAGGATATCTTTGGGTTGTTTCATGAGCAGCGTGCTCCATTTTAGGTATGCTAGAATGACCAGACCATTAGTGAAACTTCCCAACAAGGCGATAAAAAGATAGGCGAATCCAATGCTCAAACCAGCCAAAAGGCTAACTGCCATATTTCTCAAATTCTGATCGTTGATAACTTGCAAGGTAGCTCAACGACGTAAACTCATGAAATGTATCAAAGTATATGAAGAGTGATCGTATTAAATGACACAGATCTTTTTCCTTGCTTGGTTAGCCGTAAGAGAGAATTTTTAAGGTTTGATATTCTTCGTGTCTCAATGGGTTATCCATCTACAGTAGTTTCGAATTAAAGTATGATTTGATGGCTTGTACTGTGGCTTTTTATAGCAATCTTAAATTACTTCAGATCGTTATTAAAGAACTGTTTAATTGAAACATTATATCCGAGGCACAAGACGCATGCGCAAACAGTAAAGAACCGTAATTATGAACAAAAAGTACAACCTTAGAAGATCTTACTAAGTCGAAGCTCATTTGATAATTTTATGTCAGAACTTTCGGTCATTTTCCAATTAATAATTACACATCAATGACTTTCTGGAGGACACAACATCTAGAAAACGCTTTCTTATGCCATCTAAGTACTGTTCTGGTTTTATGCTATTTAACTAACATCAATTGGTCGTAAGAATGTGTGCATATAAATACAGTAAATTCAAATGCCTGTAACAAATTTTTTGTCTTCTAAAACTATAGTGGACATTCTTTTCTATATTCATGTTTTCATGTAATCTTCCTGAGCTATTGTGCTGTTTGTGATATATTAAAGTAACTAGATCATTTATGGTTGGTTGTTTCATATCTTAAATTTACATATCTTAAAAAACCATGTTCATCTTTGCTGTTACGCTACACAAACCTGTTTTGTTTTAAAGTTTTCACATGATGTAGTCACATGATGTAAACACATGATGTAAACACACGATGTAGTCACATGATGTAAACCAAAATTGCCTAATATCAGCAAGGGCAAACAATATTACTGTTTAAGCCCGTGTTTGCACTAATGTAAAAGGCTACAGAAAGAATTTGCCAATATTTTCTTTGTGTGAATAACGAGAATAGATTTCCTCACAAAATTTTGTTTAAAAGATTTGCATTTGCAAGGTATGTGTTTTGCAAAAATGAGAGCACTGTAAATATAATTTAACAATCGATGGAAAGATGAACAAGAGAAAGAAATATTAAGCAGCAGATGGTTTTGGAGTATAAATCCTTTGAATGGAAATAAGGCATTAAAACTATGGATCATTAGCATTCCAAAATGAGGACGGTTTAATTTTCTGTCTTGATTGGAAAAAAGTTAATTAATGCTTTTAAGACAAATAAAGAATTTTTTAACTAGCAAAGTTTGTTTATACAATGTTTGCTTGTTAAGGCTATTATTATTTCAATTAAAAATACGTCTGGTGTAAGTTGAATAAATAAAACGTGAAAAATTATGTTTTGTACTTGCTTTAACATATAAAGTGAACTTTACGTATATAGCTAATACACAATGAGCGAAAATTCGCCTTTTTCTGCAGGAAACAATAGCATTAAATATTTCTTTCTGACTTTGGAGACAGCTGAACTTAGATAATCACCGCATATTTTGTACACAATGAAAAGCAAACATTGTAAAAATAATATTTTTCTAATCTTTTCAATTCCAAAGATAGAGTATAACCAGTAATATGAGATAGGCTAAAGATTCACCGAACAAATAAGAAATACATTGCTCATGATACTAAAATAAAAATGTTTATTAACTTCTCCTCCATAATTGCCATGTCACATAGAGCATTTTCATGCATCAACAACGTGTTTTTTAATGCTTATGTATCACTCTCTTCAAGTATATATTTTTCACTAAAAATTGATCATTTGTATTTTGCATTATTCATTCACAGTGATTCGTGATAAATTTTCATGAATTAAAGAAGTATAAAAGCTACAACATCTAACACCACATAAATTTTAACACATAGATGAATCATGAAGTTTCGTTCATGTATACGATTTTTCTCATTTTCAAAATATTTTGCCTGAAAAGGGCATGCGTGCCAACGCCAGATTTATGAGCTTAAAAAGCCAGTCTTCCGCTTCACACGCGTTTAGTGATATACGGACGACTGTTAGTTATACGTTTTTCATAAGACTGTGTGTAAATTCTATTATGCACAACCAAATACTTTGAAAAAAAATCAAATATTAACTGACTCTTCTCGATTTGTCTCCAATACGTCACTCATCTCCTTTATTCTCTGATAAATTTTGTGCCGATGACCAACGAGCCTTACACCAACTTTTTGTAAAAGTTCATCTTCAGTTAGTCTTGCTATATCTGCAAATTCTTCATAACCAGCTTTTGTGAAATTGCTCGCATACATTCCCATTTTAATGGCCTCAAGCCAGTCTTTCACAGACTTAAATGTAGTGTGATCCAAGGCGTCGTTTCTAAACACACAAGAATCTTGATGTAAATTTCAAACATATATTGATTTCAAAAAAATTTTAGGGCATCACCTTCGCACTTTAATATAATCTTCATTTAGTTTTTCAGGGAACGTTAACCAATCGTCGAGAATTCTGACAAGTTCATTGAATGGGGGACGTTTCGTTCTGTCTGATATCCAACATTCTTTCATCAGTTGATGGACAGCCTTTGGACAGTTCTAGATTGAAACAAATTCTTCATTTACTGAGATCAACAAGAGTGCACATGCAAGACAGCTCGACCAAATTACCATCGCTAGAAACTCATAATCCACTAAAGTTTTGTTATGTGATAAACACGTTTACAAGACGTACAAGAAAGTTTTCATTGATTAGTCGATAGAAAGATACAAAAATAGCAACAATCATTTTGGCACATAAATAATACGTAGTGTAAAGAGAATATTGGCTTAATAACTCTTCACTAAGAAGTATAGAGTTCAAAGTACAGCAGTTTATGCTATCTTACCATAGGTGCAGGAAGACGATAGCCTTGATCGACCCTTTTCATCACCTTGATGCAACAAAATATATCATGAAAGATCCACAGTAAGTTTTAGATATGTTTATGTAAATTTACCTCTTCATTACCCCAGTTCCAATAGGGCCTCTCAGCAAACGACATTATTTCCCATAACAAAATACCATAACTCCACACATCGCTGGCTGTTGAAAATTTACGATACCTGATAGCTTCGGGTGCCGTCCAACGAACTGGAATTTTTCCTCCCTTGAACAAACAACACGATATAGACATATCATTCTGATCAACAACTAAAATTAAAGTCATTGTACAATTTTCTGTTATTTTTATTGGTCAAAAGCCTAGACTGGTTGAAATCTGGAGCGGACGAAAAAATCTCGTATTTATGGGTGACAGCGTAGTTCTTCAACGACACAAAGAATTTATAGCAAAAGAATGGGGAAATGGGAAAATTTGTAAAATCAGCTTGTTTTGAACATGGCTTCTGCTCGTTTCCCTTCTTTGTCAAAAGAGTGAATTATTTTAAAGTACAATGAACAGTAACAAATTTTTGAATTCGGCTTTGCGGGATATCAGTATTATAATGAACTCGGTCAGCTCAGTCAGCGTTCACCACCTTTAAGACTAAGGACTGAATTCTTATATCTGTTCAGGCTCATCCAATAATATTTACTTATCGCAGAACATCGTTTGCTCACAAGACAATCCAGATGCAGAAAATAGCAAATGTTCAAATGTAATAGAAAAAGAAGTATCTAAGTGAAATAAAAACTACTATATATGTGTTCAACAAATTAGAAAAAGAACAGAGTTATGTACTTGTGTTTCGTATTCTGAGTCCTCATTCTTGATGTCACGTGACAGACCAAAATCGGCAACCTTACAGGTCAAATTAGCATTTACCAAAATGTTTCTCGCTGCTAAATCCTGTAACAAACAACGAAATGTCGTTTGAATGTTTTGTATAAAAATGAAAACTTAACAAACAATTTTTTATAGCAACAACAAAAAATTTAAAGGTTACTCTGTGAACGTAGTGCATTCCAGCCAAATACTCCATGCCGCTAGCAACTCCTCGGGCCATTCCAAGAAGTTGCGTAATTTTAAGAACACCATCATTTATCTAGGTTTGAAAAGTGATTTTAAAAGCACTAACAAGTTTACTCGATCAACATTTATTTTCCTGCTTATATAAGATAGTAAAATACCTTTAAGTATTTTTCTAAAGACCCATGTTCCATAAATTCAGTAACAATAAGCATTGGTGAGCCTGTGAAAGAAGTTTTACTGTTTGTAAAAAGTCACTTTTGTGAACTTCCCGCGCATATATATTTTATGGCCATTTCGTAGCATTGCACTTGCGCGGTTGCAAATCCAAAACAAATCAACTTACTTTGTGTCACCACACCCTCAAGACTGATAACATTCAAATTCTTAAATTGTCCCATAACAGATGCTTCAATGAGGAAGTCTGTTCTGTTCTTGTGCTTAGCACCAGTCTGAATAGAAAAATCATCGCTCGGTTATTTTTACAGCAATTGTCATTAGCCATACATCCATTAGTTCAAACGTGTCTCAATTGGAATGATGTGAAATTTCCTATCAAATTACTGGAAGAAATGAAAACATGCAGCTATCGAGCTCATATACAATTTTGTTGCATGAACAGGATTATAAATTAAGTACATGCATTTAAGTCTCGTTCATATAAAAAAAAACTTCAACCTGAATAGATCCTACGTTATAACCAAACATTGTGTAAGAAAAATAATCCAACCTTAAGCGTTTTTATAGCTACTACTGTGGTTTTCTGACCAGGGACTTTCAAGGAACCTTTATAAACATCACCAAACTCACCTAAAAAGTAATATTGTAGAACATTATTCGGTCAGCACATGCTTCTAAGCGATTAAAGCCATCTAATATTGAAACCTCAACTGATTGTTTGTCATACATATACCTCTATACCTCTACGATGTAATAATTATACTCTGATGATTATTGATAGACGATGTGATATACGAACCTCCACCGATTATTGATTCAAATGAAATGCAGCTTCTGTCCAACTCTTTTGTAAATTCTAGAACAGCTCTTTCTGGATTGTCATAGGTTGTTGGATCGATATAGTTTCTTTCACTGCGAACCAGAGGGATATCTGTGGATTGGAAAGCAATAGTGAACAAAGAATGGCCAACAACGCCGACCATGAGCAATAACACATTTTACCTCCGCCATGCAACCGCATACTAGCCCTGTACTTCCTTGTCTTGCGACTGTAGAAAAATGCAATACAAGGCTATAGTAAAGGATTTTCACGTAGAAATAAATAGAGCTAAGTAAGTTCCATGATCAGTGGGAAGAAACATACCGTCTACACAAGCAAATCACCAGAATAATGATAATTACCACCATGAGAAGACCAATGATTGGTACAACAATAACTACAAAACTTGGCAGGTCACTTGATCTCGATGCAACACGTTCACGTTCATCTGTAAGTTTTTTATTAAACACAAAAGAGAAAAGGTTGATCATACATATTGTTCAAATCGATGCGGGAGTTTTATTATACATCTTGATCAATTTTTCATTCTAAGTAAGACGTACAACAAACCTGTTTTCAGTTTCTTGGAAGCGCGAGCCCAATGAGAACGACTTATATTCCCATTATACTCATTCTTGGAATAAATTACGAACTCGTATTCAGTGTTCGATTTCAGATCTTTAATGGTGACATTCTCACTTTCGATGTCGGTTTTTGACGGTATAAATCTTACACTGGGACCACACGCCTTAATACAAGGGGCAGACTTCGTGCTCGATGAACACTCGAAACAATCCACTTCATAAATCACGATCTTGCTACTTAGAGATTCGTACAAAGTAGGAGGTTTCCATAGCAACGTGACTGACTCGTGATCTTTATCTTTATATTGGAGTTCATTTACAGATGTTGGGATTCCTATGTCAAAAAATAAAATATTATTGAGATGGAGATGGACTTAAGAAACACATTGGGCACTTAAGTTAGACATAATTATATGAAAATACATAACTAAGTTCAAACTTTAGCTAAGTTTGTTTCATTTTCAAGGTGAATGCACAAAATTGCTTGTCTAGCTTAAATTTCTAGAAAAGTAAAATTGTCTTTCAAATTTTTCAGTTGCTCCAATTTATTCATTGTCAAAATATATTCAAATCGTCTGAAGCAAACTGTTCAATGTAGAAAAAAATAAGAACTGACCACTTACCGTAACAGGGACTAGTGTAATTTTCTCCAATAAATCGAAAATGATTTTCTTCACATGAGCAGCGTTGCTGATTATCATTGCTTATGGAATTTTTTGGGCATGGCAAGCATCTTTCATTTCCAGCTTTGTCTTTGTAAGTGTTCTTTTCGCATTCTGGAAAAACATATAACACAACATAAAGAGTGCGGTACCCTGGTGAGTGTGCCCCTCCTACTTTTTCCCTAAGATAACTTTGGCTGGCCTTCTTAAGTGTGAATTGGGGCTAAGTGAGACGAAGTGAATTCAGTATATTCAAATCCACCCGCTACTCGCAGGTTCATTTTCGTGCCGCCTTGCCTACATTATGCATTTAAAATTGTAGTTTGCAAGGACTTCGCTCTTTCAACTTGCCTACAAGTTACGTTTACAATGTTTTCGAAGATTTGTTCGTTCATTTGAATATGAGAAAAACATGTCATTCAAACGTCTAAGTTTGACACGCCTTAGTTGAATATGAAATGTTTATTGGAAATCCACGGTTGTGATTGGCTACCAATAATTCCCGCCAATAGCTTACTTATGACAAGATTGTCATCAGGCTTTCACATTCATTCAACGAAGTGAAAGTTTCTAGCTTATGCCATGGCTCATACTTATTCTTTTCTGGAAAAATGCGAATGCCGTTCAGATTGGCGTTCACCAAAAGAGGAAGTAATAGGTAAGTACTTGAATACTTCGATTTTTTAATTAAATATACATTCAGAAACCGAGTTTGCATGTGTAGAACATGTAATACGGTGAAAATTGTCCACGCGTGGGTCTTCGTTCAAACTTCTTCAATTTATTTAACTGCACAATGCCACCAAAGTGTTTTTATCGCACATAAAAAACTCAGAATAAACGGGCAGTTTTAATTCATATACATTATTGGAAAAATTAGAAGTCAAATGTCTTAAATACTATGATTCATTTCCAAACTTAGAAATATAAGATAAGAATACATAAAGTCACGTGTTATTTTGCATTATGGGGACAGCTCAAACACAAAATTAAAATTATTTACCTTTACAACCACCAAGTGAATCTAATGTGTATCCTTCTTTACACATACACTGTGACACTATCGTCCATTCCCCTTCACTTGAACAAAGTCCATAGGGTAGTTTATTTCCAGGATTAATTGTGTTTGGTGAACAGCTTGTATTCACTTGTTGATGACCATTTTCTGGGGCAATTGTACGAGGTAGTACCATTGCTGTACTTGTATTCTTTTCACAAACATAGTATGATATTGTTATCCTTTCGATCTCAGTACAACTACCAGCAGATAGCAGAACTACAGCAAATTGTTTTCTGCCCTTCAAGGCATATTTAAAATCTGCAGTGTAAACAACATTTTGTTCTTTGTTTGGGAAATTTTTAACTAATGGTAGATCTTCTAAAAGTTTATAGGATTGTAAATTATCTACCACAGATGCATGCATTATGAATGCCTTAATTGATTGGTCTTTGCAAACATTGCAGTCTGACACTTTCATTTTCATTGAAACATGAATTACATTGTAACCATTATTTGGCAGTGCCTCTAACACGAGCCACGATTTTTTAGAATCCCTTGAATTGCAAATAGAACATGACGACCTGCTTGAGGATACCACATTATTTGACCACTAGAAAAATATTATTTTAATGTATTTATTGATTTCATAGTCCAAAGATAAAAAGTGGCAATTTTATACTACTTACCGAAGTAGTTTTGTTATTGGGATTCTCAACACTTCGTTCAAACAAATAAGAACATTCTGCTGACCGAAGGATACCTGTTGTCCAATCAAAGTAGTTGCATTTTTAGTTATCAATGTTATTATTATTATTATTTGGTGTTGTCATTAGTTATTTCAACATTGTTATGTGGGAAAAATACACACAGGCAACAAATATAAAAAAAACGGCAGCAATACTTTAATGTGAATGTGCCTATTAGGTGTCTTTTAGCACATTAGGTGTCTTTGCTCATGAGGGCTATGTCATCTTTGATATGTTGGACATGACTGGTATGGATAAGAAACATCAAATATATAGCATAAGAAAATGATTACAATAACAATCCGAACCATCTATTATAATTTCTGTTGTAAGAATAATGAATAAATTCATGGACCGGTCAACCCCCCTGGCGGGGATTAATACTGGCCGGTATACAAATGTTGTTTGTTTGTTTGTTTGTAAGAATAATGAATGAGAAAAACCGGACATGTTAGGTATTTAAAACGTTTTATTGATAAATTTGCATCCTTAGGTTATTGCCATTATAGTCAACTCAGTATTTCAAAGTCATTTATTTACATATGTATTTTAGTAATTGATGTAATAAAGTAGCCAATAATAAATTACCAAATGAAGCAACATTTATTGTAGTGTATGTAAGAAAGAAAACCTTGATAAGGTTTCCATTATTAAAATATTATTACTATTAGGAGTTTTAGCTATGTTGACAAAAAACTACCTGTGGGTTATTATAAACATGGGTCATAGAGAGAAAAACAAAATCTATCTGTTTTATATTTAAAAGGAATAAAACTCGTATTATTCCTTTAATTACACAAATAATGACGATTTCCCTTCTTAATTACTTAGATGGTTACAAACTTACTTTCACCAGCTTGTAGTTGTTGAATATATAACGTCCAAAAGCATAAACTGTACAATACGCGAAGCGACATTTCTTACGACAAGTGTAAACTTGCTTGTTATTCGAATTCCGTGTCAGATTTTCTCTTTAACACGACGAGGTTAGTTGTTAATCCACTGAAATAAAATAACAACAATGACTTTATAATGTCAAACAGTTGATTCTCTTGAAATAAATATTTCGGCTAAGTCATATTATTTCAGGTATTTTGTTGCATGATATCGTGAAAGCAAAGATAAGGCTGTTGCCTTATCTCTCTATTGAATTTATCAAAAGGAAATGCACGATGAAGTTCAGAGGAAGCTCTATCGACAATGGTTTGTTTAGGACATATCATGTTTCAGCGTAAGAATTATATGTCTTTAATATACGACTTTTCGGTATAGATTTGAGCTTTACCCAGTAAGCAATAATCTTCAGATATGGTTGTGAGGTATAATAATTGCTGTATAGTTAAAAACTGCTTAGTCATGAAACGAAGGGTCAGCGTATTTGATAAATAACGTGATGTCAAAATTGGATACTTTAGAGCGCGTTTGAAGAACTAAATAAACTCATGATACTTTAAAAAAAGTTGAAAAGTTTGCGGTGGAAAGTATGTTGTGTTAAACAAATCAGACAAAAAGCATTAATCCTCAATTTTGATTATTTTCTAAATAGACCACCGGTAGTTTAACTGCGTAAGCTAATTCGACCTTTTTAAGTAAAATGTTCGTCGAAATATTCATTTCCTTGTGTCGCTTGCCGTGATGTTGGACCAAAAAGATTACTAATTCGCAGTATTAGGAAAAACTAAACCATATATATCAGTCAAAAACCACAAACATACATGTTATATGTATTGGCTAAAATAAATAGGAAGTATGCCACACCGTTACAAAGTGTATTATTGAATAAAAACAATAATTATTGCGAAAATTCACAACCATGTATCAAAGATCAACACTGGTACCGAAAATCCTTTACATAATAGGTCTATTTTAATGTTCAATGTGTGTTTGTAGGAAAGAACAAGCGATCACAACATTTTTGGCAGACAAGCAGCAATACTTACTAACTGCAATGAAGCACAAATCCAGCACAATAGGAGTTATTATATTCTATACGTACCTGTGTATTTATATAATGGACATTTCTATTAGTTAAAAAGCCCAATCAATTAATGAAGTACAGCTCATATTAATGAAGTGACTTCAATCACACATTCTTCGACTATCTTCTTGATAGTCTTGCTTCTAATTTACTTTACATATGCGTCGTCGCCTCCCATCGTTTTACAGCGGAAATCATTCGCTTTTGTCAGAAGAGGAAATAAAACCACATTATAATACACGCAATCATGAAATAGGTACGCATAACGTACATATACCTAACTTCTCGTGCTATGACAATGGCAGTTAATGAGAGGATTTTTAACTTAAAATTTTTATCCATTTGTTATAGGTAGGTTTTTGGTGGTTGTCCAAATTAATGAGGGCCCCTTAGAGCAAAAGATCTAATCAAGAATATACTTGAAGGTTGGTATTTTGTAGGGTTTTTTATTATAAATTGCTTTCACTGGGGAACCTTTTATATCCTTTTGATATACTTCGTTGTGCACATCTATACAAGAGGAGTATTGCTGATTAGTTATATCAAATGGACACACTTTAAATACAAGTACGTCTAATGGTTCAATATGTTTAAATTTACTGTTGTGATAATATAAGCAGGGTAAGAAGATCGGAATTGCATCGGAATCATAGCAGAAGTAAGTGTACAAATATTGTAGAGATCATTTCTGTACGAAATGTTGATTTGTGTTCTAGGCATTAAACAAAACGATCAAATATTTTTTTGAATTAATGAATGAAAGTCTTTATTTTGACACTTTGGCCTCGTCAACTGAATTCAATTTACACGAGGGGCGTGCCTACAAATACCATTACATAAATCACATTGCAATGAAATAACAATAGAGCTAAACGATAGGTTTAAATTTTACATAATATACAGCTATACAATAAATATATACATCGTTATTTGTCTAAAACTTCGGGGTTTTTTTTTCATTCAGACGACTTTCATTTAATATTAATGATGTGACAAGGCTTAGGACATATACAGATAACGTTATTTTCAGTTATTACAAAACACTAAATTTATTTCGCAGTTAATAGAATTCTGCTCTCCTGTTCAATTTAAGCGAAGAAATTGTTCGAACACATTACAATGGTTCTAAAAATGCACTGTTTTTATTGTTGTGCTTTCTCAAAAATTTATGATATTCATTACAAGCGCAATTTAAACAACACAAAAAATAAGCTTTATCCACTGCTGTGTTAATTTTCTCTCATAAAACAACATAGTCTTTTTTGCGATAGTGTAGTCTTACAGCTACGCTCAAACTCTCTAATTATTTTTACGAAATTCCCTTGTCGCGAGTTCTAAGTCCGACAGTCCTTAGCTAATTCTCCATCATGTTGATCATCACCGTAATCCTTTTTGTTATCGCTATTTTTTACAGTCGCGTGTAATTTCATCAACACATTGGCGCACGTTTATCAATCGATCTACGGAGTTCCTCGTCGAAACTCTTTGAAAAACGCCTATCTTCCTGTTTTGAATTGACCAATAATACCACGTGTTTTTTTAAATTAACAAATCACAACAAAGCTTTGTGAATAACTCTGTAACTGAACGAATTCAGGCATTGGGTTCACTTCGGTAAAAATGTTGCAATTTCTTTAAAAGGAAAGACATTTTCACGAAATTGTGAAGTTGCAATCGACAGAAGTGAAAACTAAGGTGGAATTAAGGTGATTGGCGCTGGCTGAAATCGAAACCAAAATTCAACTGTCATATTAAACAAATAATTTGATGATCATGAAGATTTTACCGTCAGTGCTATAAATATAATAATATATATATAATGGACTCCGTCGATTTCGACGTATGAGGGTTCCACGAAGTGGAACATCCTGGTTACTGAAATTATAGTGAAGGCAGCTGACCAGACTACAATCACTCGTACCCTTCACGCAACTACAACGCTGATATCAGCGTGACACAGTGTGACAAGGCTGCAACATTACAGATGCAGGTACAGTCCATCCGAGGACACAGTTTCCTCTACCAAATTTCCCTCACATGGCTTTGGTCAACCCGGGCTAGGTTTACAGACACATTGCCAAATGTGCCACGAGCCGGGATTGAACCCACGCCGTCTGGCTAACAGCTCACGCCATTAACCATTCAGCCACTCGCCCTTCTAGTGCTATAAATACAATCAATATAAATCCCCACTGATCAAAATTTTTTGGAACGCTTCTATTGCCGCGACTATAATAACGACTGGTAGTTGTTAATCTTTATTGGGATTTTGGGTTTTTGAACAAATCAAGGACATATAATGACTGTTAATCACTGTTTTGTAATCCAAATTCTGCGATTGCTTTAAGAACAAATAAGCCCAATACCTCAATATATGTTTTTATTATTCGTGTGTCTTCTGTGTGGACGTCTTCACAAGCGTTGTAAACTTGTGATTTTTAATGCTTGTAAATAGCTTTGCTATGAATCTTTACCGATATCATCGATTTGTAATCGTCAACGGTAAACCACATTGAGTAGGAACGTTTCCTCGTTTTTTCCGTCACCATCGTAAACAAACACGAGAATTTTAAGTTGAGCAGCTGATTGTCGGGGTTGAAACCGTAAACTAATACTCTGAGCCTCACCTGGACCAAGCTGAAAAATATAAAAAGCCTAAAGCTAAATATCTTTGTGTCATCTTTCGTGTAACAAAGAAGATTTTAGGCAAGGAAGTAAAAATAATACTGAATATATAAAATTACATGAAACGGGATCTAAATTGGTACTCAATTTCTACAGAAATTATAACAAATAAGTGATAAAACGTGTAGCCGAAAAACTCATTGGAAATAAAGGATGGAATGAAGAATAATCCTTTAAAAGAAATACATATTGACTTACATTTAGTGTAGTGTTTCCTAGATGAAGTACATTATCGAGGTTGCATTTTAAATAAAACGTTTTACCAACTTGATACGGGTTGATGAACTGAATCCTCTACAATGTGAAAGAACTATTGGTCAAAACGATCTCATCAGCTATAGATATTTGCCAGCCTTAGATGCTCATATATGCTCAGCAAAGGTTTAGTGGGACCATTTGATAGACAATAGTCAGATATACGTATAATAAGAAAAAAGGCATGAGATGTAATTTTTACCTTACGAGATCCCTTTCCTCCGCCCAGTTCAACGTTTATATCGAAGGTCTTTGAAATAACTGGTGGACGAGATGTAGCACAGACTAACCATGATCGATGCAATTGGCTAAATTCTGTGTCTGGAAGATAAACCTAATGCTTTAATAACACTGTAGAATGGTGTTGCAACATGACAGTGGTGAAAATGCAATGCTAGTTAGCACTGAAGGATGATGTTGCACCATGATAGTGATGAAAGCGCATTGCTAGTAAACACTGAAGGATAGTGTTGCATCATGACAGTGGTGAAAACATATTGCTATTTTACAATAAAGGAAGGTGTTGTACCATGATTGTGATGAAAACATACTTATTGCTATTCAGCGCTAAAGGTTGGGATATCTCACTAATTGAAGAATCATTTGAAAACAAAATAACGAGGTACACAATATAGAAAATACTCAAAGAAAAAATTACCAACAACGTTCACAATTATCTGCTTCAATCCGGGCGTGCAAGGTGTAAAATTTAAGCTAACTTCTTGAACTCCATTTGCCATTAACATGAAGGGGTCAGATGGTTCAACCTAACACAAAAGGTAAAAATCATATTGCCATAAGTCATAACATACGTCAGAGAATAAATAAAAGAAGTTCCACCTGGAGTTCCGCTGGTAGTGAAGAAAACATTGAACAAGTCGTGATGAATGTGTACCGCGAAGTACACAAGATAAGCGACTGCTCTGTCCTTGTGTAGAACTTATATCTAGCCTAAAATAAAATTTCCATGTTATATGTACCTTTATGGATAAAATCAACATTTAACTCCTTTATTATTAATTGTTTCTATGGAGAAGGATACCTTTGCAAAGAATGAACGTAGAGTTGCCATGTTTGCTTGGGTTTGATGTGAAATCGGTCTCTGAAAATGCAACGAAAAACTCCCACTAAATTCTACTCCAACTTGGAATCGTTCTTAGTAAACTCTAGCAATTGGGCACCATTAAATTAACTTACGTGTAAACAAATAAAAAAAATCTTCTCACAGATGGTGAAGCTCCACATGGAACTTTCAAAAAGATATCTTGTGGTTGATCCTGCCCTACGAAAAAGAATAATTAGACTATAACTTGTCTATGGAAGAATTACAACAGTAAATGTGTTTTGTAACGTACATTAGAAGTTGTATTACAAATCACATTGATGTCACTGCAGCGAACATGCATCCCTCTTGGTACTTCACCATCACGAAGGGGCTCATCTAAAATTTACAATTTATTTGCAAACGTAAAATTTGACATTTTTTATGAACGTATTGTGGTCGCAAATGATGTTGACATTGATATTATTATTATTGTGGCAGTCAATACGTTGTTATTTTGGCAATCACATGCCTGCTAATGCATGCCAATGTGGTAGTCGAATGGTTTTCTTAAAGTACGTTTGTTCTGGACTGTTAAATCTAAAGGTCTGATCAACGGCAAGTGGCTGCAATTCGACTTTAAGTGAAAGAATCGCTAGACGTTGTTGCTGTGGTGTTTCAAATACGACCTGAAAACAAAGTTAGTGAAAAATTAAATTAGTCTTTTGAGAAGAGAAATAAAAAAGATGATGGTTGAGTGAAGGACGTTGAATTGAAAACGATGTTAAAGAAAAGGACTTTATAAGAATTGTGAGTTTGGAAACGCGAAATAAAACTTGGTTATTGTATCATTTGCTTTTACCTTAATGTTGTAAGAAAGTTCCTTTTTTTTGACAACACGTCCATTTTCATCTTTGGCGTGTAAAATAGATGACGCTTGTTCACTGGTTGACTTGAAGCTTTGATATTTGAATGGTATGTTTACGGTTTCTTGCGAACGCATAAAAATCTCGGGGTAGCCACTTTCAGTGGCCAGATTAAACATGTCTTCTTCGATGTCTGAGATAAATGATTTTGACAAACATTTCTTGAGACTTCATGCTGAGATATTATTATGAAAATGAAACGTAAATTTACTAATGCTTACTGGTTGAAGTTTGAGTCAGCTTCTTGTATTCTTTCCATTCTTGGGTATCCGAAACTACCC